GATGCCTACCCCACTACTGATAGAGCCGGTAACCCATGGCCAAGTGATCTGAAATGTTTCTAAAAAGGTCCTTGCCTTTCATTCAAAGTTGGTCCAGCAGGCTGATTGGAGTGATTCGGCTTAATCCAGAATCCCAGTACACCTGTCAGTTCCAGCGGATGACTGGATCCATCATAAACAAGGTCCTTCACCCATTAAACCGTGAATGTCAGCCTAGCCCCCCTGGACACAAGTACCAGCCTGTAAAACTGTCTGATATATAAACACCTTTGTCCCAGCAATCATCGGAGAGATCAGTAAGCCACAGGAATATAGCTATAATACTCTAGACACATATTATGCATTATTATTGACTATTTAAGGATTTTTTTTTACATCGCTTTCCTTTATCGTATTTTCTCTGTTGTGACATTTAAACCTGCCTTACTTACCCGATTTTTATGGCCTGATTTCAGTTCAATTTCTTTCCTTTTTTTTGTACCACTGTGCTTTTACTGATCGCTTTTTTGATCATGTTTTTATCTTGTTTTTAATGGGGGTTACCCTGTAGCACTGAGTACTGTTGTTGTTTTGATCTGTCATATTTTTGTCCTGTGCTTTTTCTTTATGTACAAATGGAGCAGACTCACTCACTGTAAACAAAACCATCTGTATGTAGAAATAAGTTACCTTGAACTGTAACTTCAAAATTTTATTGAGAAGTTCAAATTTTCAAATGATGTTCAAGTCTTAGCCAGTGGGTGGCGCCAAAACATAACTGAAGCAGTGGGATCATCTTGTCCTTTTCCTTTTTTAAAAAAACTGATGTATAAAAATTAAATCCACATGTAGCTCTGAACTAAAGGCAGCAGAACAAAAGAGCCAAAGGTGACATGTCAACATTTATTGTGTTCATTAGTACCATGTAGTTTCAGTTTGAGAAGTCCTGTTGAGATGACTACAAATTGACAGACCAGTGAGCTGAACCATCTTTACGGCACAAACATCATTAACTGAACTCTTTATTCAAAGTAAAACATGATTTAAAAAAAGAGGACAAACAGAACAGGCACCAAATCTCACTGCAGTGGGCTACGTGGTCAGTGTGCAGGCATGACGTGAAATTACGTGACAACTTTTTTCAATCCTGCAATGAAACACTCAGTCCACCATAAAATCAATAATACATTTCTGCTCTTGTCTGTTAAAAAAAAAAAGAAAGGCTTCACTTACACACAAGCATCAAACCCTGAGAGAACAGAGTGAACACTCTGTTCCACAGGCTCCATATGGATCCAACAGACACAGAGAACAGAAACAGATGCTCTTCTTCAACTGCACTTACTCTGACAGTCTTATGTTATACTCTTCTTATTGAATGCAGTCTGTGTCAGCAACTGTTATCTGATCAGCCAGTTAAATTATTTGTGCAGAAATGCTTCCCTTTTGTCTCAGATGAAGCGAAACAAAACACAGGATTATGTTGTGTACAATGGTAATGGTTAAACATAACTGTGTCCTGTTTGATCAAATTTGTCCCTTAAATGTTCAGGTGTCACCCTCAGAGAAATCATCAGCCACAGAACTGCAGTCCTGTTCTCCTCATGCTCACTGCTCTGTGACCCCATCCTTGAGAGGACCTGTTTCGAGTTTCCTGCAGAATTAATCCTCATGCATTTTGTGCACTGGTGTGTGGAAACACACCAGCTCTGTGACCCAGTCAATGCAAGCCAACTGCCAACAATACTACAGCAGAAACTTATTAAATATCTTACAATCCCTTTTTTTAAATGAGAAACATTGATATGGATGGATTTCGATGATTTGGAAACCACTTAAACCCTAAATTTAAAGGTGGGGTAGGCAGGATCTGAGGAAGTTTCAGTCCTTGTGAGAAATCTTGAATGTAAACACTACCCCTTCCAACCAGTTTTTCCCCTCAGCTCCTCCTCTCCCCTCCCTCTCTGCTCCAGCAAGCTCCGCCCAGACGCTCGTCCTCGCTTGTATCGTTACCTCCGCCAAGGAGGTTATGTTTTGGGTAGCGTTGGATTGTTTGTTTGTTTGTCTGTTAGCAACTTTACGGAGAACGTTACAGATGGATTGACCTGAAATTTTCACCAGATCCTGGATCCAGGAATTTTTTTAAGGATTCTTTGTTATTGTGAGAGAGGGCAAATTTTGGAATTTTTGCATTTAACTCTATAAAAATGGCCAGAGTCTTTAGTAAAAAATTACACAAAAGGATCTCAATGAGTTTTATGAGGTGTCAAAGGTTGATCCTGATCCAGACAAAATTCAGGATACTGTGATCCAGAACACACAAAAATAAGGGTGTCGTTGGAATTTTCAATGCTGAAAGATAACCAGTGAAGATACAAGGAAGTGTACACTTACAAATATTGCATAATAAATCATGCATTCATGTATCTAATATGATCTTTGTTGTTTTAGGAACATTATGTACAGTGAACACACCAGTTTAAACACAAATAAAAGTTACGTAATAAAAGACACGTAACAGTAAAAGTTTTGGTGTGAATCACAATTTAAGGGGGGACATGAGCTGATTGGCGGAGGTCTGCGCTCTCCGAGTGCTTTTCTAGTTTCAATTAATTTTAGATATAATGCAGATAAATATTTCAGATAATTGCAAATGGAGCCCAGTCAACGTAAAAGTAAAAAGCATTGCTGCTACTGTAGATGCCAACAGACTACCAGCAAACACAGTGTTTGCAGGACAACTAGGATAAAGTGACATATTCCAGGACCCAAGGTAAGCAGTTTTGCGGTGCTACAACACGCAGCAGGTCCCATTTGACAAGAAACACTTCTGTTACAGAAACTTGGCTTACTCTGTTAAAGCCGTTTACCTGTCCAACAGAAAGGTTACAGGGTCTGAGAAATCCAGAAGCGTCCCTCATTGTTTATGTTGATATTCACCCAACTTCTTCGCTCTTGTACGGTCTACCTCCCTTTTAAGTGCCCATTATTCTGCCAGAGTCTCTGGTATTCACTTCGTTTTATTGCTTGTGTTTTCCGTACTTTCTGGTTGATTTCTACTGTCCGATGTTGTTGCATGCTAACTTGGTTTGGGCTCATGCACGTTATTGAAGGACATGGAGTGTGCCTCACAACAAGAGGGAGCAGCGTCTGCCTCACAACCAATCAGCACTAAGGAGCAGTGTCCGCCTCACTACCAATCAGGTGGGGGGAGGCAGAGAATGGCTTTGATTACAGTCAGAAAGTGCGGCCGCTGAAAAACTTTAGAATGTTGACTACACAGGCATAAGAGAAACAGCAATATCGTTATAATACCAAATGTCATCAATAACTAATCGCTATTGTCTGATATTAAAAGCTGTTTTTGTATATACAGTGGTCCCTACCTATAACGCGGCACACTTTTTTTAGTGCAATTTTGCATGGTTTTTTTAAAAAATTATTTTTATTTTACACAACGCATTGTGTTATGTGACCTCATCAGACATGCCGTGTCTCCTGTACAGCACAGAATGTGATCAGCTTGCCAAATTTACACAAATCTTCGATCTCTAGCAGTGTGATTCTGAAGTCCTGTATGTTTGCAAGTTTCTCCCCAACAAGACCCACAATGTCGACGAAACGTTCTGCACCGTCAAAGGAACCTGCGGTCACACCCAAAAGGCAGAGGAAGATGCTAACCATTGCACAAAAAGTTGGACTTCTTGGCATGCTAAAGGAAGTTAAAAGTTACGCGGCTGTAGGGCGCCATTACGGAATAAATGAATCTTCGGTTCATTACATAAAGAAGGAGGAAAATAACATAAGGAGGGCAGCAGCACTAAGATTTAACAAGGATGCAAAAAGGGTTGTAACTGTCCGCAACAAGACCATCGTAAAGATGGAGTCTGCTTTAGCTTTGTGGATCAGTGACTGCAGGAAAAAGAACATTACGCTGGATACTAACATTATCCGCACAAAAGCTAAAAAGCTTGATTAAAATTTTGCTGACAGCGATGACGTCCATGACAGCGAGGAGCAGGATGATGCGGAGCCCAGGCCAGCAATGAGTGCTTTTCACACAGAACCAAGCCCATTTAATGCCAGCAAGGGCTGGTTTGACAAATTTCAGAAATGCTTTGGACTTAAAGTGTTTCTCTGCATGGAGAGGCCGCCTCTGCAGATACCACTGGAGCAGAGGCATATGTGATCATATTTAAAGCGATCATCGAGGGAGGGGGATATAAGCCTGAACAAGTTTTTAATAGGGATGAGACAGGCTTATTTTGGAAACAAATGCCCTCTCGCACCTTTATAATGCAGGCCAAAGGTTATGTGTGGAAATGCTGCAGGCTTCGTGACAAAACAAGGGCTTATTTATAGGTCAAAAAATCCAAGAGCCCTAAAACACAAAAATAAGAATGCGTTGCCTGTTTACTGGATGCACACTGCAAAGGCTTGGATGACAAAAGCGCTGAATCTTGATTGGTTCAAACAGTGTTTCATCCCAGGGGTCAAGCAGTATTTGAGAGGAAAAGAACTTGATTTAAAGTGCTTCTGCTTGTAGACAACGCCGGAGGCCATGCTGATGATTTGTCGGATGATGGTGTGCAAATCAAATTTCTGCCGCCAAACACTACATTGCGGATTCAGCCCATGGACAAAGGCATCATCCGTGCTTTCAAGGCTCTCTATACGTGCAACACCCTGCAACATCTTGTTGAGGCTACGGACTCTGATCAAGATTTCTCACTAAAGGCCTACTGGCATGAATACACCTCGCATCATGTCTCCAAAATATTCAGAGAGCCATTCAGGAGATGAGAACTGAAACTTTAGATGCCTGCTGGAAAAAAAGTGTGGCCAGAGACAGTTCAGAACCCTACCGGATGCTCTCTTGATGAGATCCATCACTCTGCGGTAGATGCAGCTGTGAATCTCGCTAAACAGCTCGGGGGAGATGGCTTTAATTATATCCTGATGACATTAATGCCCTGATTGATGCCCACTCACAACTGCTGACTGATGAAGATCTGGCAAAGATGGCAAAGCCACCAAGCGAGGACCAAGGAGAAGAGGATGAAGAGTGTTGATAAAGATGAGTGGATGGACTAACACTTGATTGCTTGGCAACCATGGTGAGAATAGCCAATGAACTTTAGCAAGCTGCGCAAGAATGGGACCCTTTGATGTTTCGTTCATAGAGACGAAATCGAAGGTAGCATGTCTGTTTATAAGAATCTTCTAGCCCAGAAGAAAAAAGAGCGCCAACAACTACCCATAAATATGCTCTTCACTCGGAAAAAGACACCTGCACCGACGCCTTCGGTGGAAAAAGATGCTACAGCGGAGCAGCGCCAGGACGAAGAGGCATGGTCAGAGGAACTGTGAAATGCTGGCTATTAATAATTTCTTATGTGTCCAACCTCGTAGTATGATCGTTAAAATTAAATTTGCTAGTTCTAAAAGCCATCATAATGATTTATAGGAATTAATAATTAATCAATAATTTTATTTCTCAAACAAATGTTTGGGCCTGAAAACAGGTTTTGATCTTTGGTTTCATTCTAATATGCTGGACTTATTTTTCAACTAAGGTTTGAACTTTGAGAGTGTATACACAGCAGAGAAAAGTGAGAAAATGTCAAAGCCTGTTTGAGAATAGTGTATTAAGTGTGTACTAAGGGGTTTTACAGCCTTAAAACATCTATAATAATTGTAACAAATAATGCTGACTACTTCACAGATTTCACCTATTGTGGATTATTTTTAGAACTCCCGCGATTAACAAGGGACCACTGTACACCACACACACACACATACACACACACACACACACACACACACACACACACACAAAAATGCTTCTTTAACAGAATCCTGCCTACCCCACCTTTAAAATCAGATAATACATAAACGAAAGGAGTTTCAGGTCAATTTAAAAAAATTTCCAAAGTATTTCCATGCCCTGCTGTGAGATAGTTCAGTTGTTGACGAATAAGACTCTGATGGACAAAAATCTGTAAGGCACAGCCTATGTATTGATTGCAAATCAACTTTCTTGCCTTGGGCATTTAAGTGTACTCAATTAACTTTCACTGAAGATTTGAACAGGCTTCAGTCCAATGTAGTCTTTTGGTTTTAACACCTTTGTTAATGATGTTTTAACTGGTTTCTGGATGTTCTGTTTTAGCTGGAAGCCAGCTGAACTAGTATGGTTCCCGTGGTACCAGAAGGTCTATTTCCAGGCTTTTCTGTTCCTCTTCGCTGTCAACTGTCCTGTACCCAAGCAATGACATGGCCTCTTTACACACTTCCTGTATTCGTTTGATTTGTTTTGTTTTTTTTTGTTACTTAATGAAAATTATTTATTAGGCATTACTCACAGGCTTCCCTTTTCTCCATGATCGTCATGAGGTGACACTGACAGAGGAGTGATGGTAATAACTTGCTTGACAGGTCTGTAATCATAACTGTGGTTGAAAGGCTAATATTTGTAAGAGGGCTGCTGAAAGTAATGATACACTACAGTCACAGGCTATTTTATACACCGGATGCAAAGCACCATTACTAGGCAAACATATTTGTCTATTAATAAGGTGTGGTGTTCTGTAATGGTTACTGCCATTTTAAGGACAATCACAGGGGACTATGCCATAGACCTGCATAAACTTGTTTGTTCACTTAAGGCACGATTTTATTTGGATGGTGCGTTCATGTATTTGCTAACACAGTAAAAAGGGTTTATTACTATAACATGAGACTTTGGGACTCATCTCCTTGCATCATGGCAAGTCTTGAGTTTGGGGCCAATCTTTGGATGTTAAAAGTTTACTGCTATATCTTGCATTTTTGCATAACCTCATCCTCACACTGGCCAGAAACCATAGCCTGGGACATCATCAAGCTCTCTATTAGGCACTATCTTTGATGCACACTCTCACAGTTACATGCAAAAACAGACACATGATCCCAATTGAGGCTGGTGCTTTATTTGTCTTCAAACATAACCACTGACCATATCCACAGATAACAAAGACTGAGGCACACAAAATACATTTTACGTTAAGAAAAGTAAATAAAAAGTATACTTTGACAGATGGTCTGGTCTCCCTTTATTCCTGGTAGGTCGTGTTAGGTTGGTTAAAATGGTTATCTTACCTAAGTTGCTGTATCTGTTTTCACATATCCCCATCCTTATTAAGAAGCCTTTTTTCAGGTCACTTGATCAATTGATAAGTTCCTTCCTTTGGGGCAATAAAAGTCCAAGCATTAGAAGATCTATTCTGCAACTCCCAAAGGCTCTTGGTGGCTTAGTACTGCCCGATTTCTTACATTATTACTGGTCCTGTAATGTTCAGAAACTTTTATTTTGGATTACCAACCCAGCAGATGTAGAGTGCCCAGCATGGGTTCCTTTAAATTTTCTCTTCACTCCCTGGTTTGCTCTCAACTCCCCATTATCTGCCTCTAAATTTACCTTAAACCCTGTGGTAAACAACTCTGTTAAAATCTGGATCTAATTTAGGAAAAGTTTGGGCCTCCATAGAGCCTCAGACCTCGCCCCCATTGTGAATAATCATTTATTTCAGCCCTCTTGCACAGACTTGGCCTTTCGGGCTTGGTCTGACAAAGGGATAACCAAACTTAAGGACCTTTACAACCAAGGAACATTCATGTTTTTTTCTGAGATCTCAACGAAATTTGATCCGCCTTAATTCCACCTATTTCGTTTCTTTCAGGCAAGGCATTTTATTCAGAGTCAGAACCCCAAATTCCCTAGTCAGCCCCTGGAAACTTTGATAGACTCATTTTTGGCACTTGATCCGAAACAAAAACGGTTAATCTCATGTTTCTACAGCCGTATTAACTCTGCAACCGACACCCCAGCATCCGGTCCCAAGGATTCTGACTGCCTGAGGATTACTGGCAACAGGTCTAAGGGTTAGTTCACTCCTCTTCTATCTGTGCCCGGCACAGCCTCTTGCAGTGTAAATTCATACACAGGGTTCATTACACTAATGCGAGGCTATCACGGATGTATCCCAATGTATCTGACTTGTGTAACAGGTGCCATCAATCTCCTGCCGACCATTCCCATATGTCTTGCCCCTGGCTCGCCACATTTTGGTCTGAAATCTTAGTCACTCTGAGCAGAGCATACAACACTACTATTTCTCCTGATCCTCTTTTGGCCCTTTTTGGTTCCCCCTCTTGCCTCTTGCCTCTAAAACCATGCAAACTGTTCTTGCCTTAACCACCCTATTGGCCAGGCGACTCATACTTTTTAATTGGAAGCTCCCTCAACCTCCATCTCACAACAGGTGGATGAAAGAGGTGTTATTGTCCATTAAACTTGAAAGGCTCAGATTCTCCCTCAAGGGTTCCTTAGGACATTTTGAAAATACTTGGAGACCGCTCCTGAATCATATCAATCTTTTTTTGTTTGTTTTAGTTTATTTTATTTACTTTTTTCATTATTTTTTAAATGTAATTTTATTTCATTTATTTTCCTTTTATAAGGGTGTGTAAACATTCTGTATTTCATGAGCCTGTTTACTACATGTACTATTGTCCTCTTTGAAAGGGGTGGGAATGTGGGAGGGATAAAAAAAAAACGGGGGATAAATGACCGATTGGAAGTCCTTACGACCATATTGTATTATCTCGCTACTGTGCACCTGCTTCCAATAAAGAAAGTTATCAAAAAAAAAGGAAAATAATTAAGACTGACCCTCCTTGAAAAGAGACTGAAGGCTCACACATGCTGCAAAGCCCCTCGGTGTGCAGTGCAACTTTATTACTTAACTATTCTGAAACCCACTTCATAGTGAACACCAAGTATGTAATATTACAGCATAATTAATTTGAATCAGCCAACATAAAAAGCCAAAAAAAAAAAAAAAAACATTGATAAATTGAAGGTTAACCAGAGAGTACATTTACAGATAGCCATTTAATACCTCTGAACATTGTTGGCAGTCAAATACTGACATTCTTCATACTTGTGTTATGCTGAGTTAACTACTGAATGTAAGCTGTACAAGACAACTTAACACTTACTAAGCAGCTAAAGTTACACTTTTAAAGTTTTTCAAGTCTAAAATATAACCAGATTTCCATAAGTTTATTTCCCCAAGTGTACTGATGGATTGACTGGAGCACGGAGGGGGCAGGTGAGGAAAAAAAATGCTGTATTCCTTTCTTCTTTCTCATCTTATTTAATAACTTAAGAAAGTCCTTTTTTATGTTGTAAGTTACTGAAAGTGACTGTTTTTGTTTAATCATCTTTATGTCTAAACAGATTAAGGGAGTTTTTTGTGCCAATCATAGCCTGTCTGATTTACATTCATTCCATCGGGCTATAAAGACTCATTGTGGTTTGATGGCTAACAATTTGACCTGCTTCCTGACACCCCCACACATACACACCTATCGCAGATGTAACATTAAAGTCTTGCAGTCAGAGTGACACAACAGACCTCAGACTAGATGCACTGTCTCTGTTAAGAGAGAGCAGACCTTCAGGGTGTGTGTTAAATAAAGTGAATTCACAATTCTTCACCGGCTTACACACTGACAGTAGCAGCTCCTCAAAGTGTAACACTGGTTTACTCAGACTGACAGGTACTGAAAGAAGACATCCTGGTTATGAAGATGATTAAGGAATCCTCTGTCAAGAAGCCCGAGCGTCACATTTTTCAATCCAAACTCTGCATCAACATACACAGAGCAAAGCAGGAGGGACGGCATGCCAGGCTGTAAACTTAACTTGATGAGTCTCTTAAGTGTTCACTCTTGATGCAACTTTCAAAAACCTTGGAGGGAATTTTGTTACGTAACCCCTGTGTGAAATAAACAGAATCCAAGATAGAAAAAAAAAAAAAATCCACAGTAAATAAGCTGTTTTGAGTTAAAAATCTGTCTTTCTCTCTCACTCCCTTCTTAAAGTCACAGGATGTTAGGAGGGGCTGCTGGTTGGTTTGTCTGTGATTGCTTGATTTGTTTTTAAGTTATTTCCTAAGTGTACATCATATGCAAAAAGTTTTTTTTTCAACCATTCCTGCTGCTTAAACTCAGATTATAAAAAAACAAAAGGAGTTTTAAATCAGTTCCCGTGGTACCAGAAGGTCGATTTCCAGGCTTTTCTGTTCTTCCTCACTGTCAACTGTCCTGTACCCAAGCAATGACATGGCTCCCTTACACACTTCCTGTATTCGTTTGACTTTTTCATGTGGTAGCGTGCTACGCCAAGCCTGGGACACATCAGCAGCATTTCTTGATGTAATCTTGAAGGCCTCTCTCTGGCTGCCTTTGCCCCTCCCGTGGGTCACATGGTAGATCCACTCTCCCAACTCTGGAGTCATTTCCAGACCTACAAACTCATAAATGTCATTCATCTCCTCGAGTGGGTTGCGAGCTACATCCTCATAACGGACCATTTTGTAGCGGCCCTCAAGAAAAGGTGGAGGCTTCAGGATGGCCCTCTCATTTATGCGAACGTGGCTGCGGCAGATCTCCTGCATGACTTTATATTGTAACTCAACTGTTGGGATGTTCTTTTGCTCTAACACGATGGCACTACCTCTTGCAAGGCCTTCAGCAACAGCTTCCCTAGACCTCAAAACAGCCCGGGGGTCTCGAACCAGGTGAATGATGCGGATATCCAAGTGAGGGTCTTGCAAGAGTGGATAGAGGGATTCTAGCTCCAAAAATCGCACCTCCTTTAAAACAACATGGCTGTAAGTGCTGCAGGCATCTTGTGCCAGCTGGAGACCCCGAGCATCACATGCCTTCTTGCACCTAGTCTGGTTGCTAAGCTGGTTTCGTGGTGTGAGAGGACAGGCAGGTGGTGAACACAAGGCTCGACTCTCAAACCACATGAACAAGGCGGAGACATTGTGCTGTTCTGGTAGGTAAGCCTCCATCACAGAGAAGTCACACTGAAACATGCCACGAAACAGATCCCTCACAGCCATACGAAGCACTTTCAAACCTTTATCAAACAGTATGTTCCACACATGCCAAGCAGGCTCCATGAGGTAGAACACAGACGGGTGCTGACTGAACGCCTGACCCAGGAAGGAGGAGCCAGATCGCCATGATGACAGCAGCAGAACGTGGACTTTGCGATCTGAGGGTGCATGACCACCGTGACTGAACTCCATATACCAGCTGAATAATAGCATCATTGCTGCCCCCTGCAGGATCATCAGGAATATCATAGTGCTGAGGTTCACTTTACGTGACCGCATGATGGCTGTGGATCACTATCAGCTCTATGAGCCCACAGATTTTCAGTGTGCCTTTTATTTTCCTTTTTCCTTTATACTGTTGAGAAGACAGGACTAGGAGGGACCAAGGATGACAAGAGAGAAAAGCTAATGATAGAGGAGAAGAGAACAAACCTGAATTAGAAAATATGACACAATGCACAAGTTGTTAGAATTACTTTTGAACCAGTTTTTAGGCTTATTAAGGTTCAAAATAAGCGCTAAAAATGAACAAAAAAATATTCACTGTGAAAATATGTACAAAACCCAATTCCATTAAAGTTGGGAAATTGTGATAAACATAAATAAAAACGGAATACAATGATTTGCAGATCCTTTTCAACCTATATTTAATTGAATACACTACAAAGACAAGAAATTTAATGTTCAAACTCATACTCTCATTTATTTATTTTTTTTGCAAATAATAATTAACCCAGAATTTCATGGCTGCAACACATGCCAAAGTAGTTGGGACAGGGGCATGTTTACCACTGTGTTACATCACCTTTCCTTTTAACAATACTCAATAAACATTTGGGAACTGAGGAGACTAGTTGTTGAAGCTTTCAAGGTGGAATTCTTTCCCATTCTTGCTTGATGTACAACTCCAGTTGTTCAACAGTCAGTTATTTTACGATGCATAGTGCACCACACATTTTCAATGTTGTTGATAAATGGCTTTCGCTTTTGCATAGTAGAGTTGCACTTACAGATGAAGCGACATACTGTATTTACTCACCGTGGTTTTCTGAAGTGTTCCTGAGCCCATGTGGTGATATCCGTTACACATTGATGTCGGTTTTTGATACAGTGCCACCTGAGGGATCGAAGGTCAGAGGCATTCAGTGTTGGTTTCCAGCCGTGCCGCTTACATGCAGTGATTTCTCCAGATTCTCTGAACCTTTTGATGATATTATGGACCGTAGATGTTGAAATCCCTAAATTTCTTGCAATTGTACTTTGAGAGATGTTGTTTTTAAACTGTTCGACTATTTTCTCACGCAGTTGTTCACAAAGTGCTGAACCTCGCCCCATCCTTGCTTGTGAAGGACTGAGAAATTTGGGGAAGTTGATTTTATACCCAGTCATGGCACCCACCAGTTTCCAATCAACTTGCTCACCTGTGGGATGTTCCAAATAGGTGTTTAATGAGCATTTCTCAAATTTCTCTTTTATTTGCCACCTTTCCTAACTTCTTTGGCACGTGTTGTAGCCATGAAATTCTGAGTTAATTATTATTTGAAAAAAAAAAAAAAAATTCATGAGTTTGAACATTAAATAGCTTGTCTTGTAGTGTATTCAATTAAATATAGGTTGAAAAGGATTTGCAAATCATTGTATTCTGTTTTTATTTATGTTTATCACAATTTCCCAACTTCAATGGAATTGGGTTTGTATATGGGGTAATTTTCTTTTTTTGTGATCAATTTTTTAAAATTAATTGATTGACTCAAATTAAACAAGACACATACCGTTATAAAAATAACGATTATAAAAATCTTACTCAAAATAAAAAAAAATCATAATTTGTTGATGTAATTCACATACTCCTGTACATGTGTATATAAGAAAAATAGAAGAAAAGTAAGATAAGTATAAGCAACCAGCACACCTTAGTGCTGCACCAGAGCAAACATGCTACAGGTCAGAATCTTTAAGAATTATACCAGTATCCATTATCAGTATCAGATTAAAGCTGGTTATACCCAAAGAGTGCAACAAGCTCAAAATCAGGTCCAAACTTTTTGATGACTTACCTTTGATACACTGGTGTTGAAAGTCCAGGTCTGGTATCCCGAACTTCTCAAAAGAACTTTGTGAATCTAAGATAACTGCTGCAAAACACAGCCCTACAGAGCTGAGCTGCTAAACCTGAAACAAACCCAACATGAGACTTCAACAGAAGAGAGCAAACCTTCCTGTGTTTTTTTTTTTTTTTTTTTTTGTCAATATAATGAATATTATTAATCAGACATGAATCGCTGGCTTGCCTTTTCTCCAATCATCATGAGGTAACACTGACAGGAATGATGGCAAACATAACTTGCTTAACTTCCTTGGTTGAGTGGCTAATATTTGCAAGAGGGCTGCTGATGGTACTGACCATATCCACAGATAACAAAGACAGGCACACAAAAAACATTTTACGGGCCATGTGACCTAGCATTTAAGAAAAGTAAATAAGACTGACCCTCCACACAGCAAACGCCCACAGCAAAAAAAAAAAAAAACCTATTGGTGTGTGTTTGTGTGAAAACGGGGTGTGTTTGGGCACACGTGTCACATTCTTAAGTAAAGGTTGGAAAAGAGACATAGATGGACAAAATCATGATATAAAGTTTGTCCTCCTTCAATTGAGAGGAGGCTTGGTACACAGAATGAGACGTGCAACAGGATTCTTACCCACAAGGAAATGGGTGGATGACATGACGTAGCCAGTCCTGTTTTGTTGCTTTTAGCCTAAGTCATGTATAAATAAAAATCCAGTCAATCAAAAATTGTTTTTAGCTGTTGAGCATATGTTCGTGTACGATTGTATGTGGATTGTATATACTTAATCCCATATTTTTCTTGGTTTTCAACCAAACTTGGATAAGCACATTTGGTGTGATCGTCCCAGGTACAATTTAAAAGTTCAAGCTTAGAATAAATGAACAAAAAGTGATGTAACTGTCCCCATTCAGGGGAAGGACAATAACATATTTACCTATCTGTCAGCTTTTTGACTTTTGAAGGTCAAGATGTAATATTTGTGTGAATTGCAATTCAGTTCACCTGTTTTACAACATGTTGGAATCTCTTCACTGTGGGTTCAACATGGGGCAAGATTTTTGTTTGTTTTAGTACATGAGCAAAGCACTCTGCAGCATTTAGTGAGAAACAGGAGGCACTTTCTTTTAACAGGCAGAAACCTTGAGCAGGACCAGACAGTTGAACAGCCATGTCTTGGGGGGAGAAAGAAAGAGATGGATAGACATGGACAACGACACCAACAACTTGTATAGACTTATTTTTACAGTGCCAACAAAAGTATGTTGGCTCTAACATAACCAGTGTTGAGATCAAATTTGGATAAATCTCATCTTTCCCTATTCTGAGCGGTTGGAGTGAATCTGTGAGACTATTTTCAGAGTTGTTTTCTCATTCAGAGAAATTTTAGTGCTCCTGTGGTACCATTTTCTTTTACCTTAGATCTACGTCGAAATGAGACAACTTGAAGACATGTAAAAGATCTCACTGTAAGACAGGGAGACAGTGGTCTCATTTTTGTCAGTGAGACATCTACATCTACTTTTTGTGTAGCAACATACAACATACAGTATGTCATCATCACTGTACAGTAGAGGTTGACTAATTACAGGTGTTTTCAGCAGCTGATGCCTACCCCACTACTGATAGAGCCGGTAACCCATGGCCAAGTGATCTGAAATGTTTCTAAAAAGGTCCTTGCCTTTCATTCAAAGTTGGTCCAGCAGGCTGATTGGAGTGATTCGGCTTAATCCAGAATCCCAGTACACCTGTCAGTTCCAGCGGATGACTGGATCCATCATAAACAAGGTCCTTCACCCATTAAACCGTGAATGTCAGCCTAGCCCCCCTGGACACAAGTACCAGCCTGTAAAACTGTCTGATATATAAACACCTTTGTCCCAGCAATCATCAGAAAGATCAGTAAGCCACAGGAATATAGCTATAATACTCTAGACACATATTATGCATTATTATTGACTATTTAAGGATTTTTTTTTACATCGCTTTCCTTTATCGTATTTTCTCTGTTGTGACATTTAAACCTGCCTTACTTACCCGATTTTTATGGCCTGATTTCAGTTCAATTTCTTTCCTTTTTTTTGTACCACTGTGCTTTTACTGATCGCTTTTTTGATCATGTTTTTATCTTGTTTTTAATGGGGGTTACCCTGTAGCACTGAGTACTGTTGTTGTTTTGATCTGTCATATTTTTGTCCTGTGCTTTTTCTTTATGTACAAATGGAGAAGACTCACTCACTGTAAACAAAACCATCTGTATGTAGAAATAAGTTACCTTGAACTGTAACTTCAAAATTTTATTGAGAAGTTCAAATTTTCAAATGATGTTCAAGTCTTAGCCAGTGGGTGGCGCCAAAACATAACTGAAGCAGTGGGATCATCTTGTCCTTTTCCTTTTTTTAAAAAACTGATGTATAAAAATTAAATCCACATGTAGCTCTGAACTAAAGGCAGCAGAACAAAAGAGCCAAAGGTGACATGTCAACATTTATTGTGTTCATTAGTACCATGTAGTTTCAGTTTGAGAAGTCCTGTTGAGATGAATACAAACTGACAGACCAGTGTGCTGAACCATCTTTACGGCACAAACATTATTAACTGAACTCTTAATTCAAAGTACAACACAATTTAAAAAAAAAAAAGACAAACAGAACAGGCACCAAAACTCACTGCAGTGGGCTATGTGGTCAGTGTGCAGGCATGACGTGAAATTACAGACAACCTTTTCCAGTCTTGCAATGAAACACTCAATCCACCATAAAATCAATAATACATTTCTGCTCTTGTCTGTTAAAAAAAAAAGAAAGGCTTCACTTACACACATGCACACACAAGCATCACACCCTGAGAGAACAGAGTGAACACTCTGTTCCACAGGCTCCATATGGATCCAACAGACACAGAGAACAGAAACAGATGCTCTTCTTCAGCTGCACTTACTCTGACAGTCTTATGTTATACTCTTCTTATTGAATGCAGTCTGTGTCAGCAACTGTTATCTGATCAGCCAGTTAAATTATTTGTGCAGAAATGCTTCCCTTTTGTCTCAGATGAAGCGAAACAAAACACAGGATTATGTTGTGTACAATGGTAATGGTTAAACATAATTGTATCCTGTTTGATCGAATTTGTCCCTTAAATGTTCAGGTGTCACCCTCAGAGAAATCATCAGCCACAGAACTGCAGTCCTGTTCTCCTCATGCTCACTGCTCTGTGACCCCATCCTTGAGAGGACCTGTTTCGAGTTTCCTGCAGAATTAATCCTCATGCATTTTGTGCACTGGTGTGTGGAAACACACCAGCTCTGTGACCCAGTCAATGCAAGCCAACTGCCAACAATACTACAGCAGAAACTTATTAAATATCTTACAATCCCTTTTTTTAAATGAGAAACATTGATATGGATGGATTTCGATGATTTGGAAACCACTTAAACCCTAAATTTAAAGGTGGGGTAGGCAGGATCTGAGGAAGTTTCAGTCTTTGTGAGAAATCTTGAATGTAAACACTACCCCTTCCAACCAGTTTTTCCCCTCAGCTCCTCCTCTCCCCTCCCTCTCTGCTCCAGCAAGCTCCGCCCAGACGCTCGTCCTCGCTTGTATCGTTACCTCCGCCAAGGAGGTTATGTTTTGGGTAGCGTTGGATTGTTTGTTTGTTTGTCTGTTAGCAACTTTACGGAGAACGTTACAGATGGATTGACCTGAAATTTTCACCAGATCCTGGATCCAGGATTTTTTTTAAGGATTCTTTGTCATTGTGAGAGAGGGCAAATTTTGGAATTTTTGCATTTAACTCTATAAAAATGGCCAGAGTCTTTAGTAAAAAATTACACAAAAGGATCTCAATGAGTTTTATGAGGTGTCAAAGGTTGATCCTGATCCAGACAAAATTCAGGATACTGTGATCCAGAACACACAAAAATAAGGGTGTCGTTGGAATTTTCAATGCTGAAAGATAACCAGTGAAGATACAAGGAAGTGTACACTTACAAATATTGCATAATAAATCATGCATTCATGTATCTAATATGATCTTTGTTGTTTTAGGAACATTATGTACAGTGAACATACCAGTTTAAACACAAATAAAAGTTACGTAATAAAAGACACGTAACAGTAAAAGTTTTGGTGTGAATCACAATTTAAGGGGGGACATGAGCTGATTGGCGGAGGTCTGCGCTCTCCGAGTGCTTTTCTAGTTTCAATTAATTTTAGATATAATGCAGATAAATATTTCAGATAATTGCAAATGGAGCCCAGTCAACGTAAAAGTAAAAAGCATTGCTGCTACTGTAGATGCCAACAGACTACCGGCAAACACAGTGTTTGCAGGACAACCAGGATAAAGTGACATATTCCAGGACCCAAGGTAAGCAGTTTTGCGGTGCTACAACACGCAGCAGGTCCCATTTGACAAGAAACACTTCTGTTACAGAAACTTGGCTTACTCTGTTAAAGCCGTTTACCTGTCCAACAGAAAGGTTACAGGGTCTGAGAAATCCAGAAGCGTCCCTCATTGTTTATGTTGGTGTTGACCCAACTTCTTCGCTCTTGTACGGTCTACCTCCCTTTTAAGTGCCTGTTATTCTGCCAGAGTCTCTGGTATTCACTTCGTTTTATTGCTTGTGTTTTCCGTACTTTCTGGTTGATTTCTACTGTCCGATGTTGTTGCATGCTAACTTGGTTTGGGCTCATGCACGTTATTGAAGGACGTGGAGTGTGCCTCACAACAAGAGGGAGCAGCGTCTGCCTCACAACCAATCAGCACTAAGGAGCAGTGTCTGCCTCACTACCAATCAGGTGGGGGGAGGCAGAGAATGGCTTTGATTACAGTCAGAAAGTGCGGCCGCTGAAAAACTTTAGAATGTTGACTACACAGGCATAAGAGAAACAGCAATATCGTTTTAATACCAAATGTCATCAATAACTAATCGCTATTGTCTGATATTAAAAGCTGTTTTTGTATATACAGTGGTCCCTACCTATAACGCGGCGCACTTTTTTTAGTGCAATTTTGCATGTTTTTTTTAAAAAATTAATTATTTTTATTTTACACAACGCATTGTGTTATGTGACCTCATCAGACATGCCGTGTCTCCTGTACAGCACAGAATGTGATCAGCTTGCCAAATTTACACAAATCTTCGATCTCTAGCAGTGTGATTCTGAAGTCCTGTATGTTTGCAAGTTTCTCCCCAACAAGACCCACAATGTCGACGAAACGTTCTGCACCGTCAAAGGAACCTGCGGTCACACCCAAAAGGCAGAGGAAGATGCTAACCATTGCACAAAAAGTTGGACTTCTTGGCATGCTAAAGGAAGTTAAAAGTTACACGGCTGTAGGGCGCCATTACGGAATAAATGAATCTTCTGTTCATTACATAAAGAAGGAGGAAAATAACATAAGGAGGGCAGCAGCACTAAGATTTAACAAGGATGCAAAAAGGGTTGTAACTGTCCGCAACAAGACCATCGTAAAGATGGAGTCTGCTTTAGCTTTGTGGATCAGTGACTGCAGGAAAAAGAACATTACGCTGGATACTAACATTATCCGCACAAAAGCTAAAAAGCTTGATTAAAATTTTGCTGACAGCGATGACGTCCATGACAGCGAGGAGCAGGATGATGCGGAGCCCAGGCCATCAACGAGTGCTTTTCACACAGAACCAAGCCCATTTAATGCCAGCAAGGGCTGGTTTGACAAATTTCAGAAATGCTTTGGACTTAAAGTGTTTCTCTGCATGGAGAGGCCGCCTCTGCAGATACCACTGGAGCAGAGGCATATGTGATCATATTTAAAGCGATCATCGAGGGAGGGGGATATAAGCCTGAACAAGTTTTTAATAGGGATGAGACAGGCTTATTTTGGAAACAAATGCCCTCTCGCACCTTTATAATGCAGGCCAAAGGTTATGTGTGGAAATGCTGCAGGCTTCGTGACAAAACAAGGGCTTTTTTATAGGTCAAAAAATCCAAGAGCCCTAAAACACAAAAATAAGAATGCGTTGCCTGTTTACTGGATGCACACTGCAAAGGCTTGGATGACAAAAGCGCTGAATCTTGATTGGTTCAAACAGTGTTTCATCCCAGGGGTCAAGCAGTATTTGAGAGGAAAAGAACTTGATTTAAAGTGCTTCTGCTTGTAGACAACGCCGGAGGCCATGCTGATGATTTGTCGGATGATGGTGTGCAAATCAAATTTCTGCCGCCAAACACTACATTGCGGATTCAGCCCATGGACAAAGGCATCATCCGTGCTTTCAAGGCTCTCTATACGTGCAACACCCTGCAACATCTTGTTGAGGCTACGGACTCTGATCAAGATTTCTCACTAAAGGCCTACTGGCATGAATACACCTCGCATCATGTCTCCAAAATATTCAGAGAGCCATTCAGGAGATGAGAACTGAAACTTTAAATGCCTGCTGGAAAAAAAGTGTGGCCAGAGACAGTTCAGAACCCTACCGGATGCTCTCTTGATGAGATCCATCACTCTGCGGTAGATGCAGCTGTGAATCTCGCTAAACAGCTCGGGGGAGATGGCTTTAATTATATCCTGATGACATTAATGCCCTGATTGATGCCCACTCACAACTGCTGACTGATGAAGATCTGGCAAAGATGGCAAAGCCACCAAGCGAGGACCAAGGAGAAGAGGATGAAGAGGACGCAAGTGTTGATAAAGATGAGTGGATGGACTAACACTTGATTGCTTGGCAACCATGGTGAGAATAGCCAATGAACTTTAGCAAGCTGCACAAGAATGGGACCCTTTGATGTTTCGTTCATAGAGACGAAATCGAAGGTAGCATGTCTGTTTATAAGAATCTTCTAGCCCAGAAGAAAAAAGAGCGCCAACAACTACCCATAAATATGCTCTTCACTCGGAAAAAGACACCTGCACCGACGCCTTCGGTGGAAAAAGATGCTACAGCGGAGCAGCGCCAGGACGAAGAGGCATGGTCAGAGGAACTGTGAAATGCTGGCTATTAATAATTTCTTATGTGTCCAACCTCGTAGTATGATCGTTAAAATTAAATTTGCTAGTTCTAAAAGCCATCATAATGATTTATAGGAATTAATAATTAATCAATAATTTTATTTCTCAAACAAATGTTTGGGCCTGAAAACAGGTTTTGATCTTTGGTTTCATTCTAATATGCTGGACTTATTTTTCAACTAAGGTTTGAACTTTGAGAGTGTATACACAGCAGAGAAAAGTGAGAAAATGTCAAAGCCTGTTTGAGAATAGTGTATTAAGTGTGTACTAAGGGGTTTTACAGCCTTAAAACATCTATAATAATTGTAACAAATAATGCTGACTACTTCACAGATTTCACCTATTGTGGATTATTTTTAGAACTCCCGCGATTAACAAGGGACCACTGTACACCACACACACACACACACACACACACACACACACACAAAAATGCTTCTTTAACGGAATCCTGCTTACCCCACCTTTAAAATCAGATAATACATAAACGAAAGGAGTTTCAGGTCAATTTAAAAAAATTTCCAAATTATTTCCATGCCCTGCTGTGAGATAGTTCAGTTGTTGACGAATAAGACTCTGATGGACAAAAATCTGTAAGGCACAGCCTATGTATTGATTGCAAATCAACTTTCTTGCCTTGGGCATTTAAGTGTACTCAATTAACTTTCACTGAAGATTTGAACAGGCTTCAGTCCAATGTAGTCTTTTGGTTTTAACACCTTTGTTAATGATGTTTTAACTGGTTTCTGGATGTTCTGTTTTAGCTGGAAGCCAGCTGAACTAGTATGGTTCCCGTGGTACCAGAAGGTCTATTTCCAGGCTTTTCTGTTCCTCTTCGCTGTCAACTGTCCTGTACCCAAGCAATGACATGGCCTCTTTACACACTTCCTGTATTCGTTTGACTTCTTCATGAGGCAGCGTGCTACGCCAAGCCTGGGACACATCAGCAGCATTTCTTGATGTTATATTGAAGGCCTCTCTCAGGCTGCCTTTGCCCCTCCCGTGGGTCACATGGTAGATCCACTCTCCCAACTCTGGAGTCATTTCCAGACCTACAAACTCATAAATGTCATTTATCTCCTCGAGTGGGTTGCGAGCAACATCCTCATAACGAACCATTCTGTAGCGGCCCTCAAGAAAAGGCGGAGGCTTCAGGATGGCCCTCTCATTTATGTGAACGTGGCTGCGGCAGATCTCCTGCATGACTTGATATTGTAACTCAACTGCTGGGATGTTCTTTTGCTCTAACACAATAGCATTATCTCTTGCAAGGCCTTCAGCAACAGCTTCCCTAGACCTCAAAACAGCCCGGGGGTCTCGAACCAGGTGAATGATGCGGATATCCAAGTAAGGGTCTTTCAAGAGTGGATAGAGGGATTCTAGCTCCAAAAATCGCACCTCCTTTAAAACAACATGGCTGTAAGTGCTGCAGGCGTCCTGTGCAAGCTGAAGACCCCGAGCATCACATGCCTTCTTGCACCTAGTTTGGTTGCTTAGCTGGTTTCGTGGTGTGAGAGGACAGGCAGGTGGTGAACACAAGGCTCGACTCTCAAACCACATGAATAAGGCGGAGACATTGTGCTGTTCTGGTAGGTAAGCCTCCATCACGGAGAGGTCACACTGAAACACGCTTCGTATCAGATCCCTCACAGCCATACGAAGCACTCGTGCGCCTGGTTTATGCAGTTTGGTCCACACATGCCAAGAAGGCTCCATGAGGTAGAACACAGACGGGTGCTGACTGAACGCCTGACCCAGGAAGGAGGAGCCAGATCGCCATGATGACAGCAGCAGAACGTGGACTTTGCAATCTGAGGGTGCATGACCACAGTGACTGAACTCCATATACCAGCTGAAGAATAGCACCATTGCTGCCCCCTGCAGGATCACCAGGAACATCATAGTGCTGAGGTTCACTTTATGTGACCGCATGATGGCTGTGGATCACTGTCAGCTCTAAGAGCCCAGAGATTTTCAATGTGTCTTTTATTTTCCTTTTTCCTCTTCAATGTAGAGAAGACAGGACTTGGTGGGTCAATAGAGGACAAAAGAGGAAAGGCTAATGACAGAGGAGAAGATAACAAAGTTGAATTAGAAATATGACACAATGCACAAGTTGTTAGAATTACTTTTGAACCAATTTTGATGCTTATTAAGGTTCACAATAGGCACTAAAAATGAAAAAAAAAAGGCACAGTGAAACTATGTACAAAACCCAATTCCACTGAAGTAGGTAAATTGTGATAAACATAAATAAAAGCAAAAGACATTGATTTGCAAATCCTTTTCAACCTATATTCAACTAAATATACTACAAAACTACTTTGACACTTGAAATGTTTACAACAACTTAAGTTAATAAAAATAAAACACACAACAAGTAGTGATTGTTTATGTATTACTACAGTTTTTGTGATGAGTCTTAATTTTACGGTCATTTTTGACAAGGAACATAAAAATGTTTAACATGAAACGAACACAACATGAGGGTTAAAATCAGGTGTAACTACCTGTCATCATTCAAAGCTGGCCAATAAGGGAATTAGGGCTTAGGGCCCCGCGGCCAGTAGGGGGCGCCCAAGAGCAAAAAAAAAAAAAAGTTAAAATATGTATATTTTTTGCATGTATGAGTGATGCTTTCTGTATGATCAAATATATTGTATTGTATAAATAAAATAAAGTAATAACATTTTAGTGCTGCTGCTGATGTAGGCCTACTGCTGATATGTCAAAACTCCGCTACCATGATAGGCCTCCTGCTGTGCAATGTGCACTGAGCATTCTGAATGTGTTACATTTTGAGATTATAAACCATATGTGGCACCCTGAACATTATTCAACAGTCATTCATTAGTATTATTTGTATGGTTGCATTGGTATTATTTATGTTATTACCTATGCCACCCCCTTAAATATGTAAAGACATGTCCGGGGCATTAAATTTATACTGTAGTGGGTGTGTGAATGATCAACAATTGATATTTTTGGCAGAAATAGAGGGCCCTAAAATCAAATTTTGCTTAGGGCCTCATTAAGGCTTGGGCCGGCTCTGTCATCATTCGTCAGTTTTTGGTTGTCCATCCATTTTTTTCCTTTACCGTGAAGTTGAATTCAGGCGGAGCTGATGTTCGCTTATGAGTTTCCTCCCGGTATAATAACGATCAGAACGCCTCCGAAGATAGCGCTACAGTAAAGGTCGGTAAAATCAACAGGTTCATTTAAGCCCAGATAAGTTTAAAGAATTAAAAGAGGAAAAGAATAAAGGAAGAAGATCCAATATGCAGCCCCTTTTAATTACTAGCAGCTTACGAGGTATGTGTATTTTTGTCTAGTTTGTGTCGCGATTCACACCTCCTAGCTTAAATGAATGAAGTGCTATGCATTACGCGCCTACATTTCTATGCAATGAGAACGTTAATAGTATGCAGTATATGTGTGTTTTACACGCAGTTTTATATGCATGGGTTAGGAAATTCGTAGTATGAATCGAATTTGATTAACTATGTTGTGTTATATGGCTTGGAAGCTACATTTGTGATGGCAGCCTTTTCATTCAATTTATTGTGTATTTGTTTCCACTTATCTTCACACACATCTCACAGGATGGGTCTCGGACCCCGTTTTTTAATCAAGATCTTGTGACTCGTGCTGTTATTGGAGGGATCTGCTTCAGGTACTGCCAGACGCCCATCTCTTCTACCTCTCTGTGAGGTGGTCAGTTTTAAGCGAGGCCACTTTCTATTTCAAATAAATTGTGAAACACAAAAATGTATTTTCTTATGGTAATTAGAAGACGTTGGGAGGGGAATCATAGAGCACACAAAATGAATTCAGGGAAGATATTCATTTTTACAATGGAAATACGGACTTAAAGAGTTAGGGAGGCTGGTCCATCTGTCTAGATCTGATTCAACTGCATGCCAAATTCTTAAGTAGTTTTGGAAAATAATGCAGTTCAGGGTCTGGAAAATATGAACTCCAAAATATTTAAATTGTTGTACAACAGGTGTATAATATTATATGGAAATTGTTGTGCTTTAGCCTGTCATTAAGGGGTAATAAGGCATTCCAATTAATTTTGAAATCAGATAGATTGCCAAACTCACTACAGATGTTGAGCAGAGTATTAAGGGATTGGACCGGATTCTCCATAAATACAAGCACATCATCAGCATTTAAAGCCAGATGATGAGAGGAACGGCCAACTGAGATGGGCTGCATGGTAGTAGCCTGGCTGGGCCATCCTGTTGCGTGAATCACTTGATGTTCCTTCCTTCTGGTGGGAAGGAACATCAAGTAATTCACGCAACAGGATGGCCCAGCCAGGCTAGCATGGTAGCAGATTGGCAGATCATTTGTGCTCGGGGTCAGGGTTATGGGGTAATTTTCTATTAATTTTGACATCATGATGTTTTCAAATTAGGGCTGGGCAATATGGACCAAAAGTCATATCCGATATATTTAGGCTGAATATCAATTTATGATATATATCCCGATATTGTTATCGAAAAGTGAGAGCAAATGTTTAGTCACAGTCAAAGCCAAATATGACATGTCACAAGTGGTTCTACTTAAACTGGCTGGATGAAATTATGCTCAGCTGTTCAAAGAACAATAAAATTTTAACATTGTAAAACCACAGGAGTACCTTTGTTTTTAAAATTGGGGTTCCATAACGTACACATTTAAATGAAAAATATATCTTAAATAAATAAAAAAAAAGCCCATAGTAAAATAGGCCAACCATTTTCTAAAATAAAATTATTTCATATATGAGAAAAGCCTCAACATTTTAACAACTATAAATAGCCTATTAAAATCAAATAGCAGATTTTCTTTTTCTCTCTAACAAATCCACAGATGCAAACAACAAACATTACAAGGGTAGAAATAATCAGCGGTGCCGCCGGCTTGGAAGGTTGAAATGCATACACGTTGTCCAGGTTTAGATGGGTTAAAGATTTTGGGCTCTATTTTCATGTACGCCGGGGACGCGACGGAGGGTGGCGGACCCTGCGCAGTTGTATTTTCGTCTGGCGGAGCCTGGCATACAGCCAGTTTGGTATTTTCGTAGACTGAGGCGCACCGAGATCTGCTCAGCTGGGCGTGGTGGCCTGGCAGGGGGAGGTGTCGACAGAATCAGCAGGCGCAGTGACATTTTCGCGCCCGCCACCGGCACATAAAGTGCACTGAAAGCTCGCTGATTTAGCTTTCAGCGCAGGCGGAGTGCAGCTGGTCTAGTGGTATTTTGGTTGACCGGCAGCGTATCGGCATACCTCACCGACAGGTTTCCACAGTGTCAGGCACATTTCAATGCAATAAATAATTATCAACAACTAATAATCTGAGTCAGCCCATTTAGATCTATATCGATATATTCTGATCTGATGAGCATGTTTGACACGGGTTTGGACACACAACCGGACCGAATCAACACAGCTGAAACTGCATTAAATTAAATTAAATATCTAGTAAATAGACACACATGATGAAGTTAACAAAATATGTAATTTGTCTCCCTCCTTTTCTTTCTTCCTCTTCCTCTTATTTCTCGTGCAGCTCGACCTGGACATGTCTCTGTGTCCTCTCTCCGTCCTGCTGCAGCGGCGGCTGAACAGATGATTTGTTTCAGTGATCAGATGAGTTATTTTCTTTAAGCCTACATACAAATATTCTAATATTCAGTTTTATGAGCCAAATTTATTTTATATGCCAACATCTATGAAAGAAAGAGCCAGGTGACGGAGCGTGATGCGTCATTACGCACAGATGGTTCCGATTTCAATGCCATTTTTGGAATTTATATTGTGATTTGTGCACACAACCCACCTTTGTCACGTGAGGTTTGAACATATGCAACTTTATGTGAGTGTCTTTATTTGTGGAAAAGGTTGTTTGTCTTACCAGTGGGTCCAAACTTACACACACCAAATCCATCTGTGCTCATATGAGAGAGTGTGAAGGACACCCTCTGCAGCGCTTTCAGCGACACTTGTTGAGGAGCTGCCTTCTGTCGCCATCGTGTGGCATTACTGTCTTCAGACATCTCTTAATCTCTGTGACTACTTCACGAAAATTGTAATACGCCTCATCTGTGGCGGATTTAAAGGCGAGGAGAGGAGCTGATGTTATTGGTTAATACAGGTCTCGGCTGTGTTAAACCCACTCCACGCCCTCGCTACGACCTCGCCGGCGAGGCATGAAAATAGAGCCCTTTGTGTGAGATCCAGCCTGTCAACAACAGTATCTGATATCTGTGTATGGATATATGCGAAATGGCCCAATTCCATATCTCATTAAAACATTTATTGATATATATTTCTATACCGATATATCGCCCAGTCCTATTTCAAATACAAAAATAATGGTCATAAAAATCATACTCATAATTTATAAAAAAAATTGTTGGCATTATAAACATAGTTCATGTATGTGGTGCGGTCACATAATCTTGTATATGTGTATATCAGAAAACTAGAAGAAAAGTAAGATAAGTATAAGCAACCAGCACATCTTAGCGCTGCACTAGAGCAAACACAGGTCAGAATCTTCAAGAATTATACAAGTATCCATTATCAGTATCAGATAGAAGCTGGTTATACCCAAAGACTGCAACAAGCTAAAATCAGGTCTAAACTTTTTGATGACTTACCTTTGATACACTGATGTTGAAAGTCCAGGTCTGGTATCCTGACCTCCTTAAAGAAGTCTGTGAATCTAAGATTACTGCTGCAAAACACAGCCCTATAGATCTGAGCTGCTAAACCTGAAACAAAACCAACATGTAACTTCAACAGAAGAGAGCATACACACCTACCTGTTTTTTGTTCTGTTTTGTTTTTTTTTTTTTTGTTACTTAATGAAAATTATTTATTAGGCATTACTCACAGGCTTCCCTTTTCTCCATGATCGTCATGAGGTGACACTGACAGAGGAGTGATGGTAATAACTTGCTTGACAGGTCTGTAATCATAACTGTGGTTGAAAGGCTAATATTTGTAAGAGGGCTGCTGAAAGTAATGATACACTACAATCACAGGCTATTTTATACACCGGATGCAAAGCACCATTACTAGGCAAACATATTTGTCTATTAATAAGGTGTGGTGTTCTGTAACGGTTACTGCCATTTTAAGGACAATCACAGGGGACTATGCCATAGACCTGCATAAACTTGTTTGTTCACTTGAGGCACGATTTTATTTGGATGGTGCGTTCATGTATTTGCTAACACAGTAAAAAGGGTTTATTACTATAACATGAGACTTTGGGACTCATCTCCTTGCATCATGGCAAGTCTTGAGTTTGGGGCCAATCTTTGGATGTTAAAAGTTTACTGCTATATCTTGCATTTTTGCATAACCTCATCCTCACACTGGCCAGAAACCATAGCCTGGGACATCATCAAGCTCTCTATTAGGCACTATCTTTGATGCACACTCTCACAGATACATGCAAAAACAGACACATGATCCCAATTGAGGCTGGTGCTTTATTTGTCTTCAAACATAACCACTGACCATATCCACAGATAACAAAGACTGAGGCACACAAAATACATTTTACGTTAAGAAAAGTAAATAAAAAGTATACTTTGACAGATGGTCTGGTCTCCCTTTATTCCTGGTAGGTCGTGTTAGGTTGGTTAAAATGGTTATCTTACCTAAGTTTCTGTATCTGTTTTCACATATCCCCATCCTTATTAAGAAGCCTTTTTTCAGGTCACTTGATCAATTGATAAGTTCCTTCCTTTGGGGCAATAAAAGTCCAAGCATTAGAAGATCTATTCTGCAACTCCCAAAGGCTCTTGGTGGCTTAGTACTGCCCGATTTCTTACATTATTACTGGTCCTGTAATGTTCAGAAACTTTTATTTTGGATTACCAACCCAGCAGATGTAGAGTGCCCAGCATGGGTTCCTTTAAATTTTCTCTTCACTCCCTGGTTTGCTCTCAACTCCCCATTATCTGCCTCTAAATTTACCTTAAACCCTGTGGTAAACAACTCTGTTAAAATCTGGATCCAATTTAGGAAAAGTTTGGGCCTCCATAGAGCCTCAGACCTCGCCCCCATTGTGAATAATCATTTATTTCAGCCCTCTTGCACAGACTTGGCCTTTCGGGCTTGGTCTGACAAAGGGATAACCAAACTTAAGGACCTTTACAACCAAGGAACATTCATGTTTTTTTCTGAGATCTCAACGAAATTTGATCCGCCTTAATTCCACCTATTTCGTTTCTTTCAGGCAAGGCATTTTATTCAGAGTCAGAACCCCAAATTCCCTAGTCAGCCCCTGGAAACTTTGATAGACTCATTTTTGGCACTTGATCCGAAACAAAAACGGTTAATCTCATGTTTCTACAGCCGTATTAACTCTGCAACCGACACCCCAGCATCCGGTCCCAAGGATTCTGACTGCCTGAGGATTACTGGCAACAGGTCTAAGGGTTAGTTCACTCCTCTTCTATCTGTGCCCGGCACAGCCTCTTGCAGTGTAAATTCATACACAGGGTTCATTACACTAATGCGAGGCTATCACGGATGTATCCCAATGTATCTGACTTGTGTAACAGGTGCCATCAATCTCCTGCCGACCATTCCCATATGTCTTGCCCCTGGCTCGCCACATTTTGGTCTGAAATCTTAGTCACTCTGAGCAGAGCATACAACACTACTATTTCTCCTGATCCTCTTTTGGCCCTTTTTGGTTCCCCCTCTTGCCTCTTGCCTCTAAAATCATGCAAACTGTTCTTGCCTTAACCACCCTATTGGCCAGGCGACTCATACTTTTTAATTGGAAGCTCCCTCAACCTCCATCTCACAACAGGTGGATGAAAGAGGTGTTATTGTCCATTAAACTTGAAAAGCTCAGATTCTCCCTCAAGGGTTCCTTAGGACATTTTGAAAATACTTGGAGACCGCTCCTGAATCATATCAATCTTTTTTTGTTTGTTTTAGTTTATTTTATTTACTTTTTTCATTATTTTTTAAATGTAATTTTATTTCATTTATTTTCCTTTTATAAGGGTGTGTAAACATTCTGTATTTCATGAGCCTGTTTACTACATGTACTATTGTCCTCTTTGAAAGGGGTGGGAATGTGGGAGGGATAAAAAAAAAAAAACGGGGGATAAATGACCGATTGGAAGTCCTTACGACCATATTGTATTATCTCGCTACTGTGCACCTGCTTCCAATAAAGAAAGTTATCAAAAAAAAAGGAAAATAATTAAGACTGACCCTCCTTGAAAAGAGACTGAAGGCTCACACATGCTGCAAAGCCCCTAGGTGTGCAGTGCAACTTTATTACTTAACTATTCTGAAACCCACTTCATAGTGAACACCAAGTATGTAATATTACAGCATAATTAATTTGAATCAGCCAACATAAAAAGCCAAAAAAAAAAAAAAAAACATTGATAAATTGAAGGTTAACCAGAGAGTACATTTACAGATAGCCATTTAAAACCTCTGAACATTGTTGGCAGTCAAATACTGACATTCTTCATACTTGTGTTATGCTGAGTTAACTACTGAATGTAAGCTGTACAAGACAACTTAACACTTACTAAGCAGCTAAAGTTACACTTTTAAAGTTTTTCAAGTCTAAAATATAACCAGATTTCCATAAGTTTATTTCCCCAAGTGTACTGATGGATTGACTGGAGCACGGAGGGGGCAGGTGAGGAAAAAAAATGCTGTATTCCTTTCTTCTTTCTCATCTTATTTAATAACTTAAGAAAGTCCTTTTTTATGTTGTAAGTTACTGAAAGTGACTGTTTTTGTTTAATCATCTTTATGTCTAAACAGATTAAGGGAGTTTTTTGTGCCAATCATAGCCTGTCTGATTTACATTCATTCCATCGGGCTATAAAGACTCATTGTGGTTTGATGGCTAACAATTTGACCTGCTTCCTGACACCCCCACACATACACACCTATCGCAGATGTAACATTAAAGTCTTGCAGTCAGAGTGACACAACAGACCTCAGACTAGATGCACTGTCTCTGTTAAGAGAGAGCAGACCTTCAGGGTGTGTGTTAAATAAAGTGAATTCACAATTCTTCACCGGCTTACACACTGACAGTAGCAGCTCCTCAAAGTGTAACACTGGTTTACTCAGACTGACAGGTACTGAAAGAAGACATCCTGGTTATGAAGATGATTAAGGAATCCTCTGTCAAGAAGCCCGAGCGTCACATTTTTCAATCCAAACTCTGCATCAACATACACAGAGCAAAGCAGGAGGGACGGCATGCCAGGCTGTAAACTTAACTTGATGAGTCTCTTAAGTGTTCACTCCTGATGCAACTTTCAAAAACCTTGGAGGGAATTTTGTTCCGTAACCCCTGTGTGAAATAAACAGAATCCAAGATAGAAAAAAAAAAAAATCCACAGTAAATAAGCTGTTTTGAGTTAAAAATCTGTCTTTCTCTCTCACTCCCTTCTTAAAGTCACAGGATGTTAGGAGGGGCTGCTGGTTGGTTTGTCTGTGATTGCTTGATTTGTTTTTAAGTTATTTCCTAAGTGTACATCATATGCAAAAAGTTTTTTTTTTTTCAACCATTCCTGCTGCTTAAACTCAGATTATAAAAAAACAAAAGGAGTTTTAAATCAGTTCCCGTGGTACCAGAAGGTCGATTTCCAGGCTTTTCTGTTCTTCCTCACTGTCAACTGTCCTGTACCCAAGCAATGACATGGCTCCCTTACACACTTCCTGTATTCGTTTGACTTTTTCATGTGGTAGCGTGCTACGCCAAGCCTGGGACACATCAGCAGCATTTCTTGATGTAATCTTGAAGGCCTCTCTCTGGCTGCCTTTGCCCCTCCCGTGGGTCACATGGTAGATCCACTCTCCCAACTCTGGAGTCATTTCCAGACCTACAAACTCATAAATGTCATTCATCTCCTCGAGTGGGTTGCGAGCTACATCCTCATAACGGACCATTTTGTAGCGGCCCTCAAGAAAAGGTGGAGGCTTCAGGATGGCCCTCTCATTTATGCGCACATGGCTGCGGCAGATCTCCTGCATGACTTTATATTGTAACTCAACTGCTGGGATGTTCTTTTGCTCTAACACGATGGCACTACCTCTTGCAAGGCCTTCAGCAACAGCTTCCCTAGACCTCAAAACAGCCCGGGGGTCTCGAACCAGGTGAATGATGCGGATATCCAAGTGAGGGTCTTGCAAGAGTGGATAGAGGGATTCTAGCTCCAAAAATCGCACCTCCTTTAAAACAACATGGCTGTAAGTGCTGCAGGCATCTTGTGCCAGCTGGAGACCCCGAGCATCACATGCCTTCTTGCACCTAGTCTGGTTGCTAAGCTGGTTTCGTGGTGTGAGAGGACAGGCAGGTGGTGAACACAAGGCTCGACTCTCAAACCACATGAACAAGGCGGAGACATTGTGCTGTTCTGGTAGGTAAGCCTCCATCACAGAGAAGTCACACTGAAACATGCCACGAAACAGATCCCTCACAGCCATACGAAGCACTTTCAAACCTTTATCAAACAGTATGTTCCACACATGCCAAGCAGGCTCCATGAGGTAGAACACAGACGGGTGCTGACTGAACGCCTGACCCAGGAAGGAGGAGCCAGATCGCCATGATGACAGCAGCAGAACGTGGACTTTGCGATCTGAGGGTGCATGACCACCGTGACTGAACTCCATATACCAGCTGAATAATAGCATCATTGCTGCCCCCTGCAGGATCATCAGGAATATCATAGTGCTGAGGTTCACTTTACGTGACCGCATGATGGCTGTGGATCACTATCAGCTCTATGAGCCCACAGATTTTCAGTGTGCCTTTTATTTTCCTTTTTCCTTTATACTGTTGAGAAGACAGGACTAGGAGGGACCAAGGATGACAAGAGAGAAAAGCTAATGATAGAGGAGAAGAGAACAAACCTGAATTAGAAAATATGACACAATGCACAAGTTGTTAGAATTACTTTTGAACCAGTTTTTAGGCTTATTAAGGTTCAAAATAAGCGCTAAAAATGAACAAAAAAATATTCACTGTGAAAATATGTACAAAACCCAATTCCATTAAAGTTGGGAAATTGTGATAAACATAAATAAAAACGGAATACAATGATTTGCAGATCCTTTTCAACCTATATTTAATTGAATACACTACAAAGACAAGAAATTTAATGTTCAAACTCATACTCTCATTTATTTATTTTTTTTGCAAATAATAATTAACCCAGAATTTCATGGCTGCAACACATGCCAAAGTAGTTGGGACAGGGGCATGTTTACCACTGTGTTACATCACCTTTCCTTTTAACAATACTCAATAAACATTTGGGAACTGAGGAGACTAGTTGTTGAAGCTTTCAAGGTGGAATTCTTTCCCATTCTTGCTTGATGTACAACTCCAGTTGTTCAACAGTCAGTTATTTTACGATGCATAGTGCACCACACATTTTCAATGTTGTTGATAAATGGCTTTCGCTTTTGCATAGTAGAGTTGCACTTACAGATGAAGCGACATACTGTATTTACTCACCGTGGTTTTCTGAAGTGTTCCTGAGCCCATGTGGTGATATCCGTTACACATTGATGTCGGTTTTTGATACAGTGCCACCTGAGGGATCGAAGGTCACAGGCATTCAGTGTTGGTTTCCAGCCGTGCCGCTTACATGCAGTGATTTCTCCAGATTCTCTGAACCTTTTGATGATATTATGGACCGTAGATGTTGAAATCCCTAAATTTCTTGCAATTGTACTTTGAGAGATGTTGTTTTTAAACTGTTCGACTATTTTCTCACGCAGTTGTTCACAAAGTGCTGAACCTCGCCCCATCCTTGCTTGTGAATGACTGAGAAATTTGGGGAAGTTGATTTTATACCCAGTCATGGCACCCACCAGTTTCCAATCAACTTGCTCACCTGTGGGATGTTCCAAATAGGTGTTTAATGAGCATTTCTCAAATTTCTCTTTTATTTGCCACCTTTCCTAACTTCTTTGGCACGTGTTGTAGCCATGAAATTCTGAGTTAATTATTATTTGCAAAAAAAAAAAAAAATTCATGAGTTTGAACATTAAATAGCTTGTCTTGTAGTGTATTCAATTAAATATAGGTTGAAAAGGATTTGCAAATCATTGTATTCTGTTTTTATTTATGTTTATCACAATTTCCCAACTTCAATGGAATTGGGTTTGTATATGGGGTAATTTTCTTTTTTTGTGATCAATTTTTTAAAATTAATTGATTGACTCAAATTAAACAAGACACATACCGTTATAAAAATAACGATTATAAAAATCTTACTCAAAATAAAAAAAAATCATAATTTGTTGATGTAATTCACATACTCCTGTACATGTGTATATAAGAAAAATAGAAGAAAAGTAAGATAAGTATAAGCAACCAGCACACCTTAGTGCTGCACCAGAGCAAACATGCTACAGGTCAGAATCTTTAAGAATTATACCAGTATCCATTATCAGTATCAGATTAAAGCTGGTTATACCCAAAGAGTGCAACAAGCTCAAAATCAGGTCCAAACTTTTTGATGACTTACCTTTGATACACTGGTGTTGAAAGTCCAGGTCTGGTATCCCGAACTTCTCAAAAGAACTTTATGAATCTAAGATAACTGCTGCAAAACACAGCCCTAGAGATCTGAGCTGCTAAACCTGAAACAAACCCAACATGAGACTTCAACAGAAGAGAGCAAACCTTCCTGTGTTTTTTTTTTGTTTTTTTTTGTCAATATAATGAATATTATTAATCAGACATGAATCGCTGGCTTGCCTTTTCTCCAATCATCATGAGGTAACACTGACAGGAATGATGGCAAACATAACTTGCTTAACTTCCTTGGTTGAGTGGCTAATATTTGCAAGAGGGCTGCTGATGGTACTGACCATATCCACAGATAACAAAGACAGGCACACAAAAAACATTTTACGGGCCATGTGACCTAGCATTTAAGAAAAGTAAATAAGACTGACCCTCCACACAGCAAACGCCCACAGCAAAAAAAAAAAAAAACCTATTGGTGTGTGTTTGTGTGAAAACGGGGTGTGTTTGGGCACACGTGTCACATTCTTAAGTAAAGGTTGGAAAAGAGACATAGATGGACAAAATCATGATATAAAGTTTGTCCTCCTTCAATTTAGAGGAGGCTTGGTACACAGAATGAGACGTGCAACAGGATTCTTCCCCACGAGGAAATGGGTGGATGACATGACGTAGCCAGTCCTGTTTTGTTGCTTCATAGCCTAAGTCATGTATAAATAAAAATCCAGTCAATCAAAAATTGTTTTTAGCTGTTGAGCATATGTTCGTGTACGATTGTATGTGGATTGTATATACTTAATCCCATATTTTTCTTGGTTTTCAACCAAACTTGGATAAGCACATTTGGTGTGATCGTCCCAGGTACAATTTAAAAGTTCAAGCTTAGAATAAATGAACAAAAAGTGATGTAACTGTCCCCATTCAGGGGAAGGACAATAACATATTTACCTATCTGTCAGCTTTTTGACTTTTGAAGGTCAAGATGTAATATTTGTGTGAATTGCAATTCAGTTCACCTGTTTTACAACATGTTGGAATCTCTTCACTGTGGGTTCAACATGGGGCAAGATTTTTGTTTGTTTTAGTACATGAGCAAAGCACTCTGCAGCATTTAGTGAGAAACAGGAGGCACTTTCTTTTAACAGGCAGAAACCTTGAGCAGGACCAGACAGTTGAACAGCCATGTCTTGGGGGGAGAAAGAAAGAGATGGATAGACACAGACAATGACACCAACAACTTGTATAGACTTATTTTTACAGTGCCAACAAAAGTATGTTGGCTCTAACATAACCAGTGTTGAGATCAAATTTGGATAAATCTCATCTTTCCCTATTCTGAGCGGTTGGAGTGAATCTGTGAGACTATTTTCAGAGTTGTTTTCTCATTCAGAGAAATTTTAGTGCTCCTGTGGTACCATTTTCTTTTACCTGAGATCTATGTCGAAATGAGACAACTCGAAGACATGTAAAAGATCTCACTGTAAGACAGGGAGACAGTGGTCTCATTTTTGTCAGTAATACATCTACATCTACTTTTTGTGTAGCAACATACAGTATGTCATCATCACTGTACAGTAGAGGTTGACTAATTACAGGTGTTTTCAGCAGCTGATGCCTACCCCACTACTGATAGAGCTGGTAACCCATGGCCAAGTGATCTGAAACGTTTCTAAAAAGGTCCTTGCCTTTCATTGCCTTTCAAGTTGGTCCAGCAGGCTGATTGGAGTGATTCGGCTTAATCCAGAATCCCAGTACACCAGTCAGTTCCAGCGGATGACTGGATCCATCATAAACAAGGTCCTTCACCCATTAAACCGTGAATGTCAGCCTAGCCCCCCTGGACACAAGTACCAGCCTGTTAAACTGTCTGATATATAAACACCTTTGTCCCAGCAATCATCAGAGAGATTAGTAAGCCACAGGAATATAGCTATAATACTCTAGACACATATTATGCCTTATTATTGACATCTTAAGGATTTTTTTACATCGCTTTCCATTATAGTGTTTTCTCTGTTGTGACATTTAAACCTGCTTTACTTACCAGATTTTTATGGCCTGATTTTAGTTCAATTTCTTTCCGTTTTTTGTACCACTGTGCTTTTACTGATCGCTTTTTTGATCATGTTTTATCTTGTTTTTAATGGGGGTTACCCTGTAGCACTGAGTACTGTTGTTGTTTTGATCTGTCACATTTTTGTCCTGTGCTTTTTGTTTATGTACAAATGGAGCAGACTCACTCACTGTAAACAAAACCATCTGTATGTAGAAATAAGTTACCTTGAACTGTAACTTCAAAATTTTATTGAGAAGTTCAAATTTTCAAATGATGTTCAAGTCTTAGCCAGTGGGTGGCGCCAAAACATAACTGAAGCAGTGGGATCATCTTGTCCTTTTCCTTTTCCTTTTTTTTTTTTAACTGATGTATAAAAATTGAATCCACATGTAGCTCTGAACTAAAGGCAGCAGAACAAAAGAGCCAAAGGTGACATGTTAACATTTATTGTGTTCATTAGTACCATGTAGTTTCAGTTTGAGAAGTCCTGTTGAGATGAATACAAATTGACAGACCAGTGAGCTGAACCATCTTTACGGCACAAACATCAATAACTGAACTCTTAATTCAAAGTACAACACAATTAAAAAAAAAAAAAAGACAAACAGAACAGGCACCAAAACTCACTGCAGTGGGCTATGTGGTCAGTGTGCAGGCATGACGTAAAATTACAGACGACTTTTTTTCAATCCTACAATGAAACACTCAGTCAACCATAAAATCAATAATACATTTCTGCTCTTGTCTGTTAAAAAAAAAGAAAGGCTTCACTTACACGCATGCACACACAAGCATCACACCCTGAGAGAACAGAGTGTACTGAGTGAACACTCTGTTCCACAGGCTCCATATGGATCCAGCAGACACAGAGAACAGAAACAGATGCTCTTCTTCAGCTGCACTTACTCTGACAGTCTTATGTTATACTCTTCTTATTGAATGCAGTCTGTGTCAACAACTGTTATCTAATCAGCCTGTAAAATTATTTGTGCAGAAATGCTTCCCTTTTGTCTCAGATGAAGCTAAACAAAACACAGGATTATGTTGTGTACAATGGTAATGGTTAAACATAACTGTGTCCTGTTTGATCGAATTTGTCCCTTAAATGTTCAGGTGTCACCCTCAGAGAAATCATCAGCCACAGAACTGCAGTCCTGTTCTCCTCATGCTCACTGCTCTGTGACCCCATCCTTGGGAGGACCTGTTTCGAGTTTCCTGCAGAATTAATCCTCATGCATTTTGTGCACCGGTGTGTGGAAACACACCAGCTCTGTGACCCAGTTCCATACTGCGTTACTTTTGTTATGTTGCTTAAGACTTACACATCACAAGAACAGAAGTCTATGAAAACCAACTGCCAGCAGTACTGAGGCAGAAACTTATTAAATATTTTACAATCCCTTTTTCTCAATGTGAAACATCAATATGGATGGATTTCAATGATTTGCAAAGCACTTAAACCCTCATTTTAAGAGGAAATAGAGTGAAGGCAACATATCAAGTGTTGAAACTGAAGAATTATATTGCTTCTTTTGAAAAACATATGCTTATTTTGTCAATTTTAAAATGCATTTCAAAAAGTTATGATCAGGACATTTTACGATTAGATAGCATCGCAGCCCAATGGTAAGATGACAGCAGTCGAATCTGGCAGGGGTCTGGCAGTGCCTTGCTCAACAATACAGGGCCTCGACATTTAAGGTCTTTCCTGAAAAATGTCTGGACTTCAGCATTTGTGAATGCAGTCTGAAAGCGGTTTAAACTGCACTGTTACATCCTCGAACCAAAACAGATGCCCACTTTTGAAATGAGCACTCCTTTCCTCTTTAGAGCAGAGCTTGTAGAGTCCATGATTTCCAAGAAGAATGACAAATTTGGATGCTGTATATCATAGGACAGTTTTTCTCTGTCAAAAAAAGGCGTGTTCTTTAAGAGGTGGTCAGTATTTCTGAATAATGTTTACATGTAGTTTCCTCTTTTCATGATACAGTTTTAACCTGCATTTGTGGATGCAGCGATGAACTGTGTTCACAGAGAATGGATTCATTTCTTTATTTCTGAGAGACTCCGCACCTCTGCTTTGTCCTTTTAGGTCCAAGTCCTGTTACTGACTGGTTACTGTTGCATATTAATCACTATTCACTATAATCTTAGTTGTTTCAAAAGAACTTTGAATCCAGTATCGGCTTTAAGATATCCAAATCTGTTTTAATCAAAATTATGTACAGCATCCTAACGTCTTCTTCATTTTGTAATTAAAACATATGACGTAGGATGTGACTGGGGCACAGCTCAGCGTGAGCAAAATAGACAGGGAATAGAAGATGATGCAATAAAACTTTTTATGGGAGTGAATTGATCATAAATGCTGTGAAGCTTTCAACTTATTGACATAGTAGAGAGGACTGTCAAGTATCTTTCCAGGGAGCATTCAGACATTCTTAATTTTGTAATATTCACAGAAAATGTCTCTAAAGATATAAATTAGCTTGATTTATTGTACCACTAACAGAAAGCCCTTTACCTCAACTATTCTTAAACTCACTTCATCGTAAACACCAGGTATGTAATATTACAACATAATCAATTTGAATCAGCCAACACAAAAAGCCAAATAAAAAACAAACATTGATAAATAGAAGGTTATCCAGCAAGTACATTTACAGATAGCCATTTAAAACCACTGAACATTGTTGGCAGTCAAATACTGACATTCTTCATACTTGATCTACGCTGAGTTAACTACTGAATGTAAGCTGTACAAGACAACTTAACACTTAATAAGCAGCTAAAGTTACACTTTTAAAGTTATTCAAGTCTAACATATAACCAGATTTCCATAAGTGTTTTTCTCCAAGTGTACTGATGGATTGACTGTAGGGTAATAGAAATTCCTTTTTTATGTTGTAAGTTACTGAAAGTGACTGTTTTTGTTTCACCAGCTTTATGTCTGAACAGATTAAAGGTAAAAGATGGGGAGTTTTTGGGGCCAAACATGGCCTGTCTGATTTACATTCATTCCATCGGGCTATAAAGACTCATTGTGGTTTGATGGCTAACAATTTGACCTGCTTCCTGACACCCCCACGCATACACACCCATTGCAGATGTAACGTCTTGCAGTCAGAGTGACACAACAGACCTCAGACTAGATGCACTGTCTCTGTTAAGAGAGAGCAGACCTTCAGGGTGTGTGTTAAATTAAATGAATTCACAATTCTTCACTGGCTTACACACTGACAGTAGCAGCTCCTCAAAGTGTAACACTGGTTTATTCAGACTGACAGGTACTGAAAGAAGACATCCTGGTTATGAAGATGATTAAGGAATCCTCTGTCAAGAAGCCCAAGCGTCACATTTTTCAATCCAAACTCTGCATGAACATACACAGAGCAAAGCAGGAGGGACGGCATGCCAGGCTGTAAACTTAACTTGATGAGTCTCTTTAGTGTTCACTCTTGATGCAACTTTCAAAAACCTTGGAGGGAATTTTGTTCCGTAACCCCTGTGTGAAATAAACAGAATCCAAGATAGAAAAAAAAAAAAAAAAAATCCACAGTAAATAAGCTGTTTTGAGTTAAAAATCTGTCTTTCTCTCTCACTCCCTTCTTAAGTCGCAGGATGTTAGGAGGGGCTGCTGGTTGGTTTGTCGGTGATTGCTTGGTTTGTTTTTAAGTTATTTCCTAAGTGTACATCATATGCAAAATGTTTTTTTTTTCAACCATTCCTGCTGCTTAAAATCAGATTATAAATAAATGAAAGGAGTTTTAAGTCAGTTTTCAACTTTTTTCAAAGTATTTTCCATGCCCTGCTGTAAGACAAGTGGGGGTGAGGGGGTGGACTGTGATGAGGGCTGATGCTTTCTTTAGCCATGGCACTTGATCACTAATTAAGTTAAAAACATGCTTAAGTAAAGTGGAACACTAAACAAGCACTTATCTAGGAATATTTTCATGTTGAGCAGTCAGTTGTAATGGATAACTCATAATAGTGCATATTACAGGTAAAAACATAACAGTCTGTTTGTACCGAGTGATCTGGGTGAAATCAGACATAGGGGACTAGTTTAAGGTACGTGTGTCCGCACCTTGCATGAGCCATGAACCTGCAATGATCAAATCCTACTTTAATGCACTTGACAGCTCCCCATTCTCCTCCATCAGACTCCAAAACACTAAATGATGATGGTGACGGCTGCACTCTCTAACTGAAGCAGCATGAGCAAACAGTGGAGCAGGCGATCGCACACTGCAATGATGACATGATATAAAACTCTGATCAAATTCAATGTGGTGTCCCTGGTACATGAATCATGTGAGCTGGTTTAAGAAGCTTAATGTAGGAATGAAGAGGGACAGGAAGAACCATCTGTCTTACTAAACAACTGAATTAGACTCTGATGGACAAAAATCTGTAAGGCACAGCCCATGTATTGATTGCAAATCAACTGTCTTGACTTGGGCATTAAAGTGTACACAAGTAACCTTCACTGAAGATTTAAACAGTCAATAAACCTTCCAAAGGGTAAAGACTTCAGTCCAATGTAGTCTCTTGGTTTTGACATCTTTGTTCACGATGTTTAACTGGTTTCTGGATGTTCTGTTTTAGCTGGAAGCCAACTGAACTGGTATGGTTCCCGTGGTACCAGAAGGTCTATTTCCAGGCTTTTCTGTTCTTTCTCACTGTCAACTGTCCTGTACCCAAGCAATGACATGGCCCCCTTACACACTTCCTGTATTCGTTTGACTTTTTCATGTGGCAGCGTGCTTCGCCAAGCCTGGGACACATCAGCAGCATTTCTTGATGTAATCTTGAAGGCCTCTCTCCGGCTGCCTTTGCCCCTCCCATGGGTCACATGGTAGATCCACTCTTCCAACTCTGGAGTCATTTCCAGACCTACAAACTCATAAATGTCATTCATCTCCTCGAGTGGGTTGCGAGCAACATCCTCATAACGGACCATTTTGTAGCGGCCCTCAAGAAAAGGCGGAGGCTTCAGGATGGCCCTCTCATTTATGCGAACGTGGCTGCGGCAGATCTCCTGCATGACTTGATATTGTAACTCAACTGCTGGGGTGTTCTTTTGCTCTAACACAATGGCATTATCTCTTGCAAGGGCTTTTACAGCAGCTTCCCTAGACCTCAGAACAGCCCGGGGGTCTCGAACCAGGTGAATGATGCGGATATCCAAGTGAGGGTCTTGCAAGAGTGGATAGAGGGATTCTAGCTCAAAAAATCGCACCTCCTTCAACACAACATGGCTGTAAGTGCTGCAGGCATCTTGTGCCAGCTGAAGACCCCGAGTGTCACACGCCTTCTTGCACCTAGTTTGGTTGCTTAGCTGGTTTCGTGGTGTGAGAGGACAGGCAGGTGGTGAACACAAGGCTCGACTCTCAAACCACATGAATAAGGCGGAGACATTGTGCTGTTCTGGTAGGTAAGCCTCCATCACGGAGAGGTCACACTGAAACACGCTCCGTATCAGATCCCTCACAGCCATACGAAGCGCTCGTGCACCTGGTTTATGCAGTTTGGTCCATACATGCCAAGCAGGCTCCATGAGGTAGAACACAGACGGGTGCTGACTGAACGCCTGACCCAGGAAGGAAGAGCCTGATCGCCATGATGACAGCAGCAGAACGTGGACTTTGCGATTGGAGGGTGCGTGACCACAGTGACTGAACTCCATGTACCAGCCGCAGAAAAGCACCACTGCTGCCCCCTGCAGGATCACCAGGAATATCATAGTGCTGAGGTTCACTTTACACCGAGGCATGGTGGCTGTGGATCACTGTCAGCTACAGGAGCTTGATGAAGATATCTCTCCTTTCAATGTCTTCTACTTTTTCAATGTTTTGTCCTTTGTGCTACAGAGAAGACAGGATAGTGGGGGAAAGAGAGAGCTGAATAGAGGATGAGAGGGATTGAGACAAAGACAGGGATAGAGGATGGGAAAAAATGGACATGTTGAGTAACTCATGAAACACTGGAATACTTAAAACCTTCACTAATAGTATCTTTACTTCACACACCAGTCTTTTTCTCTTTTGCACTACGTAAAAACTCCTGTTTCTGTCTACAGTCACCAGAGCATTTGTAATTATAAATGTAACAATAGAGAATGAATATGAGAACACTTTCATGCTTAAGGTAATCGACAAGATAATAAGGACATAATTGAACAAATAAATGAAATTTGACACATTTTTAAATAAGAAAATTATAGTTACAAGAATTTACCATGATCTGTTGTGTATCGCCACAACTGTATTTAAAATGGACAACTATGAAACCAGCCACAAGTTAGTATGCAACAGAGCAAAAACCCAAACCAAGATTCTGGCTGTAAACAGGACAAAATAGATGAATATATAACATATAATTTGGCATTAAAATAAAAAGTTTTCATTCAAACACTATTAAAATGATACAAAGGTTTTATTGTTTTACACGATTAATGTCTATCACTTAAAGATCTTATGCACCAACCATTCAACTTCCTGAAACCATGCTCATGGTCTCTGCTCATATTCGGTAATTATTTTTAGGTTTTATAGAGAAGAAGTGATATTCAGGTTGTGACGCAATAAATTTTATACAATGAAAAACAGTGACATAGCTTGCCTTAACCACATAACAGATGGGACAGTATTCACCAAAAAAAAGGTAAATACTGATTGAGCATCAACCCGAGGCCATGTTGCCCCCTCATCCCACTGCACCTCTTCTGACAGAGCACACTCATGTCACAATCGGTAAAATGACTTGCAGGTTTCTCTGTCCCTCCTGACCCTCATACATGACTGATTTAACACTTCCCTACTGAATTTTGTAATCATGTGTGGACATAGTTTATGTGTTGGGGATGTACAAATAATGTAGGACTTGTAATATCCATATTAAGTCAGTGAGGACTTAATTGAACTTTTTTAAAACAGGACAGTCACATTGTAAGGAGGAAAAAGTAAAAGGAGACATACAGTAAGTAAAAGATGAGAGAAGTGGTTGAAGTGTTTGATGTTGATGAGAAAAGATGTCTGTCTTTACTGGATAGAAGCGTACAAATCTGTCCTTTATCGCACACCGTGATATACTTCCTGATCAATGCCTCCACATGCTGTGAATAACGAACAGAGCAGTGAACAGTCGTGAGAGTTCATTAACAAATCACAGTAAGAGGCCATGTGTGGATCTGTGTGTTATGATGTTGATCACTATAGTCAGACACTAAAGTCTACTGTGCAACATTAGGAGCTTTATGCTTTATACAATCCAATTCTAATATGTTATAATGTATGTCCATGATCACCTGTGACGCACTGTTGCTCATGCGCTGTGTGAGGAAGAAAGTACAGCCTTGACTCTGTCTAGGCAAAGAGGTTTTTCCTGGTTATTTTGTGTTTATTAAGTATAACGCAGATGAATGGGGCTCTATGTTAATCTGTATCTGCAGTGGGAAGGTTATATCTGATTACTGGAGATCCATGGCTGGTGCAAGTTGTATTTAAGGCTGGTCATTTGTGTTCCTAATCACACAGGTGGATGTAAATGATAAGTATGAGCAGCCAATTAGAGGCTAGTGCAACTCATATAGCATGGCAACCTTCAAAAGACCCAAGTACGTGTGAGCCCAATGACAATGTAATGCTACCTACCCTACCACTCTGCCCCTTATGACCCAGGCATGCTGACTGTGGAACTAGATGGGCAGCGAGAGCTCATCACTGGGTTATCAAGTGGGAACCCACCCTCCCCAATTTCAAGTAAGGCCTACCACACCTCTGGGAGGCTCAATGGCACCCCCACCCATGTTAGCTTCCACTGCCTATAACACCCAAATGCAAAGAAAAGAGATAATAAACAGTGAGAGGATAGATACTGGAAAAAGGGCACACAGAACAGAGACTAAACAGGAGATCTTAAGACTAGATTTCACCCCTTGTGGACTGACTAACTCTTTTTTTATGAGGGAGAGGCAATAGGAGATGAAGGGTTACATAAACTTTGTTTTGCCCTGAACTGTCTTTATTTCTCCACATTCAGCTCAACAGACTTGACTCCTCGTAGCAATTTGTTACATGTGCATTACATTGATTTAGAAAGCCCATACTTTTGAATGCTTTGCTGTGTCACACACTACTGCAAAACTCAGTTTCCACCAGTCCACCAGTGAATCTTACATAAATACTGAAATGAGCACCATTTGTGCAGGAACTTGGCATATGTTCCACATGCTGAAGGGGTGGGGCTGTTTGTTTGTTTTGATAAGCTCTGAGTTACATCTTTATCACCTGTTGACATGCAAATGTGGCGTGAGCTTTATGGTGCCACATGTGGATGTAGATGCAGTGGAATATGTGTCTGAAATAGCATGAATATTTGCATTTACAGCCAAGATCTACAAATTTTGATGCTCTAATGGTTTAAAGTTCTGAAATATTTGCCTCAATTCTATTGTGCAGTCATGAAACTCTAAATTACCTTGTTAAAACACACGTGTTTTCTACCAAGCATTTCTAAAAGTCACTGTCAGGGGAGTTTTTAAGGTGGAAAATTTAGGCTGTCATCAGTATTTAACTCTTCACTGAAGAAGAAATTAGGGTTTTTAAGAGTTACATGTAAAGCAGGGGCACACCTCTTACACGCCTTGTGAAAACCAACCCAAACTCCACAACTAGTCTTTTTTCTAAAGAGGAAAAAGATGGAAGCAGAGAGTGCTTTGGTCATTCAAAAAAAGCTTCCCATGCCAAAGCAAGATGCTGACTGAGAGGATCCATACAGGCATACTATAATCTGTTGAGCTTATTGTACAAGTCTTGACATGAGCTGTTCACCCTGCGGCCCTCAGGACACAAGGGTAAACACAAGACATCATGACAGATACCTCTTCCAGTCTCTCTCTACTCCCTCTCTTTCCCTCGCATTCAGACTCAACTCTCATCTGGAGCTGAAAAACATGCCATCACATTTATAACACATACTATCAAGTTTATATTTATATACTGACACAGACTTTGTTTGCCATTTTATGTTTTAATAGTAAGCATGTCATTTAAGTCCCACTCCAATCGATTTTTTTTTATTATTTAAAGTGTTCTCAGTGGTCGTTAAGTTGTAATTATGAGTTTTTTTAGCCAAAATCATGCTACCGGTGTCATTTTCAGTAGCTCATTATCAATTCACCTCTGAGTCGTTGACGGATTGCAGCCTAACATTACCTGTGAAGCAGAAGCAGCAGGTGATATGAAAGCTATTTAACTCTTGGACATGGTGTCCCAGAGTCTTTGGTGGCATGATGAAAGCTAGTACCATAATAAGTTTTCTTACGAGCATTGCAAAATTTCCAATCCGCTACTGCACACTCTTGCTCCACGATCGTCATCTCTACTTCTCGGAGTCTGGCCTGCAGAGTGGGCTAGCTTGGAGAGCTTGGATATGTGACGCAGGAAATCTCACTGTGTCTAAACCTGTCGTTAGGGGCCTGTGAGAGGTTCACAGCAATTTCAGTGAAGAAGTACAGATTATCTATCCCTTTAATTCAGTATCAATACCAGTTAGCCTGTATACAATAAACTACATCTCTTAACATCTAATATACTTGGTTGGCTCAACAGATTGCTGAACTTTACACAGTTGCAATTGTCTCAACTAAGCAGCATTTCATATCATTTGACTAGACATTCTCTCTGTTGTTGGTATATTTTCACCCCAAGAATAAACAAGGCAGCAGTCTTAAATGTTTAGAAATAAGGTTAATGTGGGACATTGAGGAACTGCAGTTCACTGACTGTCCACTTGAGGCTGGTTCCAAAAAAAGCCAAAAATAGACACTACTTTATGCTAAAATGCACACTGTTCCAGCATAAACAAACATATTTGCAGCCTGGTACAAAAGACACTTCCAGTCCTAATAGCTTGTTTCTCTCGCCATACACACTGTATTGGGAGGTGGAGACTTCTTCTATACTGTGGCGAGGAGGCTAAAGGCTCACCTGAACCTTTTGTATAGGGTCAACCAAAAGTTGAACTGAATCAAACTAGATTTAAATTGGTTGTGTACCCACACAGAGTCAACAATACTGATTCTCATGTTCATCCTCAGTTTTCTTTACTTTTTTTCAACTTTTGATGGTGCAAAACCCAGTCCCGCATCTAAAACTTTGAGTTCATCTCTGACCCAGGCAGATCAGCATAGTCCTTGAGTTGCCACAAACTGTAATTCCTTGTAGTATGCCTTATTTTCTCAGAGATTGTATCCAGATAATAATTTCAAACTGCTCTCTTCTTTGTTTAAATCTTTAATTATTTAACATTGTGGCAGACTGGAGGAAAGAAACGTGAATTCAAACTGCAGATAAGAAGAGAGCTTACCTTTTAACTGGCAGAGACAGTATAAACATAAAAAAGTTGGCACCAAACAACAACGCTGTCTCCACTTACATGGCATTTGAATATGACCTTTATCGACTCTTTAATATGTTAACACAACAGGGAGTGTTACATGTCACAGAGTGTGCCGATGGGCTGTATGCCATGCATCTCTTTATATATACATTTGTAGTACAGTTTCTTTCACTAAACAGACAGTCACTCCTGACGGGTGAAGTTTACAGAAACTTAAGACAAATTGATTACTACTGCCGTTGTTATGGCCTCTGATACGGCACAATCAGTTGTTTAGGTGAATTCTTTTAGGTTAGGGAAAAATAAATAATAGTGATCTCACTGTCAAAGCATGGGGATATGGCATCACCTCATAATCAATATTTCAAAATCATTCCCACCCATGTGTACCCCTGGTTGACTTCTAAAAAAATATTAAATAAAGCAATGGTCCAGTGTTATCCTGAGATCATCTAATGGTTGCTGTATTGAAGGAGGATTTAAAAGAGTAATCAAGACTGTAGCGAAATAGGTTTAATTTTTCTTCGATTGGATTCATTTGAGAAAAATATATTTTTTTCTGGTTTTCAGTAAACCCACTATGTGTCTCTCTGTTTTTTTTTTTCTTTTAAAGATGCAGGTCTGAGACACTTTTGCACTTGCTTTACTTTGTAAACCAGAGACAGAATCAAATTCTTCTGACAACTTTTTTTAAATATAGTACCAAAATGTTACCTATGAAACAATAATGTCTTACAAGGCTCAGACTGCAAGATTTGCCGTGTTGACTTTAGAGACAGAAGAAGTGTCTGTCTTTCCCACAATAACATGTGTCGGAAGAGCTGGAGGCCGCAGTATCAGAGCTGCATCTCTAAGACTTTGATTTTGCTGCAAAAACTTTGGTTAGGGAGAGGATTAGAGCATTGATGATATACTAAATATTATGACATTAGACACTACATACATAAATCTGTGGTTACACACTAAAAATGTTGTCAGTGGCAATCACTAGGTGGTGGCATTGTAAACAACGAGGCTCTTCGAATCTGCAGCCTTTTGGTCTAGCAGCACTAACAGTTGTTGGTTGGGGTGCCACAAGTTCTACGAATGACTGGTGCTTCTTTTCTGTTTGTGATTAAAAACACAAGTTGACCTCATAACTATCATATGAAACACATGAGTACATCTTCCATGGGGCAGCAGGAAGGGTTAGCAGCTGAAGGAAGTGCTGTGCAGGGGGCATTGGCCACACATGGTTAAAATAACATTACTAAGGTAATAAACATTATTACAGGACAAAACGGCAATGTTATAAAAATTCACCTGCCACATGCAAAATGTATTACCCCTGTGTGTTTAGAATAAAAGATGAAAAAGAAAGCTTTTATATTTTTCTAGGTTCTAATGTCCCCTTATGTATTGAGGGCACAGTCAGCCCAAATAAGACTGTCTAAAGCATGCTTGTTACACTCAGCTGTCATCATGATGGCCCAAAAAGCCCTTCAGGTTGTATCAGGGTTTTCTGCAGCTGCAAAAAACAGCCGTGTGTATCAGTGGGAAGACAACAGTACTCAGAAGATAAATAAACCTCTCAGCAAGGCAGTCTTCTTCAACAACAACCGCAGACAGCTGCTCACTTCACTGACTCTTAAGACCTAAATCTACACTCATTACCACAACATATAAACACTTCACTTGTGAATTACTTAGTAACATAAGCTGCATTGATTATTTGGCCACTGGTAACAACATCATAGACAGCTTTTTGTGAATCAAAATAAATTCTGTTTGGTATCTCTTTGACTGACTAAAAGGAGCTTGAACCAATGCTGAAACAATGTCTTGGTATAAATGCCATGTTGGTTTCTGAAGCTACAGCTGACCGTGTTTGGTGAACACCAGGTTTTCAAAGCTATAAAGCCTGTTTCAAACACGTTCACTTGCCAATTAGCCAGAAAAAACATTTTGAATTCGACTTGAGGTTTAGTGACTGCAGACCAGAGTTGTTTATTTATCATACTAAAGAAGTGAATTGAGTTGATGATGTCACAGACACCCAAGTTCATTGGGGACAATGGAGGCCTGACAGAGGTTTACTACCACTGGTGCAAATGCAGCCTCGATGGCAAGTATGTAATAATTGATTGAAAAGTAATGGAATGGAGTAATTTATGACTGACTAAACTGTATCCTGGTGAAAACAGAACAGAAGCCACTCAAAGAGCAACACCTCCACCTCGTATTTAATTTGGCATCAGTGTTTACAATGACAAGGCATGGAGGCAGAGCAAAATAGGTACGCTCATGCTCTTTTTCTAGGTGTTAAAATTTTTTACACCCCTATATGTTCTGCTACCCATTATGTCAGTTGTATCTTATATATCACAGTAGAAACTACAGAACTAAGTGTGGAGGGAAAAAAACCATTTAATTACTGTTGTTGTCTCAGGAAAAATCACGTCTTTCTTTTTTTTAGTAAGTATTAAAAGTGGAAAATACTGAAAAATTACATCCCTGTTCCACAGTAAAAATTGTCTGATTGGTGAAATACTTTTATTCTAGACCAGCCACCTCCTGAAATGGCATTTCCCAGTTACTGAATATAACACAACAGAAACAGGGGAGCCAGAGAGAAAATGAAAATTCAGATCACAGACATTCAGTTAGAAACTACATGTACTAGCTCTGAACACACCATTAGTATAGTTTATGAAACCATCTTCCTCTGGTCTCTGATTTTAGTTGAGTCCACATATTGCATGGTTGTATTCAGAGGAGAGAGGTAACTTAATGACAATGATATGTTAACATGTGTGATCTCTTCACATATTCTAATACTGCAATTTAAAAGTCAATATTACCATACAGTCAATGATCATTACCTTTATGCTAACAGAAAAAAAACATTATAAATAATCATTCTAGTGGAGGACATAGAAGCTGAATACAAAAGGAAAAAGGAAAGATAAGACAGATGATAAAAATATGGGCTTTATTGGGGTCAGTGGTGTGAAACAGAAGCACACTGTGCAATATAATGCAAGGTTAATATGTATGAGTAGGGGAGGAGAAGGAACTACAGGTAGAGTAAATCTTTGTTGAGCGGAAACTTTATCCTTTTGTCACAATCGGAAAGAAAACAAAGCTTGAAGAAACAGAAAGAGCCCTTTGGAGTCCAGGCTACAGAGGTAATGATGTTCTCTGGAAACAGAAGGGTAGGAGGAGTAAGGCTGATGATAGCTAGATCATGTGTATGAGATTTAGGGTTAGACATTGTTTCAGTGTGACTGTTTGAGAGCACACTGTGCAGAAGAAAAAAAATAGAGATCTTGCATAAAATTTTGATCAAATATTTCCTTAAATATTTCCTCACAAATACACTGATGTTAAAAGGTTTTGACAAATCTTACATAAATTATACAGTGAAAAAGTTTAACCCATCCTTGAAAAGGGCAGGACAGGGATAAGATAATGTTATTTGAAAGAGATTAAATGAGTCCAAGACCTTGAATAACAGCATCTCTGTAGCTTTATCAACAAAAATATGGTGTATGGTGACATTAAATCTGATAGAATGAGGCTGCTACAAGATATAAAACATGTCAGACAAGACACTTCTACAAGTGCTCATTCATACATCATTATGCACTTAAGAAACGGAGCCCAAGAAGTGATGATGTTTTTGCCTGTCTGTCAATGCCTTTATAAACAAATGAGCATGCCAACCTACCAAATGTCTTTTCACTTCAAGATTTAATCTGTCTCAGGTTGAGAATCAATCACAGACTAAGAAGCCACAAAAAAAAAAACAAATCCTGTATTTCAGGGGACTTGTATCCACTTCTGTGGAGTAGCAAATTGATGACATGGTCACAATATACTCTTAGCTTGTTCACCATGGAAATCGGGCTAATTGAAAGTCTGTACCCTCCTAAGTGCACCTATGACCTCCACGACCCCGTCCTGTCCTCTTAACCGTGTAATTAAAAGTTACTGAGCCTCATCCTGGGACACCTCAGACAACCACATGGTTACCCACAAGAGTCCCCAGTCCTCTTTTTCGAGTTTTCAAGAAATATCAAGTGAAGAGTTGTAGAGAAGTACCCGGACCAAGAAGCCTACCTACTTGCTATGCAACACCCCAACTACAAATGGGGTGTTATGGTGCCCCCTGTGTCTACAGAGGGGGCTGAGCATGAAAGCGTTCAATAAACTTTATTTGAGACAAGGTTGAGAAGTTTTCGGCCACTATTAAGCCACCTAAAAATCGCTCGTGCTCCCAGGTTTCGGTGCTGAATTTGAGGACAAAATAATGTACACGAGGAGCGCCCGCGAGCTCCTTCCCTCCGGTCCCAAAAATATTCACAACACGGATCACCAAGGTGAGCAGGAAAGTGGTGTGAAGTGAATGGGGATGATATGGGTACTCTGCATGTGTTGTTCCGCTACATTTAAGAGAAGTAATTTACCTCCAGCGCTGCTTTTCGGTCGAGTTGCATGTCCTCGGAGCCGGTGTGGAGTCCTCTCTCCCTCTCTCTGTCCCAACACCCCGCGGTGCTCTCCGCTCCTCCCGTCAGAGTCCGCCAGCTGCTGCTCGGCAACTTCCACCGTCCGCTTGTGTACAAAGCGGTGTTTTGAGACGTGGCCAGAGGCTGCGATGGGCTGACTAGCAGAGGTCTGGGCGGGGGCTGGTGGTCAGGGATGGAGGGGGTGGTAGTGGTGGGTGTGGGAAGTTAAGCAGGCGGGACCTGGGCCAAGTCACAGTGTCCCAGCAACTGCCCAATGATGTGACTTGAAGTGTGTTGCATCTAACATAGTGATGGCTCAGCAGGTCTTGAACAGCGAGCATTAATCAATGTATTTATCAAGCCCTGTAATGTATTAACCAATGCAACAAACTAATGTAGAACATACTTGACAGATGACTGTGGGCTGTATTACTTTGTGGATTCTTATTTATATGAGATTACATTAAGTGTAAACTGGACTTAAGGTGGGTTTTATCAATTTCTTCATGTAAAATGATCCAGTGTTCTCTAATATTAGAAGATTAATGATGTTAATCAGGAGACTGTGGCCGGGTTATCAACTGAAGCCTCATTGCCACCTACAAGTTCCAGGAACTTTTAGGCCAAGGAGCTGCTTGACTGCAAATTTTCATCATCTGTAGTAATGAGTTGATTCTGCTAGTATTTAAGGTATTATAAACCCATTTTTGTGATAAAGTCATTTCAGTGCTCTTTAACGTGTCTGACAACTGCAGATTTATGGCTCTGAGCAAAACAGGTAATTTTGTTATTTATCCACTCTAAGGAAATAAGTGGAGTCTACTTCACTTTGTCATCTCTCTCTCTCTCTATCTAGAATAGATTATTAAGTACAAGGTTCATCCAGAGAAAAACAAAAACTATTGAAAAAAGGATGCACCTGGTTCCTGTAGAAGAAAGACTCATATCCTTTCGCTCTGCTCTGCGCAGCCAATTCCACAGATCTTTGGTCACCAGTAAATGCCTGCTTAATGAAGACAAAAGAGAGGAGGGGGTAGGGGGGCTGACTTTGTCCCAAAGCATTGACGTGGCATCAGTCACAAAAGGTGTAAAGGAAGACGACAATGCACTGTCATTCAAACAACAGTCAGTCGAAGCAGTGTGGCACTGTGTATGTCATTGTCTGTATTTTGTTCTCAAGGAGTAAAAAAGGTTCTTCTGTAAAAATCAACTATTGGGTTTGGCCTTTTTTGGCTCAGTGGTTGAACTGCACACCCTTTTACTCTCTAAAACCCACTCTATCCACTCTCATATCTCTCAGCGGAGAGCCCAAAATATAGACTTAAAAAGGGAAATAATTATTTTTCACTGCTGTCTTTTATTTTCTCTCTTGTTAGTACTTTAAATGGTAGAAAAGAACAAATTTTTGCTTAGGTGGGGAATACATCCATCACAAATCTCGAGCAAACTTCTGCATACTGTCTAACTGCAAAAGATGCAATGTTGTTGAGCAAATACATTGCTCATAAGTCTATTTTATGACCCGACATTATGACTCAAGGTATGTCAGTCATAGTGACTTTGTTCATCCTTTTAAATTTCTCAGTTGATTGGCATGAGTTTGGAACAGACGTTCGTGGTGCCTAGAGGATGGATTATTTTGATTATGACGTCTTCTGCTGTGCCATCATGAGGCTGGAATGCATGCTGTCACAAACCATTCACCAATTAAAGCAGTCACACATCTGTAGTTCTCTCAGGGTGTCCAATACAGCTATGGGCATGTGTACGTTAAAGATGAGGTCTTTATTAGAAGATCAGGCTGTATGTCATTGAGGGCACTGGAGAAATCATAGAAGATGATCCTTACAGTGCTCAAAGTCCTCTCCAGGTGAGAGAAAGATCTTTGCAGGAGGTAGATGACAGCATCATCTACTCCGATGCCTGGCTGATAGGCGAACTGGATCTATTGACGAGCTCACCAGGGGGCGCAGATGACAAGACCAGCTTCTCCAGGGTCTTCATCAGGTGCAATGTCAGTGCCACTTGCCTTTAGTGGTTGAAGTTCTTAGTGTGAGGGATCTTTGGCATCGGCACCACACATGAGGTCTTCCACAGTTGTGGTACCCTCCCCAGCTTCAGGTTCATGGTGTAAAGGTGCACTTTAATCCCACGCAGCTGGTTTGTGCAGAATCTGAGGAGGCTGGAACTGATGCCACCTCGACCTGGGGCCTTTCTGACCTTTAGCCTTTTCAGTTCCCTCTGTACCCGGGACATGGAGAAGGACACGCTGGAGCTGGCTTGGGGTGTGCAGGGGGGTTGTTACGACAGGGAGAATCGTTAGAGCAGGGGTCATACAGTCAGCAGGAGGTGTGAATAGCAATGGTTACAGCAGGATGGGTTGGGTGGGAGGAGGGGTGTATGGCTGGTCAAACGTGTCGAAGAAAGTGTTCAGGTTGTCCACCTAATCATGGTCCCTTATCAGCGCAGCTGTTGAGGCCTTGTGACCGGGTTTTCAGGCCCCTTCAAACTCCACTGACATCCCTCTGCTGCAGCTGATCCTCCATCTTCATCCTGTAGCAGTTTTCCCTGTCTCTGATCTTCCTCCTTTGTTCCCTTCGAACAGTCTGCATCTCCTCCTTGTTCCCTGACCAAAAAGTCCTCTTTTTTCCCTTTAAGAGAGCTTTTGTCAGGAGTGATCCATGGCCTGTTACTAGCAAAGGGCTGTGCAGTTTCAGTGGGTACAATCTTGTCAACACAGATATGCAGGTATTATGGCAAACGCACTAATGATGTTTCCCTGTACATGAAACACCCTGGAGCACAACAGCTTTTTGTAGAAGCCTTTGACGGTAAAATGTCACATCAGAGTGGCTGCTTAATGGCCTAAATGTAATCCTTCGATGGGCAGATGAGAAATTTAAGGACTGAGTTGTGCAACAGGGAGTTGCTCTTACCAAACTGTGTGACCCACCCTGAACTGGCAAACTGAGTGGCCTAAATGAGCTAATCCTTCGCTTCTGGTCCAGAACTACACACTCACACACACACACACACACACACGCACGCACGCACACACACAAATAGAAGACAAACAAGCATCTCTTGAGACGCTAAGGGGCCTAGTAAAAAACACACTATCCCAACTTCCTTAATACAGCTGACTAACCTCCTATCCTGAATAAATATTAGCAGCAGCTTATAAAGCATTTGTAATTAATGCAGAGGTCATTATGGAGCTTGAGGTCAGCTTCATAACCAACAACACAAACAAGTCAAGCAAAGAACAGCTTCCTTGTGTTCTGATGACGGTAAATCAGGTGAGATTTGCCTTCAGCATGTGCTGCCAGGTATAGTAATAACATAATTAGTCATGTATTTAAGCTTTAGGGTGGAGTGATAATTCAGGAATGTTTTAGGGTCTGTCCCTCTTTGTAAATATTTTTCTAATATTATACTGAGTTATGTAATAAAAGGAAAAGGTTATTCAAGCTTCACTTCAAAATCACATTGATCCGACATTACAATTAGTCATTTTCTTGAACAGAGATGCACAAAAATGAAGAACTAAGAAGAGATATCAAAATGTGTGAAAATGTTTATTATCTATCATCTAAATCTATTTACAATAAAAATTGTTAGGAAAAAAAAACAAATTTTTTGCAATGACTGTCTTACACTCTCAAAAAATACAAATGGTATAAATATAGAAAATCTGTTCATATTTTCTATAGCTCTATAGCTTTAAAAAGCAGTCAAAAGAGAAAATGCATTGAACCGGGCAAAAGTTCCTGCAGAGGAAGGCCTGCAGGAAGTCACCTCTCACAAAGAGGGTTAATTAATGACTGGCATTGAGTGTCCCTCTGCAAAACATCTACTCAGGGACCACTACAAGTTCTCTTGAGTGTTAAATTTGAACATTAATGACTACAAACATTTCATAAGTGATAGTGGATGTTGCTCAGTGAATTAAGTTTTGTCAGTGTATGATGATTTGTATCGCAACAGTGTATTAAGTGAATTCCACGTGTCATCAAACTTTAAATGAATTAGATAAAAACTGCAAGAACTTGAATTTTAAATGTTTAAACTGTCACAAATTGTATGGATGAGATATCAGCCTGTATCCTACTGTTTTCAGAATGTGGTTTACGATTCCAGCCAGTTTCCACCTGATATGTCTAAGTTCCTCTGACACAACATGCTTTTCTCTACTCTAGGCAACCCTGAGTTTCTGTTCACCCAGGTGAAAACATGACCACTGCATCATGACAGGTGAGGTTTTCCCACTGGTATGGGTACAGTGGTGAGAACCTGGTTCTGGAAAACAAATCTCTGAATGCGCTCAAAGACCCAGAGGAAGATGAGAAGGACACTGACGTACTGAATCCAGGCAAATTTGATGGTTTCCCAGAAGCCTGGACGGTAGGTGGATAGAGACAGTCAAGGGAGAGAACAAAAAGACAATTTCATAACAACAGCTACACACAAGTTATTAGCAATATACTTGAAGGTAGTCCATTTTTCCCTGACATCTTTACAATGTCTAACACATAACTATTGTCCAAGACGGTCATATCACTTAGACATACATAACATGAAGCATGCAGATATTTTTGTGATTTTGATTTTATCCTATTTCTTAACCGTAGCCACCAAATGAAAAACAACAGGATCACAAATTTGATTTTGGAGCTAAATAGGAAGAAAATATTACTGGTAAACACTTTTTCTTACAACTAAAAGGTTCAATCCGCCAACCTTTCACAAGATTTTCAAATGTCGGAATATCATATGAGATTTTCTAAAGTTTTGAGTGCTGCTGTCATCTTGGTGTTTTGGACAGCTAACAGCTTGGCGGATAACATCAAAATGGGCCTTCTTTTGAAACTGCAACCCGTCTTCACCCAAACTCTTCCTTATTATCCTGCGTCTAATTTTACTAGTGCCATATGTATTGTGGCACCTGCTACATTCTTTGCTGCTGCTCTCCCTGCCTCGGTTTTACATGTATGCATATAAAATAGAAGGTGTGCTCTCCCTGCTGCAGGCTGTGGTCTTTTTCTTCATTTGAAAGTTTAAACATTGTCTCAGGTTTTTAGCAAGACTGTGTCTCATGAAAGTCCATTCATCCATCCATTTTCTACCACTCATCCCATTGGGGGGCAATGGGATGCTCCAGCCTCTTGGGGCAAAGGCAAGGGACACCCTGGACAAGTTGCCAGTTAATTGCAGGGCTGCTCATGAAAGTTTTGAAGTTAAACAAAATGAACATGATAAAGAAACCAATACTCCTGCCTGCGTCTGTCATTACAAAAGGATATTAAATGACTTCTGTTGGATAACGGATCTCGGCATTAAGTTGAAATGGAGAACCAGCAGCTCGTCCCACAGTCCACACTGGCATGGGACAGGACAGTACTGTTGTCACTGTAGGAACAAATGGAGAGTTGCCACATTTCAAAACTGCTCAAGGAAGTCTATCCTGTGCTAAGCTGTGGTTCAGAGTCCAACTCAAACATAGGGATTAAGTTTGAAAATCCTCATTGAAGTATATCCGGTTTTAATAAAAAAAAGGCAAAGACAGTAAGAGCCAATGTCAACATACGGTTCCTTTCCTGGTACCGCCCGATGATGCTGTCAAGGTCATATGCACTTGCAAAGGGGCTGGAACCATCAATTACCGACATCTAAGCAAAGAAAAAAACAAATGAAATAAATCCCTGACCAATAATGATCTTTACTTTGACTACCAGTCAGTCAGTATCATTGTGAAGCCGATAAACCTGGACAAAAGTGTGTCAACAAATTAACAATATGTTCTCCATCAACTACATACACAAAAACAAAAGCAAAACCATGGAAACAAGATGATGGCAGCTCGAAATAAAATGGTAAAATACATTTTAGAAGGACTAAATCAAAATCATGGCCCATAATCACATGCAAAATATTACAGAAATATAAGAAGTGCATAATGATGGAGGTTTATGAAAAGTCAAGCCAAAGATACTGGAAGTTAAAAGTGCAGGGAAGGCTGCAAGTACTCAAGATACAAACATGTCAAGCATAAGTCTACAAAACAAGAGGAAGTACATTACATTAACAAACTTGATATCAAATGTCCATTTCAGGGTTCTTCTTCTTACCCTGTTTTTTCTTTAAAAAAATCCCAAAAATTGCCATAAGAGACTTTTTATTTAAAACCATTAGACTGAATGACCAGTAAAAATCATGTTTAATTTAGCAAAGATAAAAGCAGCCCATGCATAGCTGAGCATAAACCCTCAGTCTTTCAAACCAAATTACAGATTTCTTCCATTGTTCAATGTAATTACTTATATTTTATTGCCTGCTCCATCTTTGTTAACTTAAAAGCCCGGTTTTTCCTTTAACAGATTTTCTAAAAACTGTAACTCAAAGTTCTTTTTCTGGAAGCTTAATTTTACCACACAGCAGCATGTGAGCATTTTTTGTTGATTACAAGCAGATGAATGAGACAAGAAGGCTCCTTTGCACATCTCAATGCTGATACAGGGCCAATCTCCTTCAGGGTGGGCAGGACTCCACTCCATTCTGTGGAAATAACATCTTCCCTTCTCACTAATTCACTATAAGTTGGTTTTCCCGTGTTAACCATAATCCTATCATCAGCTTTCCTCTGAAGTAGATGGTGATGTGTAGTGTTGGAGCTGGCAGTACAGGACAGGGCTGTGTTTAAATGCATATCTAAGTGGGAGTAAGTGAGTGTTTGCATTTTAACAAACGGTGCTTCTCAGGCTTCCCCTGCAGTGCCCTAATGTGATGTGTGATCACACTCTGGATCACCAGTATCATGTCACGTCAGAGTGCAGTGTGTAAGTAAAAAGACGTGGTGATGCCAGAGCTCTATTGCAGTAAGAGGCCAGACGGGCACAACCAAGTGCTGCAACCTGAGGGACTTACGCACACTGTTGGTGCCAAAACACAGAGGAACTATATGATTCACATTTGAGTTATACAATTTCGGATTAACTATAATGTATTTATTTACTGCATTTGATCGACTATATCATGATGAAAAACTGTAATTTGATCAACTATATTAAATGTCAAAACACGCATTATCAGTGTAATCTTTGAAAATTTGTTCTATCATTATCATTGTTCTGTACACTGCATTGGGAATATAACCACAAATTTGTTCATGCCTATAAAGCAAACTAAACTTGGAATTGAAGAGAAGCGAGTGAGCCAGAGAGAACAAGTGACAATGAGACAGACAAAGATGGACAAAGACAAGTGAGAGAGGGAGGACAGCAGAACAGATGAAAGACCAGTGAGTCCTCTTACATTGTAAATGTTGTACAGTCCTCTGTGAGGTAGGGGTGTTCTCTGCTGCAGCCTCAGGTCTCCACTGATGAACAGTTTAGCTCCAGGGACAGAAGAGGAGTGCTGCACATAGGCTAAGCTCTGCATCACCACTGTAGACATCCGCTGAGAAAAGGCAAGGAAATTAGGCTTATTACTTTAGCTTGACTTGTGGATATTGCGGATAGTTGTCTGACTGCAGCTGACAAGCCTTACTTTGATGGAGGAACAGAGTTGAGAACCTCTGTATTGGTAGTCTAAACGCAATCAATAAAGAGTCATTATTATACAAATGATTATTTAAATATTAGTTAATGTACTGTAAAGGGTCAATTTGGGTTATGGACTTCTGCTGCATCGGAATTTATCCTTTTGTTACAGTATGTTTTTCTGATTTCTTTACCAAGTGTCCCATTAACTACAATATCATTTAATTTCATTAAATGTTCATGAATTTTCCATCTGCTGCTAAAATAAAAAGTTATATAATACATCATTTTTGAATGTGAGAACATCCTTTACTTGTGTATAGATGTACAAATAGACAACTACATTCTGTGATGTTAAAAATATAGTTTAGTTTATTTTGAATGATCACTGGTATTATATGAGACACATTAAAGTCTTCTCTCTTTTTATTGTCTTAATTTTCATCCACATCTCTAAAAATTCTACTTCACTTCCTTAATTCAAGACCTACTTAATGATTATTCAGTCAGGCATCTTAAAGGTGCATCCTAACTTAAAAAAACCTTTTTTTAAATAGTTTTGCCCTTTTTATTTTATTTTTATATTTTTAACTGTGTATTCCAAACTTTTAATTTATGTGTCACAGAGCGAGTCTCTGCTTTGGATCAGCAGGAGGTTTGGAGGATGTAATCAAACTAGAAACACACAGGCTTCTCATTTCACTGCAGAATAATCACAGTGACCCAGCGAGAGCTTCCATTTCAGCCGCAGATTTGAGAGCTGGATCACCTGAGGAAGCCTGAACCGCTCATCTGAAATACTCGATATGCTCTCAGCTGAATTTCAGAACAAGAACTCTGATATGAACCAATTTGGACCAGTTCATACCTTATAGTTAGAAAACTGTGCATCACTGGAGTTAAAAAGGCTAAAAACAATGTACTAATGACTCCAAAAACACTAAATCTGAACATGAAACACAAGACTTTAAGTCATATGACTAAATTTTTTAATCCTAGCTCCTTAAGTCCTTTTCAGGTTTGAAATCTTTGAGACTGAATTTGAACTTTTTTCAAGAACATGAACAAACATCAATAAAGAGGAGACTATTCTGTATGTAAATCCATTAAAAGAAATTTGCTGGATAAATATGAAGAGCTTAATTTGTATGGACATAAACCTGACTTACCCTCTCCTAATGATGTCAGAGACCCACAGAGTGTGTCATGTATGCAGTGTTAATCAATGGCTGCAAAGACTGGGTGGAGGCATACATACAAAAAGTTGGTAGCTGAAGGTAAGCAGCAGTTGGACACTGTACACCTGTTCCTCTGGTTTTAGAGGAAGCTGGAGCTGAAAAGTTAGGCGATCCAGTTTCCCATCCTGGTTCGGATCCTCTTCTCTTACCTATAGAGCGAGAAAGGGAACACACATACTGTTTCATTATTTACTAACCTAATAGTACATCACCTATGCCAGTTTTCTTTATAACTGTGTAAACAATGTCTAATGGGACTATGATGTGGAGCTGTAGAGAAACACTTGCAACACAGCTCTTACAGAGACGGCTGGGATCCGGAGGTTAGGTCCGAGCATGTTATTAAGATGAGGAAAGGTGCTCCAGGCGACATGGTCTCCTTGAGTACTAGTTGCTGCCACTAACAGAGTTTGGTACTGAAACCTCACAACCGGCTGCTCCTCATAGGTGCCTCTTTTTACCCAAAACCCTAAAAAACGTAAAAAGGGGAGCAAAGAACACACTAGTTTAGTCATAGAGAAATCCGGCCATTTAGCAAACAGCTCAGACTGCAGTCATTTATCGGTAAACATGAATTTATGGTGTTAGATGAGTGTGAGGTTACCTTGGCTCCTGTAAGCAACGAGCAGAGGTGGGATGTAGGTAAGGCACAAAACCACAATCAAAAAGAGGGTGGCTTTTGTGCAAACGCTGGTTTTGTACCGGACCAATGCCGGATGAGAATAGACTTCATAGAAAGCCATAAGGGAATATAAACTAAAGCCTGCACCGTCTTCAGTCGGTAGGCTAACGTTAATGTGGGAAATTTCAAGCTAGCATGGACGCTAACCTACTTCTACCCTGAACCGCCTCGAGTAATTGGTTGTAAGCCTATGAGTAGGGGTAGTTTAACCGTGACGACGTCTTTAAAGATGTTTTTCATTCACATATTTACCCAAAAATGACGCACACAACTGCCATTCACATTAGCCCTTATGCTAACGTAAATATAGCACCGTACACCGCGCCATGTTGCTGCCGACATTAGCGTCTCGGGGTTACCATAGCTGCCAGTGCTGGTGTTCATGATGCATTCAATTAATATGGGAAAACTGAAACTAAGGTCGAGTTTCCTAGTTTTTTTTTTTTTTTGTAAACGTTTTGTTATTCGTCAAAATACAAACGAAAAAACACGATACTTAGATTATACAGTGTTGAACCAGCGTTTTAGATTAACAAAAGAACATGAAAAAAAATTATGTGAGGGTCTTATTTTAGGACAGTAAATAAGTCGAGTAAAGATAACAGTTTTAGGGCATTTCTGTTTTTCTTGTAGTTCAAAGACTTTTTGTATATTCTGAGTTCGTTTATCTATCCATTGAAGTGGGGCTTCATATGTGAATGAGATATTTTCCAAGTGGAGTTCCCCAGAGCAGTGGATTAAACTGTTTAATCCACTGCTCTGGAGTTCCCTAGCTGGCCTCTTCCCCTCGAGCAAGGTTGCGAGGTTTCCTACATAAAAAGTAGCCATACTTACGCGGTTTGGTACCTTATATTATACACTTTGTGCTTTCTGTCCATTTTACAATAGTCATGTATCGTACTGTTTGACTTGTTTCTATGATGCTAAAGATACATACCGTTTGTTGCCTTTTTTCCCGAGGGCACCTGAATGCACCACCATCACTCCCACCCCGCCCCACCAGACAGTGACGTCACCCCTCAGCTAGACGGACTGTAGGAAGCTTCAGAGCCGTTGTTGACATTTTGTTTTGGTCGAATTTGTCGGGGTTTGTTGGACCTAACATCGAAATTATCCGCTGATTTAGAAGCCCACCTGTCGACTCTATCATCACGCCTCAGTGCGGGGATCCAGCAAACATGAAATGGATGTTTAAAGAGGACCATTCCCTCGGTAAAGGGGCTAGGACTGTTATGAAACATGAGATGTTGTCATGTCATGCACCCTCTTCTCTGCTCTGCTCTCTCCGCGTCGATCTTTGCCATATCATTTCCATAGGTGCAGACATGCATGCTTTTTTTTACACCCATCGTACCCCACTCATTTTAAAGAGGGGTAGTTAACGCTGTGTGGCTTTAGACTCATGCTAACATGTTCCTCCTGAATGTGAAATGACTGCAGGCAGAATCACCGTGGTAACCTTTGACATTGCTGATACATGGTTAGTGTTTCTTCCTGACTCAGGGGATTTATAAGGAGGCATTTCATTGAAGGCTGCTCTTATTGTACACAGCCTGTCTTAAATTTAACTCCTTATCAAAAAAGGTAAAAAATGCCAGAGACGTGTCATATCTTGGTTAAGTGAAGTGGTGACCTGGGCTCAAATACCTTCTTGATAGCGTATCTTACTTTTTTTCTTCTTTCTTTCTTTTTTTTTTCTCCACATAGTTTTATACCCTGAGGTTTAGACCCCCTGTCTAGGCTGTAGTTATGTGTCACTGAGACAGGGGCAGATTCAATAGGGGGTAACAGTCTGGGCCCTCCTTGCAACCACTTGGCCACCCCAAATCCTTTCATTTGCTTTTTTACTTTGTCAACAAGAAGTCTTGCTGGGTTGAAACTAGCTTCTTAGTTGCTGTCTTTGCATCTCAATATAGTGCATTGACTTGGTTTAATACATTGAATGATGACATACATAAGCTAAACTGCATTTTGAGGTTAAAACTTTTATTTGTGTCTGCATTGTTATATTATGATGTACTTAAAGTTAAAGAAAAAGAATCACAGGGGAATGTCTCATCTCATATTATTACATCTCATAGCAGATGTCTTAATTTTAGATGTTGTTCTCTCAAAAACATCATTATTACTCAGTTTTGGTTGTTTCTTTACACTTTACAGCCGAAACTCAAACTTTAACGATAAGATACTACACAATACCATATGATGTAACACAGTTTCGTATGATAATATGATATACTTTGTTTTGAAACTATGCCCCAGATTATAATCCTTTATAATCCTACTCTCTATGTTGTTGTGTAAACTAATGATACAGGGATCCTGTAAAAACTGAGAAATCTCAACCCCATTTTCACGTGTCATGCTCTGGGTCATATTTTCTTGCTGCTCTGCTAAAGAGCTCTGTTATGTGCTTGCCTGCCATGTTCTTCAGTGGTGTTTTAACTACATTTAACAAGTTAAACCTCTAACCACTGTCCAGGCATTCACACTCCAGGGTCTCCGGTTATTTTTTGTGGATCAGCATACAGCTGGATCCTTTTCACAATGTTGCCATGGAAATGCAGTTAACTTTTTAAATGTACAGGCAAAGACTCTTTTCCTTAAATGAGGCTGTTCTGGTCTAAACGGGACATTGGTAGACAGTTAACATTAGTGGAAATCAGAGGGTTGATAAATGCAATCCATTTGTGTGTATTCACAAAGACTCAAATCTACCTAAATGCATGTCAGTGACCCAGTTACACCACCCCCATCAAAGAGCGTTAAAGAGTCTGGATCTGCCTCTGCAGCAGGAATTTCAAACAAAACAAATAGTAGAAGCAGAACATTTGACTTTAAGTAGCTGCGAGCTTAGACTGTCAATTCACTGACATGAACAGTGATATTTTTGTTATTTGCATTTATTATTGTTTAAGGTGTTTGGAGAGAGTTCCAAAAGTGCTGAGGTGGAGCTGAGCAACCGACATGTCTTTCACTTAGCTCCTTATTTTCTGCAGCTTCTGGATTCATCCTCTCTCCAGATAACCTCAAGACTCTTTTTTAACGCTGCTTGTAGAGGTGTTTCCAAAAGTAGGCCTCTTATCTGGGCTAATGAAAGCTTGTGACATGCTGAACCTCAATGGATCCACTACATTTTATCACCCGTCACCCCACCCTTCCCTTCTCTGGCCTCTGCTCAGTGTCTGCTTGCCGCATCTGGTCCTGCTCTCTAAGTATACTGCAGAATGATGCACTTTAACAACCCAGAGTTTAATAGTAAAGACTGTTGAACCGGTTTGATCATTAGTTTACATCCCCCACAAAAATGTCTGAGGATGATCCCACTTTTACTTGACAAAGTATACATGGAGCATCACTGTGTTTTCCAGGCCTGTATCAGTCTCTCTGCTGTTGTCGATCCTGCATATGGATCACTATGTCAGACAAGGCTTTCCTGCATTTGGCAGTAAGACACAAGAGGCGACTAAGAGGCTTCAATCAACCCTTTAATCTCTAACTTCCTGTTTGTTTCTTGTGTCGTCCTCAGAGCACCGATGTGTGGAGTCAGCCAAAATACGAAACAAGTATCCTGACAGAGTACCGGTGAGTAAGGGGGGTGGTGTTTTCAGTAATGGAGTGGAGTCTGAACAGGCTGGGGTAGAGGGACAGAAAGGGATAATGAGTGAGTGACTGTCCACACATCACTGTGAATGGCAGTGGTGTGTGTGAAAGAGGAGAAAAATGAGTGTGAGACTGTCTTAAAATTTCTTAAAATCCATGTACTGTCTGAAAAAAAAACTGGGTCAATCAACACAATAATAATAGACACAATTTGAAACACCAAGAGACTTTATGGACAATTTAGATGTTTTTTTCTACATTTTCGACGTTAAATTTGCCTTCTTGACCTATTTTTAATCACCTGTATCTCTTGACCACCTCAAACTCAAAGCTATAGAGGTACGTTTTAGCCAGATGAATCCAAATATACCCACTGATCCCTTTGCTATCGAGTAACTACAAAGTAAAGTGTATTCCACAATGACAGGAATATGTCTTTTTCACAGTTGTTTAACAAGACAAAAATGATTTGTGAAGATAACATAAGTGTTTATACAACTGTTTGCAGAATCTATTAGTCACAAATGAAGAGCGACATATTAGATACATGCAGCTATATGACCATGGGTGCTAACTGTATAGTCACTTGGTAATAATATGTGGTTGATAATTTGCAAACATAAACAAAACCACCCCCATTCTTCAACACCTCTGAAAAGTGCGAGGACAGCTTTGCATGCCAGCAGGAAGCTTTTTCGAGTAGCACTCCCGGAGACTGACACCTCAGGTCAGGGTGCATACAGAGAGGGATGTAGGGTGTTAAACAGCCTGCTACTAGGAAATGCTACCCTAAACCTTTTGTGTGCCAGGTAAACCGAATCCCTTTTATCTAGTTTCTGCATCCCCCACCTGTTTAAGGGAAGACTGCTGGGAGGAAAAGGAAACATTGTCAGTTCAGACAATTCAGAGTCTTAATTATCTAAGGTCACTGTATTGTTATACCTCATGTAAGACAATAGATCCACTCTGTCTATGGGGTCATAAACAAAAGCAGCAAGGTAAGAACTGTGCAGGTGATCAAATGACCTGTCAAAATGTGAAGGATTGGTAGTGATGAACCCATAGACAATTGTCCCTGACATATATTGTTTCCACACCTTACGGTGCAGTGTGAAGTTTTTAGCTGCATTTAGTTGAACAGACTTGGTTAAAAAAAAGAATATTTATGGATTTAAAGATAAGTGTGATTAGTGTATGATCACACGCGTGTAAAAAGCCTTTTGTTAACTTAAATTTAACCTTTTTTTGTATACATGGTTCCCTCTATTGGAGGTCACCATTTTGCCCCTCCATATCTCCTCTTCTCAAACTCTGTTTCGACAAACTAGTAACATACACGTTTTTTTATCTTGTAAGTTTCCATGTTTACTGATTTGAAGACATGGAAGAGAAGAGTGGCTGTGTTGCACAACAGAATATGTGTGGAAAGATGTTTTTGACAGTGAAAATTTGTCAAATGGAGGATCATACCTCTGATCCATCGCAGGAGCTTCTTGACCTTGACAGCCATTGTCACTTCATCTATGGGAGCGGTGAGCAGAGGAGGTTTTGATACTTTCCATTTCTGCCCATTTTATCTTTAAAGGCAACCACAGGTCATTCTTACTATTTTGTATTTCATTTTTGTCAGTGGAAGTGTCTTGTAGCACTTCTATTTTTTAAGTATTTTTTTAAACAATCTGAATTTGTTGCTCAAGATAAAATTTTTTAGATGTTACCAAAACTATATGATAATGTGTAGCAGAGGCTGAAGGTCTTGTATCATTTTTTAAGCTTGCAAAGTTGCATGTCATTATATCAGTTAACATGGCTTTAAGATCCTAGTCTAAGACAGATGGCATTTGTTTTTATGATTTATTTATTGATAAAAGTTTTAAGTATACAAATTGTAACATTAGTCTAGCAACACAGTGAAGTCTAATTTAACAGAAACATGGTAGGAAATACAGAACAAAGGTGATTTATAGTGTCTTCCACCTCAACAATAAGGACATGAAGGCTTGGACAGAAACAACAAGAGAGGGGATAAGCAAGTAGAAGGTATTTGATTATTCAGCACAGAGCACTGAGGGCCTGAGCAGGGTCAGACAGAAGGGAGCCAGGAGCCAAATCTAACAAGATAACACTCACTGCTGTAAAAGTAAAAGTGAAAGTGAAAGTCCTCTGCCTGGATGAAGGTTAAAGAGGCCTCTTGTGATGGAACTGCACTGCATATGGATTAAGCTCATGATAACAGAATATTATCTGGATGCATTCAAGTGTCTTTCGCTTCATTGCTTTGTTTTATAGCCTGGAACTGAACTTTGTGTTTCAGTCTCAGCGCTCTCATCAGATCTGTACTTTACACACAGTGGCAGCTATATTTCTAGCTAAAATGTGTGAGTAAGCCCACCTGCCTGCTACTGAAGAGCTGCAGTTGGTGAACATGAGCAGCTAATATTACTCTCAAAGCCTACCAGGAACTAAAATATTAAAGTAGAATAAATATACCTCCATGTTTGGGGTGGTTTTGAAGTCTTGAGGACACTACCATTCACAAAACTGTGGACATGCTCAATCATTGTATGTTATAAATCTGTTTTCCTGTTGTTGTATGTGCTCCAGGTGATAGTGGAGAAGGTCTCCGGCTCTCAGATAGTGGACATCGACAAGAGAAAGTACTTGGTGCCCTCTGACATCACAGTGGCCCAGTTCATGTGGATCATCAGGAAACGCATCCAGCTGCCTTCAGAGAAAGCCATTTTCCTCTTTGTGGACAAAACCGTCCCCCAGTCCAGGTAAGAGCAAAACACACATATGACTCAGTCTGCAGACTGCAATGTGTGCATTTGTAAAACAGAACTGCTAAAGGTGGGTGTTGGGTCTGTTATTAAAAGCCATAGTCTGATTTTCTTCTCGCGTGTATACGATGTAAAGTGTTTTTATGTGTCCATCAGTATTACTAGAGAGCAGAAATGTATGACTTGTTGTGCTGGTAACCTGTCACTCTGTGAAAGACGAGGGAGCCCCTCCTTAGCTCTCAGTTTTCGCCGTTTAGAAAACCCTATTTTCTGTCTAAACACACAGCTTTTGACATGCTAATGTGGAGCATACATGTCGTTTATCGCAGGAATCTGACCTGCTTCCCAGAGCTTTGTATCCTGTTGTGCCTCTGGTGTTAACAGTGACCTACAGGTTGCTGTTCTTTGACCTGAGCAACAAAGCTTTCATTAATCAATACTTAATCATTCAAAGCAATGTTTGCCACTGTGAAAGCGCCTCGAAAACAAAAATCAAACACCCACAGGTTATCATCACCGTTGTGTGATTATAGCATTTTAGCGATTTGTAAGGAAACAGGACACAACAGCGTGAGCATCTGATGTGACAAAACACTTACCGGCACACATTGTTTTCTCACCTATTACATTGTTCTCTTGCTGCTCCCGTTAAAACAGTGATTGATGTGCGTTTTGGTGCGGCTCCGGTGGCAGATTTTCTAATTGTCTCTGAAAATGAGAGAAATAGCTAAACATCTAAGCTAAAAGCAAAACTAAACTGGAAAAACTTTCACTGTTTTGGAAAATTAGTCTGACTTTCTCTAAATTTCGTATCAGAATTCAGGGCTGTCCATGCATCTGTTAATGGATAACTCCTTGAGCTAAATCTTCATGTTATTAAGGGGGTCCAAAGAACAGAACAGGTGTAGTCGTCTGAAAGGGATAAGTTATCTAAAGGATCAATCAAATAGTGGCTGTAATTTATGGACAGTAGTATTAAGAGTAAACTCTAGATGTACACTAGACACACTAAAATCCCATCACAGAGTAGTATCTGGCTGTGGGCTGGATGATGTTGGGTGAAACGTTGAAACTGTGGAGGCGGAAACTTCCAATAATGTAAGAAATGAAATGTTCAACCAGCAAATATTAGGAGGTCAAAGGTCACAGCCTCAGTGCTCTGGTATTATTACTGTTAAAAACACTAAGCATGTAGGAGAGGAGTGATAGAGTGGGAAATCAATAACTGCACCCTCCACAGGGGTTTAATGGTGCTGTTTCTCAGTGTACATGCCAGCAGAATGGTTTCTTGTGCTCAAAGGTTAGTCGTTAAACTCTGACTCAGACCACGGGTTTCGATGTGTGTGTTGGGCATTGTCGGGAGAATGTGATGATGAATGGGACTCTGTGGCTAAAACTATAAATGGCAGCCTAATTGGGAACAAGTCCAACACCATTCACATTGGCATTATATATTATCTGGTCTGTATGATGACCAAGAAGGTGTAACTTTTGAGCTGTATCTCCTGGCACCACTGTTGACTCCACTTGAGATATACCAGTTGACTTGTCACTGAAAATGTCCTGGAAAGGTCCTCGAAAATGATCCCCAGAAAAGAGTGGGAACTCGGTCCATTAGTCCTGTCTCCTTGTTCATCTGTTTACACTGACGGTGCCTTAGCTGTAGGCTTAACTAGCATCCCCCCTCTCTATTCCATCTTTGGTCCTTTCATACAAAAACAGCCAAGTGGAACAAAGATGGAAAATCTCTGACCTGAACCTTCTGGTGAGGTTCACATCTGAAAGTGGACTTGACCGCTTCTACTTGAGAAGTCCAGCCCTTGTTTTTGCATAATTTCTAAAATGTTATTGATGTTAGAAATGTTGTTGGGCTGGGCGATATGGCCTCAAATCAATATCACGATATAATGAGCAGTTCACTTCGATAACGATAAATGGACGATAACTACTTCACAAGCTGCTGACCCCCTCCCACATTAACTTGCCGCTCTTGCCACTACAACTTTTAAACCGCCCTCCATCTCCTCACCTGTTTTACTCTCTTTGTTACGGACTGGATGGGGTGGAGTCATGTCTCTGACGTAGTATAGCATCTTAAAGGATCATGAGACCATAGCCTACCTACACACATCCAAAACACACTTTTATTTTTTCTAATTTTTATGACACTGAATATATTGACATGGGCAAAATGACGTCGGTTATTGTAGTAAATTTCACTATCTGTAAATTTTCCATTTATCGCCCAGCCCTAAAATGTTGTACTTTGTTTTGTGTGTGATCTACTAACTGGGCTCTGTTCTGTGCTGTGTTGCAGTTTGACTATGGGCCAGCTGTACGATAAGGAGAAGGACGAGGACGGCTTTCTGTATGTAGCCTACAGCGGGGAAAACACTTTTGGTTTCAAGGCCTTTTGTACAACAAAGGGTTAATACCTCACAGATGACTACACACGCACACACAAACACACACACATGCACGCACACACACACAAACACATACACTGACACAGCAGGACCCATAAAATACTGGTGCATAATGTCTCAGATATGGTCTTCAGGTGTGTTCCTACTAATACGCTTACACACTTGGCTCTGTCATTTCTGGTCAGTTTTTGATACCAAACAGTCCACATTCAAGGTGAAAATCAACAACATAAAAATGCAACAATAAACAAGCTTGTTTTAATCAGCTGGTCAGGCTCAGATGATCATGTTTGATTATATCTTGATTGCTGTTTCAAGTTAAGTTGGGGAGAGAGTAATCTTAAACACTGCCGTTAACTAAAGATAACAATCACCACACACTCAAGCCACGTCAGACATCGTTGATTTTCAAGTATTCAGTAATAGCCTCTAAAAGAGACGCGAGCCAATCGTCACTCTATCATGCTACATGTTCCTTTAGTCCCGCTTGTTGTCACAGTTATTGGTGTTCAGCTGAGGAGAGGAAGAAATCCTATAATCATGTAAATAGAATCATTAACCATGTTATGGATGTATATGTGTGTGTCATCTTATCATGTATAACAACTTGACTATGTAACTTTATTCCACAGGATCACTTTAGTTGCTACGATAGGCAAAGAAGTTGCTATGAGTGTATCAAAGAAGGAAGCTCATGCTTTGCTGTGTGTTCACACTCAACATCTTTCCTTCGACGTCTCGCTCAGGGTCAAAGTTCACATGCTGTTGTCAAAAGGTGAAAATCCCACAAACACTAGAAATATAGCAAATCATTATTTTACCACTTTGCAACTGAAAAACAACAAATGAAAAAAATCAGTGTTTAGACCCGATTCAAACAAGGTTGGCATGAATTTGGACGACCTGTTGTCTCACAGTATCTAGATTTTTCCCTTTCCTTTTTTCTACTGCTAATCAATAAGTCGATTTAATGATGAAGGCGACCTGGATCCCCACATTTCGTACCTTTTCAACACATCAACATCTGAGCTTCCCAATCTGAGCCTGACGTCCCAGGAAAGTGGAAGCTGTGTGTTTGTGGTGAACTGTGACAGTGAGTGATGGTCGCTGTGCTGTCAGCTGATGAGTAGGCAGAGGACAGAGGACAGGGTCAGTGGCCAGCACCAGTGCTTCCCAGCCTGGCTTTTATTTGCACATTTGGTTGGATGTAGATGTCGGCACCATCCAGGACTCAAACTGCAGGTCAGGCACGTCAGTGAAACTCCAAAGACGCCAACTCTTTACTTGTGGTCGTTTGTGTTTCCCTTAACTTATTCACCCAGATGTTTTACTTCAGCTAGAAGATCTCATTTCAGTTCAATTTCCTGCATTTTCAGTCATGTCTTTTTCAAACTCAAATTCAAGCTCAAAACCTCCCTCCACAGTTTTCTCCACAGCTCATGAGAGAAAATAACAGCCCAAAACAAACTTCAACGAAATAGAGTGATGTTGGTCAGCCCAGGAAGATAAACAGAAAAGTGGTTTCTCTCAAAGAAGTGTTAGACATCCACTAGATGTTGTAGTGCACAAGAACAGACACACATACAGGTTATAAAATGTGTGTGACGAACGTTGAATTTGAGAGGACATCGTTATGTTTTCTCCAATTCTGGTTTTGGGAATGTTAAATACAATTACACCTTTACCGACTGGGATATAGGACCAACTTCATCTGGAAAAAGGGGCGTTATGAAACTATTCCAAATTGGAATTGGAACTTTTACAAATTTTGATAACCAAAGAAGAGTCAGAGGTTCTGATTTTAAATACTGAAGTGCATCAGTCTGTGCCTGGTCTGTTTTATCTTCTTGTACATCAAGTAAAAGACTAATTCTGCCTATCAGGGCATATAAACCTTAGATGTCAAACATGAGTTGCGTTTTTAGATTTAGATGACACCTTAAAAACTGTATCACTACAAAGCTTTGTTATTAAGTTTAATAGTTATTAAGTTTGTAATTCCTCAGGAGACTGTGGAAATTTTATAAAACTGCTAATACACTGTGAGTATTTTCATCAGTGGGTTACCAGCAGGTACATGTCAAAAACACCACAAATGTTTTATTTCCTTCTGTCATAGTCGTTACATTGATACCAGAGATACTCTCATTGAAAAGAAGGAAGTTTGATTGAGTAGGAAACATTGGTTTTTAAAAAGTGCTTTCCCATGATTATAAACATATTAAATATTCTGATAATGAGGCTCTGTGTTAGGGAGGAACATGCGCACACACGCAGCCCTGCAATGTAACGCCTCAAACACTTCAAGTTAAGAGTTGCTTGGTCTTTGGCCCTGCAGGTTTCTGAGTTGTTAGCACCACTTGTAATCTTTTCACTCTGATGAATCTGAAGCTGACATTTTGGCTGCAGCTGTAGCTTTTGGTGCTGAATCAGAGGAAGACATCTGGTGGATTTCCACCCTTTACTTGATCGATCAAAGTATTCATGTCTGTGCACCGCAAAGCTGGATCAGGCTTTTAATATGCTATGTAGATGTGTAAAATACAGATGGAATGCTATCATATTCAGTATTGTTTTCTGTCATCAGTGTTGTATGATTGATAAACATATCTTATAGCAATTTTAGATATCTGAAAAGGAAAGGTAGCTGGAAGACCTGACCAATAAAAATGAGTTTAAAATGAACTAAAAGTTGTTGTTTTCTCATTTCAAACAACGATGTCAGAGCACAAACATGCACATTTTAGTTTTATAGAGTACATCTGTATCTGACACAGATGTGACTCATGCTCTCAGACTGAATGACAGCTGAACAGCCATTTGTGGTCTTTGAGCAAAATTTTGATGAATACAGGCTGTTTGGCTGAAGACATGATATCCGTGTTAATCCCCTTTTTTATTTTAGCGATGGGCATGTTCCAGTCCTTCTTGGGTACGTTGGTCCTAATCCATACTACTTAAAAAAGGATTTTGTACACATGCATGAGTGTAAAAGCTGTATTATTCAATTTAACAGGCACTCAAGTGGCCTCCAAAGGGGGGATGAAAGCAAAGATTTATAAGCTAACAGTTACTGAAGACTGAAGGAAAAAGCCACCCTGAAAGAAAAATAACACCACTTAAAATAGGCTGATGCTTTGTTGTAAATGACATATTTACCACATAAAAAAGCAGCAAAAACAGAATTGTAGATTTTTATTTACAAAAAGGGCTTCATGTCAAATAAAAGGAAAATACTGTCGAGGTCTTTTCTGTTTTGGTTTGGTGTGCGATATCCAGCTGTCAAAAACTGACATAAAAAGAGTCCATGAATGTTGCGGTGTGTTTCTGGTGACCTCCAACATGATATGAAAAAAGTTCTGTGTACATTTGTGAATGAATAACAGTAATCAATACTCAGGAGACATGCACTGTCTGGGCAGGCCTTCAAGCCATCAGGATGAGAGGGAACTGAGGACAATTTCCATCGAAAGGAGTTAGTTGTAAAAAAAAAAAAAAAGGTGCAATGATAAATCAAAACAAGTAAAAAAAAATTGCCTAGTCTAGAGACTACTGTCCTTGTCACCGTGGTTGCATGTTTGATTCCTGGCCACAGACCTTTGCATACATGTCCTCTCCCACTCTCTACTCCCCACATTTCCTGTTTAGTCCAGTTATCATATCTAATATAGGCAAACTGCCCCAAAACAGGACTTCGAAAAGACGGCAAGGACCTTTTTTTGTTTGTTTTACTAAATCAATTCTGTATTATATAGTTCAACCATAACAAGGTACTAAGACATGCTGCTTTACCATCAGTTGAACTACTTGAAGTTCACTGATAATTCACTATCAGGAAAGGCCCTAAAACTTGAAACCCTGTTATAAAAAAATACAACAGCGGTTACAGAGCCATGGTTGATTTCTTTGAGCTAACCTGAGGCAGAAATGCAGAATTTCATGCATGCATCAAAAAAATCAAAATGACTCAGTATGGGTTAATCATTTTAAGGATTCCCTTCACAAGAACCCCCCAGACCACATCTGAAAAACCTCAGATTACTTCAAATACTCACCTGAAAACTCCAGTCCATCACAGTTTGATGTCTGGACATGAGAAGGACCCAACTGTTAAGCTGACATTTGACTCTGTATCCCCATGTGTGAGACAAATGTCCACGACTTGAAATAGTAAGACCCAGGTCAGGTATACAGATCATTAACAGCAACAATTGTCTCTGAATACGTTTTGTCTTCAGTCACCCACACAGGAGAACATTCAAACTACATTCAAACTAGGACAGGGTGTCAGACTTAGAGCTGTGTCCAGTTGCAGACAGGTGTGTCCAGTTGTGTTTAAACAGTGTGAATCCCTCACAGTTGCAGTCACAACATTTTACGCTCATTTAAAAAGAAGAAAGCATCATCTGAGGACACAGAGGAGCGGTCATCAACCTCTCTGAACAGCAGGACAGAGCTCAGCGTCCTGCTGTTGTGAGTCGTGAGAGAGTCTAAAACAGTCAAACACTATTTATGCGGACAGACCAGCTGACCCAACAAGTGCTGAGAAATGAACTCTGCTAAGGTAAAAGTAGACAAGTTTGTCGTCATGATTCAGGGTGTTTTTCTCATTAACCAGAGGCTTTGTTTCTACCGTCCGTCACTTGAAGAGAGTTTCACAGACCCAGGATCAGACCTGGAAGAATAACAGTCCACTCAGACCAGCAGGTTATTTTGACATTTGACTTGTGAGTTCTCACTACGAACACAGGCACTTTCTCATCGCCCCTGAGAAGGACACTTCAGCTTCAGATACAGGGCTTTCAGCGAAAGAGCAAAAGATCTCTGCTGCTGCATGGCCACAGAGGGAAAGCCTGGCTGTGCAGCTGCTGACGGGCCTGTTGGTACGACTGAGCTGCCTGCTTATAGTCCAAGTATGTCTGCAGATCTGCTCTCCTGAAAAATACACAGAAACAAGCATGAGGGGAGGACTTACCACTGTGATTGATGGGTTTTTGACTCTACTGAGTCACATCTGCCTAAACTTGCTCTCTTGTGCTGCAATTTACCTACTTTTTATTCCTGGGCTGCCTGTAGAACTTTGATAAAACCCAAAACTGCTTTTTTTGCCTCCTAAAAAAACTCTAACACTAAAACAGTTTGTTTTCAAAATCTTAAGAATAAATGTTTATGTTTTTTTTTGATGATGGGACTCGAACAGGGGTCGATGCGTCCTGTGTTTTCACTGTTGGTGTTTTCAGCCAATCACAGCTCTTTCAGTTTTCAGTCCTGGTTTATGCCGTTTGGCTTATTATTAGGAGTCATAAACAGAACAGAGGCATCATTGATAATAACACCTGTTTTTTGTAGGAGTCAAATTTTTTTGGTGTGAAAAAAAAAGGTTACCTGTTAGAGGATCAACATGTAAGAATCAGCATCAAGTTACTCGAGTCACGGCATGAAGAGTCGATCTTAACAAGACAGTTTGGATCTTGCTGCCCACGTTAAAGTCATGCTATAAAAACAATGCAGACAAAAGCGGAGACTCCCTGCTACCTTATTGCTTCTTCTAATCCGATATACTTTTTCATTGCAGATAATGTTGTCTTTGTGTGAGGGGGCCAGCTGAATGTGTGTGCATGAGTGTGTTCTGTTGATCCGTCAGTGGGCCAGGCTGGGATGGGATCAGGTTATCGGCTAAAACTCTAATAGACAGAGAAGCCACTGTTCTGCCTTTTGGAGATGTTTCTCAGTCATTAGCACACACAATGACACAAACACACATCTGAATACACACACCCACTCACACATACACGCACACACACAATTTGTTGGGTAATCTCAACAAAGTGAGCTATCTGACACTTGATACTCTCTTGGGAGGAATACCGGGGACATCGTTCACATACACAAAAAAGAAAAAAACCTGAGTAGTAAACAGAGGCACAGGAGGGTCACACACATTAGTAAAATAACACACCAGACTCATTAGTTAGGTCAAAATGAATCAAAAAGCACAACTCAACACTTTACAGGTGCCACCAAAGCTCCAGCTTGGATCTCTCATTCTACCAGACCCTCAAAAGTAAAAGTAAAAATCAGCTATTAGTGAACCTGGACCCTGTTTTTTATGAACTGTAATGATTTGTTTTGGAATTTACTGCTTTAGTTTGTGATCACAACATGGACTGTAAAGGATGTAATGGGAGTAAAGCACATACTCTAAAACAGGGTTCCTACACATTTGGAATTTACCCTACTTTTTAGAAATCATGTTTGGAAATTCCTACTTTTCTATTTTTAGAAAACAGTATTTTATTACTGCGATAATATAGTCTGTTAACATAAATATTTTCCATACTTTATTTTTCATTTACCATACTTTTTAAGACCTAGAAACTGATCAAATTACTTCCATACTTTTCCATACTTGCGTGGGAGCCCTTCTAAAAGTGTTTGTTTTTGCACTGACAGACTAAGATTATTCTATAATCTGTCTGACAGCATTATGAAATAACTCCCAGCGCAGTCAAACTGGCAGCAGTGATTGCTGATCTTTGATTGTTTTTATTATCATTTACTGTTTTTTTTTTGTTACTGTCACCCTATACTTCAGCAGATGAGACAAGATCTACCCTAAAGCACACATTTTGACAGCCAGAGGATCTTAAATCCCTCTGTTCTCGGTTGCTCTGATTAGATGATGCTGTTTGAAGCCACAGCAAGATCATGAAAGACCCTTTTGTTTTCTTACCTGAGAGAGTCAGGAAGTGCTGCGGGGTCAGTTGCTGATACCAGAGACAGGAAGGAATGAAAAAGCTCCAGTTTACACAAGAGAGACCTGGAGACACACTGAGATGTTAGAATATAACCTCACTGTGGTGAGAACAATAACAAAGCTAAATAATGAATTCTCATTAATGATGTTTACGCCTGATGTGAGCGCATTGGCTTCACCTGGCTTTGGCGGTGCCCAGGACCTTCTTAGTGACTCCATGTTTAAAACCGTTTGCAGTGACATCCAGTGGCTGCTCAGGAACATTACACCAACTTATGGCTGAAACACATGACCACAACTTTTACTCGAGAAACAAAACCTCCAACAGCAAATGACCTTTAAAAAAGTATAAATACTGTATTTTTAGGGTTAATTCTGAAAAAAACTGAGAATATATGGTTACCTGATGATCAAACAAAATGTCTGATGCCTTTGTCGTCTGAGACACAGTCACAATAATGTGCATATTTTAAAATCACTGTGTATATTCATGCACATTTTTGAGCATTCTTACCCTTTTATGACTTTCAAGGAGACACAGACTTTGTACCAGATGGTAAACAAATAAAGACATCGTCTCCAAGGTCAAGGATGTAACTGGTGGCTGAAATTCTTGATCTGGTCATCCAGGGTTTCAGATATTAAAATTGTTAACTGAGATAATTGGAGGTTAAATTTTCCCCAAATGTCTCCATCTGGTGAGCATGTGATCAAACAGGAGGGTTGTTTATCTTTGATGTGATCAAGTTTGTTAAACTGAGCAAAGAGACTTGTGTGGAGTGAAAATTGCAACCAGACCTGGATAATGACCGGCTGTTTGAGATTTTGTGGGGTCCAGCAACAACCACCGGTGAAATGACGGTGACACATGTTTTTGTTACCTACATCAGTTTCAACAACATTTATCAGCTTGTTGCTCTTTTCCCAATCTGTCCTGCACCTGTATGGCTGTGTGATCTGATACAGAGGAGTGTTTTTTATGAGCAGTCACATTTGGATAGAATGAATGTTTAACAAATCAACAAAAGGTCTTCCTGAAGGATTTAATTTTAACACCAACACTTTGAGCATCATCTCAGACTCAAACTCAATAAAGTGTTCCCAGTTTTCGTCATCAAAAGCTCATGTCTTGCTCATTATTGACTGTCGATCATTTCACTGTTATGAATCTAAATAAGACACTTAAACACAGCAGACTGACACTGTTGTCATGTTTTGAGGGACACCTGTGAAAACATGAAATACTTTTCCTTCTGCTGTTTGTCTGGATGTGAAATATCTTATTTTCCAGGTCAAGAGGAAAGATTATATTTCTGGTGCATGGAAATCTTGACAAAGCTAAGAAAATATGGCGCCCCCTTCTGATACATATGGAGCTCTACATCTCTTCTTGTTTAGCAGACTTTGCACTCTTGTCTCTGTTTGTTTTTGACTTCAACTCATTTTCTTGCAGCTGCTTTCTTGTTATTTGCGTACATCTGTTTTTGTGTTTTTTGTCTTGGTTGTCAGGTGTTGAAATAACATGTGATGTAACTCAATTTTTAATGTGACAATTAAAACCGCTTAGATACAAGTCTCAAAGTGGTTTCAGACAGTGTTGATACTTCACACAGAGGGAAATCATCACCAGGCATAAACTTGTTTTGGTCTGTTTCCTCTCAGAAAAAATACCAAGCTAACAAAACCAGCTCCTTGCAGCCTAATGAATCCAATGAAACTCTATTAACAGGGTCTCTGAAGCTTTCAACAAGTCAAATTTAAGACGTTTTTAACTTTTTAAAGACCTTAATGAATACAAGTTAAAACTCATTTTATATCCATACTGGCAAAAAAGTATGAAAGACATGAAGGGAATTCAGAACATTTTACATGACATTAAATCAATCTCAATTCCTGTGGCACGTTATTTATTTATAAGTAGAGTTGATACATTTTTAAGACCTTTCAAAATTGTATTTAAGACATTTTATGATATTTTAAGAGGCCTTAAATTCAAATTGTTTGATTATAGACATTGTAAGACTTTTTAAGACCCCGCAGACACCCTGTTTAAACACAACTCTGGACACCAACATGTGTAAAACATACCAAGAATACAACCAACGCTGGTCAAAATCATCTCTAAACTCTAAAATCTTCTTTTTGATCTCAACATTTAACATGAGACCAAAAAAGAGGATTTTAAATCTTTAGTGAAATTTAAAGCCAAACCAAAGTGTGACTGTGTGAATGAATGAATGATGTATCCAATGTAAAGCGCTTTGAGGGTCTCTGATAAAGCGCTATCCATGACACACGTTCATGTTGTATAACTTTGACTAAAAGCCTTTAACTTCAGACCCTTAATATTTATCGTAATGTCAGATTTACTGGAGCTGTCAAATTTTAATTTCCCTCTCATGGGTAAAAGGTTCATGATATAAACTCTGTTTAATTTGGGTAAATGGAGATTTAAGTAATTTTATTTCACATGAATGATACAAAAGTGGTTCACTCTGTTCTTTCACATTAGTGTGTGTGTGTGTGTGTATTTGACCATGCAACAGTACCTGCCCCACAGGGAGAGACCCGTCCCTGACCGACCTGGTGTTGGAGCTCTGTCTGTGCCTGGCTGAAGGGGAACTCCAGGCTAGATTGGAGCAGCGCAGGTGAACACACAGAGAAACCAGCAGGGAGGTCCGACACATGGGAACACCTGGAGAGAAACAGGGGGAGGGATGTCATTGTAGAAAGGCTGCTGGCTCACCCACACAAAAGACAAACCCTTCAAACACTGAGCAGGAGCCTCAACTAATTTGTCTAAACTCTATATGGCATGAGTGTAAACAGTATTTCCTTAAATATAAGAAGAGAAGATTATACTTTAAGATTCACTCCTTCATTTTGACACACTCCTCACTGATCTCAGTCTTGAGTTTTTCCAGTTGAAGTGATGAGGCTAACCTCTATTCATGTATTCATAGACAAAACAATGATTATTTTTTAAAAAAGCAGCGCAAAACAAAACAAATTACGTCAAGTAATATGAGTGGTAAGATAAAATTCCTGCTCTCAAAACCTTACACATATATTCTTTTACACACTGTACGACAAAAAAACAACTTTGAAGTCTCTCTATATTTAACTACTTATCAACAACCTTCTCCTCCTGACCTCCCTCCTCACCTGCTGATCAAAGCTCTCTGCATCGCTTCATGACTGTACGGACACTTGCCCACCACCACAGTGCTGAAGTAGAGCGCCTCCTGTAGGTAGTGGGACAGCAGTGCACCTTGGAAACCCAGCACCCCCCAGCGAGCCAGTTTGTCACTGCAGGAGAGGGAAAGAGTCGGCTCACCTCGCCCAGGCTTCACCCGCAAGACCCCTGTGCTGTGGTATCCTGTCCCAGGGTGCAGAGGGTCTGTTGGGCCCCCAGGGACACACTTAGCTCCGGTTCTGTGGATGTCTGGGACTTGTGGATCTAGTCCAGCTCTGTCAGAAAGGCCTCTGGTTTTTGTCTCCAATCCAGCTGAACCTTGTGAGAAAGTTTCCACGGGTGTTTTTGTAGAGGGAGTCTTGGAGAGATCTTCACTTTTTAATGCCTCGGTTGTCTCCTGTTCCTCCAGACGGCAAACTTTGATGTTTTTCACTTCATTAGGTTCCTCAGTTTTCCTTTTCAGATTCCCGACTCCATCAGTTCTCTCTGAACTATTTGCAGATGTAGTAACAGGGGGGCAGGGCTGAGATTGGCTTTCAGTCATGGGGACAATGGAAGCATCTCCACCTGATAAGAAGCAAATTATTCAAGCAAAAATTCATTCGGTAAAATTGTCTCAGGTGACAGGAGGGGAATGCAGGAAAATTGTCTGAAAATCCATCAGTGATGTGATAATTATGAGGTTTCTCTCATTTTTAATTTCTATAAATGATTCTCATACATGAAAAATGGATATTACTAAATCTGGCACAAAAAAAGCCGGAGGAAAAAAGTCGATAAAACACCACCTGGAACAAGATCTGAGATTTAAAATTCACCTCTTTTCATAGATAGAAATAGATTCTTTAAAAAAGACTTGATTTTAATTCTGTAGGTCCATAAGTTTAAATAAGTTTTTGTGGTTATGTTTTGTCAACTGCAAACTCACAGGGAGTGTGGCTGGTGAAGAACAGGAAGGAAACTCCAGGCTGAAGCTTCCACTTCCCTCGCTCGTCTGCCTGACAGAACACAGAGCTTCCCTCGCCGTTCACGGCTCTGTGAAGTTCTGCTATCAGATACCTGCACACACACACATACAGCAGACAGTAAGACAGTGAGAGCCCTCAATCACACTGTATGCAGGAGTGAGTCAGTATGAAGCACGAGAAAAAACTGAAAACAGACCTGATACATCCCCTCCTGGCAATGATTTCAGCGTGACTGTCATTTAGTACATCACCTAAAAAGACATGAGGAAGATATATTGACGTACGATTTCAAAAGTTTTAATAGATATATATATTTAAACGGGAGTCTTATAAGCTTTCCCAGATGTCAGTGTTTCACACAGCTTGATAAATGTATTTGTCAACTGCAAACATCAGGGATCAGGACAACTCTAAAGGCCAACATGGCTTGGATGCATCAAAACAGGCCTGGCTGAGGAAGGTTGAGGAAGGCCATCCCAGCACGATTTGGCCAAATGCACTAAGTGTGATGAATGTGTTGGGGCGCACTAAACATCCCTCTTAGCATCATGAATAGTTATTAAGTATAAGTCCTGGACTTCATGCTGCCACTGAGAACCCATCGCAGCCTGGAGACAGCAGCAGCAGCAGCAGTTACAGCAACAATATTAAGACCACACACACCGTTTGGACTCATAGCTGTCTGTCCGATACATTTGGTTCCAGTTCCCAAGGACACAACCTTTTTTTCCACTGTGGAAAGAAGAGAAAAGCTCCATTATTACACAGCCTACAACACAACTTGTCTACTATTCTGTATAAATACACTTTCTACATTATCATTATTATAAGTAGTAGTATAATGGTTATTTTTTCATTCATTTGTTTTATTGTTGTTTCTCCCACTTGCTTCGTCTAAGTATTTTATGAAGTCTACAGTGCTTTTTTTCATTTAAAGTCTGTATTTTCAAACTCAATGTTTGTGCTGTGCTGTTTCACCTCACTACACAGTCATGGAAAAAACTATTAGATCATCTTTGTTTTCTTCAATTTCTTGTTTATTTTCATGCCGGATACCACTAAAGGTATATAACCTGAAAATACGATGAATGAAACTAAAAATGCAGCTGATTCCATGATATTTTATGACCTATTTGACACGCTTAAGCTTAATTGTGTTCCCAGGGTAAATGAGAGGCCATTTCATGTCATTAGCAGCACTGCACATGCAAAGGCCTAGAGTTGTTTACCGCTGACATTCAAGTCATAGCACAACTAAGATGTTGTCAGCTCTAACATTATGTCTAAGACAAAATAAGTGACTGACGCCACAAAGGCAGCCATCTTGGCAACGCTGGAAATTGGCATGAGAAAGAGACAGGTAGCCAAAAAACGAAATGTGACTTGTTCAGCAAGGACAGTTTGAAATCGACTTCTTGAAGCTGGTCTAAAGTCACACAGGGCACAGAAGAAGCCCTTCATCAACGAAAGGCAGAGGAAGTCTCGGTTACTCTTTTCTAGGGATCTCAAGGATTGGACTGTTGATGATTGGGCTAAGGTTCTCTTTAGTGATGAATCCAATTTTGAGTTGATGCCCATTCCAGACAACTTACTGGTTAGGAGGAGGCCTGGAGAAGCCAACAAACCAGACTGTCTTGCCCCTCCAGTAAAATATGGGGGTGGATCGTTGATGATCTGGGGTTGTTTCAGTATGGGTGGAACAGGGCAAATGCAGTTGTGTGGCGGGCGAATGAACCAGATCACATACAGAGCTACTCTTGAAAACAGTCTTCTTCCATCAGCTGATAAACTCTTTCCTGGCTCAAATGACTGGATTTTCCAACAAGACAATGCCCCTTGCCTCACGGCAAAGTCAATTTAAGTCTGGATGGAGAACCAAAACATTCGAACCATGCCTCGGCCTGCTCAATCACTGGATCTTAATCCAATTATAAACCTGTGGAACACCATCAGACTCAAAATGGAAAACCACAAGCCCAAAAACAAATCAGATTTGGTAGAAATTTTGTGGGTTGCTGTGACAGCAGAACAATGTCAGAAGCTGGTGGAGAGCATGCCAAGACACATGGCTGCAGTCATTAAAAACAGTGGCTATCCAATCTAGGACTAACTTCTGTGTGTATCATGTGACCAACAGACAGGAGAGAAAACATGGAATGACTAAAAGCTTTGTTTTTGGCAGAACAATGCCATAAGTATTGATGTTAGAACTCAAGTGATTTTGGTTATTATCAAGAAAACCATGGAAAATGGCTCGATATCAGTTCTTAACTTAAACTCTTATGAGCTATTTTCGTTGTTATCATTATTTTTATCAATAATTTTGGTGTTGACTGTATTTTGGTGTTGGTTATAGTCCATCGTACTTGAAACAAAGATTTACTTTAAGGTCTTGTCCAGACAGTGTGGCCCAACTGTTGCACTGATTTATTATATAAGGGTGGAGAGGAGCATGTGTGCACGAACAGAGACACACACGTGATTGAATAAATATACTTCATTTAACATTGTTTCCTCTACTTCTGTCTACTTTGACAGCTGACAAAGACTGTACAATATATTAAAGGCCCAAGAGACAGATTTGCAGGTAGAGGACTGAAATAAGTGAGATAAAAATAAGATATGGTTTTTGATTAGTTGGAAAAAATATAGTCACAAATTTTTATAAAAGGTTATGTTCATTTTTTTTTAAAAATCATAGCTCCATTAATTATAAAAAAAGATTTATGCTTTAATTTCTTAAAAATAAGAGTTAAATGCTCTAAGTACTGACAGGATTGATTCAGTAAGGTGGATTTGAAAAGTTTGTCTAACCTCTGTCAGAGTCTTCTGCACACCGGCTGGTTTGGACCACAGCGGCCAGCAGGGTCCACTCTCTGCCCGGATCAGGCTTCCCTCTCCGGGGAAGCTCTTTGAAACGCTCGTAGCAGAGTTTGGAGATTTCATCCGCATCCACCATGGTTTACACCCGGACAGAGAGGAGTGGGTGGAGGCTGACAGGCATGACAAAGCTGCTTCACAGTAGATTTCTTTAGAATAGTAACTAAAACGACGATTCAATAATCTTCATTGCCGGTCTTCTTTACTAAACTACTCACATCTACATTTACTTCCGGGCCAAAACAACAGACGATGTACCTTCACAATAAAAGTCCACAATAACAACGCCGAATAACGATGATCAAAACTCCTCAATTTGTAATTTAAAGAAGGTAAATAAATGCACAAGGATGAAATTGTACTTATATTGCCACACTAATATAAAATTAAAGGTTGTTTATTATTGAATTGTCATGCTTCTGTCGAGAAAAGCATGATTTTCAGACAGTTTTATGAAATGTTTTGGATTTTTGGCACAAACAACGTTGTACTAATTCTAAATGTGTGTCAAAGTTTTCTTCTCGAGTAGAAATATTTTGATAGCTTAAAATAAATTTTCTATCTATATGAGAAACTAAAGAAATCTCCGTGTGAATAGTTACTAAAATTAAATATGTCTGAATGTAGTCTTTCAAAGTTGCATTCTTGCAGGCTACTGTATTGATTATTTATTATTAAACTGATGAATCAATTGAATGTGATTTAATACGACTCAGATGGTGACATCCTGATTTAGGAAAAATAAAGTTAAATCAGAAAATAAACAAACAAAAAAGGTCAGAATATACTATGTAATTGAGTCAGTTAAAGCCTATATGAGGAACTTTTGTTTTTGCCAGTTTTGGTGCCCCCTATGGACCATACTCTCTATGTTGAACCTCTCCTCAACATACTTGAGTGGTCACTTTAGATAAGATAAAAAAAAATAACAAATAAAAATCTTACATACATAAAAATCGTCACTCTTATTGCTAATGGTCTTGTTTGCTTTTAGATGTCATCGTAAGGTATTAATGTGAATTTCAGGCTACTATAAATCTCCTCTTAATATGAGCTTAAAGTAACTGTACTCAGTATTTCCTCTGAAACCTTTTTTATTCAGTGTTAACCAGCAAGTTTACAGGTACCTGGTCATTAAAAGTCCTTGCTTTGATTATTTGGTGATGTGGCTAAAAGAAACATCTACATCTGCTGCCTCTTGGAGTTAATCCCTGTACATATGGTTTATGTAACTAGGAGAATAAACAGACTCTACACTTAGATATTGTGAAAAATAATCACATTAAGACTCTTAGGAATCACAGCATGGCTTCAGACTTCAGACCTGAGTTGTCAGTGCAGTCTGAAAATTGCTTATTGTTTAATATTTGCTTTCAGTATGAATGCTCACCCATCTGTTCTTTCCATGGTAATAAAAAACTAAAACCAATGTATTCATAATAACGGAAATGGGGGCTATTCTTTGATCGTGTATTATTTATATTCTGTACAAATGTAAATGTGACTCATGTACATATCATTTTCTTTTTTCTTAACTTAACTCTAAGTTTCTTTATCCTTTAATTTCTCTATTCATGTCTGTACTATGTTGTTGTAAATTTGAAATTTCCCCCTGTGGGACTATTAAAGGAACATCTTCTCTCATCTTATCTTGCAGCTGAAACGAAACAATGTAAGTGCTTAAATTGCTCAAAAAAGCACAAACAAGAGCACACTCTAAATGTAAACTCCCTTCAGGCGCATGGACACCACAAATGTACGATAAACTAGAAAAGTCCAGCACACTGAGAGTCCTTGAACTGATTTAAGTTAAGGACATGCCTGAAGGGATGTACAGCCGAGCATGGAGGCGTACTGCAGCAAGGCTATATGTCTCCGTACTCTGATTAAATTAGTTAAAGGACATTCAGTGCTTGGGACTTCTTCGGTAAACAGGGCTTAAATTGCTGCATTTTGGTTGTGTATTCATTCAAACCAACCCTGTACGAATGTGACAGTAATGTGTCTCTTTAAAAAAAAAAAGTGAACAGGTCTCAAGATTGAAATCTCATTTATTTTAGTTATGTACAGGAAAAAAAAAGCTGAATTTCACAATTAACATGGAAATGAAAAATAAAATCACATCTCATCTCTCTGGCCTCTGTCACATAGGCGCACTGGTTCATGATAACATCTCACTGCCTCTTGTATCCAGACACACACACACACACACATGCACACACACTGACACACATTCAAACCCTCTCATCCTCTCTCTTTTTATCCATCTTTCTCTCAGTCACTTTAAATGTTTAAAAAAATGTATTACTCTCTGGTAGATATGTTATACTGCATTTGCAGGGAAGCTGTGCTGTTTTGTGATATTTAAACTATCCTGTTGTCTGGTTTTGGTGCATCTTTAAGCAGTGGGTAGAAGTGTACCTGTGTGGGGTGAGCCTCTCATCAAATATAATTCTATGTGCCATCTTTTCTGACTCTTACAGACACAAACCACTTCTATGCATATACATAATGGCAATAAGGTTCACAACCGCACACTCATACACACGAGTAAGCACATGCTCCTCCTCCAACCTTATCGCATGATTCAGTTCACAGATACGATCCATCCCCAGGTGAGGGGCTGTAGATGATCAGCCCTGTGATTAACAAGTGCAAAAAAAAAAAAAAAAAAAAAAAAGATATTTTTTAAGAAAAACTATCTCATTTAATTGACTCTTTCTCTTTTTTATTCTGCGTCACTCCTGTCCAAAGCCCTCTGTCTCCTCGATGGCGAACAGGAGTTTCTCTCTGAGCTGTTCCAGGCTTCTGTAGGGCGGCAGATCCAGACGATTGAAGCTGGGGGAGGAGACACACGGGCCACAGTTAGCAAATCCTCTGTATGTTCAGAGTGGGAAATAACAGTTTTGTACAAAAAAAGGCATGTTATGTTGTTCTGTATTTTGGTTGAACATCAGTAGATACACAACCCTTTACTCTTCTTACTCAAAGCAGATAACGTCAGTTCATACTCTGATGTCTGAGCTGGAGTTAACATGAGCAACACATAAAAGAGGAGCCTCTCAAGTCCCAAACATCTGCGCTCAAACCAAAAGCTAAGAATGTTTCATTTTGTGGCAGTTTGACTCAGACCTGTGAACTCACAGTCTTTACACATGACTGCGTCTCTTCATTCTTCCCGGTATGGCAAGAAAAGTTTTGTTTTGTCTGGATTCATGACATCATCCACACGCAGCAACCCGAGTCTTGCCAGTGAGCGGTTTTAGAGCCTCTGATCACCTACCAGAATTTTATAATGGCTCAAGTAAAATTCTCCCACTGCATGAGTGGGGGAATAGGGGAGTTGAGGGTGCTCCAGCTCCACAGAAGCAAACCAGACAAAACAAAAAACCAAGAGGTTTCAAAAAGCTTAAGTCATGTTCTCCCGTTTCAGTAGATGAAGTTGTTACACACTAATAAACACACCAGTTATTTGATCGATTCACTGCTAGGAGTCTGTAAAGAGCTTTTAATACTTCCTGCACTTTGATATAATTCACAGCAGGCTGGAGCTTGTCCATCATAGTGAACACATTTCAGTGATTTGGAGAAACTTTCAACAAAACAAAGTAATCAAAGATGTCCGATCCTCAGAGACAGAGACAGAGCAGCAAAGACTTCAGCAAGAGCTGCATTTAATGAGTAAACGTAGAGCTGCCTGTGTTCAGAGAATGTGGACATTAGGATATGTTGTGTGGTTATATTATATTGATGAAACTTATATTACTTACTATAAGTGAGAGAGAGGGAGCATGGTGTTACAGACAGGGGTGGGATGACAGACAAAAGCATCATTTAATCATTTGCTCTAATGTAATAAAGTTTAATAGTGAAGTGACTGAACATCACTGCAGACTGGAGTAACAGAGCGACTCTGTCTCCTTTAAAAAGCTCTGAAGTGTTATAAGTGTGCCCTGATGGCCCAGTATCACATGGACCTTTGAACTCATGGGTCACGATGGGCGACTAAACTTTTTCCTCCAGAGCCAAAAATAAAATCAAATGTTAAAAGAAATCTTGTTTACTCTGAAAGAACTTCGCACATAGAGGCAAATGAGTCTCCGTTTGACCTTTGGTTACTTTACTGTACTACGTTTGCACAAGTCAGCAACTCACCATGTGTGGCTTCTTGGAAGCCAAGTCTCCTTCCCCACTTTGTCTATGCAGAACTTCTGGGGACCGTTACTTCCTGCAAAGGTAAAAGAAAAAAAAAGTTATCTCATCTAACAACAGTTTAAAGGCTTTTCACTGTCCTTGCTTTGGACAAACATGACACCAACACTTTTTACATTCTAACCATAAATCAAAACACGACACGTTATCATGCAAAGGCCAGTTTTGAAATGAGAAAACCTGGAGGGGGTAAATGTCACTTTAGTCAGGGTCACCGGCCACTTCAATCAAAGAGAGGCAATTATTTCTATGCAGTAAGTGACATGTGGCGTATAACTCAGTTTTAAGGGGTCCCTGTCCTTTCACATGTGTACGTGGAATGCTGAAGTCCACGGCGGGGAGAGCATACCTCCCCTTTGTTTCATGTGCATACATGAAAAATCAAGACAAGGAGGACAGCAGCAAAATGCCTGAGGTGCAGTTCAGAGCAGACACCAGTGAGAATACATGACACTGATAAAATCAGACGAAGCATAGAAAGGAGGAGCTGAGGTGGAGGCAAGTTTCAAAGTGGATTGCAGAGGGAAAACACACCTAATTTAATGTTTCCCAGCTGGTTGCATTTAGGTTGATCATCTGAGCTGTCAGCTGTTACAGGATGGTGTCAGAATCAGATGGTGTACTACGAGCTGAGTGAGACTTTGTGGTCGGCCTAAACTCAAATTTTGCTCAAATTGTTCAAGCATCAACTACCCGCATGATAGATACAGCACCTTCAGTTCACTGTCGAGTCTTTATTTGCAGATACCAATGATACCATCAGTGTGAATCAGTGTTGTGTACCTATAAGCTCAGCGAAGCCTCCGACAGGCAGCCGACACGTTCCTGTCACAAACTGAAGCAGACGGATTCTCTTCTCGTTGTCCATCTCTTTAACCACCTGCAGAAACACAACTCCATCATTCACTGCTCACATACACACACACACAGCAGCCTCATCGACAAAGCAAGTGTGTGTATTCAAGAGTGTGTCTGTACCTGCCAGAACCAGTGGATCTGCTTGCTGTTCTTTGTGTAATGTCTATAAATGGTGTTCTTCTGCCAGTCGGCCATATCGATCTCCTGCATCCCACAGAGCATCAGCTGAAACACAAAGAGGATATTTCAAGTCCAGCTGGAAGGAGATTGTACACCAGATTTTAAAATTAGCCACTGTCTCAGGAGGGCTGGGTTTCTGTGGGAACACAACACTTCTTCATCTTATTGTTTCTGAATAACACACTGGTGATATGAATTAGGACTGTCAGGAGATCACACACAATGTTGAAATAATAATTCTGGGAACTTGGGGGAAAAAAAGAAAAACAATCAGACAAAGACAGAGCAGCACGTAACATCGTTCATTTCTAAAGATGGTCAAAGTTATCTCTTATCCACTGCACCAGCCCTGAGTCAGACACGTCTTTGGGAGGTAGACTTCTTTGAAAAATGATTGTTAATGATGCTTTTATTTTGTCATTTCTACTGTCCTGTGTTTAGGCTGTATGTTATTTCCTGTGTGCTTCTGTTTGAAAATGATGCATAAACAGGTTTTGGTGGTTAGGTAGTAAGAAACTGACTACCAAAAGAACAGTTAAAAGGTATAGATGTTCAGCGATAAGCACCCCTGAAGCACTAACTCTGACTTTGTTTTTGGATTCACAATAAATCTTGGAAACTCAGCTTTAAAAGTGTCTTAACATCTTATGTTGGACTGCTGCTCCTGCTTTATCTTCATCCTCTCTCTGTCTTTGGCAGGTTAGCAACCAACATAAAACAAACACCACTGCCTCCTTCTATGAGCTGATAACTTACATAGTCATCACTGTACTCTCATTTTTCTAGCACAATTTCATTATTTTCTTTTTTTCCAGCTGGTTGCCCACAGTATCTGTATATCATGACAATGCTAGCAACATGAGGTTCAAGAATCAGGATAGTCCATGCAATCATTTTACAGAAAGAAGTTTACTATCAGCCAAATGTGAGCCTGTTGACGATGTGGCGAGAACAAAAGAAAAAGGAGGAGTAAAAAACGAGGCAGAGAAGGAAAGAGAGGATAAAAGCTGGACGGCAGAGCTGTGGAAAAGACGTCACTTCACACTGAACAGAGCACAGAGTGGGCTGTGGCAGAGCTCAAGACTAATTACAGGAAAATCATGTCAACAGACTTTGAAAGTCGCAGGGAAGAAAAGAAAACCTGTTGTGTTCATGCGTGAAGTCCTGTTCACCTTTTCTCACTTCATCATCATCATCATCATCATCATCAATGGAAATTCAGACTGTGCAACACAATATATCAGTGCAAGGAGACATTTAAAAAACTGCAGTTCACCACAGCTGGGACGGACTACAGACTCTTTGTTACTCATCCTGCTCAGCAGCCAGTTTTCCCAACAAATCACTTCTCATTTCAAGATCCTGACGGGGAATAAAGCTCATCTTTTCAAAGGGATTTTGGTTGATGAACCCTAAGAGTTCTTCAGGCATTTTCTTTTTCATATTTTGGGTCTTTTTTGGTATCAGATAAGACAGCTAAAGAGGGAGACAGAAATGTAGGAAGCAGGGAGCAGATACAGACATGCAGCAAGAAGTCGAGGCTAGGAGGGTTAGGGCTAGGGTTAGGAGGATAGGGTGCACACTTGGACCACTAAGCCGAACCACCAACCCAATAATTCTTTCTTGGATCTGTTCCAGTCTTGAACTATATTGAATTTATTTCACTTAAAGTTAGAGGAGATGTGCCTGACTGTAAAAACCAGCTGCAGTGTTTGTTTTTTTTTGATCACCTGGACTTCAGTTTGAGATCATATTAAGGTATTAAAGTCAAGGAAAAAAGTGTCTTTGAGCTTTTTTGTTAAAGAGTCATCTGAAGGATGTTAATCTTTTTGCTGTCATTGTTGTGTTTTTCTTTAAATTAAAAAACAAAACAAATTGATGAAGGATTTCTGACTGTGAGCTAAAACCTTGAAATATGGACTTCATTTTAGAGCGGCTTTTTCATCTGTGCTTCTCTTCGCTTTCTCTTCCCTCCTTACCTCCAGCTCTTTCTCATCAAAGTAGCGGAGCCACTCCAGAGGAACCACCTCATTGAAGCCATCCAGGAAAGCTTTGGTCTGCTCCTCCACCCCGCGGGTGAACCTCCAGTCTGTCAGCAGGCTGCAGGGAGGAAGACAGGGTTGGTTTTCATGGTTTAGTCTCCACCACTGACTCCACTCTTTATTTTTGAACTCTACTCTGTCTGTCCAGTCCTAGCGGCTATCACTCCTCATATGAACACACCTGATGTACTCCTCCTTGTTCTCCTCAGTGACCAGTTCATTCTCTCCGTCATCCTTCAGCTGATGGGTGGAAACTTTCCCCAAGATCTCCATGTCCTGTGCAAAGTACAGCTCCACACCGCACTCCTCCAGGTTGTTCTCCCTGAACACAAAGAAAACACAATCGGAATTACAGAAAGCCACTTTTGAGTTTCAAATGATCTCGTCACTTGTTTTATTGAGTATCTCTCTTAGCTTTCTGTTTCAGTTTGTCTTAAAATAAATTAAAATGATTCCCTTGACATTCCCTTTGTCCATGAGGTTACAAGATGAAAATGCTGAAACAAAACCTATTTTTCTGTTTAAAACCAACAAGCAGTAGATCCTCTGCCTTTCCACTTAAAAAAGTAGCTATTGATGAGTCTGTGTTTTATAAATATATATACAGAGTTAAAAAAAATTCCTGCTCAAGACAGGATTTCTGGTTTCATGTCCTTTATGAAGACTTTCTTCTCTTCTAAACAATTATAAGAAGGGGACTCTTGGTGTGTTACTTACTTGACCCACATGATGGAGTTATAAAACTCAGGGTCTATGGACTCCAGGTCTTTCAGCGTGGGTTTCTTGTCAAGCATTCGCTTGTAGAAGGGCAGCGTGAAACCGGTGTCGATGAACTTTCCGTGGTACAGTGCCTGCAGAGAGGATTTGTTACGTTAGAGACCACAATGAGAAACCTGGTCTTCTAGTCTTCACTGCCTTAATCCAGAAAGATACACACAAAAACACAGCGTCAGTTCTCTAAACCTGATGATACGGCAGCTTTGAGTCCCTGGGTTTAACTGAGTAAAGCAGTGGGGGTGAGTTTTTTCCCCGCTGTTATTCTGCTGGACTATAGTGTTATTGTAAAGCCTTTAGTGACATATGGTTCAAATTAGCTCAACACAAACTGCACATACATTCCTTTCAGAGCTCAGCGTTGGTACTGATGATTCACTGGGGATTGTTTCATGCCCATTCAGGTGTTGGAAATGCTTTAGCAGCCAGTCACTTTTACAGGAAACATGAATAGGCTTTCTATTCCTGGAGTCATGGCAACTCCACACCTGCTTTCATATACAGGAAGTTATAAGGGGAAAAACTACAATGTGATTAGTGTATCATAAACACTTGATACGTGCAGGACTATGGCTCCAAAAATTGGCCTAAAAGTGTTTCACTGCATCTCAAATTGCGCACGTTTGCGTTGCACTATGACTCGCACGGCCTCGGGTTATTTCCAGACTTGTTTACATGCTCTGTAAAACTGGGGGCCCGACATAAACAGTGCGTAAGAAGTGAGCATAGCCTCTTTTAGGGCAAAGTCAGAGCAGAAGTTCCCTGAATCTGAGCTTTGACCCCTTTCTCTCAGTTCATTTGTTAGCCGAGTCGATACTGTCCAGCTGACTGTAGTAGAGTCGTGCGCATTAACTTGAAAAACCAATCTGAAATCTTCGCCTTTGCTAGTCGGCATCAGAATTACAACTTTGTTAAACAAATTATTCATATCTTTGATTATGGCGACACAATGTCCACAGTGGGGTAGGGGAGCCTGGAGTGGGTAGACACAGAAAAATCATGCCAACCAACCCAGTGCTCTGGTTAGCGAGTTACTCTGTTAACTGTCAGCTTTCAGCCCCTCATGTGTCTGTGGTTATTATTCTTACAACAGCTGTTTTTCATTTCTGGAGTTAATATTGACAGTATATGAGGAATCAGTCGACACTGCTGGGCCAACTGGTGCTCCATTACTTTGTCTCCCTAGTTAGGTCTGGTTTTTCTGACGACTGATTATGATTTATGTGTATTTCTTTTAGGATTAAGTGTTGTGTGTCCAGTTTTTCTGTGGTTTGCTGTCATGCAAAGCTCTACATACTTTAAAGTTTTATTATTAACAAAAATGAGATGAACTTATTGAGTTCAAGCTTAGTGTAATATGGTTTTGAATAGTTCTACTAGGGGTGTCAGAGTTTTCTTATCTTTTATCATTTGGGGCTTTTTTTGCTCGAAACATCCTATGATTTTAAGATCCTAAATCCTATTTTTAAACCTTCCTTAAAAGAACAACAGCCTTTCCCTCTAACCTCAATTACCCTGAAAAATAAACAACCAGCTAACCATTTCCCTGATGAGGCAGCCTCAGGCTCAGTGTGTTTCCCTGGTTTCATGTTTATGTTTATTTCCAGCATTAGCCTGTATTTCAGGTTTTAAATTGTTGTGCATGCAAAATGAAATTATCTACGCTTCCATTTATTTACGGTTGCTGACTGTGTGTGGTTTTCTCTGGTGCACTAAGATGTATGTTCCTTTTGCACCGATACCAAAGACAAGCTTTCCCTCCTCTCTGGGGAGTTGATGTTTCTTTTTTTTCCACTAAGTTTATATTCTCTGAAAGTGTACTTTATACACCTCAGAATGAGCATCCTAATTACTACTACAGCTGTCAATCATTAATCATGAATAATCATCATAATCATGAATCATTAATACACTAAATAAGCCAAATCATCCGCTGTTAACTTCTTGTTTGCTCATACATCACTCCTCTGCAGCTCCATTCTCTTGTCTAAACATGGATACTTCAGGCTCAAAAACATAACTTAAAATGTAGACAAAAACGATGTGTCCACAACACACTATATTACAGTTTACTTACTGGAGTATTCAGATTGATTCACAGCACACGCCTAGAAAAGACCCTGGTGATCGATTTTGTATTTTTATATTTTTTCCTATAAAAAAATACGAGCAGTCACTTGCGTTGGATGACTAACAGAGACAAAACAGCAGGCTAACTGAGGCCCGTGTGTGCACTTCACACAGACGCACTCGCACAGCTTCAAAGCGAGTCCTAATGTCTCTGTAGTGTGAGCGTTCACACAGGGGTAGAATGAGTTGTCTCAGCCAGATGGAGCTGTTTAATGTTAAAAAAACCACAGAGGGCTCAGAGCAGTGATGCGCCAAGAACAACACAGACGCCCACTGACTGACTCAGTCACAGGCTGTTCTGTACTACTGTATCCTGACTGACCATGTGTCTGTCTCACAGCCAGGACAGACACGCACACACACAGACACACACAGGAAGATTTACAGACAGGGCTGAGGGTGTCAGTGGAAAGTGAGGGGTAAAGACAGAAAGTGAAGAACGGTGAAGAAAAGAGCAAGAAGTGGAGATACAGAGAGCTTTTCAGACTCGGCAGACACAAGCATCTTTACTAGGACAGTCAGCAAAGAGCATTTTAGAACTAAATATAGGTGGCTGCTGCCGGGTGTGGGCTGGGTGCGGCAGTGAGGTCATAGTGTGGGTGAGGGGTGGGGTGGCAGACAGAAGGAGGGGTGGAGGGTGTCGGTTTTGGGGCCCACAGCTATTGGAGGTGATCCCAGAAAGAGACATTACAGTACATACTGTACATCATGTATGCAGTGAAAACCCAGAGGTACCAACAATAATATCAGTCACAGCGCACTCTGCCGCCTGTCACACCTACGGTATGTCCCATCACTACCAAGGCTTTCGAGTCGAGGCAAAACGCCCCATTAGAGACCATAAAAAAAAAGTAAAATAGGGAGAAAGTGAATAAGAGCTTGGCTTCACCAAACACACATTCAGAAAACACCTCATAAATGTGTCAGCACACACAATGTTTCTGTCTCTGCTAATTCTTCAAGGAAAAAAGGATCTGGATCCAGCCGCAATTCAGCATCGACCGCACTACTTACCTGCTCATGATGACAAGAAAATTAAAGGGTTGTTCGTGGTAACTCATCAAAGATACATTTTTTTTCCATCTAATTGTCAATCTTGAATGAACCATGTTGATGTTTCTGACTTTTAATTTTCTAAACACAGACTGACTTTGAGGTCTATCTTTTTAAACCATATATTTGTACCTGCATTAACCACTAAATACTTGACCACCAGCAGTTTAGTCAAAGATTAAGGAGGGCTGTGGCGGCAGCATCTGAAGTGGCTTCAGGTTACTCGCCAACGCCAAGTAGAAGAAACTAGTTTCGAGAAATGGAGCCAGTTCGAAAGTGCTAAAAAATGCAGTTCCCTTGAGTGTCCACTTGAGGCTGGTGACAAAAGCCCAAAAGCTTTTAACTCCACCTCTTTGCCTCCGGCTAGGTTGACTAAAAGTTAAGTTGTGTCAATATTTCCACATCAATAAGACTTAAAAACTCAGCTCCAGAAATTAATGAGCGACATCACTGAGGCTACATTCATGTTTTATACAGTCTATAGCCAACACATGATAAGAAAACTGCAGAGATCCGGGGACTACTTTACACTCAAGTTTTCCTTTTTGATAATCAGCCCTTACAAACAATGACTCATGTGGCATCATTTGGCTTTTTGAAAATATAGATTTGACACGCTTTACTTAGAGATCCTGAGGGTTTTGCATGGCTTTTATTTGGCATAGAGTGATATAACTACCTCTAAAAGGATGAAGTGTGAGCGGGCTGATTCATTGGAAATATGATAAATTATTTTACAGCGCAAGTCTGACAGTGTGCCGATTTTTTTAACTCAAGTGTTTCAAAATCTGACATCAACTGAATTTTTGGCTGCTTTGTTTTATGAACGCCACATGAACATAGGACAGAACTTCAGCATATTATCTACGCCCTGCAGAGGAGATAACTAACTGCAATTTTCTCTTTCATCTGAACACCTTCAGATGAGCAGGTAAACTTAAGTCAGACCCCTCAAATGTATAGTCCTGAGACTCTTTCCTCTGGATAGAAGAAGGCCCTGATCCATACACCTCATTTTTCACATTAGCACTTCAAACTGGCTTCCCCGCACTTGGACGAAAGCCTTCATTACATTATGCTTTAACTCTTAATGTAACTGCAACAAATGGTGTTAGAGTTGGCAAAGTTTCACATTTTCTAAGTGGAAGTTTCTGTGATTTCAAACTAAGCCATTAATCTAAAAAGACACTTGTTTGCGTTTTTTTAACAGGTTTCCTGGCAAACGTGTTTAAGACTGAATTTTCTTTCTGAAGATCAAATAAGTGAGACAGAATGACAGGAAAATACATCAGGAAATACTCATGCTGTCTGTTTAGGTCAGGTTTTGAAATGATATAAAATTCAATAATATGTTCTCAACAAAACAACAAAGTGAATCTCACCATGGCGATGAAGCGTCCGATGAAGCGGAAGTATGTGAGGTGGTCGGGGTTGATGGAGGAGGCTGGGTTGATCTGCAGACAGTAGTTGTTCTTGCCCGCATATTCGAACAGACAGTACATGGGGTTTAGCACCTCATGGGACAGCAGGAAGAACCACTCCCTGCAGGGAGACGACAGAAGACATTAACACACCAGAGGAAAATGTGATGCTGAGTGACTCAATGATGACAGCAGGAAGCAGTTGTTAGTTTTTCAGGGTTTAATCATTTCATTAAAAAATACGGCATAATGTTGGACAAATAATTATTTTGAAATTAGTCGACAAGTGGAGGTGGAGTTACTCTAAGCAGAGACAGGCTGTAAGTCAGGCAAATACATTTTCACAATCTGTGTCTAAAATGAACTGATGAACAAATTAGACAAAAAATATAATGAAGTTCACCTGAAAATATGACATACAGACAAAACAAAAACTAAAATACATCTTTGCTAGAGAGACCAAAAACATAGAGCTCAGCCAGTAGATAGAAAATTAAAGAAAAGCAAAGGAAACCATTTTTAGTTTCTAATTTAATACACTTACATTGAATATTTTGATCTTGTAGGTTTTATGTAACTATTTATAATGCAATTACATGTCCTTGAACAATCCCATATCTTCACTTAGAAGTTTTTCCTCTAACTTTAGTGCAATATTTAAAAGACTGCAAGAGCACCACAAAGGGGGATGAACTATTTATAGTTAATTTAAGTTTCCATTCAAATTAATTTTGATTAAATTAACCACTAACATTTTGTTTATATGACTTATTATGGTGCTAGCACTCTTAACTTGTCTGGGCTAGCGAGTGACTAGCTGTTACAACTGTGGGTGGATGATGTGGATTTTTTGAGGATGCCAGATCTACCTGCAGCAATTTCTTCTTTAATACTTCTTTGTTGCAATAACAACTTTTCATCGACTAAACAGATTTGTTGTGTTACACCCTGGAGACCTCTTTCTTCAAGTCTAAAAACTTAAAACACCTTCTGTAAATTGCAATGAAACTCTGAAGTGGTGAAAATCATCCACACAGGTGACGCCATCTTAACTCTCTTATCCTGTCTTAGCTTGTAGCGGCTGTGCCTGTTCATCCTGTGCTTTAGAGCAGATTACATACTGCCACCTTCTGCGTTGAATGTACAGGTTTGGTAATAAGCTCGATCAGCCAATTATGTATCAGACTGAGGAAAATCTTCTCTTGAAATAAAACAATATCTTAACAAAATTGATATACAGCATAAAATCCAATCAAAATTCCATACAATTTTACAATGATCACTTTTGTCTGCCATGCTTCTTCAATCTAGTCTTCTTCTTGTTCAGTTAGTCATGTATGTACTTTGGACCGGTCTTTAAACAGAAGTAAAAAAAGTGCACCCAAACCCAAAGTTTACATAAATAAGGTGAGGACAAAACAGATAACATGAGGGATAGATACAAAAGGAAGAATTAAACAAGACAATCAGACTGTGGAAGGATGACTGTTAGAAAGAATGAGGGCCCACCAGCAGCACCACCACCAGCTGCAGAACCAGAACCAAGCTCCCAAGGCCCCCTGCCTCCCCCTCAGGGTTTATGAGAGGGAGGGTGTATGGATTGAGTGACGGACGGACGGACGCAGACACCTCCCAACATCCCGTCCGTGGTTCTACCCTGTGGTAGAACAGCATGATGTCACCTACCATAGGGTAAAACCACTGACGTGACACCGGAGACAGAGACACAATGCAAAACCAAACAGAAAAAAATGAAACACCGCCAACAGAAAAATAACCACAGATACAGAGAGGAGGAGGACGGCAGACGCAGGGGGTGGATGTGATGGATGAGTGGAGGAACTGGCTAGGTGATTTCAGGGAGCAACACAGAAGGAAACATTGCAGGGTTAACAGTAGGACAACACACACTGTCCTCACACACACAAACACACACCAGTTCACATTCAGACAAATTCAGGAACAATCATGATTTACAAAAATTTCAAGGGAGTAAGAAAAACCCACTACCACTGTCACCAACATTAAAAACACAGAAAAGTAATCATTGGATTAGAGGAAACAGAATTTTGACAACACATATAAAAAGATGAGTACGAGTGCGTTCGATCTGAGGCCCTCACCTTGCAATCCCACCGTAGTCCAAACCCTCTTCTCCTCTCATGATGATGTAGAGTCTGCGGCGAAGGTCGTATGGCTTCACATTCATGATCTGATGCACAGACACCCACAAAATACAGACTGTATTCACAACACTGTAGATATTCAACGAGCTTTCATATTAGCTGCTTGATGACGTGTGTGTGGAAAACTGCTTCATTGTGGTTAAACCGAACAAAGACTCTGTTTGTGTGTTTGTAGCACATGTGTATGTTTTCGTGAGTCTCTGACCTGTTGGAACGAGTCTTCAAACAGCGTCTGCCTGGACACAGAGATCTTGACATGGCTGGGCAAGGCATTGGACTAGAAGGAGGTAAAAAACAAAACAGGGAGCTGAATTTTTTACTCTTCACTGAGAAAGTTTCAGAAGTGTCCATCCATCACTGTGAGGGCTGCTACAACTAGCTCACTAGCTGCTGATCCTGATTCTTCTTTGTGTTCTCTTTATTTTATGGTTGAGGAAAATCTGCAGTTAGGACCACTACACCCACTAGCAAATATAAAACTTGGATCTTAATCCAGATAATTGGCTTACCAAATCAGTTTTCAAAAGATCAGATTTGCTGTGTTTTAAGCTTTTACACACCAATGAAACACCTGGGTATTAAGATCAGGATGATTTTTGTACTGAAAAGAAGACTTTTGTTGGAGCTCCTGACTCCGGTTTGCACTTACATGGCACAGGAAACGGAACTGGTGGTATTTCCACCTGAAGCTGCGGTCGTAAGCACCAGGTGAACCGCCCTGCCGTGACCTGCACAAAAAAAAAAAAGAAGAGCGCAAAGATGAACTCTTAACTGGTCCAGAAACAAGGGAAACTTGTTTAATGAAAACAGACTCATCAAAAAAATTAAGTATTTGTGTCAGTTTTCGCAGGAATGTATTTTCAGAGACTTAAAATAACATTTAAAATCTGATGAGACACTTTGTTCAAAACAAGGACTTGGTGTGTCTGAGTCTCAGAGACTGAGGTGAGTCCCAGCCTGCAGCTGTGTTAGTATAAGATCTACTAACACATCAAACACACACACACACACACACACACACACACACACACGCACACTGGATTTGTGCTTCGTCAGCACTGGAGAGGCTAACACACAGAGAGAAAGAAAGACAGATAATGGGAGGAAGGAAGGAGAGAGAGAAGAAGAGAGAGGCCTGTAATGTGTTGAGTTTGTGCTCGCTGAGCTGCCAGGCACATCTCGGTTGGGGTTAGGAAATGGAGACCGCAGCGGCAGAGCACTGGCCACGGACACACACGGACACACACAGACACACAGACACGGACACACACACACACCAGCAGGATTTAGCGTAAAAACAGTTTAGAGTCCTGATGCCTTCAATGAACACTGGCCTAAAAACATGTTCAAAAATCAGCATGACAAGCAGCCTGAAAATGCACTTGAACACATAAACATACAGTATAGATAAGCACACACACACTCACACACACACGCACGCACTTGCGAGACATGCAGAACACAAACACAAAAAGGCACGAACATCAGCAACCACACATACAAGCTTGAGCCGTCTGCAGTGGATCTGCTGCAGCACATCTGCACATTCTCCTGACTTTTGCGGTGAGATTTGAGACTGCTTCAAGGCAAGGCAAACATCCACAGGCTGGGGGATGAGGAGTGTGAGTGTGTGTGAGTGTGAGTGTGTGAGTGAGTGTGTTGGCATAACATGTTAATAAGATAAAAATGAGTTTCTGCCAAGAACTACTTCTTCTGCTGTAGCTATCAAAGTGATGAGCTGTCAGACATCACGTTATAATCAGCAGAGGTTTTTAAAAATCGATGAATAATGTTGATTTTTTTTTTTTCAAGAAAAAATGAGAATTCTAAGGACCTAACTTCTAAAATCCTAATATTTAAAGTTTTTTTTCCTCTTGTATCAAATAAAGTGATTATCTTTAGGTTGTGGATGAATGAAGGAAGTGCCATTTTCTGTTAATCATGTGCCAGTATTAATAATACCTATCATTAATCAATGAAGTGCATTAATAGTATTTTCACTCCTGTTGGTTGCCATATTATTTGTCAAGCTCAAGTTGATTCTGCTTGGCTAAAAGTAATACTTGAGAAAAGGGAAAAGAGATGAGAAGCAATGGTTTTTACATGGACTTGATAAAGATGCAGAAAAAAGGATGACGAAGTGAAATTAGGTTACAGCTTTGACCTATTTCATGATCTGAGCTGAGAGAATATTTACCCTGACTCAAACCCGGGTCGGGGGTCTTTAAAGGTGGTGGTGCGCGAGTTGTGGTCCACAAAATATCTGACTCCTTCGGCGGTGTACTTCATCTCCCAGCCTGGAGGCAGGGGGTGCTCCTTGATCATCCTGCAACAGGGAGAGGGGCAGTGAGCACGGTCCCGGAGCAGCCCCGTCCTCGGGATGAAACTAACACACCTCCCCCTGCCAACCTGTGGATCTACTGCCCTGGACTTTGAACCAAAACTCACAGCTGTGGTGCTAAAGCTCCTCTGAATAGAATCATTTAATCACTTGGACTACTAGAAAGTAAAGCCTACAAAACTTTCTCCACAGGCAGCAGAGGCCCTTTGAAAAATTAACCTTTATTACCAGAAGTAGGAACTCCGAGGAGTTCTCCCAAAAGGGGTCAAAAATGACTCATTTCACCTCAGCTGTAGCTCTTCTCCTTTCTCATCGTCAATCAAAGAAAAGCAGTTTGTCTGAAAATATAACTTCTAGTGATCTGTCACCACCCGAGCAGTTCATTAACAAGAATACTACAGTTTAGAGGAGACTTACAAAGTTTGAAGACTTTCCAAACTACCTCAGTATAAAATCATTCAGCTTGATTCACACCGAGAAGAACTTTCAAACTTTACTTGCTGCGTTATTAATCAAGTTAAGCTAAAACAAAAGTCCTTGCTGATTTTATTTCCAGAAAAGAAACAACTTTATTTTTCTTCGCATGATTTTTTACATTGAAAATTATGACTGATAACATCTTTGTTTGAAAGCAGTCTAATTTTTTTTGTTGTTGTTTTCAGTTCAGATGTTTAAATGAGTCTGAGGATTCTGGAAATAAATTCTCTGCAAAATGCTTCTGGCGCTGTCAAATGTCGGTTTTAGCATTTCACATCTCCAGCTTTCGCTCATGGTGGCATAAGGAGCACAACTGCAAGCTCATCAGATGGAGAATAAAAAGACTGGCGACCTAAACTTGTGATGTTCAAAATTGTAAAGCTCAGAGGTAAAAGAGGTTCAATCAGGATGAATGAGGTGAGGGTAAAAAAATCATTTTTGAGAGCTGAAGAGTTTGCCAAAGAAAAAAAGGTGATTCCAGAAAAATGATCACATGAAGAACAGGAGGAAAGTATCGAAGTTCATCATTTGGTTTTTAAGAGTTATAGAGGAGGTGAGAAGACAGGCTTAAATTTTGAGGCTGTGGGAAGCGGTGTTGAGAAAAACATACTAATTTTTTAAAAATTTTGCAGGTTTGAATGCAAAAAATGAAAAAAGAACCTCTTGATTTCAATCATATTCCGGGACACACCGAATACTTCATAATATGGGGGCCACCTCTTCTGTGATATGATACAGTGATTAAACCGTCTTTACTAGAAGCGAACACCCAAAGCGCCATGCAAACACACACACACACACTGGAACGCACGCACACACATACGCACGTTAGCACGCAAACACCCACACACGGGTTAGTACTTCATCTATAATCTCACCCTTGGGTCCGAGGATCGTCCCACTGTGTTGTTCGTGTGTTGTGGTTGACAAAGTAGACTCTGCCATTGTCTTGACGTTTCTCTGTGGACACAAAAAAAGAGGACGACGCATAAAGAGAGAGTTAGTCAGTTTAAGTTTTTGGACATACTTGTGAGTCACAGGGATCTGGGATGATGGTCTTCAGAGAAATTTAGTGTATTAGCCCTGATATATGAGGCTTTTCTGTATGAGCAGCAGACAGGGCTGAAGATTAGGTGATCTATTTCGATAAAGCTTCGATTTTATTACGTGAATAAATTAACATATTCTGTACAAAAAGGACTTTGGACCTCCAGATATCCGGCTTTTGTCTGAGATCAGAGGGACCCTCTAAGCTTCTCTCTCTCTCTCCGTTGGCATGAAAAAAATATCTCACCCCCATGGTAGAAAACCAGTAAGAGTGTGTGATATTTCACTGTGGCCTGATCGGAATACCTCACCAGGGTAAACCCAAGTGTGCATGAGTGTGGTGGGAGTGTTTCAAAATCAGAAGGGACTGATGGGACTAAAATATCAAAAACAGGGCAAGAATTTTACATCTTATATCAAAAAATAACACAGTCTGCACTAAATTCATCAGATTCACCGGAAACACTGACTTATATTTCATTACGGTGTGTAAAATGTGTCTCGTCTGTGTGTGTGCATTTAGTGGGCCACTGGTCTCATGTGAGAGTAGCTGGTGCCCCATCCTCCTCCTCCTCCTCCTCCTCTCTCTGTCGCTCAGACATCTTTTTCTCATTAACAGGAGTGTGTGGAGGGCCCAGAAACAGTAGTGCTCACATTGCAACTCTTACTAGCTTTCTCTTCCACCCCCTTTCACCCCCCACTACACTATCCAGTTTAACCCCCCTCACCTCAGCCTCCTTTTTTATCTTTTGCCACCATCTCTTTTCCTCCTCCTGCATCTTACCCTCTTTTCTCCCATCTCTCTGTTTTTGAAAAAAAAAAAAAAAAGAGGGAAGTGACCGCAGATGAAAAAAAAAAAAAAAGAGCGCCAGAGAAGCGAATCCGAGCCAGTGATATAATTGAGGTTTTTTGGTCTTGAGGTACCGCAGCATGTTGAAAAGGCATCATGGGCAGAGGGAGTGGGGTTTTTGGAGGCTGTGTGATGAAGTCTGTGAAAATGTTGGAGGGACAGATGCTGCCAGCAGTGTTCCTTCATGAATGAATGAATGAATAAATGAGTGCGGCGTGATTTGGTGTGTATCTGATTACACTGCTCGATTGAGAAAATGCTGGATGATGAACACTCTCATCAATAAATATGCGGCCTCTGTAATTTGTGGACTAAAGAGTAACAAGAGTTTATACAGTGATAAATTGTTATAATGAGCAGAAATAAAGTTTTTTCAAATAGAGGGATAAATCAATCAATTAAAATCTGACCTGCCTGACCAGGAGAGCAAGGGAAAAGGCTTGAAAATAAAAACAAACAAAAAGCCACAGAAGTAAGATTTTTCTGATGCAGCCGAGCTCTGAAAAATCTTAAAAAATGTGGAGAGAGTCCTTGAAGGAGAGAAAATGCTGCCTCACTCCCTCAACTCTGCCTGCAGGAATCAAAAGCACATTTTTGAAGGAAAGTGGTTGAACCAAGTACCCGGGATATATCCGGACCAGTTGCAGTGCTTTACTGTCAGTTATACCTGGACAAGACTTGAAAGGATTTTGGAGGTTTCTGCCAGACTCTCTACCTGATCTATTCTACATCAACACCTCCAACAGGTACAGACAACTTTCAGACTGAGAAAAATCCGACCAGCAGGAAGAAGCCAAACCTCAAAATGATCTAATAACCACTCAGTAGTCCTCACTGAGAGTGGCTTTGTCTAAGATGTATGTTGAAGAAGAGTGATAGGCAGACTTACCCCATCCAGGCGGCAGCAGGCCCAAAGGATCATTTTCCACCGGTGCACCGGATGGCTGAGGGAGAAACAGAGAGAAAGACAGAAACAATCCAGTTAGGACACCTTTCTGTCCGTCTCCTCTCTGCGCAGTTTTGAATGTTTGTCCTTGAACTGCATGGTATGAAACTCTGTCCGCTCCTTTTCTCACCCGTAAAATGAAGACAAGAACAAGGAAAAGCTGAGCAAAAAAATCCAGAGAAACTCAGACAGCAGGTGAGGAAAAAAAAAACAGCTGAGGTTAAAAACTAAATGTTGAAGATGTCCCGAATCAGGACAACCAGGTTTTTGCTTGACCTGGTTATCTCTCTACAACAACCCGTGGGTAAGGCAGGCTGGCTGAAGTGTGTGCATGGATGTGTGTGTGCAGGGCAGAAAGGGGGTGGGGGGTGGTTCCTCTCTGCAGCGGCGGTGAGGGGCGACTGAGGGAGCTGGTCGGCTGGTGGCTCGTATGCCTTCCAAAAACTACACGCTCAGTAGGAGGATAAAACAACAACGCTGTTCCAATGAGCTCACTGGCTGGACACAAGCCCCACCTCCCCCTGCTTCCCGCTCACCTCCTCGGATACACCCCACCTCCTCCTCAACCACCTCCACCCTGGCACCCCTCCCTACCCCACCCTGAGGTCCTCCTCCTCCTCCTCCTCCTCTTTTCTCTTGCTCTCTTCTAGCACTGCTGTGAAAGTAGGCAGGGAAGTGCGATGTCTGAGGGAACTGAGGGAACATTCATGCTTGTTCCAGACTGGACACCCCCGCCCCACCCACCCCGCCTCCTCTCTGGCTGCCCCAACCCACCCCAGGCCTGACAAAAGGCACCTTTATTCACCCTGGGCCTGGAAACCACTGAGAGGTTTACTCAGCCTGTGCTCATACACACACACACACATACACTCACACACACTGAAAAAGTGTGTGTGAGTGTATGTGTGCTACTGAGTGGAAACATTGTCTATGGCAAATAGTCTGTGTGTATGTTCTTATACTGGAAAACACACATACACACACATGAATACATTACCTTGAGTGGAAAAGTAGCTGAAAAGACGCTTGTTGGGGATTAGTGGCTGCTGATGGATGTTCATCAAACAGAGTCAGTGTAGGTGTGCTGAAAACAACTTCTAAATCATCCACTGCCCCGTCAGACGGTGCACCAGCCCATTTAATGTCAACACATACTATTGTGGACACCCACACAAAAGATGAGCGGGACATTTCTGTTGATATTGGGAGATGGACCAATCCCAGTCTGGACTATCTGATCAGAGCTGATGCAAGAGATGGACAGTTGGAGCAAACCGTCTCAGCCTGAATACTTAGATCTGCTGTGGTAAACTGAGCATAATGTTGGGCAAACATGCTACTAACTTGGCATTAACTACCAGGGTTTAGGTGTCAGTCGGGCAGCTGAAGAAACAGCCCTGGTTTTAAAATTGAATATAAAAAAAACATTTAACTATCAAAAGTCAGCATAACATGATCTTTTGCAGGAAACATGTAGAGGACAAGATGAGCAGAGACTGCTTAGTCGTCACGGGGCATCAGAAATGGCACAAACCAAAAGTCACAAACAAAAAAGGAGGTGTGCAGCTGAATTCAACTGGGACTTGGTACTTGCAGATTCTTCATACTAAATAAACAGGGTTGTTGTTGAGGCATACCCAGTTGATATGATAATAAGCTTAGGACACTTTTTAGCTTGAAGCTCCAGTGAGGAACTTTTAACTCGTGTCAATTTTGGTGCCCCCGTGGACAAAATAATTTTTCTTATGTTGTGTCTAATCAAGTGCTTAACTAGCTCTGTCTGACAAAAAATATATATATATATTCTGTTGGCTTTTGACAGCCTCATTTATAACTAGGGCTGGGCGATATGGCCTTGAATCAATATCACGATATATTGAGCAGTTCACCTCGATAATGATAAATGGACGATAACTACTCCACAAGCTGCTCACCCCCTCCCACATTAACTTTGTTTACTTCAGCCATCGCTTCAGACACTGTCTTTGTCCTCACCTGTCTTTCCCTCTTTGTTACAGACTGGACGAGGTGGAGTCACGTCTCGACACAGGACAGTATCTTCAAGGGACATGAGACCATAGCCTACCTACATGCATCCATACCCAACTTTAATTAATTATTTATTTTGACACCGAATATACCGATATGGGCAAAATGACGTCAGTTATTGTCATAAATTTCGGTATCTGTAAATTTTGGGTATATCGCCCAGCCCCAGTATTATCTATTGTGAATAATTACTGTGGAAAATGTAAAAACAGGGCCACATCTTCAGCTACCCCCTAGCACTGGTTTTAGGCATTAAAAATCATAATATAAAAATTAAAAAATACCGGTGCTGATGGTCTTGTTTATTTTTGCATATCATAAAAAGGCATCAATATGAATACCAGTCCATGTCATACATGTCTAAAGACACCTCACAGGTGCTCTAACATTGAGCATCATACAGCAGTTTAGTGCTTGTATGTCAGGTACATCACAAAGTTCAAGGTGGAACCATAATAAAGTTTGCTGTCATAATCTGCCAAAGATAAGCAAAATTTGGAAAAGTATAGAGATATTCAATATGTTAGATAGACACACATAACAGCTTAGCCAACAGCTTCACCACATTAAACTCTGTTTCCTGAGGAGGGTTGAAGAAACTGATTCTTATCAGAAACTGCTTAATTTAGTGTTCTCTCTGGTTATATTGCTGGGTCTGTTTATGCTGGAGAGGAGGAGACCGCTGTGGTCAATTCGGCTCTTGATAAAAACCTTGTGAACAATAAACACTGAAGGAACCCTGATTTAGAAACGAGCTAAACGCTTCCATAAAACAAGCGGAGCTGATGTTTGCACTGTATTGCTGAACCTTGAATGCACATTGTTTGGTTGACTGTGAGATGCTTAATAATTTAGAGCATGGCTAAAATTACAATGTGGAGTCTAGAAAATCCTAAAATAGACACAAAACAAACAAAAACTAAAGATAAAAACAGTGCTAGTTTGGAGCTTCCCTTTTTATTCATGTATGGTTGGTGGCTTCACAGGTAGCTCCTGTTGCCCTTGACCTTTAATAACTGAGGAGAATTTTTTCTGTACTGAAACCACAAAGCAATGATTATTTTCTAAGAAGCAATAAAGTCGAGCATTATCCACTGGATGTCAACGTCACTCTACACAGCATTTCCCAAAAAGAAATGTGACTGTGCCCATTTAAAATGGCTCTGTCATGGAAACTGTGAGGGAGTCGAGATGGAAAGGACTGGGCCTGCTGGTGGAGCGGGAGTGGGCACAAAACGGGGTTAAAGGGTGTGTGAGTATATGTGTGTTTGAGTGTGTGTGTTGCTTCCATCGACAGCCAATCTATGCCCCGCTGCCCCACCCTTATGGGCTTTCTGTGACTAAAAAAGGTAAAAGGAGAATATAATGATATAAAGACATGATGACTTCATCCTGGCTCTGACCATTCAGCTCCTCAGCAGCTTACAGACAGAAACAGCGAGGCTGGAGGGAGGAAAAGAAAGACAGACTGAGAAAACAAGCAAGGAGAGGAAGAGAGGAGAAAGCGGCACGCTGGCAGAAACCAGTTAAATAATGGCGGGGTGTTACGGATCTCTGGATGGAGTATGACAGAAAAATGACTTTCATTAAACTCAGCCAACACTTGTGACAAAAGCTTTTTCAGCTGGTTGAGTTTAACATGTAAGAGGACTTCTTTTCCATTTTCACTAGTGTGCTTCACAAAATACACAAAGCTGTTTTGAATCTCCTCAGACTATTTATACATACATCTGTAACACAGTTTCATTACTGTTCTGTTTTTAAGGTTGTTTGTGTTCCACATCTGCAGAAAGATGAATCTGTATGTGTTTGAGTTCAGTGAGTTCATTTGAGCATGCTCAAACATGGCAGCTCATGTGTGTGTTCAAACTGATTTAGCCAAGCAGGGGATGAAATAACAGAAACCTATAATGTTGCTGTTTCTCATATTAAAAGACACCAGTCTTTATGCATAGTCTGTATTTCTAAAAGCCTTTTTTAAAACTGTAATGATTGTTTTGGAAAGTAAATCAATGAAAGAAGCTGATTATTCCCACCTTTCTACTTTGCTGTCTGATTTCATTGACTTTTAAGTAAATATCACAGAGCAGGAAAATGCTACATTTTAGCATCTGTAATACCTACAAATCACAGCAAATGACTAAAACTATAGTTCCTTAAAATGGTGCATGCTCAGTTTTTTATTTTTTAATTTTTGCTGACACCGTCCCTATGAAAGGATTTCTTCTTAACACTCTCCTCTGTCCATTCATTCATGTTTGCCCTGTGTGAAAACAAACTGTTGCCAAATACACAAATCATTAGCGCGTTCATGCCCATGAAAACTTACTAAAAAACCAAAACCGACCAAATTTATTTAAAAATTTCTGTAAGTCTGTAGTCCATCAATTTTTATGTAGAGAGAAAAACACAGTCATGAAACCTTTTGATATGTTATTGGTAATATTTGCAGAGGAGTTCATAGGCAAGGCAAAAAGTTGTTTCTATTTCATCTTGAACTGAAGAGCAAAGTGGAAACGGTGAGTTACAAAAACCTGCAGCACTTACTTTATCATTCTGATGTGAGTTTAGGCCACAGACTGAAAAAGACACCGAGTCTTAGTGATGTCACCTGCTGGTTTCTGAAGAGGAGTTTTAAAGCTCAATATTGAAAATGCTGACTCAAGCTTATTTTTGGTCAGCTTAGGTCTGAGGTAAAGAGATAAGGCCGGTCTCTGGCCTCCTTACAGACAGCTACCATGTACCCGCCTGTTAAATAAGCCATCTTAGTCTCCTCTCAAAGAGGGTAAGCTAATGCTGGGCACACCAAAAATCAGATATGTTCTTGAAGTGCTGAGCAAAGGTAAGAGTGTTAATTTGTGTTTTACAATGTAACTGCTGTTACAAAATAAAGTTTAATTTTCCTTTACCTGCTTAGTTCTTGTTAATGTTTCTCCCTTCAAGCAGAAAAATTGTACTTAATCTGACCGAAATAAAAACAGCTCCACTTCGTTAAAAACAGACTAAACTTCTGTTCATTGTCCTTTCATGGCATATAACCCCTACAAAAGGGCTTTTTAGGAAACATGATCACTGACAGGCGATGTGTAAACATGACTAAACGTGACATTCAGGCGCGTGGACGTGTGTGTGAGTTTTCTGTTCAGTGAGTGTGAGTAATAAAACACAGGGCTGATTCAGGTGCTGCTGTTAAGAGTCCTTGTTGCACAGAAATGGACGGAGATGGGGGTGTGGGGGTTGGGGTTGGGGGTAAGAAGGAGGCAATTGAGAGAAGGTCTGATCTAAGAGCAGAGGATAAGGAGAGGTAAAAACTGAAAAAAGCAGGGTAAAAAGATGGCGTGGGGGTTTCTAGAGTGGAGGCAGAAGGATGGGGAGGTAAGAATCGAGGTAAAAGAGAAGTAGACCAGTAGAGGTGACGAGGACGGGGGAGAAAGGGGAGAGCCGGAAACTGCAGCTAATGACTGAGGCTGCTCTCTCTGGGGTTCTTAACGAGCTGCAATTACTCTGCAAACACACACACACACACACACACACACACACACACACACACACACACACACACACACACACACACACACACACACACACACACACACACACACACACGCAAGTAGTAAAACTCTTGATACGGCAGCACACTTTGGTGCTCGCATTCAAGAGTTAGCCTGGGCACGACTTCTCACAGTGTGTACATATGTGCATGTGTGTGTCTGTGTGTGGTGTGTGTGCATGCATACAGGCAGGCATCATACACAGGGGCACAGTTCATTTAAAAGACGACCAGCTTCTTGACCCTCTATGGTGGTCATGTGGCACAGTAAAGAAATGTGGCACCTGGACTCAACATCACCGCCCTGCGAACACACTTACTCAAACACACACACACACACACACACACACACACACACATAGACACTGGAATAGAGAGCAACATGTGTCACCATTCACATTTACATACAGTATACATACATATACATTACAGTATAAATGTACACAGATAATCTAATCATGCCTCTAAATAGTCATCTAGTTGTAAGATTAACAGTCTTAACAGGAAAAGTTTTTGTAGGTTGGTGTGTAAATGAAAGATAATAATCGAAGCTCCACCATGTCTGCTGTTTGTCTCTTTCTGTTTTGGATTATTGCTTTTTGGTAACATATCTCTGACTAAATGAGATGGGTTTGATGTAGGAGGCATTTTCTGCTGTCTATGAGTAAAGGAAGCTTTAAGGATGTGCCTACCACATAGGGACGCCCATGTTTTCCATAAGTTGTCAAGTTACAAAACTCGGTACAAAGTGTCCACACAAGCTCAGGCTCAGGTACAGCGGTTCTGAAAAGAGCCAACAGTCGCTGTGTTTCATGAATAAAGCCCTGATTTTAGGCAACATCACCACCACATCTTCAGATCACTCTTCACATGTTCTGAGTTAGTACTCCTTAGTTACCGAGTCCAATCATAAATGATTATCACATTAAATTACCGTATTTACATTTACCAGTGCTGCTAACAAACCAGGGCAGCATAATGTCTGGGCAAAAAATCAAAATGATCTGTTTTCTTTCAGCAGTATTAATACAGCTAAGGAAATTAAACCATGTGCAGTGTTTTTGGGAAAACATGTAGAATAAAAAATATGCAATCGTCCCCTACACAATGTATAACTTGTGACTTTTTAGTCTATTTTCCTCTCACAGGATAAAACTCATCCCTCATTTTTACCACACTTAGTTCTGCTTTTTCCAAGCAAACCCGACTCTAGATCTGCTCATTGATGCTGACTTGATTGAATAGTATTAGTAGAAAATAAAGACTACACATTTGTTCAAAAAACCCACAGATAATATTGTCATTAAAAGCATTACATGTGACATTACCAACATTTAAAACTGTTTTCTAAATCCTCATTAATGAACCCATGATTAGCTGCCAGCGGGCTAAAGCTCCATTTCATTGCATCAAAATAGTGTTAAAACATAGGCCAATAATATACAGGCCTTCATCTGGTGAAATGTACTACACATGCTGAGAGGAAAAAACACTGAAGTAACTTCTTCACCCATTGTATTAAATCAATAATTAGCGATGTGCAAATGCTGATACTGTAACATTGCTAAATGTGCTGCTCTATGACAAACAAGCTTGCTTCATACATGTGTTTTTTTAAACTCTTAATCATCTTTTGATAGTTATCTTTAGGTTTTCATGCCTTTACTGAGAGACAGGACAGTGGTCAGATAAGGAAACTGGGAAGTGAGAGTAGGGAATGACTTGTAAGAACCCCTTTCCTTTGGGAACAACAGCCTCTGTACACGCGGCGTACAATTTACCTGCTCAACCAAACTAGCATCCCCCTTATCAATAATTTAGCATTTCTACATGATCTGAACGTGTAAGATGGGAAGTTCTTTTTCAGCCCGTTTTGTGATTAAATTGAAGTATTTGGATATTATTATCATCATTATAAATATTGTAGTTGACCGGTGATTAAAACTTGAAACCACCTCTATTTTTGTAGTAAGCGTGTTAAGTTGGGCAGTAGAACATGTGGCTGTGCTCTTGGTTTAAGTATGCACTCTTTTGTGTGTGTTTCCTTGTTCACACACACTGGAGCCATAAATAGTCGCTGCTATCAAGCTGTGTGGGCATTCCAAGACAGACCAGTCCACTATCAACAAGGAGGGCTGACCTGCCTATTGGCTTTTCTCACACACACTGATCGAAAAGCAAGGCGAGAGGGAGGGAAGGATAGAGAGAACAAGGGTAGACGAGTATAAACAAAGGAGACAACAAACTTGGATGTTTCTGTCACATTGTTAATAATATAGTGTGTGTTTTACATCTGGTGGAAGGAAAAAACATTAATTTATTATCATGATTAACATTTAGCCATGTGTTTTAGAGTCACATGCTCTTTGTGACCTTAAGATTTGGAAAAGTTGTTTGATTCTGTGCTGGATTGTTTCTGCAAACTTTTAAACAAAGTAAGTTTTTATGGTTGGAGCTTGATGGGGCAATTTAATTGGACTACTGTTCATGTCCCGGCATACAAGCACCAGGTAAGGATAGATTCCCTGACTAAAATATGTCAGCAAACATGAACAACGTCTGTACTTTTTCGATGGGCAGTACAGTTAACTCTGGATCTAGTGCAGGATGATTGATCCAGTTTCAGGCTAACCAAGGTGTAAACACGCAACAGAAAAACGCCCTTATGTCTCTGAGCTCACAACACTCTTAGCTGTGAATAGTTCATCTTTACAGAGACCACCTCACTCCTCAATGTCACTCCTCTTTCACTCTTAGTATAAACCTGTGAATGATGAACATTTAGAAGTCATTGAGACTCTGTTTGTAAAGTCCACAGCCTGCAAGGTCGTTGCTTCTGTGTTTTAAATGACACAACCGAAAGTGCAGTGATTCAGCTGATTTAATGGAAGCTGCTTTTCTATCCTTGTAATCTGTCGCTCACATAACGAAGTGAGTTTTCCTTTCCTGGAAGGACGTCTTTGTTGCATTTATACCATAGGTTTTATAATCAATGAGGAAAATCACTTTAACTAAGGTCCAAAAATATGAGCGTCCAAGAGCCCATGTAGGTGCCAGCATACAATAAATCAGCAATAAGTTACTGACCTTGCCCCAGTTCTTTTCACATGTTCAGCTCTTTACAAAAGAGTACTGTTCACTACTTCGTATTCAACATGCCAGATGGTTGCAGAGGGTTAATTTTTCCTACATGCACATTGCATTTATTGAAAACTTAATGATAGCAATAGCTGCCCCATGGAACAAGATATACATTATAATCAACATATAATGTAAAAAGGACGGATATTGAAGTCTGAAAAATACAAGCGTGTGAAACACCTGAACAGATGTGGCCAATGTTTTATCAACTACTGATTTGTGGGGCACCCCTTTGCAGCCTAGAGTTTGGTACTTGATTGTTTTCGAGCCAGAACAAGAGGATAATGCTGAAAGTTAGCAATGGGTTGGAAAACTTTAAGCAATCAAAGCTGTGAAATGTGTGCTGCTAAATATTAAGGTGGAGGAAGGAGCTGTTCGGCCATCCTGTTAACCAGAGAATGACTTGGTTGACTTGACAAAAAGCTGCTTGCCAAGATCTCCTGAAAGAGAACTAGCAACTGGTGAATGAAACAAACCTGATAACCTAAAATGACCAGTCTTCTCTCACTTTTGCTTACCATCTTCATTGTGATGTGGACAACAACCCTGTGGCCAATGTCATGACCCTTGCCAATGAATAAGATAACAAACCAGGTACCCCATGATCCAAAACCGACATCTGCTTATCAGAGCCAACACATCAATAAGTCCAGTTATCAAAAAACCTACAGTGTCACCTAGTTGACAAGAAGCAGCAACCACATTGTGCTCAGAGTGACCACAGATCTACAACTGCAGTTATACAGCAAGTAATTCAAGCCCTGAAGTAATTTTAGAGGATGAGTAACATAAAAATCTGTGTCATGAAGGCAGAAAGGTAGGTAAAGAGACTAAAGCTTGTAGCAGATAGATAACATTTTCAATTCTGCTGGAAAGTTGGCACTGACTCACATTTGGAGCAAGAATTACAATGCTATTGCCACAAAAAAAAACCCTGCAGTTTTCTACAAGTATAGAGGATTAGTTTTTTTGACTGGTAGAGAGGGGAGGGGGTTGTTTTTACATCTAATCAGACAATGAGAGGGTGAGATGGGTGGCTGAGTGAAACAGGTGCAGTGTACCTCAAGACAAGACAAGAAAAGAGTGAGAAAGACAACAAACATAACTGTGAAACAGGGGAAAAAACCCAGACAAGTTAGGAAAAAAACCTAAAACTCTGGTAGACAAACAAACACACATAATCACTCACACCAAATGCAGGGTGGGGTGTTTTAATAGAAACCCATAAAGGGTTTGAGGCTGGTTTTACCAATGATCCATTGAAAAGGCTCTGTTGTTTTAGTCCCATAACTCTTTACTGTCTGGCAGCAGTCTGACCTTGGCTGCTCCACTGAGAGGACAGTGACTGTCAAACACACGGCCAAACCATCCCCAGGGAAGTACTTTCAAACACTAAACAAGTCTCAGATACCCTTTTAAATGCTTTCTAGAGCTGCTACAGCTGCCACTGCATGATATATTTGTGAGGATGACATGTAATTCTTTATACGGATCTACAAGATGAGGTTTTCACGGCATGTTTTTAGTTTTACTGATGAGCTTTGGCAGTCAAAACTACAGCTCCAGGAACACGTTTTAAGGGGCAGAGCTTGAAAAAAAAATTATGGGAGCTCTTCAAAAGACATTAAGGTATTAATTCATCACATTATTTTTTTATTCACTTCAGTCTAGATGGGGCCCTGGTGCCATGTCTTATTAGGGTCCATGAATTGAAAGGTGGTGCAAGGATCGATTGCACGATTATCATTCCTCTATGACCACAGTGAATCCATGTTTGGCAGCTTAAGCATGCCTAAATGTGTGTCAAATTTTGTACACGCATCAGATCAAGCAAAATTTGGCTTCTTTTGGTCTTGTGCACCATTTTTGCTACAACAGCTCCATTGTGCACCCTAGAAATTCTGAGCGACATGTATGAAAATTGCTAAGTATATTCATCACATTAAACCTATGAAAAAACACCCAACACTCGACAGGAAGTCTGCCATTTTCACTCGAGTTTCAACTCTCTTCTCTTCTCTTACTGCACTGTAATGAACAATGCAAGAGATGAAAACGTGTTCAAACTCTAAGCCCCACCAACTGCTTTAAGTCTGTATTACAATGTTTACACAGTGCTTATGATAACACATGCATGCTGATAGTCTCTGATCTCAGATCTGCATATACAGTGCATTTGCTTCATAGTAAAACTCCCGCCTACTGGTGTTTAGTTGCAGCTGCTGGATCACTAACATCCCCTCCTCATTAAATGTCACAGGCGAAGGTTAGAAACCCAACACGTCCATTAACTAAACTTGGTCGATGGAGTTCATGTTGCAGTTGATTAGTATGAGTGCCTATGTGTTCTTCAGTGATAAACCTTTTTCAGTGAACCAATTCTTTGCCACTTTTGCCAAAGCTCAGAGTTTTATCACCCGCATACTGTGTGCGTGTAACCTTGGACGGTGAAGAGATAAAGTACCTGGTAGAGAAAGCGCTGGCTGAATTGGTGCATGGCACCCTGCAGCTGGCTACGCTGGCTCTGCCACTGTTGGTAGTTTCGCACCGACTCTGCAGTGGGCCTCTGCCATGTGGTGGTTCTGGTGTTGTGGTCCACGTAGTAAAACCTGCCCCGCTGGTCCACGCGCTTTTCCCAGCTGGAGGACGGCAGAGAGCAGAGAGGGGGAGTGAGAGACGTTGTGGCTTTCAACAACATCTTCATTAAGGATGTGGGTGGTTGTATTAAAAAGCAGTGCAGATAGTAAATTTATAGTGACAAGGAAAAAGAAACAAAGGCAAGAAAAGGAAAGAAAACAGAAAGGGGAGGGAGACAGAGAGTGGGAGAGAGGAAGAGGAAAAGAGGAAAGAGGGGAAAACCTGCAAGTAGAACAACATTTCCCATGCTAGCATAAAACACAATCATGGCCTCACAGTAAGAATTTGCTTCTGTTTCTCCAGAAAGTCAGATTTCCAGGAACATGTTGGTGCATATTTACATCATCAGCACCACAATCTAATATAAAAGGTTTATCTCAACTCTGAACTTCACTTACCACTTTATTTACTTTGAAAACAAGCCAGCCTTAACAATGAGTGACCATGCGCTGTGGTGTGTGTCAGTGCCTGCCAGTTGCATTACTCAAAGGTCTATGAATATCGTGCCCTTCCCATGAGATATGGGGTCTGGAAATTGACTGAGATAGATGGTCCTCAAACAAAGACCAGTCCCTCGAGCTCAGCAGGAGTCACTGCAGCTCTGCTACTATTCTCATATCTGTGACTTCAGCACTACAGAATTCTGAGGAGAGATCAGCATCCACTTCCGCTCGCTAACAAAAATACACCAGAGCCCAGTGTGGGAGCTAGGCTATCAACCACAGCAGACGCAGTCAACCCCATCACATAATTTTAAGAAACCTCCACCCATGCATTTAACTAAGTTTAAGTGCTAAACTTTCACTGCTTTGCTTTGTCTTTGTTGCCCACTTAATTTAGCACAGTTTGAAGATGCAGACAGACTGTGCTTTTCTATCTGCGGTGCACTGATCAGCTGTTCGAGTCTGCGGGCTTAAAAAGAGTTTGAAAAAACCACAACCAAACTAACAAATGAGTGACTCTGACAGCGCAAATGACATGCTGTTCATAGGAGAGGACATCTTTATGAGCAAGAGTATGGAGAGAAAGAATGAGATTCAACTGACTGAACAACAGGGTGGAGATGCTTCTTCTATATCAGCTAAAGAGCAGGAAAGAAATGTCCTAAGTTACCTGGTTGTGCAGGTGTGTAAACTGTGAGCACAGTCATGAGTGGAACTTGGTAAAAACTGTATTTCAGGACATTTCTGAGATACAGGATACTAGCAGCTCACATATGGTTACTGTCCACAGTACTGCAGGGCTCCCCGCCTTACTGGCTGTTTTTTTTGGACAATCTTTAGTTTTCAGAAGTCAAACAAAAAGAATCAAATGGTGTTGTGTCCTTAAAGTAAGTTTTTAGCTCATATAGTTCTTCACTGTATAATATCGCAGCCTATGGTCAACATGACTGAAACACACACTGTGTTTGATGAAGGAAGGCACTGAGCTGAAATATCAAACTTTACAGCCATTATTGTGTCAGCAAAATTATACACAGCATTTGTTGCTTAAAATGACCGAATACCACGCAAAGAGCTAAAATGTTCTAAACTTTAGTTTGCATTTACATTCATGTTGGTGTCTTGTTTGTAAAATATCAAAATGAGCCAAAGGACAAGGAAAAGGTGACATTGTATCTGGTAGTAGGAAAGCTATAGTCTAGCTTTTGTGCAGATTCTCCAAAAATTGTCTTCACAAAGAATCCAAGCTGACCGTCAACCTCTGTGACTAAAACACCTGTCAACCTGAATTAGAAGTCTCTTGTAGTACTTCCTCAGAGTCTGTGGTATTTAATAAACTAGGGGTGGGAATCACCAGTAGCCCCACGATACGATATCATCACGATATTTGGGCTACAATACGATATTATTTTGATTTTTAACATTTTGAAATACAGTGACTACTGCAATACAATATATTGTGATTTATATATATTTTTTTCAACTGTTAAGCTAATTTAGCATTTGTCTTTCCTTTATGTTTAGGTCTTTATGTTTATTTAGGCTGTATTTTATTTTCATGTAGCCTTTTATATAACCTTTTATATATTTGTTGCACTAACTTTCTCCTGCTCTATGATGTCACCTCTGCCAACTTCACTGGCCAAACAGTTGATTTTATTTTTCCATTATCATAGATTTGACTTCATATTAGCAACTAATTTGAAAATTCAATACTTGGTCCATGACACGATACGATATATCACCAGTCAAAATATCGCTATACTATGCTGTATCGATTTTTTTCTCCCACCCCTATTATGAACACTATCCTACAGGGGCCTAGAGCAGACAAACCAAACATCTGCTTTAGAGTGGACCCGTCAGGTTTTTCAAGAGTTTCACAGCAGCCTAGTTTTCTCCTTAAGGCTTGGTTATTAGGGTATTCATGATTAATTACATTAAATGAGATGAAATCCTCAACACTGATGCTTTAAGTGTAAGAAAGAACTTCATAATATTCAGTTTAGCAGTAAGACACAGATGTCATTTTGAGAAAAGGTTAGCAACAATCGCATCATGTTCTTTTTTTTTTCTCACTGCCTGCATTAATACGTTATTTATGGCAAATCTTGGGTATAAAACTCCTTTACCGATATGCATACAGAATTCGTGGCTCCACTGAGAGCTGAGCCCACATGGTCAACATCACCACCCTGAAGGTTTCAGGAACGACAACAACAACTAGATTAGCTCATGTTACTTTGTTGTCTTCTAAAAGGAAAAACTCTGCTCTCTTGTGGTCAGAAGTCCTGCTCAGATCTACAACAGCACCCAGGAGCTGGTAGGTTAATGTATCTTGCTCAAGGACACTCAAGCAGTGTGGATGATAGAAAACACAAGCAGTCATTAGGTTGAGGGATAGTCTGTCTGACCACTGTGCCTCTGAGCTCCCTTTGAAAGACAGGAAAAAAAACATCCTCACTCTGATATTAGCACTGGCTTGTTATTTACTGGAGCCAGGGAAAATACCAAAGCCCACAATGGCGTGTCTAAGAGCTTTTACTTGGTTCTGCTATCTAAATTAACCTCTTCCTCCCAGTCATTTCATTGACTATCTCATCCATGTGCATCTTTATTTATTACTCTTTTATTTAGTGCAGTCGGCTTACATCTTACTCACTAACTATCACCATCTACACTTACACTAGTAAAAGCCAGCACCAAAGCTCAGCAGTTAGTTTGTACCCTCATGTACGGAGTCTATACCCCTTATAGCGAATGTCCTGGATTGGATTCCAGTCTGCAGTCTTTTACCCCACGTCGTTCCCCTTTCTCTTTTTTTCCAGTTTCCTGCTCTATCCACTCCCCTGTCCCAAAACAAGATATGTGAAAGTCCAAAAATAAACCTAAAGGAAAGTTTTATCATCAAAAACAACTGAAAAGCAGTCATCATGCTATAATCACTGAACCTGATCTTTTTGAATTTTGCATGCAAATATTGTACATTTATAATGGCTGTGGACTGCACTATAGAAACCATGCACTGCTGCATGTGCACTGCTTCTCATACACTGATTTATCAATAGGACTCTTGCATGATAGTAAAGATTGTTGCTGATTTTACCTAAAAGAGAAGCCAGCAGGTCACAAAGGTGAGATGACAGCTTCTTTAAAGTTACATGTTTGTTTTCTTCGCCATCTTCTTACTCTATAACCAAAGAGGTGCAATTATAAGAGGTGGCTTTACAAGGTTTTTTCTGTAGTTAAATTCTTTAGTTTGTCTAGAAATCCCCTTGCACTTAGTTCAGGCTGTGCATCCATGCAACTCCAATGTACGCGAACACTCACTCCAACGTTTGTCCAGTAAGAACCGCTTCCAGCTCCAAAAAGCCGAAATAGCAACATAAAAATGCCAATCTTAAAGCATTATTACGGTTGTCTGCAAACAAGTAAGCAACTTTTACGTTTTTATATAGTGACACAAAGTGAGTGTTATCCTCTAACAGAGCAGTACGCTAAGCAACCACAGACCAGAATAGAAGGGAAAAAGTGCGGTCCTGTTAAGCACCAATGATCAGTAACCCAAGAGGCCCTACTACTGCTAAGCTAAATGAAACCATTTTTGACATTTTGCAACTCCCCAGGAGGGCTGGACTTGTAAAAGAGGGACTAGTTACAATCTGTGTAACTCATTTGATGAGAAGCAGTGAGTCCAAGAAGCTGCTCTCAGTCTGGCTTTGGATGGCTTTCATTATTTCAGCTTCCAATTTTCTTCTGCCTGTCTCCCCACCCTGCCCCCCAAACTTCTAAACAGTTCCCGGTGCATACATCTGGAGTACTAGCCTGGCATTAGTTTGCTAATTGATCCTCGGAAGGGCCACAGCAGCCAGCAGCCGACATAGTGGTTGATGGAAGTACATATGGCGCTAAGAAAGGACTTTTGTTCTCCGGGCCCCCACACTCTCGTTCCTTGTGTGGAAAAACTGAGATGGGGGGTGGAGGCTTGGGGGAAAGAGTGTGTGTGTGTATGTGTGTGTGTGTGTGTGTATGACCTTTTTCTAAAACAGCCTCTTTTTCTCTCAGTCACTCATGTCATACACTCTGAAAATCAATAAATAAATGGTACAAGGATCTTTTTTTGTTTTGCTTCGGTTTTATATGCTCTGAGTAAGCTCCTCTCGAATGGTAAACTAAAAATATGTAAACTGATACCTCAGACAAGCTTGTACCGTGGGTCAGGCTCTATTTGCTCCCATTTTAATTCAAAGGGTGCATGTTTGGCATTTAGGACATAGGGATGCATGATATTGGATTCTAGTCGATACACCATTATGCTGATAGTTTTAAACTCATGTTGGACATGTACACACGTGATTTTTCTCATCGCAAAGAATGTTAAGTTTTCAGGTAACACAATTTACCTTCACATTGTTATTGTGATGGTCTGTTTGTCACAACAAGACACCAGAGAACAAGACACAATAACATTTGATTCAAATTCAAATTCACTGGGAGAGATAAATATTTACTAATGCTGGTTAAATTATGCATAGTGACAATGACTGGTTGATATCTGGTTTTAGAAGCCAAATGCTGCCCAACACAACAGTCCCCTTTTGTTGATCCCAGTGCATGTACAATGAAAAAATGCATCACCTCAGGAAATACATAAAAAATGTAGCAGGCATACCCCGGTGGCAGCGGTCTCTCCCAGGTTGTTGTTTTGGTGTTGTGGTCAACATAGTACACTCTGCCATGGGGCAACACCCTCTGCTCCCAGCTACATAGAAGAGAAAGAGGGGAATAGAAGTGATGCATCCACTTTTATACTTCACACATTATGAATACAAACTGGAGAAATAGTTTTGTAATTTTTCTGATTGGTGCAAAAACATGAGGAAACATTACCATTTTAAATATTTATTCAATGGAGTTTGGGGATTTCATCAAAGCACAGATTATTTTAAATAGTTTCAGGTGTAATCGCCTCATGAACCTAAAAAATCACATCCAAAAATAATTGCCTATGGATACGGTTTGTCCTTGCAAAATAATGAAGGATCTAACTGAACCAAAACAAGGAGAAAACTATGGATAAACATGATCCACTGGCAACCTCTCTGGGCTCAAGTCCATAGAAATGAGACCGAGGTGAAGTGGAAAACTGTTCTGTGGAAAGACTGATCAAAATAAGGCTTCCATTATGGAGGACATAGTGTCCTCTGATCTCAGGAGGAGAGGGCACCTGACTGTGAAGGTATGGAGATGTGTAAACATTGTATGCAGGTTTTAGAGCAACATTATGCTGCCATCCACGAGACTCTGTTTAAATTTAACATTTCATACAGTACCCCAACGTTTGTGGGGTGTCGAGGCTGCACATTTTACCTTACTGCTACCATAACAAGTAGTAAACTTGAATCAATGTCTTTAATCTGAGTAATCATTTGTAGATATTGATTTGATTTTACGAAGATCTACTTTTACCACAACAAGATGAGGCTGAGTAATGATAAAATGATTCCAGTGCCTTTTGTGGTTCATGTGTGTTTGGATACAGTTTAGTATAGTATATACTGTGTAGCTTTTACACCATTAGGGAAGAACTAATGATCGTATACTGCCATCCATCCCTCTAATTGAATGTCAGATGTTCTGTTGTCGTGTAGAATAGTTTTAGTGAGCTTTGTCTCTTACCCTGCCGGGAGTGAGTCTGTTGTGGGCTCTGTGGTGCTGTTGCTGGCTTGTTCACTATTAGTGGTGGTGTTTGGGCCAGATTCTGATGGCCCAGCCAAACCCAGGGCGTCCTGACCTGGAGACGGGCTGCTGCTGCTGCTGGCTGCTGGGGATCGCCCTGATGGTGAGGGTGGAGGAGGAGTATGACGGGCCACGCCTCCTCGACTGTTTTCCAGACCGTTAGAAGTCAACTCAACTTTGTCTGAGAAAAACAGAGGGATGAAAGAGAGAAAAGGAAGAATTGGTTAACTCTGGTTTGGTAGATGTAGGATTTTCAGTATTTCACAGTTTGTGTGTGAAAAGAAATGAGTCTCTTCAATCATGTGCTGACGTGAAATCGGACGACTGGGAACTCTAGACCCCCGTACTTTTTGCTGTACTATTTCTATTTCACAAAACCTCTGGTGCTGCATCAAAGTCAGGACTGTAAATCTGTTTCTTTCAGAAAGCAGATATCAGCCTTTCACAATCAAAACAGATCAAGTACAGAGTGTGGATTTAAACTGCATGAGTTACAATTGTATAATATGGGATCAAGTCTTACTAAGAAAAACAAAAAATCCAGAAAAGTTATAACCAAACCTTGATTCACCTTTTCTACTCCTTTTATACACTTCTGACTAGAGGTATATTTACATACTGCAGCCAAAAACATGGAAGTGATCAGAGAAATTTTTGTTTACACATTTATAGGCTGGTGTCTCAGCTTAACCATCTCATTTGTCTATTTCTGATGTTGTGATTCCCAGGACAAAAAGTCACTTTAGTATTTGAGATTCATTTAAAATACTGTTTTTATTTCTTGAACCATAGAATCACATCTTTGCAAAATGTTAAATGTTCATATCCTATAGTCAGGGAAGTGTTTCTCTAATTGACATTGAAAACACATTTTTTTAAATTGATGAAAATGAGAAAAGAGCAAACTAATGACAAATAAAAAAAAATGAATTTAAATCTTACTCCAGCAGGTTGTTAGAATTTATAGGAATAGTGTTAGATATTTTTGTATAGTATGAATGTGTGTGTGTGTGTGTGCGTGCGTGTGCGTCTGTGTTAAAGCCAGTCTGTAGTGGCATTCAGGAAGAGAAAAGGAGTCCATAATTGGTCAATTTCTTCGTAAGGTTTTGGCTCCAAATAAGCCTCAACTTGTCCTTCCTTTTGAGAGAATAGAGCTTTTTGTAAAGTTATTAGTACAGAACACTATCTTGTATTCACTATGTTTCATGTGTTGAATTGTACATTTAACCACCCTTCCAAACATATATAATACCTGCAGAAATCCCCACCAGCCCCTCCAATCATTAATACCAAAAGAAACGTCAATCAAGAGATTTTGATAAATCCAGACTTAGCGTGTACCTGCGCTGCTTCCAGGGCTGCCGTGATTCTTGGAAGACCGAAGGCGGCCGGATGAGCCTGGTCCGCTGACCTGCTCCTCATTCAGCTCCCCATTAGTCAGAGAGACCCCTCTGGGGCAGCCAGGAGAGCCACTCTGTGAACCCCCTACTGAGTGCCGGTTATTCCTACCAACAGAGACACAGAGAGCAAGGATGTGAATGTGAAGCAGATGAGGGGAGAAAATGACAGAAAAGGAGATGAGGGGAAGAACCAGGTGGGAGGAAGGGAGGTGTGATGAGACAGTGATGACAACCAAACATCAACATTTAACCGTACGGAAAGAAAAAACAAATCTGTAGCACTGATGTCTCCTATTTATTCTTTGCAAGTCTTTTTCCCTTTTTTGACTATTAATAATCAGGCCTGTTGTTGTTGCTGACACAGGGGATCAGACTTGGCACATGTACCCGAGTGTATAAGGACGAAACCCACAAGAAAAACCCACAAAAATACATGAAGAGGTGTCAGTGTCTACTTCTCTGCCTCTGTTATCACCCTGATTTTTCCAAAAACAAAATATAACTTTGTGCTTCTGACTATAACTTTTATACAATGAAAAAACACATTAGCTTTCCCTCTTTAGAGTCAAGGAATGCTGAGACCCAGCAGGGACAGAAAAATGTGACCAGAGGCTTTGCTTGGTTTTTCATGAGCCAAAATAAAGAGAAGAGGCAGCAAAAGGAGGATCTGATGTTGACTCTAGGTTTGGCTAACTGTGTGCACTGATGGGAAGGGATATAGTCAACTGTCTTTAAGTAGAGATAGTTAAAACCTTTGAACATACTAAGTAAGGCAGTTCTTCAGTCACAAATGAGTGACTCTCAGACAGTCTTTTGTCAGCACCACACAAGAGGATCTGCTGGGAAAGACGTCACCAGCAACAAAAGCCCTAATTTTAGGTAATAATTTGTTCAGCGTTGGAGCTCACAGGGTTTCTAACAACAGCCACATTGTCTGTGAGTTTCCTCTCTCTCCTCCATCAAAAAAGATTAGAAACAGCTACATGATGACTTAAAAAACTCAAGTGTTTCTTTGAATCTCTGTGGAGGACAGAATACCAGGAGAGGCTGAGAGCTGAGCTGCAGCAATCAACATTCATTGTCCTGGACAAGGCCACTACAGGGAGCTGAATTATTCACAAAGCTCTTCTTCATTCAGAAGCAAATGCAAAGGAGTTTAAAAGCAAGAGATGGAGAAAATAGACCGAAGAATAATTATGACAAAATATGTTTGATTGATATTCTTTTGCAGGGTTACTCAAGAAGCTGGCTGAGCGGCTCCTTCATAAGATCAGCTCGCCCTTTTCTTGTTCTCTAGAGGTTAAATGACCAAAACCATCATCACATTAGAATGAATTACAACCCTAATCTCACAAAAGATGGAATGCTGGGTAAAATGTTTTTAAAATTAGAGATTGATGGTTTGTAAATCATTTCAACCCAGTCTATTATGGTACCAATTAGGTGGGAAAAAAACATCAAATGATGAAATTCACTTTCTTTTATTGTTTTCAGAAAACTTTATGGTCGTTTTAAATCTGAGGCCAGCAACAGGTTTCAAAAAGTTGCCATTGTGTTGCATCAAATAAAATGAGATTATATGATATTAGATTAGATACAACTTCATTTACCCTTTTGGGAAGATTCCCTCAGGGAAATTAAATTCTGAAATTAAAAATTAATCTCTTTTAAGGTCTCCTTTTTAAATGTTTGGAAACAGAGGAGACCAGTTTCTGAATTGAAAGTGAAATGCTGCCCAATTCTTGGATTTCTGCTCCTCTACAGTTCAGGGACAGCAGGCTGGCTTGTTTGGCACTGCGACTCTTCTACTATGAAGCTGTGCTGTTATAACACATGAAGAGTGTGGTCTGGCATCTTCTTCCTGTATTATACAAGATCTTCCCTGAGAGAGGGTTAGGTTGTCTAGATGGCAGTTTCTAAAACCTGTTTATATTGTTCTGCATACATGGTACCCTCCCAGATGTGTAAACTACTCCTCCTGGTATCATTAAGGATGCCGACATTTGAACCGTGTGCTGATAACAAACCCAGCAGTCCCTCTCCTCTTTAGAGCGGAGGAGCGTTTTTCCTAAAAGAATGTCATATTTTCATTTGTCAGACCACAGGACAGTTTTCCACCTCTCCTCTGTACATCCAAATGTGCTCGGGCTCTGTGTGGTCGCTGACTTTTCTGGATTCAATGACAATGGATTTTAGAGGTGGTTTTGAGCCCATGCAGCGATTTCCATGAGCAGAGTCAGGTCACTTTTTAATGCAGTGCCAATTAAGGCCCAGATGACATTAATCCATTGTTGAACTACATGCTTTAGCAGTCTTCTGCCAAATGCACAGCAGAAACAATACCACAGCTTTTCAGTTTGAAATTTGATGTACTGTCTCACTGTTTTAGATCAAAGAGAGGGTGTGACTGATTTCATAAACAATCAAAATCTGTTTTTATCAAAACTTGGGGCTGTAGTTGGAAACAAGCAAATTCCAAGAAGACGGCACACATTATACAGAAGGAAACTGGTCAAAAATGTTTAAATCTTACGTTCATCTACAAGCTGAAGGGGTTTCATCACATTTGTTTTTATTTTGTTATCACCACATTTGATATATCCATACCCCCCAAAGATAAACCCTAGTATTATCATCTTCAGGATTTTTCCGGATGGCCATCTATGTTCTCTGACAGATGTTTTTGTGTGTGGGCATTGAGCTGCTCGTCATGGGAGACCAACAGAAAACCCTTTCTTCCTCTCACTTTCTGCGGTGTCTGATGGAGACGTTGACTGCTGTTCCATGACAGAGGCGGTCTGCACTCTTGGCTGAACTGTGTTTAATGCCCCCCTGCACTGTTTAGAGGGAAATACCATCTGACCCCATGCACCCCCTCTGCAGCGCTTTGAAATAAATGCAGTCTGCTCCACTATTTATTATCCCACTACCACTCTATCCGGGGGAGCAGCGTCTGAAACCGCATTCAGGGGGGAATAACATGCTGGCACTCTGCATAAGTGCTTCAGTCGACCACACTGGCACAGGCTCCCATCACTCCGGCCTTTTCTTTTCTTTCTCCCATTTATTTTGATTACAATCGTGCTTTAAGTACGAGACTTTGGTATAAGCGCTTGGCAAACAACACTTAATAAAACAGTTACACAACTTTAACGATGCTTTTCTTTTTGTTACTATACCACAATATCTGCAGAAGGATGAAACCAGGGGAGTCAAAAAGAAATACGCACAAACTGAGACACTCTTTTTTTTTTTTCTTCTAACAATATTATTAAGATTTTAAACTGTTCCTATTCCTACTTACCTGTTACACCACTGTATGTATTTTGCAGATTAATTTTATCTGCACACATACCCATTTTGATCACTGGGCACTGCCTTTGAACGTCAGCTACTTTTTACTGTTTATAAACAGAATTGGTTGATCAGATCTCTTCCTCTTATAAAGAAATTTTACTTTAAATAAATTTTTGACTAGTCTTTGAGAAACTTAAATGTTCACTCTCATTAAATTCAAATTCTTTAATTATAATTCAGACACTTTTCTGTATTTTTATCTTTCACTTTTATATGTAAATAAACTTTAATGTACAGTGTGAAGAAATGGGAGTAATTAGCAATTCACAGCCGTCAAATTCAAGACCGAAATGGTTCACTCCTGAAATGTGACGGTTTTTATGAGGACAAGAAGCTCCTGTGATGCATGATGTGTATGAGGTTCTTTTTTTCACGTTTTAAATGTCAATCAAGACAAATTCTTTTGCATACGACAACAAATACTCTCTTCTTCTTTGTTGTCTCTGAACACAACCACTCATTTACCATAAACATGCATTTGTTTCTAGTTGGTCTGTTCTGTTTTTATGGTAAAAAGGTATCAAGATTTTTGCAATTGCTCCAGTGGATAGGAAAGGCTGGCAGCGATGAGACTGGGAATTTTTGTGAAGAGCAGTATACAGAGAGTCCATGAAAAGCACTTTTTTAGGACTGGGGAGCTTAGTTTTTCATGTTTGTCTATTAGGCTTCATTTTGCATTCTAAACCTGTTATGTCCTTGCTGCGTGGAGGAAACAGTGTCCATGTGTATCTGCGTGTGTCCTGACCTGCTGTGAGATGCAGCTGTACTGGGAGTCTCCTCGCTCTGTGTCCTCCTCAGGTTGGGTCGGTCTGACTGCAGTATCTCTGCAAAGACACATTACATCATCAGCGTTCAGACCAAAGCTAATAATAACTACCAGCCCATGTTTTAAATCTAAACCATATGCACGTCACTTGGGTGTTCATTTTTACAGGCCTGTGGGAGAAAATGCATGTGAATGTAAAGATGCAGAAATACCAACGTTTATGAAGTTGATGGTTTTCTTGAACTAAAGACGAATAAAGCTTATAAAGGCAGAACACCGTCTATTTAAGAAACAACTGAATATGAAACACAAATGTATAGAGAGGCACTGGAAAGAAAGACTGAATCGACAAATCATTGATGAAACTTGAAAATGCATGAAAGACAACATCCTTTTATGTAGATTTAGGACACAGAAAGGTGCACAACACAACTTTACTTGCTGATCAGACAATCATGACATTGACAAACCACAGCAATCACACTTTCTTTTCAGTGACTATCCTACGTTCAATTTTGCATGAATAATTTGCTTTTATATCATAATACACCATCACACCTGTACACAAATAATCAGGCTCTGTTTAACTTAAGAGGAGAGGCTGCATCACGTCAGCAAATGTGTACCTTTAAACTTGATGTCTTCCACACAAACGAAAGTTACTCACTCACTTCTCTGTAAACTCTCCCTCCTCTCTTCCCTCGCTCAGCTACTACTCACTGTGTCAGCACCATGTGCCCCCTCTTTCTTGCTCTTTCTCAGCTTTAGGGCCAAAAGTCCAACGCGACACAGCTTAAAAAGTTCTCATAGTTAGAAGAAGGCGAATGTGTTCTTGAAAAATCTTCTTAAAAGTCAAATCCATTTAGACTTAAAACATGCAGCAATGGAAGTACAGTTAGTGGTTTAACAGAAACAGTTTGTCCTTGTGCGTACTACGTAGTGTGTGTGTGTGTGTGTGTGTGTGTGTGTGTGTGTGTGTGCGTATGCGGTTGTGGTGATGTGAGGGAATGTGTGACTATATACTCATTCCCAACTGTGACTGAAAACCACAAACCTATAACATGCTTTTCATTAACACTCACTTTCTCCTTTACACACACAAATACAACACCTTCTTCTATGTACAGCACTCACACTGGAGGCATGTTGGGCGCAAACACAGCATCCATATTTACACAGATAATATATATCCTGCTATCTACAGTAAGGCAAACAGGTGATCTCTGTCTCACACGAGCACACACACACACACACACATCCACATATACGCAGTCCTGTTTTGCAGCTTTGAAAGGGCTTCTTGTTTTTCGACCTCATGGACATGCATGAAAATAAACAGATCTTGAGGAGAAACCATTGTGTCATGGCCCACTTACTGAGTTCATCACCCCACCCTTTAATGGTAAAGGTCTAGTACAGTTCTTCTGTGAATGTCTGTATTAGCGTATTTTCGTGTATTTAGCCATTACATTACAAGTTAATATAGGGAATCGTAACATTGTTGTGGAATCTCATGCTCTTTCTTGCACACTGAGATAAAATGAGAGAAAAAAAAATTACAATTAAATAAAAAACTACAGTGGCCAAAATCAAAGTACAGAAAGACTTTAATGAAAAAAATCTGTAACTTTGTTTTAAGGAAAAATTCATTCTCTGACTGCTGTTATAGATGATGGTGCACAGCTGCTCTCAGGTGCCAGTTACATGCAACCAAAAAGGGTCACAGATTTCTGCACTTAGTGACTCACATCATGTTTGAAAGCTAAATCCTATTTATTTCTAACATTTTCAGCTTGAACAAGACAATGACCGTTATACTAGGGTTGATCCCGACGGGGCAAGACGAGGTGCTTTGTCTCAAGGTCTTGTCACACCTTTCAGGGGTCTTTTATGGATTAAGCCCCACTCACTACACACTGTCCAATACCTGGCCTTCAACGAAAGATACAAATAACTTACACTTAGTGTAAAATGAAAGATGATTGAAGAATAATTTGAAAAGGATTTATTTATGCAGCTGAAAAAAAAACTGTCCCTTAGATTTAATGGTTGAGTTTTCAAAGCAGTGGTATAGTTATCAGCCTACTTGTGGGTCAAATAAATGACAAACTTCCCAGCATCAGCCTGCTAACGGTAATTTCCCCTAATACTAGTATTTCTTCTGCCCGCATTAATTATAGTAGAAATTAACTGCAGCTTCTCTTCCCTGTAACTTCTCTATTGGTTTATCACACTCAACCAGCTCTGTAACACTCCTATATCCCACGTCATTTCACACGTTTCTGTCATCATCGTTAGTTAAGTTGCAACTCCTATGACTGCCCTTCACGCACAAGAAAGGTAACAATGTAAATTTTATTTTTGGATATTCAACTTTCAAAAATATTCTATAGGATGGGAAGCTGGATATTTTTGGAGCATCTATCCTTAAAGTGTGGAGACATCCATAAAGTTATATCTTTCTGTTCTGGATTCTGTTTCTGTACAGCTTTCAATACAAGGGTTTTTCTATAAAGTCTACTACGGGCTGTGTGAGTGCGTGTTTGTGTGTGTGTGTGTGTGTCTGAAAAGCTGCCAGGGGAAATGAGTAAAACCTCCGAGCTAACAGAGGTGCCTTCAGAGCGAGAACATAGAGCGCCTTGACACCAGCAGAAAGGCAGTACACTTCCACCTTTATACGCTTTATATATTCAGGTAACCCACACATGCTCGTGTGTATACACACACACACACACACTGCAGAATGTAAAACACATGTACAACCATTCATACACACAAGCTAAATACACACAACTCCATCCACACAAAATTGAAAAAAAAAAAAGAAAAAAAAAAGCACACACAGACTGAGGTGCTCCTGCATAAAACCTGGTTTTTGAGGGCAAACTTTGGCCCTCTGTTCACTCACATCTCCTCCCCGCACAAACACACTCATGTACATACACATATGACCTGTCTTTCCTGCCCTTGTAAACCAGGAGAGGAAACCCCCTCCTCACTACCATACATACGGCCTCAGGATCACAGGAGGCGATTGTGCTGCTGAGCTGCAAGCAATGAGGCTCAATTACGCAATTCTCAGAAACAAATTAGACGAAAGCGCCCCTGATGTCAGTGATTATGTGTGTGTGTGAGTGTGTGTGTGTATGTGTGTGTGAGTATGTCTCCAGAGTTTAAAGACAACTTAAAAAAAAAGCTATTCAAAGAAAACATGGGGGAGCACTCAATCCATTTTATGGAGACCTTTAACCTGCACACACGTTACAGACCTTGCTTTGTTTAACTGCATTGTGAGGACATGCCTTTCACTACAATGACTTCCTCATGTCCAAAACGATCGTACTTCAGGCTGGATCCAGCTTTATTTGTTTTTGTCTAAACAAAAAGACAAGAAGCGAGTAAAACTGCTACATAATAACAAAGTCACCGCATTTGTTTGTGAGCTCAGCCTCTCGCTGACTGACTTATCAACTGCAGTCAGCAGCGGCCTGAGTCATCTCCTACTTTAATTTTTGCCGCAAGATTGACTACAGTCATAATCACTGTGTGAGAATGTGCAACTATATAACTCATCAAAAGGCTGTGATAAGTGCTTAAATAATTGTGCATAAGTGTCTGTAATCCTTGATTGTTTAGCATGGACGGCATGTTTTTGGTCACATGACTATCCAATGCACAGAGCGCAGAGTTACGACGAGTACGAGCATCATGAGCAAGTCAACTCGGCACCGGTGGCATGAGAAAAAATTCAACATCTGCTTTATGGAAACATTTTGGACTCAGTTATGTTGAGGTTGAACAGGAAAAAAAAGTGCTGTGCAAAACTTTCAAAATAAAAGTTGCAGTGGTACATGGCAACAAAGCCAATCTGGATCAACTAATCAACTTTCTACGAATCTCAATTGTAGTATTTTACCAAAATCGTACAGCACTAGCTTTAATAGCTTTAATCATATATCACACATATCAAGTACATTTAGCCTGTTGACACTTGAGCAATAATTTTAGTTAAGAGTTATGCCAGTAGGCCCTGATGTGAGATCTACCTGTGAAGATACTGCACCCCAACTCCAATTTCACTTTACATCTGAAGACCTGTCATCCTGTGTACTCTGATCACTCATAGTAGAATCAAATATCTATTTCTAAGTGTCTTTTTATTCATGGAAGCCTCAGTTAAAGATGTGTTCAAGGCCACCAGAAATATACTTTGGCCTGTAAATAAAGATTCTCGATGGTCCATTACACAAGTGCCTGAAAACCTTGGCGCCCTTCCCTGACAAGCTGTTTTTATGAGTGAGGACATGACCCTCCCTTTCTAATAAAATCTTCTAATTTTGCTGTTCTTGTTAAAACGTGTGGTACAACAGCGCACACACATAAACAAAAACAGCCTTCAAACAGCCTCTTCACATTGAACAGTCACAATGAGACACATTTATAAAGCCCCGTGCAGGCTGGCCTCGGCCTTAACTGCTGGCTCTGTGTTCATTCAGCAAAAGACACTGTAGACTCTGTGTGGCACGCTATGAAAAGTCTTTTCTGTATGTGTGGATGTGTGCTTCTGTGTATGTGTGTGTGTGTGTGACAGATACAAATGAGATGGATGCATGGACGGAGCTTTGGTTTTAAAGAGGAGCTTAATAACTGTGTGTTTGTTGGAGGACAGCAAGTATTCCAAACCATAAAGGAAAGTAAAATGTTAGCGCCTGGAAGCGGGAAACACTGTTGACTAAGAGTCAATAAACCTGTGGAGGGTTTGAAATCCTTCCTCTGAGGACTCTGGAAGGGTTTTTTACTGGTTTGGGAGCAGTAACATATGCACATGAAGGTTAGTTCTTTTACATCAGAGGTTTAAGTTCAGTTATACAAGACAGTGGAGGCTGATGTGGGAGCAAAAGTGTAGTCAAACACTTGGCTCCTGGTATTAAATTACGTTCAGTGGAACACTACTCTTTACATGCTATCCATAAAAAACGGCAAAGTTCTGATACACTTTATGACCTTTTTTTCTAACTCTTGACTGTTCTTAGGCTGTGCTTCAACAAATATACAAAGGGACAAGCCCTTGGCCTTACATTAAACTTGGTTCGATTTCTATCAAGTGTGACTTTTTCTGTCATAACATACGGCCATTTGCCTTTTTAATCTACCACAAAGAAAATGTTTCTCTGACACCATCACTGAGTACTTGCACAGAGGGATTTTTTGGGTTTCTTTAATTTTTTAATGAAAGAGAAGAAATGAGACGCAGAGCAGTATGCAATAATCAAAATCACTATAATACGTATTCATGAAACTGTGTCTGCATTACTTCCCATTTAAAGCCCCATCAACAGAGACCATTACAACACCCTGGGATTGCAAATCAGAAGGTAAGACCCCTGTAAGCGATGACAAAAACACGAACATTCACTTGCTCGTTGGGTCATGTAAGTCACAACATGTCCTCCTCCGTTTTGTCACAGCTCAACACATGACTCTTTTCCAGAAGAAAAACAAACATTACACAAGTCCTGCTGACTTTGTTGACTTAAGCCCCTTTCACACATGCACAAACTCTGGGAATTTTCCAGACTTTATCCAAGCGATCTGCATGAGTGAATGGAGAAGGTTGAATCTTTCCCCCTGATGTTGTCTTGATTTCCTGCTAGCTCCTAAGTAAAATTTCGGACTGAGGTTGGGATGACCCGGTGTGATGTTAACAGTTTATCTGCTTTAAACCCTTTACCTCCTTTGCTCCTTTTGTCACACTGGAGGGAAAGAAAGTGAGGAAATATATACAGTATATATATATATATAGAGAGAGAGAGAGGGAGAGAGAGAGAGATAATATATCTACATCATGAAATCCCATATGGTTTTGATTTAAATAAACCAATGAGCTTTTTCTACTGTACAAAATCATGTCATCAATTCACAAAAAATGACACAAATCCCTTTTTACACCTAACAAATACCAAACAATTCTATGGGCACAAATTAGGAAGGGTTAACAGTTAACTGAGTAGCTAGTAACTGCATGTAAGAACATGCTTGAACGTGCTTTGTCTGTTTGATTTTCTATCAGGTAGTGATAAACAGCATATGGTGGTCTATTATGTTCGACTTCCAGGGTGGACTTCATAGTTAAAGTGTGTTTCATTGCAAACCAACAAAGGCTTTGTGCCTTTTTAGCGGAAACGTGGACACAGAGGCCCAGAACATTTTACTGGACACTAAACCATCTTCAGATACAGACTGGTAGAGAGTCAATGCAGAGAAATTTCCCTGACTGGCAATGCTGAAACATCAGTATCTCTGCATACCAGCAACATTGGTGTCTTCTGAGCATGTATTTCTGCTGTCAGACTGACTATGACCCATTTATACTCTTGTCAGACTGACAACAAAGTATACGTGCTTATTTTTCATAGTGAGAACAAGTAAGCAGAAAAGTGGACACTATTAATCTGGAGTATATTTCTGTTCTGTGATCTTGGTGTTGATATTCAGCGTGTTACACAATGTTTATGCCTCTTTTTGTTCTGTCGGCATGCAGTACAGTTACATCCATACATCGCAGTGGAAAATAAAGGATTTGGGGGGCAAAGGGGGCACTTAGCTATTTTTTTTTTTAATCATTGAAAAATATGATCATTCTCCAACAAGGAATTATTCACTGATCAAAGATCAATCAAAGAAAATCATGAGATACTGCATCCCCACAACAAATCCTGTTTAATGTAAAGTATGTGAGTGAGGGTGGCTTTGGAAAGTTGCCATGTACTAAATAAACCGGGCAAACACACTTACAAGAGGGGTGCAACTTTTAAGTATCTGACTAAACAAACAGATGCGAGCACATATGTGTGTGTGTATCTGTGGTTGTTGGCAATGTCAGCGAACATTTAAAAGACAGGAAAGGAAAGAATGAGAGGAGGAGAGCTAGTTTAATACTGTGGTGTATTCTGCACTAATAGGCTGTCTGGATGTCTGTGGGAAAACACTGTGCACATGTTCACTGAAATATTTCCATGCAGATGGGTGAGAACGGTGTTTCTTTCCAGGACTTGACTAAACTGAAAAATTACTCTTGATTTTAAACTTCGCTTCCCACTTCTGTGTTTGTCGAAATCATTTACAGAATACTGTATTGAATAACGCCCAAGATGGTGAAGTATTTTGTATTTGTTGCAGATATCATTTGCTCTGACACCAAACTGTAACATATTTTAAGGATGACGCCACAATTCAGATGAAATTTCTGACCACGTCTAACTGGCACCTTTAACCCTCTTCTACATTTTTGACAGGGCCTGCCTACTGATAGCCGACCAATCCTGAGTCATCTAACTGATGTTCACACTCCCTTTTAAATCTTTTCATTCAATTCTGCAGAGAAAACCCCCACAGCAACAATTGCTCTTTATCTTTTATTACTTCATTAAAGTGCAGGCTCCTCCTTTCCCATAAAACATCTATAAATATGTCACTGTGCAAAATGTCCCAAGCTTAAATGCTACTCTAGTGGCTTCAATGTAAATTTCTCTGCCACTGCCTCCACTTTTTGTGTGAATGTGTGTGTGCGTGTGTGTAGGGTAAGGTAGGACTCACTGTCTGCTGCTGTGCTGCCATTGGGCAGCGAGCCCAAATCAACAACCATGCCGTCCAGACAGACGTTGAGCTCTCCTCCTGCTACAACCGAGCCTTTGTTCTCCGTCTGCAGCACCAGACTCAACTGGACGTTCTCCACTAGAGGGGGGAGGAAGGACGACAGAGAGGATGAGTGGTGAAGAAGGTAGATGATGAAAGGTGGTGAGGAGAAGGAGAAAGGTTGAGTCACAGTGAGGAAATCAGACATCCTCTACTGATGCTACAAAATGGGAAAACTGTGTGAACCCGCATTGTTATATCTTTCACAGTGATTGTCAGTAGTGCGTCAACTAGCTGTCCATCTTTATAATTACAGGAAAAGTCAATGAGCGGTTGGATTGGTCTAAACAACAGAGCTGAGGGGCTGAGTTTTTATCTGTTTTGATGCTGCATTCAGGGTCCTCCAGAAGCAGAGGTACCACCTATGTGTCAAGAGGTGAATATTTGTCACACAAGTGCCTCATACCTGAGCCACCCACTAATAATGAGTGGACTGACATAATACAGCCCTAGTTAAAAAAAAAGCTTCAAAAAACCTAAAAGTTGGAGAAGACAGTACTTTATAGTCTGCAAATCATTTAAAGCCGATATTTCAGTGCAAAGACTGCAAAGACAACGCATCACATGATGAAACTGATATTTTTGTATTTAGAAAAACATCATCAATTTAGATTTAATGCAAATGACACATTTCAAAACAATCCAGAAACAGATAACTGCAAACTGAAAAAGTTGTGCATATATGCAAAATGTGCACATCACTAAATAAAGGAAACTGTCAGAGATCACACTGGATGCTTGAATGGATTGAATTGATTGTATGATCAAAAACTGCACGACTGTACATTCAGGGTTTTCCCTACATGTAACTGATCGTGGCGCAACGCCATGGCAAAATAAAAGCCACCACACCTTTAAAATGAGGGTTTTTTATGTGGCGCTACCTTGGACTCAGTATCTATCTGTATATGCTGCACACACAGGGGGCATGCCCCCTGTGTGTGCAGCATGTATTAGCAAGTTGTCGTCTACCAAATCACACACCGCCACAAATAAATTCCTGTCCCGTGGGAAACACTGACATTATTCAAGTAAAATTAAATTCCAGTGATCATATTTAAAATCTCTGTTTCCAAACTCCTAGAGCCTCAGAATACTAGGTAATGGACATCTCTAAATTAGCATGAAGCATGATGGGAAATGAAAATAAGCAGGCTAATGCAAAAGCCCCCTTACGGTATTACTCCACATTGCGTAATGTCCCCTGACACAGGATTAGCCAAGCTACGAACAAGTCATTTACACTTCTTTTTTCATGAGTTTTCATCTTTAAAGAAAACTATTAGGTGGGAGAAGTACAGAAACAGGTTTTTCAGAGTTTGCCTCTTTGAATTTTTCTGCATTTATTCTGTGCAAAAAATATACTTTGCTTTCAGGTAGGACACAAACAAGGTCAATGTTCTGAGCAATAAAGGATGTACAATCAGGACTACATTTTAACAGGACCCAACATCCACAGAGTGAAGGACCAGAAAGTTCTCCCTGCATGAAGTTATTCGATAATGAATGTTTATGATCCGACCCTCCATTCTGTTGAACTTATCCAGGAAACTTTTTGTAAACGACCAGCAACAAAGAAACTCAATGTCCAAACTGTCAAGGTAAAGACTGCATGTGGACCATTTCTAGAGGGCTCCTCAAATCAAAAAGTATCTGTCAATGTATTTTTTAAAACACGAAGGACATGAAGGCTCCTCTGAAAGCGGCTGAGAACTGCAGCCTCCTCTCGTCTCGAAGGATTTCCTGTCCTTTGTAATCTGCACCATACAGTATAATCCACTTAATCCAATACAGGGTTCCATACCTGCTAATTTACAAAGTTAGTCATTAAAATCTAACTCTGTCATCATGTGTTCATCATTTGATGATAAATACATATTTAGAAGTGTACCTTACTAAACTATAAAGAAATGGAGCTCAATGTTCACCTCACTGCTGTTATCAGAATATATAAACTATTATCACGTCACCCTGACCATTAGTGAAAACTTCTTGATGTTAATGTGAACTTCAAAGCATTTTGAAAACTCTTTGTTAAAAGTGAACTCGGAGTTTGAAGAAAACTTTTCAACACAACTTTAGTTTTCTGTCTCTGTCTGACTCATGTGTAGAGACAGATCCAGTATCGCCTGCAGAGCTTTAGAGAAAAACACCTTCCTTAGCCACACAGGACAAACTTGTTTTTCTCTTTTGTCTGTTTTCGTCTCACAAACCTTCTCTTTGCTTTCCTTTTTTGGACAAAAAATGTATCTGTATCACGTTTCCTGTAAATTCATGTATGCTTGTAGGTGGTGGAAGCGTTATCTCCATCTGCTGTTTATATGTAGAGGTTATACTTTGGTAAACACTGTGGAAAGACATGTAGACATATTAGATTTTTTTTCCTTATAGGTGCATATCCTTACTCTTGCCATCATGGGTTCGCAGTGTGTCCAGCAGGTCGATGGTGGCGCTGCCCAGGAGCTCCTTTCTCAGGGTGTGGCAGCTCCACAGCTTCAGATCCAGACGACTCTGTGGCGTCACATTACTGGCAAATAGATAATACATTTTATTATGCACACATTAAATCTTGTTTTTCTCCTTTAATCACTTTATACGTATATCAGTCAAAACAAGAAAAGAAACAAAATAATAAGATAGTTTCATCTAAATGTCCTGAGTGTCTATTCTGCTGAAAAGCCTAAGAAGCTGAAGGATGCAGATGTAATTTGGTGTCATTTTTCCCTCCTAAATAACTCTTTTCCAATTATTTTCTTTTGAGCAACTGCTTGTTGGGCTGCAGTTATAAGCCAACAACTTTCACTCACAACATGAATAAAACATCAGATTTGTGGAGTAGACATGTCTGAACAATTTCCAGACAATGAAGAATGAATGTAAAAAAAAAGACAAGACATGTGTTTGTGTTCGTTTGTTCTCACAGGGTAAGATCTTCGTTCCACTGCAGCTCCAGGTGTCCGCTGCGTTTGCCTGTTTTTTTAGTTTCACTGGTCAGGCCGTCAGCAGTCACCTCCACAAAAGAGCTGAGCCGGGAGTGACGGTTCGGTACTTTGGGAGACTGGGGCTTCGCTGAAACCACTGAATAAACAGACACAAACAAAAATAAGGAAAACATTTTTAACGGGACACCAAAGAATTTAAGATACTCATTATGTGAGACTGGATTATGTGCTGCAAAGGACAAATCATTAGCGTTGAAGTTGCATTAGTGTCAGGATGAGTACAGTGTGATGCATTTTTACATGTCAATTTCAAATTCCGTTTTGAAATCTTCAGTTGTTTATGGAGTCCTTACGTTTACAGAAAATAAAAAGATCTGACAGTCTGCCACTTTTCTCTGTCATTGACTCTTGTGTGTTTTTTGTTTATGTGATGATTACAGCCTGAGGGCGGCTGCAGGATATTTATTTTCTTTGGCTTGGTGGATCCAGTGAAATTTAAAAGTAAAACAGATGCTAAAAGGCAACTCAAAGAGAAATATCTGAACCGAAACTTAAAAAATTTATTTACATATATTGTAAACAGGGTTTGACAAATAAAGCAACTTTGTTAAAAACCTCTTTTAAAGGCAAAGCGACATCTTCCATGACTCAAGCTCTTTTTTTTTTTACAACAATACAGGTTGTTGATTGTTTTCAATCACGTCCAAAATACAGTTTATCCCCAAAAGATTACTAGATAGCAACTTTTCTCCAAACTGTAATTTCTTTTTATTTTAATTCATTAATATTATTATTGCCAATATCAGCAAGAATTTTGACCAACTGTACAACTCATATTATTGTCCTTTATAACAAATAAACCTGCTCCCACCCAAATCAGCCTGTGATCACTATGGTGCTATACTGTTATGTTATAAACTGTTAGTGTACTAGTTGTGGGTACAAGCAAACAAAATAATTTAAATATTGCCCTCTAGTGGAAGGTAAAAACTACCTGCAGTCACATCTCTATTTATTTAAATGAAACTGGCCAGAGGAAAATCCCTAAATGGTCACAATCCAGACTGAGGGTTAAGAAGAAAAAAAAACTGCTGAAAGACTACTGTGTGGACACACAGGAAGGAAGTGTTGATACTGCGAACCTTTGGGAACTGTACAAGAATTTTTAGACTCTGACTTAGTAGATCAGATACTTTCTGCCATTTTAACAATGCTCTTTAATCTTTGAGTTTAAGACATTCAGACCACATTAATGACCGTGAAATGGCCGGTGGGTTATAACTGTGCGAAATGAAACTTTTTCTTCTCCCCGAATGAACTATGCCTAAGAGACACAGAGGATTTATAAAACTCTTGATGTACATTTCACAATATTTCACAGAATCTTCTGAACCTCTGTGACTGTGGTTAAAAGTCTGCAGTAGCTTAGACAGGCTTAATGGCTTAGAATTTTTGTAGGCCTGCTGAGAATCTTTTCGTTTCAGAAAGAGTCAATCATCTAGGACTTGACTTGTTGGCTGAATCACAGCTTGACTGCAAACTTAAAGAAAATGTTATGATGGCTCTGATAGACACTTTAAATAGGAAAATAGGAAATGGCAAAATGTGAAACTATGGTGTCAGAGTAAGTTTGTGTTGTGTATATGTTTCATCGATGTGGGACACTGTTTTGTACTGCTGAAGGTGCTTTTTTGGATTGTGCATTTGCATGAGTTGTCTTGAGCCCTGTGGGCCACCATAGCACTCAGCCTGGCAGTGTTTTGCAGGCTGAATCCTATCTAGATGGGGCGCTGGATAAATGAATAATGACAGAGAGTAAAAGCTTCTGTCTGTCTGCTATCACAGACGAGACATTAGTAGATCTAAGCAGCCTGAGTCAGGATGACGAACTCTGAACTCCTGAACATCTGGCAACAAAAGTGACTCATCGGCAGCCCTCTGAAGAGGAGGAGTAAGTGGCACGGGGAGATGGAAGAGTGCCAGAATCAGCAGAAATAAAATGAGTTCCTGCAGAGTGAGAGGACGAGGGGAACAGGCAGACAGAGGTCGAGAGAGAATCAGCAGTGAGGTCAATGAGAAGGTGGGAATCAGATGTTGAAGGTCAGTAACTGTGAGTGAAATAAAACTCGATGCGAAGAAGAAGTACAACAGAAAAACAGGTCACCAACTCCTCTGACCTGCTTTGACCTGGTCAAAACACACAGATTTAAGGAGATAAAAGCAAAGTTTTAAATGTAGTAGTGGTGCTTTATGCTGAGACATGGACATGAGTAAAAGTGAGAGATCTTACACAGCAGAGGTTAGTTTAACTTCACACTGTGTGCACATTAAGAGTTACCCATGGCTTCTAATAAGAGTTCAATCAATGTTTTAAAAATGAACCAGACTTTTTGTTTATGCAGCTGTGGTGACATGTTGTGGTTTATACATCATAGCTTGAGTTCTGGTTTCACCATGGCCTGTGTCTGTGGACAGTGGTCACACAGATACGACAGAGACTTCACACTGAGGTACTTTCTAGGGGTGCCCCAGTACAACTTTTTTACTTCTGGAATGGCCAGCTTGTATCAGAGTGCTTGTATCTAAGGTTTTAGATGCAGGCCGATGTTATCTGTTACTCATTTTTTTGCTGATATCAGACCGATATCACTGGGACATCGCTAGTACTTCCCCTAGTTAAGCAATCAATGAAAGCGTGGTTATCAAAAGAGTGGGTTTCATAATCTGGTGGCCTTTTAAAGATAAGGAAACTCAGGCAGCCAAAACACAGCTGTAAAACACAGCTCTAGATCCTTCTGACTCTTCTTGTTTTTGTTTTTGACAGATCCTACTTTAACAAAACCAAACACAATATAATTAAGCATTTTCAACCATGCAGCTATAAAATACTACGGCTATATGATTTGGTGATAATTCAGGTTAGAGCTGGGTAATTAATTGGACTTTAATAATGATTATGGCCCTCTACAATCATAAATCAATAATAATGAAGACTGAAAAATGATTCTGCCCCTCTCCTCAACCGGCTCTCACTCTCACATTACCAGAAGCAGCTTGGATCAATGTGGAACAACATTTGAGAGAATGGGGGAGTTGCACGTACTGCTGAGATCATTGTATCTTCAACACGTTTTGCAACAGTGGTACAAGCAGCCACAGGTGGAGAGAGGAGGGTAAGGAATGAGAGAAGGCAGGTGTGTGTCAACGTGTGGGTCTGAATGAGCATGAGATGGAGGCTGTAGCAATTATCAGCATGCATGTGTGCAACCAAGCTAATGACTAGAGGGCTAAAATGTGAGCAATATCGTTCGGATTCATATTAAGATGCAGGGACGAGTCTTAAGAACTGTGATATCAATATCGATCAAAGTCAAACCTCTATAATTCACTTATCGAATAGAAAATCTGCCTGCCTCAGTGCTTAGCGGGTGTATGCATTAGTCCAGTGGTTCTCAAGTCCAGTCCTCGAGGCCCACTGTCCTGCATGTTTTGGATGTTTCCCTGCTCCAACACACCTGATTCAAATGATTAGCTCGTTATTAAGAGCTTGATAACGAGCTAATCGTTTGAATCAGGTGTGTTAGAGCAGGGAAAAATCCAAAACATGCAGGACAGTGGGACTCGAGGACTGGACTTGAGAACCACTGCATTAGTCTATTGTTTATTCTGTTTTAATTGTTTTTTATTAATATTTTTTAATGCAACATTTTTTTAATCTAATCAGGTTTACTGCATGGTCGGCTGTTCATGCTGCACATGAGACAACGTGTGTACAAGTTCTACAAGTTCGACAATAAACAAGGAAAATACATTTTCTTTGTGACTCTCTTACTGTGCCGACAATTTACAAAACTGAGATTTCAAACCAAGAGCCACAACAAGCTGAATATTTCTTGGATGGTTACACCCCTATTATTCTGGGATGAAGGACTGTTTACACCCTCTTTGATCATTTGTGCTGTTAGCATGCTGAATAATGAATTACACAATAGAAAACCAGAATGTGAATGTCAGGAACATTTATCATCCTTTTACAAGAGCAACACAAAGTCCTTTCAAAGTAAAAGACAGTCACTGTTGGAGTCAAAGGTTGGTTAAACATCCAACAAAGACTTTCTGGGCTTGTATAGAGAGCGCTAATTAAGTGTTAGAGCGCAGCTTGCTCATTTCAAGCATCAATAATTCTTGTCTAAAAAATATGAACTTTGGACTTTTTTTTTAACTTGAATAAAAATCTATACAAATGCAATCAGTAATTAGTGGTAAACATGCGAATATTGTCAATTTTGTGTCATAGTGACCAAATATGTTTCATTCTTTTTTTTTTTTTTGGTGTGATGGAGAGTCAGAAATGGTGGCTTCATTCTGAGTGCATGTCCCAATACTTGAAAACATCATTCGATCTTTACTGGAGAACAAGACGAGGTGACAGAAACAGAAAATTACCTTTCAAGATCAGCTGAGACTTTTCCGTGGTCTGGGCACTGCCAGGTCTGCTCACACTGGCAGCTGCCATGACCTCACAGCTCTGAAACACAAACACAAACAGAGACAATTTATTACTACAGTATATGGCTACTTCATCACAACTTGCCAAAGTAACTCAATGTACAGTGAGGTTACCAGATACCCTGTGGCAACCATAATGTATCTGTGCAAATAGTTCACATGATAATATAAAAGAATCATGTCTAATTAATTAGGGAGGTAAAGTGCAGGAATAATGTCATTAACGCCCCATATTAAAATTTAAACCGCAGAAAACTGTGTGGTGCTGTTGACTGTATAGAAAAGACAAGGTGCCCATTGTGAAGCAGAAAGACTACCTCAACAGGTGCTGACAGACAGTGTTGGTGGAGCCAGAGCATGCACAGGAGCAACGTCACTGGTTGGGCTGCAGGTCTGACATCCCACTCTTTCCACTAATCAATCATGTCATTTACAAACGTCAACAATCCCTCACATATGTTCAGTCCACAGCAGAACAGATTTATGGGTTGATCTAAGCAGATATTAATGCATTTAAATACACAGAAAAGTCAAGCTGTGGTTTAGCTTAAATAGATAATTTAACTGGACTACCGTCAAGTGTCCCAGTTAAAAGTACATCCACCTCTAAGCGACAAAAATGATAACAAAAGGAAAACAAGGAAGACACCAACAACTAAGGGTGGGGACAACTACTTAAGTAATCGAGTACTTGTTGTTACCATCATAACTTGAGTATCGTTACACTACTCTCACATGTGTTGTTCTCAGATAAAGTACTGTAACTCAGTTAGCTTACAGGTACATGCACCATGTCAACCATGACCAGGAAAAGTGGCGTTGGAAGTATTTTGTCAAATAGGGAAGGAGCAACACTCTGTTCAAGATATGCAGTGTTAAACTAGTTTGATGCCTGAGTAACTACATGCGCTTAAATCACTGGGAGAAGACAGCAAAGAGATTTGACGCTGGTGTGATGGTAACCAGAGTGGAGAACATTAGCCTGCTAATAATGTGAATAGTGACTGGAGACGTGCTCCCACTCAGTTTTGTGGTACAACTGTGTCATCATGTATGCCTGTCATGTGAACTGTGCAGAAAACTTAAGTCAATGCATTGTGATATGAGGAACACACCAACAAAAAAAATTCCTGATTCAATTATTTATTTATACAACTAAAAAAAAAAACTGAGCAAAAATTTGAATCGAAATTTGTCTAAAGAGGACTAAGAAAAAATCCACAGTATAACAATAGTGCCATCGGGGTCCCAGTCCCTCGGAGCATTTGCCCTGTGGCCCTAACTATAATGAAGGGAAGTGTGTTCGAGAATAATTATGTATGTGTATTTATATCTTTTTCGTTTGAGTCATGTTCCATCTGTTCACATGGGGTAAAATGGTGTTTATGACATATACTGCAGCGAGTCCAAGGAGAGAGCTCTGAAACTTTTGGCTTCACATTCAGTGAACACTTAAGTCCTCCATTGTCTTTTATTATCTTTTATATTGTCTTTTATAGTCTCTGTGGCTGCAATACAAAAAACTGTGTCACAAAAGTCAAGACAAGGATAGGTTGTAATCTTTGTATGTCTTTGTATGTCATATTTAGAGCAACCCTAATGTAGAGCAAACTCTGCAAGTACAGCAGCTTGGACAAATTAATCTGTGTTTTGGCAAAGATGATAGAGGTATGTTGCAACTATTGGCAGCTTAAATACCAGGATTCTTATCCGATCTATTCACCTTAAACAAAGTCAGAGGTGGACTGAAATGCACTGGATGCGGTAAAATGTATTTAAAATGCATTACACAGCCAAACTGGGCTCTGCTCTTTGCAGTATTTGGCAATTTACATGACCTTAAATAGTTTTGTGAAGAGGATGCACGTCCTGTCATCAAGGGGGACGAGGTGAAATACCATTTGGGCAATATCTCTTCGTCCTGACTTGTGCGGTACAGTTATCATCATGTTGCTAGCAACAAATAAGGACATTTTGACTGTATAAAAAGCTCCAATAACAGATCTGTCCTCCTGTTTGACTCGCTATTCCATTATGTCATAGCTACTTTGGGTGGGCTTCAATGACATTAACCATGCACGGTGCCTTTGACAGGCGTTCTGTATTTTTCAATTTATCAGATACTGCAATGGAATATCATATTTCAGTTTATCAGTAATTACATGCTTGCTGTTTGTGGCACGTTTATGATGGCCGGTGAGTTTGGTATTATATCATATCATACCATGAGATATTCTGCAGTTCCCACCCATTACACACAAAGAAGCAAATTCATTTATCAAAACTATAAGCTATTAATAGAATGATACCTTATAACGCTAGTAGACACAAAGAACATCACCTTGAACAAAGTCAGACATAAAGCTGGCTGCAATGAGTGCAGCAAAAAACGTACATATACAGGTCAATCTGAGCGCTGTTCTTCGGTCTCTATGAGCAAATACCCTTAACCTAACACTGGTCTAATCCTGTCATCAGAGTAACATTACCTGCAGCAACATCAAGGTGACTGCTGCTGGGCTCTCAGTAGGACAACCAGACACGGTGATGCATATCCAGAACTGACTCGGACATAACAACGGACAACTAAGACCAGCAGAAAGCCAAATGACTACTTATTATTCTGCCCCGGGCTGCCAAGGAGCTCCTTGATGAAGCAAAACAATGGCTCATAGCATCTTTCATCAACCTTCTCAAATAAGCTGACCGGCTCAGCTGCCGTGTTTTTGTCCGTTATTCAACAAAACTGCCCCGTTTAAGAAGACTAATGCGATCATAAACATCCCGGCTGATCGGACTTCATTGTCCTCTTATTTTAATACCCTTGGCTGCTGCGCACAAAACACAAACACGGAAGATGATCAAGGCATTTCTTTGCATCACAGTCAAGTGGAAACAAGGAATCATCAACTTCCGGTTACTTTTATTTTCACACCAACTCTTAACCGGTAAAGATAGCTATTTCCCGACATACTGTACATTATTCAATACACTTGAGAAAACTTAAACAGAGAATTACAAGCAAAGATTGCCTGGCACAGTCATAAATTAAGATAGACTGCATGTATTATTACCATTTTTCCGTTTCTCTGCTTTTATTTTTATAGGGAAAGTGGTATCATTTCCGGTACGGTGTTGTTAATTTTGACTAACTTGACCTAAAGAGGCTAACCGTTAGCAAGCAAGCTTCGTAGGGAGAATTTACAAAAGGACACGTTAAAAGAAACACTTCTCATTACCTGACAACAAGTTCAGCGTTTAAGGTAGTAGCCTGGCTCATGTCAAAACACGACAAATTAGTTCAGTATATGACCAATTCCGTTTTAATGTAATCTTTCCCTTACCTTTCTCAGCTGCGCTCTGCTGCTGCTGTCGCTACTGAACTTTCATTTCCGCTTCAGTGACGTACCCACGTGACCTGGGGCAAGTCTTTCACTGCACAAAGGATTGTGGGTCATAAATAATGGCAAAAACTCTTATTAATTTCAAAATGACCGTCTGGATTACTTGAGTTTATTTCAATATTGTTTATATATTATTTTATTCACCATGATTTCGCTCAAGTTTTTCAAGAAGATTTTTGTATTGTTTACTGGTTGTTTTGGTTGTCCTATATATTGCTATCTAAATGTGCTGCTTGGAGTAATTTGTAAAAATGTAGACAGTTGAAATGCCTCTATGTTATTTAAATGTGGTAAATATGGAACAAGGAACAGAAACTCCTATCTATTTCAAAGTAAAGTTAGCTGATCCCATAAATAAGGATGTGGTATTAGGGTTCAGAATGAAAGCACACTTGATCAATTGTACTTTTAATTATAATAATACATTTTATCTATAAGCGCTTTTCTTGACACTTTATGTAAATTTACAGATAAAAACAGTACAATAAAACAACAAGATATAAGCAAACACAGTATAAGATACGACAAAGTAATAACAAGGAGTGTTGGAAGTCTAAATATGAACCAAGAAGTTGGGGGAAATTACAAGTTTAATGGTCAAGGCAAGCGTGGCCTATTCTTCGTTAATTATATTCATAGTAATCTGCTTTCAATAGTTAAATATTTAAACATGAAGTAAATATATTTGCAGTTGTTTCTTTACACTGAAACAAAAAGTTCTGATATGTTTACATTTGAGCTTTTTACAACATGTAAGGTCCCTGACAAGAAGAGACCTTTTGTTTCTTGCAAGCTTAGATGCGGGCATAGTCAACAATATCATTTCCATTTCCAGTGTAACTGTTACTGAGTAAACCCAAAGAATAAAATCAAAGAGAGGTCACTGAACAACGTTTAGCACACATCTTTCAGTGGTGGGTTCGTATAAGTCTTTACGTGTCATAAAATGAAAAATAATAACATGCCAGGGGAAATACGAGAACCAGCTTGAGCATTTCTTACCGTCATTAAAGCATATAAAAAGATTACTTGGCCGGTGGATGAGCTTTAAATCACTCTGCTCTAAGGCTCATGAGGTACAATTATGCCCTGTTATTTCCTGATTGGACTGCGTTCACAACATTTACGGTAAACTTAGATGAACTAGGGCCCCTTAACCACATGTTGACATGCCTGTGTGTATGTAGAAACCTTATCTTCTGTGCCGCTGACTCACACCATTTTAACAGGAATGATTCGTGGCTGAGATTGCTGTAGTCTCACTATGTTTCAAGGCCTTTTACAGTCATGTTCAACAACTTTTAGATGTTGAATATATGAATAAAGAGCCCTTTATCAATTTTCTTTTGCCTTTGCATTACTGTGTATGGCAGTAAAGTTGCTGTATTTCAGCTCAGTATTTGTTACCTTTGTAGACGTCCTAAATATATCTGAACAATATCTACAGCAAGTATCACTTGCTCTGGATTATAGCTGGTTCCTTTTGCCTGTATCCTCAGCTTTACATGAGCTTCAGAACGCTGTCATGTATATTTCAGTTTTCCTGATATTTCCTGATAGTTCCTGATATTTCCTTCTGATCCATGAGGTTGTGGTCAAATGAGCAGTGAAGATTGTCTCGGTCTGATGTCAGAAGTGAAAAAGATGACTGGTTGTGATGGGACCTGATGGATTGGTGGTGAAAGTAAGTGGTCACAGCCACTAACCTGACCTAATTTAATGTGTACTTTATTTGTCTGTCTGTCCATCCATCTACCTAGGTTTGATTGTCAAAATCATCAAAAAAAGCAATCAGACCTCCAGAGAATAAACACATCAAGATACTTTTCCATCAGTGAAAACAGTTAAATCCACTGTTCGATTGAATGCGTTAACATTACATCCATGATTTCTGCTGTTAAACATTACATCCATGATTTCTGCTGTTAAGCATTACGGCTAATATAGATAAGTAAAAACCTTGAGTCTGAAAGATGTTATTTCTATGATCATGTGTTTTTTGTAAAGAATCCGCTTCTGATGCGAAGGAGAGATTAGCTCTCAATGCTATTTAAACAGGCTGACAGCTCTTGTTTTTTCAGCCTATATTATATTTTCTTGAAGGAAAACATCTTGGATCGTTTTCTTTTTCATGCTTGTCATTCAGGTTTACCAGGATGAACATACAGGCGGAGAAACCAGTTGATCCATATTTTGTTATATTTCATTTGTTTAAAAGTCATTTGTCATATTTTTTTCATGCAGCCTCAGTCTTTACCTTAAAAACATCAGAATGCATAGCTCTGCTTGTTAGGGAGGTAGATCCTTTTCCACCAGCAGTGTGTCTACATGTCTCTTTTTGAGTGATGACACAGAAAAAGTTCCAACGCAAGATCAGTTACTCATGATGTAGGAGAGTAAAGTTTGGCCCCTATTTTAGCTCTTGAGCACAAAGTAAAACACTCATGATGACACCATTTCTGAAAGGAAAAGTACACATTTTCCAAGAAGCTGATCAGAGCTGTAGCGGTCCTGGAACTGAAATGATGAACTAAATGAGTCTGTCCTGGATACTGAAAATAAAGTGTGTAGAGATAGTTTAGTGTTATTGATCACCAGTCTCCATGAAAGAATTGATCACCGAAGCTCAGCGGTTCTGCACAGAAGTTCAGGTGGGAGTGACTCAGGATAAAGAGGAGGAACCAGAGGAAAATCTGATTTAGCTGACTATAACTCTTCAAAAGTGTCAGTTACAACAGCAACAACTCAACACCATGCCCAATCAAACCCTCTTTTCTTATCCTTGTCATCCCCATCACCATCTGGGACCACTTTCCTCACAGAGATTTCATCTGGCTGCATGACTGTACCCTGAAATCTTACACTGGCTCAGTGCCTCATAGTTCTGGGAAATACAGATTACATATCTTATGTCAACTGAATAAAATGTTGAAATATCAATCACATTTTACTCACCACTGGTTTGGCTATAGCTCCACTTTCATAATGTTTATGTTCAATGTAGATAATTGAGATTTTAAAAAAGCTGAATACACAAGAAGGGAAGCTGTAGCTACATAAAATTTGAGCCTTTCACAAAACTTAATTAAAATGATGTTAAATGTAAGAAGTATTTGTTTTGTGTTGTTGCCATGAGACAGACTCCAACTCTTTTAGACTTCAATTTTCTTCATTGTAATAAAATCTTTTATAACTAAAAGAAAAAAAAGGAATAACTGATCATGAACAGAAAATATGATTATGCTATAAACATTAGATTGATTATTTATTTTTAGTTAGTGAATCAAAACAGGGGGGGGGGGCATGTTTGTCAGGCGAGACTTGGGGGGATTTGCATCCTTGCATGCTGTCCTGTTTACTTGGATCCTCTCTTTCAGGCCTCCTTTCTCCCATGGAAGAACTATTCCTGACTTCACCAGGGTGTGGGGGATTTGTATTTAAGAGCTTTGGGAGCCCCGATGAAAAGAGCACCAGGCACTAAAAGTAAAAGTATCTCCTCTTTTTCTTGTCTCTGAATGCAAAATAGAAAAAGGCCCATAAGTTATTTATAAGATATTTATTTCAAAAGAAGCATTTGACAAAATAATCTTACAGTCAGTGTTACACTGGAAATGCCAATACACAATCTGTATCAAACTGAGAAAAAAAACCCTTCAGACGATGACCCTGCGATGGACACTCTGGCACACAGCTAATGTTACAATCCCTTCTGGTGATGACAGACTTTTAAGGAAACAACTCTAAATGAAGTCATTTTCACCTCTTTTGCATCTTTGTAGATGGTCAAATTTTCAATGGCTCAACATAAAATTAATTTACCACTGGACTCCTGCAGACCACAGGGCAAAATGCAAGGAGTATTCTTTTGAGTCCATTAACAGTATTTGGATGTGTGTAGTGATCCTGAGTCTTCCTTTCGATGATAAGAATGCTGTATGAATGCAGGTCCTGAGAGGGGTTATTGGCCTTCAGTTGATGGTGAGCACGTCGCTCTGGATTTCATGACTCAGCTGAGTCTGCAGGTCACTCAGCTTCTTCTTGAGGACTGCCAACGCTGACATGACGATGGTCTCTGGTCGTAGGGATCCGCAGGACTCCACATTAAAATAGAACCTGTGCATGGACATTTTGAATGAGCCATTGGATAAAAGATCCTAAAAGCTGCAATGAGCAATTACTAGCAGCATTAAGCAGAACAGACCTGATGGAAATGGACTTTTGTAATCTTCATTAAAATTAGTGTCTGATCACCTGAGCAGAGACTTTAGTTTGTTTATGTTAATTTAAAGTGAGTCTTAAATCTACATAGGGGTAGGTCTCTTTTCACCACTAAAAAGCTGTAAAGCATCCTGAAAAGAGCATCATAATAGTCCACAAAACTCAACCCAGAGTCTGATCCACTTCATGCTTATCAACCTCAACTTGAAAAGGACTCCTCCCTCACCTTTCTGGCTTCCCGTTGGGGTCGTAGGGAGCCTGAACCTCATCCTCCTCGATCTCTGAGTACTCACTCTTGGGCCTTAGAACAACAGAGTTTCAGGAAATCAATTAGCCAGTTATTAATAGTCTTAGACCGTACATTATCTCTACACACCAAACAATATTTTGGAAAAAAACATACCACTCCTCAGGTCGTGGGTAAACGGTGTGTCTCAGCGCATTGTCGGGATCATATTCAAAAGAAACTCCAGCTGTTGGGTTCCACTTGGCGTGTTCCTTGCCGAAGCCTTTCTTAGCGTACGCCCTGAGCCGCAGTTCTTGACCTTTGCGAAGCTTCACCAGTAGAATGTCTGTGTTGTATTTATATCGAAGAGGGTATGGGTTAAAATCCTAACATCAATTTATACAAACTTTAAGAGTCTGTCCCGAAGAAAAGTTTAAACCTTACCATCTTGTTCAACGTAGTCATTGGGATCATTGTCTCTACTCCTTGAAGTCACCTAGAATTCACAAATTTCAAATATTTGAGTGTTTTTTTCTACTTATACTTCCTCCTAGAGGTTTCAATGAACACAGAGGAAAATACTCACTGGAATGACCCTTGGGTTATTCGACAAAAGGTCTCGAGAGGTAACATGACGCGTCTGGTCTTCAGTGCATCGAACATCCAATGTGAGCTCAACCGAACACTCTGGACAAAAGTCATCGCAGGCACAGTCCTGCAGGAGGAAAGAAAATTATGTCTATTATTTGATACACAGAGGAAACACTGAGACCCAAACTGGAATTGGAAGAGATCAAAAGAGGGGGAAAAAAAGAAAAACTGACCTTTTGCAATAACAAAAATCAATAAAGGCAACAAAAATGAGGAATCACAAACCTGTGGGATACAACACTTTTTTTCCCCAAGAGTGATTTATAAGAGGGCCAATATACTTACCCTAGAATACTGCATTTTGTCCACAATGTCATCACTCGTGAGAGGTATGAGACCTAAAGGCAAAGGCAAAGTCAATGCAGAAAGTATGCAGAAAGTTATAACAAATTATGATGATGAAGTTATATTGATGGTTGCAGTAAACAGAGTTATACATACCAACTCTGTGTGCAATGAACTCATCGTGTAGTACAGATGAATTGGCATCAATCTGGATCCAGTCAATTGCTGCAAATGGGCATGGTAACTTGTTAAAAGATTGTTTGAAGTCTAATGGTAGATTAAATCTATTAAAACTTTTCCTTTTCCGACTTTGCCTGGTCAGACATGTCTCCCATTTAAAACACAGCCTAATTGGCAGACAAAGACTCAAATGGTCCTTAAATATTTACTCACTAGACATGACTTTCAATGGTTGGTGAAGGCAAGAAGCAGCCTGTTTATTTACGTAAAAGTGCACTATCAGGACAAATCTGAATAAAACAGACTATTTATGTCCTCATGCTCAGTTAAGAAGAAATACAGCAGGGCTTGAATGAACATAGGGAAGAAACACTAGGTTTTTGTGGTGAAAAAACAATCCCACCACAAATCTGAGTTGCACAGCAAAAGTTTAGCACAATCTGATCCAGGATTCCATTACACAGTTCATGATAAATCAGAAGTTTTCATGCACGAGAAAAGAAAAAGTGACATTACCTATGGTTGCAACTTCCGACATGAACACACGGCGGATGGAATTTGCAACCCTGGAGGAAAGAAATGATCAAAAATAAGTATATTTTACGGGAGGTTAGCTGGGTTGTAATGAAAATCACGAGAAATAGAATATGCACTATGGCCTATCTTAGGCTGGCTATATTTTTCTTTAATGCATATATTTTTCTCGATCTGTAATTAAAAACGGGGTAATAAATCATTTGGTAATACTCTGTATGAACACGAAACGGCCCATATGATCAGTCTTTTGGTGCTGATGATAACAATGGCTGCCCCATGCCTTACGCGCTCTTAAAATTGACAGAAAAGCGAATACTTACGCCAAATCTGTGTTTTCAATAACAAACTTGACATTTTCGTCTGTCAGTTCTGTAATTTTCACCGTGGGCTGGTTGGCATACGGCATTGTTTATGTAAAATAATCCAAAATTGCGAAGCACAATCTTCAACACACTCCACTACCGCTTCTTCGGATTGAACTCCACATTTCCTGTCTGCTGATTGGCTACAAGACTGAATCCGACAAGATGATTGGTCTAGATACCCTCAGAGGCGGGCATTTATTTCTTATCCGGGTCATTTTCAAAATAAGAGCTCTAATTGTTTTCAAAAGTAAAATAGCAGTTCAACCTTGATGCGTTTTATTGATTTTCACCACAACGTTCTTGTCTTTACATAATAAAAATATCCCCCAATAAATTTAAAAATAGCTGCAAGATCCAAGAGTTATCTCTGGAAACTGGATTCATTTGAACTAGATAACAAAAACAAACATTTTTTTATTTACAATAATAACTTCTTTATTTGGGTCTTGACAACAAATTCACAGATCTCTGTGCACGTTTTTTTCAAGGGAAGCAAGAGTGAGAGTGAAACAAAAAACGACACATCCACTGGTCCTGCAGGTGAACAAAGAAAGACCTTTGGCCTGTGACACAAAATAATTGCTTTTGATGACAGAGTACAGGTAAAACGCACTACTCTTTTAGAGTTCCCTTACAGTTATAAGAAATAAGAGCAAAATTTATATTGATCTTCAGCTCATGACACAAGCTGGACGTACAGGATCAGTCCCAGAGAGAAGTTTTTCTATCATCGTTTCTGGTTAAGTCCTGTCAGGTTCTTCAGCTGAAAGACAAAAGATAAACATAAGAAACAGGTATATAAAAACAGTTTGATAGCCATGCTAATGCAGACTGGCACAATGAGAAAGTTAAAAACTTTAGACTGGAGATTACTAAGATGAGTGCAGTGCACGAACATGATAAACAAGAGGCAATGACTTACTGTAACTGCAGCTCCCATGAGCCCCTGCACGACTGCTTCACCTGTTGACTGCACCTACAGGACAAAGTGACACACATTTTATAACATGGTTGAAGAATTTGTTCAAATGTTAGACAAATTATGTCAGACAAAGATTAGTTCTAACCATAGACTGTATATACTATGGACAACATGCGGCGGGAGAGTCGCCAAGAGTCGCTGTAATGACGCTCGGCTCAAACAGCGTATCCCCCCGGCTGAGCTACGCAATCTTGGTACGCCCCCCTAATAACTTTTAAAAATGGAGCTGTACAGAAAAAAAGAGGAGTTGAGCACAAACCAGTCTTACAGTAACTACATGTCAACATCACAAGCAGGGGGGAGAAAAGTGTATATTCTGTGTAATAAATTCCTAAAGTTTGTCCACAGCCCTATAAGCTTTGCTGGCAGAGGCGGGATTTATGACCTATACTGCAGCCTGTCACCAGGGTGTGCTGTTCTTGGAGTGGCTTCACCCATTGAGGACGCAGATGCTTTCATTCTATATACAGTCTATGGTTCTAACTTTGTATGAATATACACAGCTGTGTATCTTTGCACAAAAAACACAAGACATCTTGAAACAACGAACACACTTCATTTATGGCCTCTTTGGTTTAAGTCTTCATGATTGGTGCGCTGCACCTAACCTGTTTGGCGGTGGTGGCCATATTGACCACATCCTGAATGCGGTTGTCCAGGAAATTCCAAGTATCCTGAAAGTCTGGAGAGGAATCCTGAACCATGACCAGTTCTGTGGTGTTATAGATGCCTGTCAGTGCTGCCCGTTTAGTGTACCAGTTCATCTGAAAATGAAAGAATGCTTAGTTTCAAACAGGGCACGGTAATGTCATTCAAAACCCAGTAAATCTTACTTTAAAAGACATGCACACAACAAGAACCAAGAAAATGTTGAGTCATCAAACAGGATGAAGTGCTAATGGATTCACAGGAATCACAGATTGTCTGAGGATGAATACTGGCTTTCTGTTAGGACATGTTGTCATGTGAAAAACAAAGAGATAAACTATCAGATTCATTCTACTCTGCCTTAAACTTGTGACTGTGTTGTATTATTTTTTCCTGCATAACAATTGTAGAAAACAGTAATATTCTTGTTTAAAAAGTTCTGGAAATCTAACATTCATTCTGTAAGTGTATCTTACAAACTAACTTACAGCTTGACAACCAATTTGCTGTCAGGTTCTAAGTGTAACACCATAATGAGCTGTCACAGAAAAATACAACAGCTAATGAGGACAAATGTTATAAACCAACACAGTATAAATTCTTTGCTGTATTTTCAGAAATTTCTTATACGCTGATCGTAGATTTAATACTGAAGGTATGATGAAAATAAGAGTTTTAGGGGATACCAGCCTGCTAATTAGTAAACACTTTTTTAGTTTATTGTGTTAACAGAAACTGGGGGTTGTTGATGAGAGGACTAATCCAGGGAGTCACAGTCCTGGAAAAATGGAGGTGAAGGTGGACTGAAGGGTATAAAGAGGACAAGAAAAGGGCCCAGAATGTGACTACATCCACTCACATCTGTTGATCGATCTCCTGCGTAAAACCAGATATCGTCCACCAGGGTGCTGAGGTGCTTCAGGCTGTTTGGGATGTTGTGAGGAAGGAGCAGGATGCTCATTGCCTGAGGAGTCGTTCACAGAGTCAAGGATAAGAAACAGTTCCTCGTTTGATGCCCGCAATGCTTGTACAAAAAAAAACAATGAAAGAAAACACACGCAGATCATCATTCACATCATACCTGGGGCCATGATTCAATGTAAGGGATGTGCATCCTCAGTCTGGTCTCTATGGCATCTCTGAGAAAGTCAGCAGTGCTCTTTTGTCTGAAACAAACAAAACAGAACTGTGTATTTTCCATTTGGAGCTCAAAACAGTTCAAAACACCACTCATAAAATAGCAGACAATATCAGCTTTGGGTTTTTGGAGGTAAAAATGAGAATGTTTGTGTGTGTGTGTGTTCTCGTACTCAGCCTGGCCAAGCTGAACCTGATTGTGCTGTTCAGCCAGGATCTCTATCAGCTGTGAGTTGCACTGGGAGATGAAGTGTAGGACCAGATCTCCGGCTCCGTTATAGAACATACCATTAGAAGCAGAGGACAGGCCCAGTGTCTGAAGCAACCAAACACAAAGGAAGTTTAACTTTTGCCAAAAAAATAAGAATAATCACATGCAATCTAAAATTTCTTTTCAGACTGGGATATTTATTAAGGTTTTAATCAAACTTAAACACAGAGAGAGTGTTTGTCTGTGCATATTTCAGTCATCTCTCTATTTTGTATGTATAAATAATAAATAAACACAAGGCAGGCACTATAGTTACAGCTAAAAAAGACATTTTCAGGGTTCTGTAGGACTCAGATACAAAGTGAATGGAGTCTCATCTGTTGATACTGTAATATACTTCTTTAAACAGTTCTTTAATATTTGGTCGAGACTGTGTTCAGTTTACAGTTTTATTTATTCTCGTTGACCACCTTGTCATCCTCTTTTTGTTTTGGTGCACTTTCTATGGCCCCTCTTTTATCCTTTCCCTTTTGGTAAAAGCAAACAAGCTGCTATTGAATGATCCTGACCTCTCTCTGCAGAATAATATGATGGTTAAGTCCTCAAAGTGGGAGAGCTTGGAACCATAGCATTTGTCTAAGATGAATTATTATTTACAGACTACAACAAATGCACCATTATGAAGGAACTTCTTCTCATGTCAACAGCAGCTCACCTCAGCTCCAGCTGCGATAGCCTCCATGGACCAGCCGTGCAGCGGTACGAACTCTAAAGCAGCAGTCAAGATCCGTGCCTGGAGCTGCTCTTCTGTTTCGTATTCTTCACCCTGCTCTCCACTCTGATCCTGGTAACTTCACAAAGGCACAAAAAGTCATGTAACAAAGGCCTTTATTTGACAGACCCTCTTAGATCACAGAGGGTCAGCACTGTGAAGTTCAATATTCTGTCTTTGCATCAACTGACCTGGTGTTCGAACTGGAGCCCTCCTCTGCTGCAGGATCTGATGACGCGTCACCCTGGGAAGCTGTGGCTGTGTCCTGTTCTGCAGAGGGAGCTTCGTAGGGCTCATGGTGGGTGTTGGATGATGATGTGGGGGGTTTGTCTGATTTGGATTCATCCTGAAGCCTAAGTGCTGCACAGTGGAAGCCTCGCCTCAGGCTGCTGCACTGGGGGGTTACTACTGGAGGTGCAGCCACCACTGTAGAGAGATTCAAATTCATTTATTAGCCTCTAAACATTTAGTCTGAGATTATATGACCAAACTCCTGAACTAGGGCTGGGCGATAAAACAATAACGATATATATCGAAAATTAATTTCCCTCAATATCAATTTAAAACATGGTCAATATCCTTTTCGATAGTCGTTATTCTGCCATGTTTTGACTATATGAATAGCCAATGAAAAGGGGAGTTGCTCCGAGCTGTACCAATCATGTGCTGAATTCAAACCAAGTAGAAAACAACTGCGTAGTAGCTGGCTGCAGCTACACGCAACCATAGCATTTTAACACATGAAGCTGACAGCACTGTTGGTGTTACATTTCATTTAAGAGTAACAGGGAACATCTAAGATTGACAAGTAATTTTTTTTTATATCGTGATATAGATATCGACTGGTATGATAAAAAATATATCGTGATAAACTTTTTCCCATATTGCCCAGCCCTATCCTGAACCAAATCCAACATTTATGATTAAACCAAGGCTCAACAAGATCTTGGATTTTGAGTGACTCACAAATAACTCGTGGTTGAGTTTCACCCTCGAAAGTTGAAAATAAGACAGTTTTCATATTTAACTACTAAAAGTACATTTTGTTTCTAATGAATCTGAAGGGGGGCTATCACACACTAAACTTCACTCAGCTGAGGGGAAACAGGCTCTGACAGACTGCATACCTGGACAACAGACCCCCCCCTCTTCAGCTGCACAAACATTTTATCATGCAAGTATTGTTTTTAGACTCCGTGGGACCGGATAACAGAGTCAATCTGCAGTCTAGACAGTAATATCTTTGATTTTAAAGCCACAGGCAACATTTTGATGCCAAATCCTGCCCTTCATGTTCACCTTCTGAGTACAGTGACTTTGTAGCTAACGTCAACAATGGCAGGCACCGGATTCATGCAACAAATAGCAAAAACAGCAGATATGGTAGAGTTACTTTTCAAACTGTCACGTCTTAACATGACAAAACAACACATAAGAAGCCCAGTTTTACCGCTGCACAGCCCCCGGAGTGCCCTTCCAGCCCGTAGACCTCTCAGGAGCGCCGCCATATCCAGCTGCACTGGGGGTTTATTTTAGTGACTGCAGCGTCATTTGTGCGCGACTCCGCGTTGAAACACAAACAGATCAAGTGAGCGGAAATGAGGCCATTAGTTTTTCAAAGTAAAACAAACGACTGACGTTATATAAATGGTAAATGGTATGGAAACAAAAAACAAATAAAATACCCAATATCATTAAAATATCCACCCAAGATTAAAAAAATTAATGGTTTCAAATATCGAAACTTCTGACATCCAAAGCCCATTCATTTTACCTCCTCAAAGCTTGGGTTGGGTCTCCTTAACCTCAATTTACTGTATCAGTGGAGGTGATCAGCCTTTGTCAACACTGAGGTGTTTATTGGAGTTCAGTTGGTCATGATAGCAGCTGCAAGCCTGTCTGTACGCTGGCTAAACGAAGCACTGTAATATCATGGGCAGGTAACCATTTGATTTCATGAAGTTTTTGGTGCTGTGGGCAGGTGCAAACTGCTGTAAAATAAATTAATAAATAAAAAAAAAATAAAGAAAATAAGGCTTTCCATCAAACTTGTTAGCAGATGCATGATATGCTCTAATTGAAGGCTGGGTCGACCTTGGATTTGATAAAACATAGTAGACTAACAACCGTAGACTGCATAACCTTTACACTGAACTGAAAACACTTTTGGTAAAATGCCTCTCCACTGTTCCTCCAGACTCTAGGGCCTCAATATCCGAGTAAAATACAACATTTATTGTCATCCATACAGAGGACTACGGACGATTTAGCAACTGCTCAGTTCTTCTTTGTCTTTAACTTAAGAAGTCTCTGATGTTGCCTCTGGTTCAGGGGTGGCTTAATATTAGGAAAGCAGCAGTAGTTTCCAGCCTCGGCTCACTCCTTGTGAAGCTCTAAAATGTTTTATTATGAACTTTTTGTGTGATTTACTTTAACTTAAAATAAAATATTAACTGGTAGGTTTTTTTTTTCTAGCTTTAAACTGAATCGATCAAAATTCAAATAATAAAAACCCTCGAAACATACATGTTTTGAAGTCTGAAATTTACACATTTTTCTTTTCTTAAATCAAAAATATTGAACAGCAGCAAACTACTATTCACTGTAGTTTGCTGAATATTTCCTGTCATCCTTGACATAATCATAATGCAACGCATTTTAAAGGATTTTATTTTGAAAATTTAAAACGGAAACACATTTCTTTCATGTGTTTTTCTATTGGACGGTGTGACTTCATGTTAGATCACATCAGCCAGCCTCACTGACAATTCTGGGTATATTTCTTCTTTTAATAACACCAACAAACATTGAAAGACAACCGTACAAAATCGTAAGTATGATTTGTTCGTATGTAGCCCCTTTATGACGGCCTCAGAGTTGACAGTATGAGTATAATCACCACCCGGCGTTTTCTGCGTCATGCTTTATGTAAAGCCTTTCTCTCTCTTGCATCAACACAGCTAACCTGCTAATCTGGAGCTAACTATTCATTGTTTAAGTCAAGAAATGCCAATATGATCATATTTTGATCATATACTGTAATATTAGATACTATAATGTAGCGCTAGCTGTGCTGTTCCTCTGATTACATATTAGACTCAAGGTCAATGATCTCTCTGGTCAGTTTGGTTGTTTCCGCTGGTTTGGATGAACCGTGTTTGATAACATACGTGGCTCAGTGGAAGGTTAAGACGCCTTTCTGTACATATTCTTTATTGAATTACTGTATTTTTGTCCTGTAGGAAATCATGGCAGACCTTGGCATCAAAGCAGGAGACCACGTGTTGATGGTTTGGACTCAGCCTTCAGCACCTACAGCCCTGAAACAGTATGCTGAGGAGCTCGGTGCCATTGTTGGTGCAGGAGGCAAATTATCAGTGGAGAATATGGAAAGATTATTAATGTGTGAGTGACTCTTCGCTTTATGTATAGTGTGGTCTACATACTGTATTTCTGAATCAGAGGATATTGTTGCAGCTGTGATTTGTCTCCACAAAATTAGGATTATAATCGATGTCTCTCTTCAGCCTCCCATTCAGCATCCACCTTTGACTGGGTGCTCTCCTGCCTCCTGGCTGACAGCTCCTCCGTCCACAGCTCAGACACTCTAGAGGAAATAGCCAGAGTGCTCAAACCAGGAGGAAAGCTGGTCCTGGATGAAGCAGTGACAGGTAAAAAAAACATACATCTTTAAAGGGATATTCTGGCGTAAAATTAATTTAGGGTCAAACACACCGTAACACTGAGTTACACACCCCCTCGAGAGATGAATGTTGCCGACCGCTTGCTTCTCTAGTTATACAATTTTTAGTAATGACCGCACGATAGCAATACACAGCGGTTTGGAGCATTTTAATATTTGGTGTAAGGACTTACTCTCCTTTAGGAATGACATCAAAGAAATAAATCTACCGTCTCAGCTACTGCCAAACACAATAATGTGTAATATAGATGAATTAGCATTTCAAAATTCAAGTACTGGTAAAGTCAGACATTATCATTTTGGGCCACATCCTGTCACATAACCCACCATGTTGGTTCTGGATCTACCTGTGTCTGATGTGATTGTGTCTTCACTCCAGGAGATGAGGGGCAGATCGTGAGGACTGCAGAGAAACTTATGTCGGCTCTGAAGTTATCAGGCTTCATGTCAGTAACAAAGGTGAGAGGGTGTTTCTCATGCAAAGACTCTGAATTTTACAATGTGTTTGTCTGTCTGTGAATAAAGAAGGGTTTCCAACACCAGACCTCTTCAAATACTCTTCAAAATATTCTACAAAAATCCTTCAAGGAGATTCACAGTAATGTGTTGTGCTGAAGAATGGTGTTGTCATGTTGCTGAATTAACGAATGAATTGTGTTAACAGCTAGGACCACTAGAAGTGTATTTTAATTAATGAATGTAACTGAAAAATGTAAAAGAAGTTATTTCATGATGTTACGCAGAAGTTATTACACTGTTGGGAAACAATCAGAACAATGGACACCTGTTTTGAAGTGAGTCCTTAAATTCTTAATATCCTTTAAAGTTTCAAGTTTGCATGTCTTAAAAAGCTTGAATTTGAGCAGAGTTAATAGGAAAACATTTTTACATAGGATTGGAGGGAGTCAATGTGTGTAGCTGTAATGGAACCATGAACAATGAACCATGTCAAAAAAAGAAATTGACTCATGTAAGCAATGGATTTCAATGCTTGCTGATGATGTTAATTACAATTCATAAAACTGAGGACATACAAACACTTTTTACTAAGTGTAGTGATCCCAAAAAGATCACCAGAAGTGAAGTCTTTATCAGTGTTGGGAAACTTTTTCAGCTCTTTACAGGCCTTTTTTAACCCATTCAATCACTGTCTTTCTCTACATCCAGATCAGTAAAGCAGAACTGAGCCCAGAGGCATTAAACTCCCTCAGGACAGACACTGGATACCAGGGAAACACCCTATCCAGAGTCCGTGTATCTGCAGCTAAACCCAGCTTTGAGGTGGGATCGTCAAGCCAGATTAAACTCTCATTTGGGAAGAAGACACCAAAACCAGGTAGGATCACAAACCTTGTCCTTTACTTGGGGAGACGGTCAGTGAAGAGTTTTGATCTCTCTGAAACTCACTCTTTCACAGTTTGTTCAGAATAAAAAGCATTAAGTGTAGATGAAATTTAACTTCGTTATAACTATGTTTTTCTCTGGTTGTACCGTTAATGTGCCAGTGTTTCAATCAGAGTTAAATAAAACAACATTTATGTTTCATTATTTGTTTATCACAAAATTTCTTCCAATTTATCAACACAAAAGACTAAAGAATCTCTTCAGGTCAGGTATTTATAGAAAAGGACAAATGGTTAGAATAACAAAAAGATACAGTGGGTCTCAAATCTCAGATAATGCAAAGAAAAAAACTCAGCTCATATTTTTGTTTAAATAACAGAATATTGATTATTTAAACCAGGATGCACTCAGAAATAATACGTCATGGAATGATCCTGATTTCTAGTCTTTTTTTATGTTGCTGATGGTTAACTTGTCACGTGTCTTATCTTTGTTTGAAGGCTTGCCAACTGATCACTAAGTCAGTACCTTGTTAGGTAGAAAAAGATGTGTGTCTCTTCCTGAAATTAATGTGGCGTTTGAGTTACCTCGGAAGTCAGATGTCCGAGCTGGGAATGACGTCACTCCCGAGTTACCAGTACCAAGTTGGAAGAAAGCAAAATCAGAGGCGCACAGTTATTTTAGCGCTTACCTTGTCCTTGCTTATATTCGACAAGGCAATCGCTAAAATAACTTTCGTAGATGTAGCCATCTTTTTTCCGCCTCTGATTTTGCTTTCTCCTGACTTGGTAACTGAAATGCTGGTAACTCGGGTGTGACGTCATTCCCAGCTCGTTCTTCTGACTTCCGAGGTAACTTGAACGCAGCATAACTTAAAATGGACTAGAATAGTTTCCTTTGATGCAGAGATGCAGGTTTAAGAAAATCATTGTCATAGCCTCAGTTTTCTTCGGGGCTGTATGTGAAGTCATTGTGTTGCATATTCATATTTACTGATGCTACTGTTGCAAATATCTGTGGCTTCAGCAGAGAAACCAGCTCTTGATCCCAACACGGTCAAAATGTGGACGCTGTCAGCCAATGACATAGATGATGGTGATGTGGTGAGTTAAAGATACAGGTCTCTTTCTGTTTTTTAAATGAATGCCACACTTACTTCTAATGGAACTTTGGATATCATGCATACGCTTTCCTGAACAGTAAGTTTCCTGCATGCTTTGAACCTTTTTCACCTCTGTTGTACTTCTTTTCCAGGACCTGGTGGACTCTGATGCTCTGCTGGATGACGAAGACTTTAAGAAACCAGACCCAGCCTCTCTAAAGGCTCCGAGCTGTGGAGACGGAGCTGCCAAGAAGAAGAAAGCCTGCAAGAACTGGTGAGGCCACTGAAAAATGTCTGTCTGCCATCGACAAAAGCAAGTTATGGATGTTTAATTCACCAATATTGTCTTTGAAATGCATTTAAAACTCTGAATGAATTGTTGTGTTGTATGTTTGTCCAGCACATGTGGTCTTGCTGAGGAGCTGGAGCAGGAGACTAAAGGGAAACAAACGACAAACCTACCAAAATCTGCCTGTGGAAGTGTAAGTCTGTTAGATGTCTGAATTTCCACCATGGTTTCTCATATTAACTTTTTTTTTTTATGAACCTGTTAATGATGATTTTTTTCTCCTTCATACGACAGTGTTACCTTGGTGATGCATTCAGATGTGCCAGCTGTCCGTATATGGGGATGCCGGCCTTCAAACCAGGAGAGAAGATTGTGCTGGACAACAAGACACTGACAGATGTTTGAAACACCGGATTATAAACATCCAAAAGTCCCTGATTCACAATTTACATTCCTTTTTGCTTCTTATCCAACCTGCTGCGTCCCTAAAGACCTGAGTCCCCCTGCAGACTGAGATAAGAGCTTCTTTCACAGCAAATAATGAGGATTACCATCTGCATGTCTGCACAGCTACAGCTTTTTTTGTGTGATTTCTTAAGTATTCCAAAAATGACAAACATTGATTCAGTAGTGGTTTTCTGATTGTAGCAAGTTTTGCAATGAACAAAGCAAGATTCAAGTCAAATGGAAAAGGGGCTGTACTGCTGTTTATGCAAGTTTTTGAGTGGCATTTGTGTTGAAGGGTTTCCAAGAGGAGTATCTTAAAGCACTGAAATGAAATTGTTAATGTTCTTTTCATCAGAAGTTTGATTTATGTCCATCCAATGACAAAATAAATAAAGAGTATATTTCAACAATAAACAGAGGCCCATAGAAAAAGCATCATGTCAAGTTCAAGCTAACATGTATATACAAGGGAAGTTTGACAAAAGATGTGTTACTATTTTTTGTGGTTCAGCCTAACATGCAGAAGAAAAAGTAACATGTCATTATAACAAAAATTCACCCTAACTTTGGTCATAGTGACCAAGTTGAACAACACTGTCTAAGCTACAAGAACTTAACAATTGAATTAGAAACATTATGACAATCACAACCTCATATGTTGGGAGGCTGTGTGTAATGTTGAGAAAATTCAGAATTTGAAAGCAAATCGTTTAAAGCCTAAATGTAATGAAAAACAGAGCAGGGACTACAAATCAAATGTTGGGATTCAAATTTAAGTTCAAAATTATCTGCTCCTTATAGATTCAAAATCAACGATTGTGTTTCAGAAACTTTGTGAACAGAAGAAAACATTGAGTCTAATTTGTCCTTGCATCCACAAATGCAGGTCAGAACTGTGAAGGAAACCAGACATTAACATGATCAAAAACATTTTGGTGAGTTCTCTAAACTCAAACCCTCCCAAGATGAACTGAGGTGAGGTCCAATTTTGAAATACACTGTCTTTGCACTATCTAAACAATTGTTGAAACATTTACAATTGGGTAGATTTAGACACCAACAGTGCAGTACTGGTGTCATTTCTCAAGGAAAATGTGTAAATAAGGATAACATTTGAGGTTGTGGAGGAATAAAGTAGAGGAAAAGAGGTGGAAGAGTGGACTAAAGGGACAATTCTCCACAAAAACAAATTTTAGTTATATTTTCTTCGCAGTTCTTTTCAATCTTATTAATTCCTGATCTAGAGAAAGTGTTTATTAATCCCTCTTGTCTGCCGCTTCTCTGAAAGGGCTTTCCTTTTTAAGAGGAGAGGAGGTGGGAAAATCTTGTGTTTCTGTCGGAGGGAAAGATAAAAATCACAAAAACACTTTTTCAACTAATAGTGCTGTGCCTGATCACCAGTATGTTTGTATTGTTTTCAATCAAGATAGAAGGCAGAGAGCGGAGAGGAGGTGGGAGGGTGATGTGAATGAGGTCGCTCATAATCTCAGGCTGTTGAATTTTTTTCTATAACCCCCCTTTGACCTATTATTGTGTTTCTGAGACAAAAACAAGGAAAGGAAAAAAAGGCGGGAGAAGAGGAGGTGGGAGGGAAACTTGGTACAGGACATACACTCAAAAAAGTAATATCCTCATATCTGAAATAATTTTTTATTGAGCAGTGATATGAATTCGATCTTAGTAGACTTTGCTTAAAGTAAAATAATATTAAAGTAACTGTAAAGTCTCGGTATTTACCCAAGTAGGATGTTTGAGTACTTTTTTCACCCCTGATGAAGAGTTCAGCTGATAAATGTTGTTCTGAAATGTGTAGGTACAATCCTTCATCACTTTTGGACTAAAAGCACCACAAACATGGATTTTTCCTTTTACTGCACTCTTACGAGTCTCACACAGTAACAGTCTTTGATATAATATTATATCTGCAAGCTCAGCAGTTATGTTGCTTAAGTCCATTCTTAAAAAAAAGGAAAACTTCCTTAACTGAGACCCAACAAAGATACAAAACACTACATGACAAATACAAAACCGTACAAAACATTTCTGTTACAACACAGTCGTCTTTGTTTGAAGTTCTCTCGATTCCTGCACAGAAGCTGTTTGCTATCACTTGAACACAAACGTTACTGAACTTAGTAGTTTGTGTTTTTTAAACACACAAACCATTTTCATCCCAAGTTGCACTGGGCTGACTGATCATCCATCAGTTAGCTTCTTAGATCTAACTTAGGCGTCAGTAATTTGCTGCTGAATTTGTTCACTTAGAAATGCATCAATACTTGAAATTATACTTGTGGCTCTCCTTCAGTATTTATTTATTCTACTAATTAAAATTATCAACAGAGTTCAAATAGTTCCTCTTTTCTTTTAACAGTTTCTGAGTCCAAAAACACTGAAAATTTTAAAGACATTTTTACCACAGGGGCCTAACCACAGATGTTATTCAAGCAACCAAAACAGCCACAATGCAAACAATGACTGGAGGTTAAAAGCTCGGCATAAAGAGATACTGCAGCTCAGCTACTGGATCTACTCAGACTCAATGTTAAAGTCCATCTTAATGTCTCCTAAACTGGGCTCAAAAGTTAAGTTGTAAGACACTGCAGCTCGACCATCGCCCAAGCTTTCCCACGGAGAGTGGAGAAAATACACTCCTTGTTTTCTGTGTCGACTCCACTGGCACTCGCCCTGAAAGGAAGAATAAGCATATCGGTCAGAATGCCAGTCACCCACAATCCTGCTGAAGAGGTTAGCAAACTTCATGCAGCTGATCTGTGCCCAATAAAGTTGTAACACAATGTTTCAAATCTGTAAATCAGGTCGATGCAAAAGACAACACAGAACGTATTAATGTAACAATAATTGTCATGTGCAGCCCTGATTTCACGACTGACTGTGCTGAGACAGAGTAAAATGACTCAAAATGGTCAAATAACTAGCAGAAACTCAACAAGAAAAGACAAAAACAAAGACAATTGTTATGTTGTAAAATGTCTTGATACCTGTTCAGTGATTGGTCCAATCAGACCCGCACTGACAGTGACGGTATCAGTCAGTTGATACTCCATCCACAACACGACACCATGGCAACGACCCGCCCTGAAACAAATACAACCAGGACTTTTGGTGTGAAATGAAAGGCAAATTATGACTTTGCTCCAAAATGATTATAAAATACCCTCAAAAAGTAGTACCAAGTATGCTACAGTCTAAAGAGAACCAGTTAGCTGACTACCTTATTAGAGGCAGTGAGCCCCGACTGTTGACTGGCTGTTGAGGGATGCACTGTGTGAAGTCAAAGGTCATGACGACTGAGGACTGGGTCAGAGAACGGCATGGGTACTCCCAGAGAGGGTGGGGCTCCGCTTCTCGAGACTCACGGAAATCTAGAGATCGCTGTAAACGATACACGTTTGCAAAAGTGTTTTTAAAAGTTAGTACAAACTGGGGACCAGAATTTAAGCACACTCTTAATTCAACCAGGAGTGAAATTAATGAACGATATTTTGTGATTCCAACAATTCCCCCAATATTAGAAGATTACAGTTACTAGAAGCACATGTAGATCACACTGGTGAAGAAATAAAATCTGTCTGCAAAGAAAACTTAAAGTAGTTCACTTAAAATAATTTACCTGAACCATTTCATCCATGGGAGATACATCAAAGCCCTCACATGTCCCACACGGTGCTCTTATTCTCCACAAATCCTTGCACATAAAGATCCAAAGAGACAAAGTTAATCACCTGTAAGGAAAAAACCCTCGTCCTCGGGGATTATCCTTCAACACACAAGGATCTTTAAGAAAAGGGAACCACATTAGAGCACAATAAGTTTATTGGTCTGACAATAAATCTACCACATTATAATGTGAAAGTAAATTGTTTTTTCTTTCGCTTTTGTACATTTTTAGTTAAAGCTCAGACCTGCTACCAAACTAATTTAGCTAGATGTGCTATGACCACATTTTTAAGTCATATTTTATTTACATGTTTCAAAGGCATCTGATTATTCTAAATGAAAAAGATCACAACATGAATTCAAATGGTAATTTACAATCATTACAAGCAATATTTTTCTTTAATTAACACAACAAAAATGAGCAGTCAGAAGTAGATGTACACTTTGGTAGCACCCATGCTACCTTGGAGCTACATAATGACTGCTAGAAAATGTGAACATTTTCTCCAAGTTTTCTAGGGTCTAGACTCTATTTACAAAGACAGAATATAAAGATGGGATAAGATTCAGCCTTGTCTTCTTCATCTTCTTCTGCGTCTTATTCCAACCCATCTTCATCTACATCATGAGTGTAGCACTAAACAAGCATTTAACAAGTGACAGTGGGGAGGACAAAACTTCTTTTAACAGGCAGAAACCTCGAGTAGAACCAGACTCATGTTAGAAAGTCATCTGTCGCTTCTAGTTTTCATGAATGAAACTCAGTATGTTCAAGACCTGAACAGAACAGATATTCAATATGAACAGAAATATAATAAAACATATTTGAAAATTAAAATTCGTAAAACAAAAGCAAATGGGTGTCACTTTGCTCTCTCTGCAAATGATACAGGAATGAAAACATGTCTTGTCTCACCTTGAACTCTACAGCCATCATGTGCAGGGAGGCAGAGCGGGGCAGTATGGTGGCATTTGGCTTGAGGAGGGCTGCCAGTGCTGTCCGACAGTACCAGAAGAAGAGTGAGTGCCAGGGTAAGAGGCTTGTGCTGAAGTATGGTTCACCCATCAGGACCGAGATCTGTAGAGGAGATGATGAACAGTCTTCTCACCTAAATACATATTTCTGAATTTTTGCTAAACCACCCTTTTGCCCCAAATGCAAGCAAACAGCTCAATACCAACAAAAGTTATGGACCTTAATGACAACAGAAAGTTCAAACAGCACTAACAGGTGCTGGCCTTTTAGGTCAAGCTGAACAATTGTAAATGCAACACTGACATAGTAACAAAAATATGAGCAATTTAAACAACTAGTAGATAGAAGGAACATAATTTTCAATTTAAAGTCCCATTTTTAATGGTGATTAACATCCATTTTCTTGTTAGAATATATATTTTTCAGATTCTTCCTGCTTGCTCTTTCATTGGTGCAATAAAAAAACAAAACCAGTTCATAAGCAAGAACACACAAAAATGCTCTAGATAGCAGAGACAGAGGTCTGCTTCATGTTAAACACAAGATAACTTCACACATGAGCTATTTGTTTACAGGAATTCGAAACAGTGCTTGACTCCGATGGTCAAAGCCAGCACCCGCCACTAGAATCCTGTTTTAAATGTACCTGTTCTCCTCCCAGATCATTACTGGTCAGCTGTTCTGGTCTGATCTCCAGAAGCTCCACACTTCCTTTTGCTGAGTTAGCTTCCAGTACCTGCAAGGAAATGAGACACACCATCAGCTGCTTCTGGAGTTCTGGAGTAAAATAATAGTGAAAATACCAATTATCAAAAACCAAATGTTTAATCTCTCCTCTACCTGCTCAACAACCTTTTTGGACATCCGAGAGATCTCCAAGCCGTACACCTAGAAAAGGCCAAGACGATAAAGAGAGGTGTAAGACACAGATCTGAGTATGATTTCAGATTTGAAGAGGCTGAATATGTGCACAGGGTACAGAAAGAGTACCTTTTTAGCCCCGAGAACGTGAGCAAACACAGGAAGCAGACTTCCATCACTCACACTGAGACACACACTGTCCTCCGTCAGGACCTGGAATGAACAGAGCAGCTAATCAGAGAATAAATAAAGCAGATTCATTCATTGACACTCCTGAATGTGGTCATCCATCACCTACACTGCGCAGTGCGCTGACGTAGCTCTCTGTGCGCTGTCTGTCATTGAGTTCTCCAAAGCGTGGCCGAGTCCAAACTAGGTGAGCCTGGCAGGTACAACATGGCCGAGAGGGAGGAGCTTCAGTCTGAGAATCCTGCTGACTGAAGACATGATCACAGACACGCACCATTTACTTAATGCCTGAAGTTCAAAGAGGAATGCACTGTATTTGTTGTATTATGGTTGACGTCTTCTCAGTTTAACAGTATAGGCTCAGATTATTATTGCTTTATTCATATTTTGAAAGCCTTTTTTTTTTAGTTGGAAACAAGGTTCAAGAGTCTTGAAATCCAAGCTGGAGTAGTCTGTAGTTTTTGTGGGTCACCATCTATATCAATGTAAATATAGCTGGTACCTGGACAGCAACAGATTGATAGTACTCCTATAATGCATCAATGAACGGCTGTTGACCTTGTCAGATTCAGCATGTATTGAATTCATGTATTGAAAATTCCCTTTTTTTGGTACTTAAAACATTGACTTTGGACAAACATTGTCCCAAGTTCTCCAAAAATTAGTTGGGCAGGTTTAAATGTTTTCACTCTGTTGAGTCATGAGATAAGATGAGACGAGATAAGAGGAACTTAATCCCCAAAGGGAAATTCAACAATTCAAAAATCATATTCAAAGTTCAAGTAGAAGTTATTTGTGTGGATAACTTTCTAGGTTCAAGGTAAGCCCCTGATGTTTACTTTGTTTGGGCCACCCCTACTAAAGTCTAAGCTCCAATTAGGTCACCCCTGTCTAACAAAGCCTGGCCCTGCTGGTCTTTTACATGTACAGCATACGGTCTCTGAGCCCTCACCTGTGAAGCTGAAGGCTGTACCACAGACTGTAGTCATCATGGCACACAGTCAGACTCAGCTCCTCTCCTTTTGTCACACTGCTTTCCACTGGCAGAAAATACACACTCTGCATCCAGTGGTCCCGCCACTAAAACACAGCAGAGTGATCAGCAGGGGCTGATGGGAGCGCGACACACAACATCATTTACTTTAAACTCACAGGAGCCATCTTTGGTTCTGTGTACGTCCAGCTGGGAGCCATACTGCACACTATGCTTCCACTGGGATCCATGTCCAGGTCCCACCAGGACAAGACCACCTGGGCCCGCCCGCTGGACTGAGCCACAAACCGGGAAGAGTGGGTCTGGAATGCACTGCTGACTGGTTTACTGAAATCCACACTGTGGGCAGAAGGACACAAAACAAGATGTAAAATACATGGAGGAAAAAAAACAATCAGATCTAAAGATGTTTAACTCTTTCATACCTGAACATGGTGCAGAGAGGACCCAGAGGGGTGAAGCTGTTAGGAGACACCTGGCTCATCTGAATGTCACACACTGAATGAGCTCCAGCACAGAGGCCCACTGCAGGTGGGGGGACCACACAAGCCCCTTCCAGCTCCACTGGCTGCAACTGAGACCAGCTCCAGAGTAGCTCTGACTCCACCAGCTGAGCGTAGATGGTGGCCCGGTGAGGGACAGCCTCACAACCTTCCTATAGAATAAAGAAAATATGTCAAACTAATCGTAAAAGATTTTGGTCACCTCATGGATCATATATCAAAACACAGATGTGTACACACACATACACACGTACTTGGACCAGGTTTTGGTGAGCATGCTCATAGCTCGGTAAGGCCCCTTCCCCTATCAGCTCAGTATCAAACAGTTCTGTGATCAGAACATTGGCCTTCATTTGCATATCTCCATCTGTATTCAGTAACAAACACAACACCTTTCATCAGCACAGACATGTTTGAAACAAAGAGACACAAAATGTTCATGCAGTGCAAAATGGTGTGAATGCTTGTGTGTGTGTGTGTGTGTGTGTTTTCTGACCTGTCCCGACGGTGACATCTGTTGAGTGTTTGTTAATAATCTTAATCTTTTCAGAGAAGCCGTTTTTCTCCACAATACACTGCGCTGCCTCAGCCATGGGCTTAAAAACCTGCAGCAGAGATGATGATGATGATGATGAGAAGAACTTAACAGGTTATGGAGAAACTATGGAGAAAATCAAGAACGTTTTAGAACGAATCACACGAAACATCCTTGTAGAAAAAGACTTCCTCTCACGCCTGAGTACCTTCCTTTTTATTTTCCTCAGAAATTCTTCTTTATTGTACATGGGAGCTCATTTTTCTCCGAAGCAAAATTGTTATTTTTTAATCTTGTTTGTTTTTATTATACAAGTTATTTTATTAACTTGTGCACAAGATCGATTCTTTAGAAGTGGTTGTGAATGCTCAACCTTGCGCCCCCTTTAAAGCACTAATAAGATGAAGTAAAGGTTTGAAAACAGACAGCAATAATTCATCTTACAGTGAGATAACATAGCCAGCTGTGTAGCTGTGCTTGAGCTAGTAAATGATAACAAAGTATACTCTACTGATAAAATACGTAGGGGCTCTTATTGATATACCATATGGATAAATAGTTGGCTAAAGATAACATCACACAAGTCAAAAATTATGATCTCATGGGACTTTACAGGTCTTTCCTACCACTGCCTCAGCTTTTTTGTGTTATTTTGTGTTACACAAATATTGTGTTCAATCTGAACTTATACTTTTAACACCAAAAGCACACCGAAGTACAGGATCAGAGTCTCCTGTCTTGTAATGTGTTTAGACACTAAAACTAACTGTCTGAAACATTGTGTTGCAACCATTTTACTCTTTAATGTGGCTGCTGACTTTGTTTACTTGAAAAACACTCAGACTTTTCCCACTCATTAGTTCATTATGTTCCCATAAGTACAAATCATGGCAGAGATTTTAAATAAGCAGACACTTGCAGATTTGGCATGGAAATGTAGCAGAATCCGTCAGCCTAGGAGTTGAACATGCAGAACATACAGGAGGAGCATTTATACCTCTACAGCATAGCAGAAGTCAGCCCCAGCAGTGACAGCCATCATTGACAGCAGGCCTGTCCCTGTCCCGATGTCCAACACAACAACCTTTTCCCCCCGGGCCTTCACTCTGGCCACAGCTGCCCGGATGCCCTGGTAGTACTTCTCATTCTGCAGGAGCAAATACATTTGTTGTGCCAGTGCCGAAAACAATGCATAGTTTAAGTGTTCATTATTTTTTTAACTGAATCACCTCACTATCCTGAAAACTATCTGCAAATGGAGAATTTGTCAAACTTGTAAGTTTATCAAAATATGTGTCTTTATAATCACAAAAAGAGCACATATTTTAACAGCCAGGGAAGGCATTTGAAATACTATGGTTTGGGGTTTTTTTGCTGCTTCAAGTCAAAGGATGTCACCTGTTCAAAAGCTGAAAATTGACTAAAGGTGGGACTTTTACAAGCATAATTTTGCTGAGAAAATGAGTATATCCTCCAAGAGATTGTTTAAAAATAACTAAGTTCAGCCAAAGCATAGATCTGAAAACAGTGAAGTCTAGTAAATGATTTAAAACATTCTTTCTAAGAGAGATAACACTCAAGCAAATCTCCGCTAACCTGTATGATGTTAAATCTGTTCATTTTCTACAGCTGAACAAACAATCAAAAGGCAAACCAGAAAAATGCTTTATCCAGTATATATCATTTATCATCACCCACCCTGTCATGGTCATGGAGCATGTCTGCATAACAAGACCTGAAAGACAGACAACACAACAGGAAAAGGTGCACCGTGGTTAGAGGTTATAGTGTTTCTGATGCTTCTGTTTAAGACGCAATTTAATATCAAAACCATCTGCAAGTTAGGTTACAGCCAGATATTTTGAGATACCTTGGATATCGACTAGTTTGGGGTATGCCATTATATCTTTACCAACAATGCAATCAATTATCTTTCAGAAAATTAAAGTGGTGTACCATGTGAAGGAGGCTCAATACTGTACAAACTTCACCTTTAATGATTCATAAATATATGTGGTTTTATACTTTTCTTTATTTATATTACCAGATCACAATACACTTTACGCCAAAATCCTGTGGTATCATTAGCCGTCATAAAAATAGTCAAGCAGTTGACTTTTTGATCAAACTAATAAAGTATACGCCTCAGTATTTATCTAAGAATTCACGACACTAAAACAGTTTATGAAAATTCACTACTACTGTGTCCGTGTCATGTTTTTAGGAAACTCGGAACTATTCTAAAGTATGATATGTTCACCGCCCACACAACAACACGAACATGTGTACAGAGATCATGTGTGAAGTACCTGGCTATCTCCTGGTGGTAATCGTACTCCTCACTCTCCTCCACCCAGTCCAGAGCTCCGGTGGTCGGGTTGGCTCTCCCACAGAAGGTCTTCATCTCTGCAATAGCTTATACAACACTCGACTAATATGTATGGATAGATAAAAGCTACTTTAATGCCTTTATTTAACATGAATTTGATCAGATTACAGGAACAGCATTGCCTCACAGGGAGCGGCCATCTTTCAATGCGACGTCATGCATTGAGTCACGTGACCGGCGAATTTCAAGCAGCGATAAAACTACTACTACAACTACTACTACTACTACTAGTACTACTACTAATAATAATAATATCAAATAAAAAAATAACTTTTTTCTCCTCCCCCTCTTCTTTATGTTTATGTTTTTTTTTAAATTAACCCTTTCATGTATACATCACCAAAAAATACTAATAATGCATACAAATAATAATACTAATGCAAACAAATATGATAAATAAATATCAGGTGACTTAGTCAATTTATTAGTAGTGGCCTGGTTATGACTCTGAGCAAGTTATATGAGTGTCCGTCATGGTGGACATTTTGAAACTTTTTCATTCAGCAGCTGTACATTTTTTGAATTCATATTCCAAGTACTGAATTTTTTTTCTTTAAACAAAGTTTGTCACTTGGATGAGAAACATAAACTGAAGTTCTTGAATTCTGGTTTCCTGAAATGAAAAGCAAAGGGACCCTGAAGAATTCCCTTAAGAATCCTGCTTGTGTTGTCAGATCAATACACAAGGGATGGGATTTCTGAGAGATATGAGACCTATTTTTCCACAAGAGCATGAACTGGAAATTTGACTTTAACCAAAACAGAAAGAAATGCTTTTTATAAAGAAAACCTTGCAAGTGTCAGTGTATCGCCAGAAAAAAAATCATCGTTTTTAATATCAGTGTTTTTTTATTGCAAATATGGCCAGGAAAGCATGTTGTCTAATTCAGCAGACAGATCATCTGTCATTATTTTCTTTAAAATTATAATCCATATATGGGACATTTATAACTTCTTTTTCAGTACTGTAAGCAAAGGTTTTTTAGAATTCAAAAGACTTGCAAGCTATTCCTGTGCCTATTGGCATTTCTGTGAACCAGTAAACCATTAAACCTTTGTTATGCACTCACAATGGCTTGCCAGTGGCAGCGTATGGGATGACTTGAGAAGGACCATAAAGTGGTAACTATACCATGGAGTAACTGTCCACTTTAGAGGCCACTATGTGAGGAGGGAACATATTGTGCATTAAACTTTGCATTAATGTTAGGAAAAGATAAGCTTTTGTTTTGTAAGGCATTTATTTAAGCATTTATACAGTTTGCAATGTGCTGTATATCACAAGCATTGAACCGGAACCATAAAGATTTTCTCTGGACAGTAAACAAAACACATTATGGAAAAATAGAAAAAATTAAATACAATAAATACAAACGAGATGTCCAGTTTTAAATACACAATATCAACAACAAAGGGAGATGAGAAACATGGAGACAAGATATTAAAAAAAGGATTCTGAGGATTGTTTCATGAATTAGCAGCCAAAGTTCTCCAGGTTATTTCACTGCCCAGGTGCCTGGTCTCTAAATGCTATGATGAAACTTTTATCTATGACAGTCCTAAGCAGTCATGCATCCACACATTTATACACTCTGCTTTACCATTTTAAGGATGTAAGGATTTAATGTAGGGATGCATACCTGCTTCGACTTCTCTTGTATCTTGAATCTTGTAACTTAAATTAAATATTTCCTTTCATTTCTGATGTCCTGCTAAAGGATATTCAGATGCTTCATAGAACAAAGTTCTTCATAAAACTTTTCACACTTTCAGTTTGAATTAAAGTACATAGAAAATTAAAACTTTAATTAGACTCTTGGATTATCTCTTTGACTTGTTCAACATGGTATCAAATATGCAAACTGTTTTGCCAGTTAAGCACCAGTAAGTCGACTGTTTCTCTTCATGAGGAGATATTGTGGGCATTTCAGATTATAACCTTCATGAGTGGACTTCGATCTGTTGTGTTATATGACAGATTTCTGCCTTTCTTACCTTTACCTTAAACAGTCAAATAAATCAAATCTGGACCAGCAAGTGAATGGCTTGGTAGTAAAGACAGAGAAAACTAAAATGTGATCCTCTTTTGTTGCCTTGCTCATCACACTGTTAAAGGAAACTTTGGGAAATTCTAAATCTCTGCCCCATTTTGACAAAGTAGAGCTTTGGGTTGGAGACAGCGGGTAAAAAGAGTTTTAAGTGGTTTCTGGAGAAGGTTGCTTTGGCTGCATAGATGACCGGGAACTCAACTGATCATCATCATCACAGCCTAACATTGCTCTCTTGGGGCAAAAACAGAAATTTCATCATTGAAGAGGACCACATAGGAATTGTTGACCTCTCAACAGTGTTTATTCAGGCAGCTATTTTCGTCTTTTATTTTTAATCTTAGTCTTAAGACTTTAAGTCCTAGCCAGATAGTTGTAGTTTGTGCTTTTTATAACCTCAGTCGAGTTTGAGTCATTGAAAACCCCAAACAATTTGGTCCAGTTGTCGTCAAAGTTATTGTTAGTCGAAACATTTTCTGTCTTTAGTCTAATTTAGTTAATCATTAAGGAATTAGTATCAAAATTGTACTAGAGTTTAAATCTGCAAAGTTTCACTCTCTTAATATTTCTGTAATTTCTTGATCCCTTGAAACATTAATTTTGTAGGTCATCGACTTTGCCGCAGTCCAATGCTGCTGTGTTGTGTCTGCTGATCTGCCATGGTAACATAGCATAAAAAGCTCTTTACTCCATACCAAGAAACAAGACACTTTTTCTGTATTTACTATGGTAAAGTTTCTGTCTTTCTTTCTTTTACTTCTCCCTGTTGTGGGGCAGGAATGTGGGTCCACATTCAGCCCTTGATGTCCTCAAATCGAAGAAACACCTTTGGACAGTCACTTAATTCACTGCTGCTACATCTTTACCTCTGATGACTCAAAGTTGATCATTACCGCAGAACATAAAACTGAATTTCCAAAGAAGCCACTAGGATAGGGTGAGAATTTGACACATCACAAGTGGTGAAAATGGCAAAATACCATGGATTATTCAATGCCTGATTGTCTTACTATCCAAAATAAATAATACATTTATCAGAGTTTTTGTTATCAGTGCTGAATTTTAGCTTGTCATTGTCTTGTTTTGTCATGGAAGAATAAAGGGTTGATGGTGGAAGCCATTCTGGTCTGTCTTGCATTGGACAGTATTGGACAGTGCCCTTTGTGTCAGTTGTTTGGATCCCACAACATGACATTACAGGACCAGGTTTGAAGACACTGGAATTCCCCTCTCATAACATCAGTTGAGAGAAAGAGGAAATCCACACATTCTTTTCCTTTTAGTAAAACTCACCAAAATGAGCTGATTACTTTCATGAATCGATGTGCCATTGAGGGGACTCTTTATAGAGCTCGATTGTGCAGATTTGTCACGTAATGATGTGATCAGGAACCAGATTCCCTGTGCTTTAATGTCGAGTTCAATCCGCAATTTCATGCACACTTAGCAGTGGGAAGACAGAAGGCCATGGTGGAGGGAGGAACCAGAATGTCAGTGAAGATAGGCCTGTACCCGGCAGGCAAAGGTGGGGCGCTTTGCTCCAACAAGTCCAGAACAGCCCCTCTAATGTCCCTGGAGATATCTCCACGAATGTCCAGCAGTACAGACACGTGTTCTTCGCTGAGGAAACATAAAAACATGACTTATTCAGAAAAATCTGCACTTTATAACCAAATCATGCATGTTTAACGCTTTGAAAAGGCAGATATTAATTCTGATTATCTTTATAAATGACTTGGCCCTGGAAATAAAGTATTTGTATTTATTTTTGAATTATCATGTCCCATTAGAGTCACCAATCCAGTCTTTTCTGGAAGTCCCTGAGCTCCATCATGCCGTAGCTTCCCCCGGATCGCTGCTGCAGGTGTTGGCCTGCCTGGACCTACCTGCTTTTCTAGCTGCTTCAACTACTTGCATCAATCTCTTCCCAGTCCATCTCCCTCTATCCCCTCTCTAAACCTAACGCAGTCTCAGTAAATGACTGTCTAACATGAGTCTGGTTCTGCTTGAGGTTTCTGCCTATTAAAGGAAGTTCTTCCTCTCCATCATAACATACTTAATGTTGCAAAGTGTCTCACCCATATGGTTGAGGATGGGATGGAAGTGGGTCTGATCTTACACGATGGGGCTCAATCTGATCCTATCTTTACATGGAGTCTTGATAAAAAGAGTATGATCTCGACTCAAAGCATTTGAGTTCAGGTTACCTGATGTCAGGGTATTTAGCTACAAGTCCAGAAACTTCCAGAGTGAGCATGCCGGGATCTTTCAGTCGGATGAAATCAGCCAGGACAGGGAGTAAAGCCAAAGGGTTCACTTCAGGCTCAGACCCTTCACCATCCTGTAGAGAAGAACAGCTTGACTGAAAGAAATACTGAAACAGGTGTTGAGACCTCTGATTGAACCTGCTTGTGACTTGTTTTTATGTGGAAATAGTTATGTTTAAACTCTGATGTTCAGTGACAAACCTGCTTTCTATTTCATGACCAAAGTTTTTCAATTCTATGAGGTATTTCTTATAAATATTAAGAGGACACGATGCTCTGTCTTTATGCTTTTAATGGTTCATTTTCTAAAGATGCTCATGTTTACACATTTGTGGAGGATCAGTTGATCAGAAATCTAGAGTAAGTATATCTTACAAATGATAACCACAGGCAGTGTCATTTATGTTTGACGCCAAAGAACAAGACCATATGTAGAGGAAGATACCAAACTGAAAACTGCCCGCTTTATGTCATTTGTAAAAGTTTAGGATCCTATTTTTAACACTGTGAAAATGTTATTATTGATACCAACATTACCTGAGTGGCCTTATTATTCACACATATTTTCTTTTACAGTGTTTTATCACAAATTCAGATCTATTTTAGTGCTAAATATGTCCTGACCATAAGCTAATGGTCATTTAACCGTAAGTATTATGTAAGGTGAATGTTTTGTTGCAGTCTGAGTCAGCTCCTCCTCACCAGGCCGTGGAAGATCTCTCTGAAATGCTGCTCATCCTGAACCATCTGCTGGGCGAGCTGCTTTCTCTCCTCAGTGCTTCGACACACCAGCCTTTTCTGCATCAGAGCCCTGACGTACTCCACCACCATCAGCCACTGAGCCTCCTCCTGCAGACGCTGTGCACACACATACACACAAACTTGATTATGAATTATTAATCAGATTAACCTGGAGTAGCAACTTTATTTTTGCTGAAGTCACTTTATCTATCCTTGCTACACCAATAAAAAACTAAACCCCAACATTAGATAAGCTTGCAGTCAGGTGTGCCACTTTATTTGATAAAGAGTGAGAGAAACACTAAAGAGGAGGCATGAATAATCAAAGTCTGAGGAAGTGTAATCCTTGGACATGTTTTCCGGGTTCCTCAAACAGCTTGTTTCAACACACGGCCGTAGTTTAAAGTCACTTTGTGCTGTTGCATCGAGGGACAAGCCCATCTGACAGCTGTGTCAAATAAACACTCACCCGAAAGCTGAAAAGTCTGCTTTACTGTTGTATTTCTTCACTGGGTTGATTCAGTATATCTGAGAGAATTTCTCAACAGTGTCCTTTGGTTGGGTTTGAAAAGATCAGCTAATTTCTCTTCCCAGAGATGGAGGCACTAGAAAACAGCTGTTCTGTGTTTTTGAGACAATAATGTCACTGCCTGTGCTCCCCACTTCACTGATGACTTTTTGGTTGTCTACAAAACTGTGTGCAAAGTACATTAATTAGCTGTGTCTTGCTTTGTATCACTGGATACAAAAGCAGCAGGTGAAAAGCCCTAAAAAGAGAGCAGTATAAAAAACATATGGCTACACACAACTCCTGCAGAGCTACTCTAAAGGTGTCTCAGACTGACTTACTGAACAGTAAGAGTGAGGATAATAAGCTTTAGGTTACATCCTCTTTATCTACATCTCCAACAAACTTCATATCCAATGCACTCGATTCAGTGTTCTGTGAATGTGGCAGAAGTTGTTGAGGTAAGAGAATAATATTCTTTAGAGGTGGAAACAGTCCATAGTGGAGACAATGAAAATTTACATGAAGTTTTGAATATTACTGATAACTTTGAACATCAGTGACAACTCTAAAACCTCTGTTGGCCCTGCAAATATCCATGCAATATTGTCAGAGATTTGGAGTTAATGATATTAATGATCCTTCAAAAAAAAAAAACAGTTTGAGAGACATTCATTTTATTTGTTCATAAGCTTTATATTAATACTGAACTGTTGCAGACATATTTTCTTTGTTTGAGGTACAGATTGAAAGAGTTATTGTACATGCTGAACATCAGTAACACTTCCCTTTCAGATATGACGAGAATATGAAAAACCTGACCTGCTGGGATTTTCCAAAACTTTCCAAAACTGTCTGTATAACTAAACTCCCACCTGCACAGTGAGGACACAAACAGAGAGGAGTTGTTACCTGTCTGCAGGGAGGCCGAACACGGTTGTAGAGCTCCAGGTGACGCTCCAGGATATGACACAGTTTAGGGACAGGGTCTCCCTGGACCAGCCAGGGTCGGGTTAGCAGGCTTGGTAGAAGAGGCTGGAGGTCCAGCAGAAGCTGATCCATCACCAGACGACAGGCTCGTCTCACTGCTCGATCAAGAGCAGCCAGAGGGTTGGGGGGAGTCCGAGAGAACCGTCCCACTGAGCGGGACGTCTGCTGCTGCTGTAGGCTCTCTGTGGACTGTCTGCATGAAACACAAGAGGCACTAAGACTTTGATCCAGACCTCTTTTTCAGTTTAATTCAATTAAGCTGTTAGGTAGATGCTTTTTGTTTTTATGGGACGACCAACAAATGGACAAGACCACCTCAACCAGAGCCTTCAAGAGACAAAGCTGACCAGTGCTAAACGTACACAGTTTATTCACGGTTAAACCTGAAGGCTGAATGAGTGACATACAGAAATATTCTCAGCTGGTGAGCTGGTCTGGCAGCTACAGTATGTTTCTGTACTTTTCTGATGATATAGAAGCTACAAATCCAAATGAGCCCACACATTTGTAATCTGACAAAACCTTGGAAGCTTTGTCAGTGGCTGCCATTAGGCTGTATCATTATTTTACTTCAGGATGATGCAGTTGCTGATGGAGGCCAGCAGATAATGGAGGTAGAACTTGTTTTTGTTGCTACTTGGATTCCTGCGATGCTCCTTCCCAAACTCTACCAGTGCTTCTCGAAACCTACGATGAACACAGAGGAAGGTCACTGAAAAGGTCTGATCCTTGAAATGGAAAAAGACTAGAATTAAATGACCACATGGCGCACCTGTTGAGGAGGTTTTCCATTTCATATAATCCCATCTGGATGGTCTGATCTCGTAATGATTCTCCAATCATCAGAGCAACCCGAGCATTTTCCTCCAGCATCTAACATACAAAACCACACAAAGTACAAACCATAAGAATATAAACATCAGTCATATTTTGGATGAAATCACACCACAAATGCCCCAAAGTTCAGGTATAAGAAGTTGGAAAATGGCTTGAGTGCTTTATGATGGTTTCTCAGGAGAGGTGGGGGACAGTTTTTTCTTTGCAAATTAAGTTTAAAGAATCAAGAAACTCATAATAATGCAGGGAGGAGAGATAACTTGTTCATTTGAGCGCCTGTTTTGATCACTTCCCATGGTTTGAGACCATAGACGACCTCAAAGCACCCTGTTCTGATGCTGCAAAAAAAGCACCATTTCACCACAACAGACAGCTGATCAAACCAGATGCTCTGCAGATAATGGTTTAGTCTACGGTTCAAAACTGATATTTAAGGAATTCAGTTCTACTCTGGGTATAAGTACGACTATTTTACTAAAACAAACAAATGAAAAAAAAGATTCATTTTATTTTGGCCAAAAGGCCCTAATGTTAAAAATAGTCATCTTACCTTAAGAGCAGCTTGTGCACAGCTGTTTCTATTAGTTAGTTATGAATCTTAGTTGATGCTTAAGTTACACAATAACACAAACAAACTCTCCACTTTTTGCAGCACCAGACCGACAACTTTTCTGTTAGATTTTGTTGATGGAGTCTGCCGTGAAAGAAACTGATATAAGAACTAATTTTGTACATAATAAATCTGAAAATTCAAAACTTTTTGTGTGTGAATCCTGCATGTGTTGATGTTTGACACTCCAAAAAGGAAAGCTCAGACATTCAAGAGGAAATTATGTTGATGTAGTAAAACAATAAAGAGACGATTCAAATGTGCATGAATGACCTCCTGCATGTGTGATTGTTTTGTTAATCTTGTGTGTACCTGTGTGATGATGGTGGGCAGGCTGGTGTGGTAAAAACCTTCATGGTCTGTATCAGGCTCCTGGTCTCTCTGCCAGTCCTGTAGCTCCACCTGTAGAGCTTTGTGCATCCACTCTGATACACTCTTCTGTAACAGTGGCAACATGGACACACACACGTAGTGACTAGTCTAAACGTAGCATCAAAGATAAGACTGTGCTGCTGTGAATTTCTCTCTGGTTCCAGTTTAAAAACAACTAAGATGTGAGTTAAAATGGTTTAGGAAGCAGGTCACTGTTTGGTATCTTCCGTGAACGACTCACCCTGACACTCTGCACATATTTGCTCTGCAGCTGCTCCAGGCCCTCAGCAGAGATAAGAGACCCAAGTTCTTCTTTCTCCATCTCAGCCACTAGCTCCGGATCACCCATCATGTCTGGGCTGCCAAAACAACATGGGTAGACTCAGAGTTTTGCTTTGCTAACAATGTGTTGCAGGTTTTATCCAGATTTTCCCATTTACACAGAAGAGGTGATCAGCACAATGAAGTTCTGAGAGGAAAAATGTGCTTGTTTTAGATTTGATGTCAGTGACATGTTTCAAAACAGCTGCACCTTCTCTTCTCTAAACAACACTCTGAAAGTGATCGGGAACCAAGAAGACCAGTTTCTGGGGTGAAATGTTGTCCTACCCTTTAATGACGGAAGATTTCAGCAGCTGAACATTTCACAATCTCCTCTGTCATACTTTCTTCTTAATGTAATGAGCAAAGTAGTAAATCCCACTGAGCAATAGACGGTTATTAGACGGTTAGTTTTTTTTAGACCTAATTTCAACCGTCTAGATTCTGTATATTTTCAGACGGAATTAAGACGTTGCACTTCAACCCATTATTCAATAACTATTTATTTCAAAAAGCATCTGTGAGTTGCATAACTGATCTCCAAGTACTTAACCAAAAATAATTATGATAGCCATTGAGCAATACACAGTGTAGTATGGATATAGCCCAGATTTAGACTTGGTCTAAACTTGATCTAAATTTAGAGGTCTAAAAAACTTTCATTTTTAGACCTGTGGTAGCCTGATAGTTGTCTAGGCTACATTAAGACGTCTACTAGACCTCTATTAGACCAAAAAATGCTCAGTGGGATCAGGACTGCATGCAGGCCGGTTTAGCACCCAGGCTTGAATAGTACGAATCCATGCTAGTGTAATATATTCAGAAAGCAGCTTGGAATTGTTTTGCCAATATTAGTAAGGTCTCTGTTGTCTGGGTGGTAGTGTATGTTGCTCCAAATCCCATTTATATTGTTCTTTTATGCTTGTGTGTTTTGTGCTTTTATGGAGCCTCCGCAGATACCTAAGCTTCCCATGTCATGGGCTCTTATCCATCCCCATACTATCAAGGATTTTGTCTTTTCAGCTGTGCACTGATAACAAGCCAGCTGCTCCCTCCTCTCTTGAGAGTGGAAAATGTATTATCCATAACTGAATTATGACTCATCACTCCACAGAACAGTTTTCCACTGCTCCTCTCCTCAGTACATCTTCAGAGGGCTCTGGCCCAGATACGGTTAGAGTTGGGTTAAGATGTACAGTACAATTTCATAAACCTATCAAAATTTTCAACATTTGATGTGATTTGATTATTTTTATTCAAATATAAGGTTTAAATGATTTGGAGACCATCAAATTCAGTTTTTACCAATATTTTGTAAGCTCACAATGTCTTAGGGTTGTAAGTGATGTCCTCTTTTATTGCTTTTATTAATGTTATTTCTCTTCTTTACTTATATTTATAATGATTTTCACTCTGATTTTGTACTGTCATCATCTGCCCAGGACTTTTAAATAGTTAATGGACTATGTTTTTATTGTGCTTCCCTTAGTCTTCTGACCATTCGTAGGCTGCTAACTGTAGAGCCCATTAGTTTTTGACACACTGCAGGGTGAAGCTATCAGGTGCAGGTAAGGTCAAGAGTTATGATACAAAGAGTAGAGAAAAAACAAAACAAAACAGTAAGTTCAGGTGATGGGACTCACCTGTTGTATATATGGAGCACCCAGTTGAGCACCGCAAAGATTTCTCCACTTTCAAGATCCCAGTTGCTAACCTATGACAGAGAAATCACTCAGACGTGTATAATGAGCTGTTCACCTTCAAACAGAAGCCTTGACTACAGTGACTGGTGTCTGCTCAAAGTGAAACGTAAAATAAAACAGAAATGTAAATATATAATACAAAGTTAAACAGCCTCTTCAAATGATCATCTTTAACTTTCAGACTGTTGCACCACTGCTCATCATGATGCAGCAGTATTTCTTTAACGCCACTTACCTGTGCCAGGTGAGTGTGTAAACAGTTGTGGCTGGCCCTCAGGTAGGCCCCTGTCAGACGGTAATGTGATGGGACACAGTGCTCCAGTAGGTGGCGTACGGTGGCCAGGTCAGCCATGATAGCGTGCTGGAGGGCGGAAAGGTGGCCTGCTAGACCTGGACCTCGTGTGTGCAGGTAGGACACACTACGAAAGCGGGCAGAGACCGCTTCCCCTAGTACCTGTTGGGCAGGGAGGACAGACTGTGACATAGAATAAGACACCTTAAGCAGAATGCTGGTAAAAAAAAAATATAGTACTATGTTTCATTTTAGTGGTTTCTGACCTGGAAGAAGCTTGCTCTCCAGCAGCGAGGTCTTCCGGGGGGCAGGGGTCTTGCATTGCCTCTGGTCCCCCCTCGCTCCTCTAGTAAAGCTTGATCCAGGGCTTCCTCTCTCTCCACTATCCTCACGGCTGATACAAATGGTGTGGGGTTTTGTCTGGCGAGGGCCAGAGCACTGCTCACCACAGCCCACAGCTCCTTTCCTGCAGCCCCAGAGGTGAATGAGAAGGAAAACAATGACAGGTTTGATCCACAGACAGAAACAAACTTTATTTTTCCACCATCTCATCTGATAAAGACCTAAGTAACTGTATTCTTATTATTCATATAACTCATTTGAACTACTTTAAAATTTTGATTGGAAAGGCTCAGCAGGTACTGTCCGTTGATCAAGAGTATTTCAGCCCACCCTACCACTCAATATCACCCAACCTGCATCCTCTGGCTAAAAAAACACCAACGTAGAAGTCTCACAAACAGCTGTTCTTTAAGTGGACACTTGAGTATGAGGAAACAATAAAAAATAAAAACGCCTTTAATATCTTATTGTTTGGGGGGGGGGGGGTAAACTGAGTACAACTTCAATTGGTTTAGGTTTTGTAAAGCACCTCACTCCTATCATAAGCTTAATCAATGAATCCACAACATTTTGTTGTATATTCAGTAAGACCTCCTTACCCAGGGCATCGACCAGTTGTCCAATGCCAGAGAAATATTTATCCACCAGCTCCCGGTCTTCAGCGCTGAGCCCACTTCCTGCTGTCCCGGCAACTCCATGGAGCTGCCAGAGGATGTCATCTTGCCAGTGCTCCAGATCCATCAGGCGGGCGTGGGCCTCCAGGAGCCGCCGGGACTCCACCAGACGTTCTGTCTCCAACACCATGCTGCGCACTAGAACAGGCAGAGATAAAGTGATGGGCATTAGAAATTTTCAGAGGGGGATTTTTTTTCTCTCAACATAAACTGTTGAATGAAATAAATAAACAAATGACAATTTTAGTGCCATTTATTAAAAAACTTTTAATACATTTTGCTACCATTAAAAGACAAAGTGTCTGAATAGTACAGAATAGTCATAATAATAATATTTTCTTTGTAGCATATTGTTTTTTTGTTACCCCTACTCACTTGATAGACTGACTTATGAAGAGTCTGTGCAATGGGAGCGAATATTCAAACTATCATTGGATAGTTGATTGGATTAGTAATTCGGCTTGTAACCAAGTCTGTCAACAAACATATGAATGGTTTGAAAATATTCTTCTGGACAGTTTTGCGAGGGAATTGAAAAAGTTTGTTTTGATCTCTGTGCCTTTTTGTAAAACTCAATCTGCTATAAAAGCTTGCCTTTATTTCTTCATGAGCTAGATTATAGGCCAGTGTTTCACATAAATGTACGGTATAGGATAATGCAATCTAATATTACCTCTGACATAAATATCAATTGTGATTTGAAATGGAAAAAATAACCTGATGGGTTTTATTATTATTATTATTATTTTTTACCTCAAGTACATAATTTCTCACTGTGTAACAGAGGGGAATCACTTCCTTTAGCTCTTTATAATAACAGGACATCGCTGATACTACTGCTTCCCTCTGTAAATCATAAAAGTGTTCTGTCTTCTCTAAAGAAATGACTTTCTGGCCCTCAGTGTTCACAGAGCATCATCTCACCGGAGTAAAGTCGAGGCAGGTTGCTGACAGCAGAGAGAAGCTGACTGTGGTTGATGGACACTTCTCTTAGCCTCTCCAAAGACCTCACCCCCTCTGCGTTTCCACTGGACTCCAGTCCTGCTTTCTTCAGAGCGATTGACACCTCCCTCAGCTCTGTCCTGGCCTCCCTGAGCTGCTCCAGACCCCAGCCTACCCCCTCCAGGTAGGACTGGACCATAGACTGGATGGAAAGATGCACAATAGTTAGTCTTGGTTCCCCTCTCTGACTTCAGGGGTTATTCAGAAAAACTTAAATATCACATCTAGTAAGATTATCTTGGTGCTGATGGTTTCACCTTTAGTCTGGTGTGAATGGAAGCGGTCCTCTGACTCTCTCTTTTCTTGTACTGGCTCAATCGCTCCAGATGCTCGGGTCGACAGAAAACACCTGACGCCCACTTTAGGGCTGCACCACGTGCCAAACACTCGGCCCTTGCTACTTCTGGCCATATCTCAGCCACTGACACGCTGTCTGAAGGAAAAAAGAAAAAAAAAGGACTTGAAAGAAATAATATGACAGTACACTGTTTTAAAGTAACCCAAAAGTGATAGAAAAACAGTTTTGTTTGAGAGTTTAATTCAGTGGTTATTTAAAACATCAAAAAATTAACTGAGTAAGTTAAAGACACTGAAAACATTCAATCACTGGATTTTTATTGTCAAGGTTAAGCTGTTCACTTGTTTGTCACGCTCACCAATGAATGAACCATAGTCCAAATGTGTCTTTTCCTGCAGTACTGTGGGGCTTTTTTGAGCTTGGATTAGTTTCGTACAGCCCTGTAAAGTAAGCTTCAAGACTTCAGTGTGAATGTACAACAAGTACATTATAAAAGTAAAAATAATTTTTAAAAACTACAAAAAATGTACAACTACAACAAAATCAGTTGAAGTAAAGTGAGTCCACACAACTGGTTTCTATATAATATCTTGAAATGATGTCTGTGTTTTTTGAGTCTAAAGGCAACCCATTTGAAAATAGAGATACATTAAAGATGGACAATGTGGGGTCAGAAAGAAAGATATCCCACTTCCTCAGGAAAGATGGCATGGTTAAAAATAAGAGTGACATAGTTTGACACATTCAGAAAATGGTCTGCTGAAAACAAACAGTCCAACTTTGGGTAGGCTGATAGATTATTCTTTCCATTCAGCTGAAAAATGAGGATGAAAAGTGAACTCTTCTTGTGAATCAACAGTGATGCCAAATACCAGCAACATAAACAAATACAGAGGACAAAAACAAATACAGACAACAACTGATATGGACAACTCAACAAACTGAACAGTATTTATGGTGAGTGATGTTCCTGTGGCTGTTGCCAATGCTGATGATCAGAGAGCAGGTTAGCCAGTGTCTGATGTTGCATTGATATCGCTTTTGTTTTTGCATTTAATGATAAAAAACGAGAAAGTGATGTATACTTCTACGGTTACGTAAATATGACTATGTAAAATCATTGTGTTTTATGTTGATGATGGACTCAGTAACAAGAAACTGTGAAAACTGTCACTTAATTAGCACCTATTGGATCTATAGAGTGATTGGAGTCACACTTTAAACTAACTTCAGACAACACGACCAACCGTTTCAGCACATTCAGATACTAACTACTGAGCTATCAAAGTATAAGACAACCAAATACTGACAAAACAACCAAATGTGGACAACATAACTAAAGACTGACAACATTAAACTTTACTAATAGACTATAATATTTTTAAATGTGAGCATATATTGGTCAAGACGGTGATGTTTTCCTCATTGGACTCTCTACTGCGTTTTTGCATATGCTCTCCTTTCGTGATGTTTTATACCCTCAGGCACACCTTACCCTCCAGCTCTCCCACATTTTCCATTTTAATGTTCAGCTGTATCAGCCGTAAAAGAGACTTTATTTGGCATGCAAAGCTGCAGCATTATTGACATTTAGGAAATAGGATATGCTCTGAGTCAAACATTTCTCTGTAACTTAATGGAAAGGTTCTTTTTATAGCAGAGAGAGGAGCTCTGTTTTTTAGTCCAATGAGCAGGTTATGGTTTCTCCTCTATTCAGACAGGCAGCCATCACATGACACATGACTGTGCTTCCATTTGAGTTAACCATCTTAATTGGGCTTAAGTGAATAATGAAGAGGTTAGTGACTCAGGCAGAGAGCAATGTGCTGTGTTAGGTCACCAGCATAATGCAGTCTTTCTGTTATACTCACAGGTTAAAGCTCAGCTAATGGTAAATTAGATCACACATATGAGACGTGTCACTGAAAGTTCAGGTTTTCAGAGGTCGACGTGAGTATTTAGTCACATCTCTCCTTCTCTGTAGATTTTGGACATCTCAATTACACAAACAGGGCCTTGTTTCTCTCCGACCAGGTCACGGGACTCTCTGCTATCCCCCTCCAAGCCTAAACCTGAAGGCCTAAAACATTATCATCAGCAACTCTGCAAAACAATAAAACCATAGAGCTCACATTCAGGAAAGTGATGAGGGTTATGTAAGCTGGTGCTGCAACAGCACAGTGATAAACACAACTCCATAGAGGACAATACATCAGCTACATGCTGTTTATAGCACTAAAATGCTGCTGTGCTGGCGGTTTGGAAAAAAACCAAGATGACCCTCCGGTCATGATGGTGCAAGGTAGTCTGTTACTGTTTGCATCATAGTTTTCTGTATTGCAGATGCTCAATATCTCTGAGGCAGCATCTTAGGAAGTTATATATGTGAATTTAAAGGGAAACAACAAGAACCACAAAGTGAAGCCAACACAAATATACAAAAAAAAACAAAACACTACTGGTCGACTCAAATGCAAGTATTTCCCCGTCACATGTTACAAAACCAAATGTGCTCACAGACTGAGACTGGTGCAACAAAGTGGTCATGGTTCCAATAGTTAATATTTCTACTTATGGAAAGAAACCTTTATAGTATAAATTAACAGTTAAAATCATATTCAGTCTATAAAACTATGTTTAATCTCTCTCTCTCTTTCTGCTGTTCAATGTTTGCTGAACGTCACTCCATGTTGTTTAGTCTCTGAACTTGACATTAGGCCACATGTCATTGACACCTTTTGGAGAATCATGAATTCAAATATTGAAAAATTAATCCGTCTAACGGTGCAGTTAATCACGGGCATCTTCTAAAGTCTGTTCCGCAGTTTTCGCATGTTAGCTTATATGGACAAAGTTTTCATTATTTGCTGTCACATGTGTAGGATTTGGTGAATGGCCACACAAAAATGCACACATAGGAAGACAAAGAAGAGGAAGGTGGTGATTTGAATATGGATGTTATTGATGGTTAAATGTTGACAAATAGAAGATCATACTTTGACACAACAGCAGCTTCTTGACCTCAATGGCTACTGTTGCTTTACTGACAAGAGGGTGAGCAAGGGAGCATTTCAATCTGGGATCAAAGTGCTAGGTATTGTTAGATATTTTCATTTCTGCACACTGCTTTTTTTTATTTATTTGTCTGTATGTCGTTTTTACTCATGGAGGTCAGAAAAGGCACATGATGGGGAAGCAATGAGAAGAACTGGCAAGTTTGAGTTACCATACTTGAGCTAGTCTTTCACATATGCTTTCCCAGCAGAGGTGTGGCTGTGTAAGTGCCTAGGTCGTTCCTCTTTCAGTTGTTAAATTAGGGCTAAATCTGCAAATGTAAGGGGCTGTTATCACTGGACTACATGCTAAATACTGTTTTGCGTGCTCAGCTGACAAAAGACTCATCAAACATTTATAGAACTGAAAATCCTCTTATCATATTTTTGACTCTGAAATTGGAAACCATTTGTTGATTTAGAAGTTTTTGTCACATGTGCCTGAGCAGAAGTATCCTGAAACTGCTGACCTGGTTTGTATTGTAGTAAATCTTCAAAAATCCACATTAAAACTGGAATCTGCAAATCAAAAACTCTATCAACATTTGCACGTGCAACATAGACTGATGAAACTGAAGTGTTAGTGTTGTTTTAAAATAAAGAAACTTCATGTTATGGCCCTTTTTTCTACAAACAAGAGAAAGAAACAGATGACAGCTTCTGGGACTAGGGAGGAACCTTTGTCACTCTAAGGGTGTTTGACACAAGCTGGCAGACATTCAATAACCAATCAAAGGCCATTTCTCTTTCCTGCATTAACATAACACTCCTAACCTAACTCTCAAATCAAGATATGTGAAGAGTTCATTCATTTTTACAGCAGCTCTGAGCAATAAAGCGCTCTGTTTTGTCTCTGCCTTTTGAGAGGCTTTAGAAAATGTGGGTGTTGGCCTTTCAGCGGTGTTGTCAACAGGCAAACAGTGTGTGTGTGTGTCTGTGCATGTGTGTCCAGTGTGTGTGTCCCTTTACCTTCTGGTTTGTCACCAACACTCTTCTGATCCCCTGCTGACATTGAAGGTCAGTTTTCAGCCGCAGAGCCTCCTTGTCCCTGAGGGCCAGCGCCGAGGGTACCCCGGGTGCAACTCTGCCAGAGGAGGCGAAGAAATACGGGGATGAGACAGTGAAGAAGAAGAAGGAGGAGAAGAAAGGGTGGAGGAGAGAGGGCACATATCCATTCTACTGACGGCTTTCCTCTTTCACCCTAACACACACACACACTCTCTCTCCCAGACACATCCTCTGCTGAGAGGCCGGCAGGAAAGGGAGGGAGCTGGGCAAGGGGGTGGAGGGGGAAGAGAATAATGCTGGAGAGAGGGGAGGGTGAGGGAGAGAGGAGCGGGGGATAGGGAGAGCACAGAGAAACATGCTGCATTCAAGGGCCTATTGAAAACACAGGAGCTTTTTTTTTACCCTCACTCTCAGGCATGTATTAAATAGTCATCAGCAGATCCATCTCCATGACAACCGTGCTAACTGCTCCTCCTCACGGAGTCCACGTGATGTTGAACAAAGCTAATTATTTGAACATGTTTTTTTACAACTTTTATTTTTAGCATCCAAATTGAATTTTTTTTTTTGCTCATCTACTTTTCAAAATTTTTTGACATTTTTGAAGACACAATCCATTATCATAGAAAATGCTGTTAGCTTACAGGCTAAGGGCATCATAGGTAAACTGATTGAAACTGCTGCTGGTTAGCATACCCATGTTCAGAAAGGGAGACATAAGAATAAGGGGTAAAGGTAGTTTTTCTTTGTTTGCAAATTCAGAGTCATTTTCATTTTTGTAAAATTTCTCTGAATTCTGGGATTTCTTATTTCGAAAGTCAGTAAAATCATTTTGTGCATCATGAAACAAATAGTACATAAAACACCCCAAACTGTTGGTTCGTCTGAGGTGTTATAACAGGCAGGAATGGGACAATATTTCACTTTTAAAACTACATATCCCATAGTGGTAACACTTTACTTGATGCCTATCCTTATAGCACATTATAAATATATGAATAATGTGTTATAATCACATTATACATATATTCATAATGCTTTATAGAGATAGGCATCAAGTAAAGTGTTACCACAATTGTCTCCTCAGTTTCCAAATGTTTGCTCACAGAAGAGGTAATACAACACATTGATATCTAAGAGCCCAGCTGCAACTGCTCTGAAATTTGAAGAGAGTATTTCATCCTCAAAATCCAGATGGTGGTAGTCACTACGGTTTGAAGGGTGTAGAAGTAAAGTGGACCTTGCATTCCACCAAAACCTCTTGGGGATCTGAGAGCCTCCTTGATGCTTAAAGAAGCATTTAAACAGGAAGAGACGATGAATAATGCATCAGTCATTAGCCTGCAGGCCCGTGTCAAAGAAAGACAAAGGAGACAGAAACTAATGGGGTACATGTTCCTAGTATATCATTTGGCTGCATTTAACAGGTAGATGACTTCAGTGGGACTCTGACCATCATTCATTCATTAGCCAGTCTCAAACTGTCGTATCAGCTGGCAGGTGGACTTTGTGTCTCTATTGTTGTTGCTGAGTGAGTTGTATTGGATTTTTCCACTGAAACAACTGCAGGCTGTGTTTTTGACCCTCTTCTGATCCTCTGCAGCTGTTTGAACACCACCAGCTACTACCACTGAGGAAGTTTGTTTGTTTGCAGTCAGTGAAGTTCCCTGACCCCGTCGCTCTGTTTACGCCTTCAAGCTTCCCGGACCTCTTCATAACACAGCAAGGAGGGTGCCAAATGGACTGCAGACTAGAGCCAGCACAAACATGCTGTCTAAGAGGGATCAGTGGATCAACATCACTCAATTCTGCACTTTGCCCTGGAATTCTTTTAATTATTTTGGACAAGCACTAACTTGGAGAAATCTTGTGAGTGGGTTATTTTCAGGGGAATGTGAGGGATTACCCTTAGATTTTATTTGTTTAGGTGGAAAAGTCCAGTGTCACCTTATGAGAAAAGGATCCTCTAACTCTCAGTATGACTGTTCCTGATATTTTATGATGCTTACAATTTATACTCACATCAAGCAGCAACATCAAGTGTTACCAACATGATAGTACCAACAATTGCAGCTCCTCTACTGTCCACTTAAAGTTGACTGCAAAGGCCAAGACAGCCCCATTAGGTTTCATTTTAATCTCCTTATTTTGGACCCAGCATTTCCAACATGGCAACCACCATGTTTGGGCTGTATGACTCTTCTTCACAAACCAATGGGTGGCATCATTTAGACCAGGTTTCCCCAACTTTCCAGCCTGCAAAATGGCTCAACACTGCTCACAAGTGTGTCCGAACATAAACAGGCAGACCCCCCAAAAGAGAGAGAGAGAGAGAGAGAGTTTCAAGCTGTCTTAAGGTGAAATATAATAATCTAGCTCGTCTGTTCGCTGAACATGTAAATCTGTTTCCTGTGAGTAAACCTGCTGTAGTTATGAATTATGTTTATCCGACATTAAAACCTCATGTGGCTTCATGACGACACATTCTTTGATTCACATGGTTTTATTTATTATTTCTTGACTGTTACATTAAATAAGAGAGGATATGTAGTTATGAATATTTCAAAATTGAGAGGCATCTTGCAACCCCCTTCATCGAACCCCAAACTTTGAGAACTTCTGATGTGAATGTCTGTGATTCAGGTCCTCCTTCCTTGGAAAATACAGACTACTGCCACTCGCTGGTCTGAAAAGTTGCTTCCTCTCACACGGATCACATGCTGGTTGACTCAAATGCACCTTCTCGGCCCAGCCAGAAGTGATGTTTGGCTTTTTTATCAGCTAATTCCTTCTTAGGCTGTACATTATTCGAAGTTGCTGGCAAACTTTAGAGTGTTTGTTCAGATATTACTCAACATTTGGCTTGAGTCTATCATTAAACAAGGGTAATGTTGTACAGGGGTGTGAAAAAAGTGTTTGTCCCCTTCCTGATCTCTTATTTTTTTGCATGTTTGTCACTCTTAAATGTTTCAGATCATCAAACAAATTTGAATATTAGTTGAAGACAACACAAGTAAACATAAAATGTCATTTTTAAATGAAGGTTTTTATCATGAAGGGAGAAAAAAATTCCAAACCTATGTGGCCCTGTGTGAAAAAGTGGCTGCCCCCCCCCAGGTAAAACATAACTTACTGTGGTTAATCACACCTGAGTTCAATTTCTCTAGCCACACCCAGGCCTAATTACTGCCACACCTGTTCTCAATCAAGAAATGACTTCAATAGGACCTGGCTGACTAAATGAGTTTCAGAAAGAGTTTAGGACAGCTTAGTTATTTACTCAAACTAATACATTTTATTTTTGGACATTAATAATGCTCTTATTTAGAATTTGATGCTTTGACATTTACTTTTTACAAGTCTTTGAATCAGAGTTGTTTTAGCTAATTCTCTTATAACCCTCCCATTGAGCATTTTTTGGTGTAAAAGAGGTCTAACAGACGTCTAAATGTAGCCTAGACAACTGGTCTAAAATCAGGCTACCATGGGTCTAAAAATGAAAGTTTTTTAGATGTCTAAATTTAGACCAAGTAGTGCAACTCACAGTTGCTTTTTGAAATAAATAGTTATCGAATAATGGGTTAAAGTGCAATGTCTAAATTCCGTCTAAAAATATACAGAATCTAGACGGTTGAAATTAGGTCTAAAAAAACGATTAGCCGTCTATTGCTCAGTGGGCTGAGAGCAGAGTAAATCAAATACATTGACTGAGGAAGAATTACTTAACTTATCTAGCCCAAACTTATGTAAATCTTTTTAAAAAATTAAGATCTTACCACAAGAAATAGAAATTTTATAATGACAAATATTAGAAGACATCAAGAATAGCAACAATAAATAAAAAGGGGAAACTGAAGATCTAATTTAACAAGATTGAAAACTCCTTTGTTATGAAAGGCTGTGTGACATCACCAGACTAACATTGTGTCTCTGTGTCTCACCGTGTTCGTCAAAGTGGTTGGCATTGTTAGTCACACTAACAAGGCCGCCCTCCCCCCTATTATATCTTGTATGTCTGCCACGCAGGAACAATGTCCTGCAGAGCCATGTAAGGAAGAGAGCAGAGGTTGACCCACCAGGATGTTGTGCAGAGAGTATTCCAGCAGGGTGGGACTGTGATCACTTTAGACAACAGGGACGCCGACCTGCCGTTCTCTCACCGACAGTGAGACTCGCTGCAGTCAAGTTACTTCCTGTCTGTGTTTTCTGGTTGCTCAGTCTGTCTCTCTGCTGAGGATATAATAACAGTAACCTGATTAGCATAGCACAGCTGATCTGCAGGAGGAAATAAGAAAGATAGAGACAAACCCAGGCATCCACACAAATGTCAAACTATTCCTTTTTTGTACCTGATGACTGACTCTCCACCAGCTGTTCAATATTTGATTCACCAACTAATCAGTTAGCCACCATGAGATCATAATTGCTTGTGTAAAGGAAGATATTAAAGGGAAAAAAAAGAAATGAACATGGTTTAAAGATACAGTTTTGACAACTTCAGGGGAGGAAATTCCTCATAAAGAAATGGGACTTCCCAGGGCTGGAGACCATCTGAGGTGGACTGCAGTAAAGTGGAAAACTACTGTTCCAGTCTCTTCAACCAGAATTTGGAGTCACTGTGCTGTGCCACTGCTGCTGGTTGATTCATCACAGCTGTATTTGTGTCCTGAAGGCAGAATGGAGTGCTACCCTCCCTTTATAATTGTCATCACCTTGAGCTCCACAACACCCTGCAGCAACTCCACCCAGAGGAGCTATGAGACGAACAGGAAGTCTAATTCTAGACTACTTCCTGTATGACATTCCTGACCTGAGCCGCCTTCCTGCTACTCTCAAGCTTAGTATGTATGGCAGATCTATGGCTCCACTGCTGAATGTAAATGAGATAAACAGACAAGAATCAGGTGACGTTAAAGTGATGGAGATTCATTTCAGGCTGTGAATCAACTTTTCAGGGACATCTGCACTCACCTTGATATTTTTTTTTTGGTAACACTTTATTTGACGCATTATAAATATATGTATAATGTGTTATAATCACATTATAGCACTGTATAACTATAGTTATAAACACTCATAAATCATCATAATGCTTTATAGCAATAATCATAACGCATTATAAAACATTTTATCATGACTTACAGTCGGGTATTAAAATGTGTTATAACTATTAACAACTTACTGACAATGCCCACATATATAATGCATTATACATATATTTATGATATGTTAGAATTTGCTTATAAACTTGTTTAACTATCATTATAAACACTCATTGATTATCATAAGGCTGTATAACAATAAAAATAACACATTATAATACCTGACCTTGTAAGTCATGATAAAATGCCACGCTCATTGTTTGATGAATTACCAAGACCCAACCTTGAAATGGTGCAGGTTTGACCCATCCCACTGCGCAATGCGAATTTGAAATTAGGTCTATATAACGTAATTTTTCGACGTCTAAATCACGTCTCCTGAAGGTGCAGAATGAAAGTCATTTCAACGTCCGATTTGGACGTCCAAATGACGTTGCAATTTCAGTCGAAATTGGCCATCGAAATCAGGTCCTCTAGAGGTGCAGAATGAGTATCTAAATATTGGATCTATTTTGCACGTTAACCCGATGTCGAGATTTGGTCATCAGATGACGTCCAAATTCTGAAGGTCGGAGCGACGTCTAAAGGTCTAGTTTAGACGTCGCACTGACGTCTAGATGTGGTCTTCGATGGACCGACCCAATACTGACTTGATCTGCACGTCTTTTCGACGTCCGATGTTTGGTGGGATCTCATCTCACATGAGTGACAGTGGCAAGGAAAGACTTCCTGTGAACAGGCAGAAACCTTGGGTAGGATCAGACGAATGTTAGACAACTGTCTCGCCACTTTTTCTTCAAATTCTTAACTTTCAGCCTTCTCACATTTCATTCTATCACTACATTCTTTGGGGATACTTTTCCTGAAATTGTTGGGTCCTTCCCATCATGACTCAAGGGGCCTATCTGTCATGTCCTTGTACTCACTTATGGTGTGTTACTAACCTGCTCATTGAATTTTATTTTGTTGTTACTGCCCTCATTCCCAAACCATCTTTGAGGAATGTAACACAACTGTACCTACACTTGCATGAAAAAGCAATGACTGGACAAGTCAACCAATTTTTGTAGCCATTTTTCAATCCATTTATTTAATGGGTACCTTCTTGTGGATGCACTGAATTAAGAGTTTACATGAAAAACAGGGACAGATAGGCTGATAGAAAGAAAGACATAAAGACAATAGGAGAATACAGACTTCCAGATTAATAGCAGCACCCCTTCATTCCTCGCTTTTACTTCACCAGCCTTTTCATCCGCCATACAATCAATTAAACATGTCTCTAAATATGTGAATAAATGCTTAGAGTATGGGCAGAGACACAAAGGTAAAATGCACTTCAGTATGCAGGAGAAAAATAAATCCCAAAGGCACCAGTGAGATACATGTTGTGCTGTCAGGAGGAACAGAAATTGATTTTAAACAGATTATTTTGAGGAATAGGATGTTGTTTACTCATGTTTGAAAGAAATAAAAGCCAATTATGTCAAAGGTGTCATTTCTTTCACATAACAGAAGCCAATGGAGTCACTGTATCTGTAAGGTAATCTTCCATTGTGACACTAACTAGAAACCCTTCTGTATGTCGATGAATTGTAGTGTGTTATCGATACATTCACATTTTATATCATTTTAAAGAGCTACAGACTTCCTTCACATCAATATTTATTAGTGCGTCTATATAAATGTGAATATCCTTCCAGTTTAAATGATAGAAAAAAAAAATACAATAAATCTCTAAATATGAGTGCGTTTAAAAAAATATATAGGCTACAAGAGCTGTGCTTCTGCAACTCTAAGTGAGCAATTAATACCGTTAACAAAAGCTTAACAGTTGATTGCCATAAGAAAATAACTCAAAGTTAAACCAGATTTTCACATAATCATGGTGAGAAAAAACTAAAAAATTAAAACAGAAACTGAAAACAAAGAACTATCTGATTTTCCCGAATCAGACTCATATTCAAAAGGAAAAATAAAAAAAGATATCTCTCAAAGATAAATCAACATAAAGGATAATAAATGTACTGCAATACAATCTGATAAGAATTCATTCTGACTCTGAAACAAACTCTCAGCAGCAGAAGTAGATCAGCACCAGCAGCAGCTTTGAGCTCCCTAATATCAGCTCATCTGTGTGCAACAAAACTGTGGGTTTGAGGGACTGTAGGACATCACTGGCTTGTTGATGTCGTTACAGTATGCTCTCCCTCAGGTTCCCACTGCTGGACGTGTCTGACTGCCGGTTCGCTGTTTGGGCTGCTGATGTTCGGTTCCATGTGTGACAGTCCAACAGAACCTGGTTCAGACTCTCCATCCAGTCCAATCTCTCTTGTTTGGTGTCAGCAGAAAACCAGCACCTGAACAAGAACATAGTCCAAACTTCTGTTACATGAGTTCATCAAACCTGTTAGACGATGTCATTCTTTTAACCTCTTGGAACATCGACTTATGTGATTCATTGTCTACCTTTATGCACAAATGCTTCCCGTCCTCTTTTACCCACCATTAAAGAGGAATTCTGGCAGTCTGAGTCACATATCCTAGTTTTGCATATTTTGGGTCTGCATGGCTCATAAATACGAAATGTTTTATAACAGTTGGAAGACCAAGAAAAAGGAGAATTAAAAGAATTGATCTTGATTTGTCTCTTTGATGTTAAATCCTCATTTTAATTGTGCATCCCAGGAGCTTTAGGTCCGTGAAGGTGACACAACCTCACAGGTGTTAGCGGGGAGACATTGCAATATCCCCAAATTGTCCCATTATTATACACCCCTTGTGATGGTCTTTTTTTTAAGATTAAGATATTTTTAGTCGTACCTGAGGTCTCTTTACTATTCAAGTTTGTTTAAATGTGCCATAAATAAACCAAACCAACCAGTGTACAAGAAATCAACAGCAGATGCAGTATATCCCAAAGTAGTATGCAAGTGAGCCATCTTACTTAATTCTTATCTTTGTCAAGAGTTGCACATGCTCAGTACCTCTCTTCATAAAAGTAACAGTGCTCAACACATTCAAATCATCCATGGTGTTTATCAGAAAATAATGTTGTCCACGCTGAAATGAAAAATAGACTGTAAAACCGAGCGTTCAACCCCACCGGGACGGCAACAAAACCTACATGCAAAGCCAACATATCAAATGTGGAAGGCGAGCAAAGCAGTTTACTCTTCCGACCATTGTTAGCAGAGGATCAATGGAAAGAGAGACCAAAGAACAGATTTTGTTGGCAGCTTTTGCACAGAGATGTACAACATACAACCCTTTCTAGTCCTGCATAGACCAACAGAGCTACAGCAGCCTTCCTGTGTGGTCTAGGTCTTGGGAAAGAAGAAACAGCCATTCAAAGACAGACACAGTGAGAGAAGGCATGTGTAGATGGATTTACTCCGAGATCAAAACCTAGTGGCTCACAATGACAAACTCAAGAGAATCCAGAGACAGTGATGATCATTTTTTCTCAGAAAGTAACGTTGTGGGTTTTAGAATAACTTTGGAGAAACAACCCAAACACTGATGTCATAAAAAGGAGTTTCTCCAGTGAAACTCCCTCTTACGTAACTCATTGGCTGCATCCAGAAGAGCATCATGCTGACTGTAAACAAAGGTCTGAGTGACACTGAATCAAGTTTTCCTTAAAAAAAGCAGTCAAAGGACAGAGAAGCACAGTCTCTCTCAGCATTATCTTATATTGTATAGAGACAGAGACTCACAGTAAATCAAAGGGGTTAGAGGAAGATGCATCAGGTTATTTATGCTTTGAGCGAGGACTTCACGTTATATCATCCAGAAGATGTTGATATGAGTTTGAAATTGTTGATGTGTCGTATTTCTGAAACTGTGTTGAAATGTGCTGAAGTAAATCTGAAACACTTGAAAAAGAGACTTTTCTTCTGGATAAATAAATTTCAAATAGAGTTAAACAAAAAATCAGACACACACATCAAGTGTCTTTAAATGTAGAGGTTTGGGACACAAAATCTTTGATTGTTGAGATGATCAAGTGTGTACGATCATTTCGGTTACGTTCAATCTTACTTGGCTGAAGGTTGTTCAACATCCTCCTGCTGTTGCTGATGTGGGGTGTTGCTCACAAGCTCAAAGGTGAAAGGTCGGGCACAGGAGTCCCTGTTGACTGGCCTCACACACTGCCTGTGGGAGCTGGACAGAGAGATGCTGCCCTCTGCCCTCTAAAAGACAAAAACAGAAATCAGAATAAAACCTGCGATGAAATAACCTAAAGACTGTCTGAGCAGTGGTCCGCTAAGTACCTTGGTTTCTCTGTCATTGGGGTGGTTCCAGTAGTACATTTCAAATCCCTCCAGAACAAAATATTGACGATTCCACACCCCGAATCCACCGATCACCTCAAACATTGTCTGGAAACAGAATCACAAAATAGGAGCAGAGTGAGTTTTAAGTACAAGAAATGAAACTAATATAAAATTCAAGATTTACAAAGAGGGTTTCATGTGTTGTTCTGTCAGTTTTTTAAATATGGAGCACATACAGGAGAAACATTTCTCATGAAGAAACCTGCCTCAGTGAGCTTTAAAGAAGGGATGTAGCAATAAAGCAGTGGAGCATCAGTATCATCAAATATCGGCTCTGTTTACTGACATCAACACAGTTGTAGATACTGAGTCATGCACTGGTGTCAGTAGCTTTTGTTCATCTATGTTATATATCTTCATCGTTATCGCACAGATGTAAATCTAAAAAGCTTTTGCAGTTCTAGGTCAACAATGACGTGATCGCTACAGAAACAGGACTCTTTGTAAACTATAAATTAGGGATTCACCGATTCGATATTTGGATCGGATATCGGCTCCAATATTGACAAATTACCGGATCAGATATCTGATGAATGATGCCGATCCAGCGTTCCAATCCAGTCTTTTTTTTCCTGTTATTTAATATCATAAACAGCAACACAGCGATTCTGTTGACTATCCTTTTGCACTAAATGTTTACATGGAAGTCATTTCTTTTTGCTGTGTGCTAATGTCAAATTTGTTATTTGTTAGTAATTAAAATTTGGTAAATTTATAACTGTGTTAATTTGTCACCTTTTTTAACAATGCTAATGTCAAGCCTGATGCCTTCACTCACAGGGCAAGGTATACAGTTCATTCACTCAACAGTGGTATTGGATCAGTATCAAATATTGGTTGATACGCCCAGCCCAGATATTGGATTGGATTGGAAAAAAATGGATCGGTGCATCTCTACTATAAATGTCGTTCTTTTACAAGTCAAGAGGTAAAACTGGCACTTGAGTGAAAGTGTTTGTGTGATTCTGTGATTTTGGCGTTTGGAAAAGTTGGTTTGACTCGGTCAGTGTTTGAAACATAGTTGAACAAATTTTAAGCAAGGTAAAAATTAAAGATTTTACAGTTGGAGTTTGAGGACTTTGAGGAAGGTGAAATTATATCTGTTTCTGGAGTAAAATAAAAGAGTGTAACCCATCAGTAAACAAGATATTGATCCTGTCATGGTGTAATACTGGTGCCTGAGAGTCATTTGGAAGCAAACACATGGGAGCTCCACATACATACGCACACACTTGCACACAAATAGCTCTCTTCAGTTACTGACCAGGAAGCCTTGGTGTTGTACATCAGAATGACTTTCACTTGCAAGTTGCATGTAGATGTTGCCCTCTAGAGGAGAGAGAAAGGGAACCTGCAATTCAGGCAGAACAGGGATCAGACACGGTTAAACTGGTCTGCAGTGAAAGACGTACAGAGAAAACAGAAAGCAAACCAATTGTTTTTGATGAATTTCATTCCAACAAGCTGTTCATGTGATTTTGTATAGAAGCTACCCGAAATTCAAACGCTCTGATAAAACACACCAGATGATAGGAGACATTTTAGCTGCTGTTGAAGGGAAATTCAAGTTGTATAATCAGCTGGTTTGCCACACACAGGTTCACTTCTAGTTATGTTTAATCTAAGATAACTGATTCAAGGAGAAAAAGAGAAATGTAATTTGTTTGGAGTCACAACACATACAGAAAAGTATGAGCTATATTTGTATTTACTTGCTGTGATCAGACAGGAAAGAGTAAAAATTCATTCAAAACCAACAAACAGTTTCACACTGAGAGGGTGGTTAATCAGTGAAACAGGAAAGATGAGTCAAAGGTTCTTGGAGAGAGAAAACAGAGGGATGAAGAGATGGCAGTGCCGTGTTAAGAGTGGGACCTTTTCCTGAAACTCATCTCCCAGCAGCCTCCTGATTTTGCCTTCAAGTTTCATCTGAGTGAAGGAAGCAAGAGAGAGAGGGAAGGGGGGAGGGAGGAAGCAGAAGATTTAATCACCAGTGAGCCCAACAATGTGACAGTGAGAATCCTTATAGGTCAGTGGGGTGTAAAAACAGGTGAACTGTAGTGACCTGTAGCACAGAAGTATAGAGGAGTGCAAAATCTGGTGACAGTGTATGTGTAACATGTAAATCACTTCACTTCAATGTTATTCCCGATAAAGGACTTTCACAAAACTAAGTAATAATCTTCAACATTTTTTTCCTTACTTGCAAATCAAAATCCTAGATACCACTCCAATTTCAAAAATGTGAGGGTGCCGTGTAAAATACTGATAACATGATAACATTAGATTGTGATGGGCAGAAAATTATTTAAAGCTGACATGTTTAAAAAAATTGTGCAAAGACAACATTTCCGAAGTGAGTGAACTGGGCGTTAAAGAGAGGCTGAGTCTGTCTGAAATAAAGATAGGAAGAGGATCACCACTTTGTGAGAGACTGTGTCAGCAAAGACTTCAATAATTTCTGATTCACATTCCAAAGTGTAAGATAAAAAAAAAAAAGGGGGGGTCCCATCAATATCAATATCATGATAAGATTCAGCAAATCTGGAAAAAAAACATGCCAGAGGGCAGTGATCTTTGGAGCTTGGCAGTGCTTCATTGAAAACTCACTGCCTGGGCTCTTAATAATGTCCAAAAATCACCGTCTGTGAAATGAGTTTGGTGCTACATTCACAAACGCAGATTAGAAACGTGTCATATGAAGAGGAAACCCTCTATAAACATGATTCAGAAACTCTTCTCTGGGCCTGAGCTCATTAAAGATGACTGGAAAACCAGTGTGGGCATGTCTAAGTGCCCATCTTCTTTGAAATCGTTGACGGCAACAAGCTTATGATGGGCATACATTTTTTATGAGGCGGGAAAAATAGCAGATTGTTCTTGATAAGTCATCTTTGCAACATCTCTGTGATCAAAAGTAGGGTTCAGGTGATTCGAAACTGTAAACTTCTGTTTTTGGTCATATTTCACACAGTGTGCCAAATTTTTGGAGTTGCAGCTATAGCTACATAACACAAAGTCCTCTAGTAGACAGTAGAGTAGCTCAATGTTAACCTTAGACTCCTGATGATGCAGAGACCAAAACCAGGTACGCAGCCCTTCCTCATATATCAGAAATGATCATTACCTTATCGAGGGGGAACTTGCTGCGTCCCAATGAGGCCAAGGTGATCTTGTGAGAACCAACCAGACTGAAGTTACTGGAGCGACGAGTGTTGAGTGCAGGAGGAGGAGCGGCTAAAACACAAAGAAGTGCATATTTATCAGAAGTGTGTGGAAACATAATAACTGTCTACAAAACAGACCTGACCCTGTGAAAATAATTGAACTGTAGCTTTTTTCTTATTAGCAAAAGAACATTTCTCTATAATAAATTCTCCATAATAAAAAAACCCTCAAAACTTACTTGTCAGACTGTTGTTGGATCTCTGTGGAAAACAGAAGAAAAAGTTGACTTTCTTCGTCATATGGTGTGAAAAAAAACAAAAAAACCTTTGGGTGTGATGTAAAAGATGATACTCACTGTGATCGTGTTCAGAAGCTTTCTGGGTGTGACCTGAATGTAGAAGAAAGGTGAATTAGACTGCTGTTCACAAGTACACACTTGGCACATTATATGGCTCACTAACATACCCGTGACTTGGTGGTGATCCCAATCCGGTCCACGGTACAGTTATTACCCGAGTTGTTGGTCTATATGGCACAAAAACAAGCACATAAATCATCGCAAAATTACCTCGTAATCTATCAGAGATGTGTATTTACATTTTGCTTGCATCTATTTTTTTTTTTTAAGCTCAACATAATCAATGTGGACAGCCAGCTTTGAGAAAATACTCAGTACAGTTTATCTAACTGGTGTCTCCATATACACATGAGCTGTTAGGGGTCAATATCTATCCTCCTCTAAATCTGCCCTCACTTAAGCCACTTAAGCCTAATATTCACATCATATCTATCCAGGTGAAGATCCAGTAACTGGCCAAACTGTCTCATCCGTCTTGGGTGCCTTGCCAAGCTCAAGGAAAAACTGTTTCCAGCACACCTGTAAATGCACTTATCTTGCAAATGCCATTAATATGGCTTTCTTAGCAGATTACCTTTCCAAATCAGCTGCCTGTGCCACTTCTCTATGACTCACTGCAGTGGCGATAATGACAAAAATGTGTGTGTGTGTGCACATCTATGTATGGGTATGTATGTTCAGTACAAGTTGACCGAAACCATCCCTGGTCCATACAATAACCACAGGATCCTTAAAAGGATTAAATGTATGTCGCCTACAACATAATCAACCAGCATGTCAACCTAAGGCCAGCATGAAAGTAAAAATAATTTGAATATTTGGTTAACATGCCTCTTGGACTTGCAGCTCAACCAAAATCATTACTTTATTTATTTTATTTCAATAAACTTTGATCTAATTTAGCAAGTAAGTAAGAACAGCTCGTCAAACTACTTTGTCTTACCAGGCTGTAGACTTCCACATCAATCTCAAATGTCGAGCGAATGTCCTTCCTGAAATAACCAGAGAGAGTAGGTGATGCAGTACATAAAGATACTCTTTTATAATAACAAAATCTTTTAAAAATAAAGAAGAAAATCAGAAACTTGTCAAATAGAGGAACCACAGTCTTGCAGATGAGCTGTAGCTTACAGAGTGACAGACGTGGGGAAAGAGATGGTGTCTCCATTTTTGGCATCAGCAGCCGTGGCCAGTGGAGTGGCGACGATGTTGCAGGGTCCATAGCGGATCAGGATGAAGAAGTAGTGACTTGGCCGTCCTACATGGGAAAAAACAAACAAAGCAAGTGAGTGTCGGCCACAATATTCATGTTGATACATCAAGTTTCTGACTTGGGTCATACAAAGAAATGAACAAAAATGGTTTCCTTGTGGAGTTACCTGAGCGGTTACGTGAAGAGCAGACATATTCCACTTTGAGAGGCAGCTGAATGTTTGTGATGCTCACAGTGCCTCTACATGGCTGCTGGGAATTGTAGTCCTTGTTCTCCTCTGCTGCCTCTGACTCGGAGTTCCTCTCCTCCCTCAGTCTTGCCATTTCTGTGAGCAGGGCAGAGCGCTTCTCACCTACAAAACAGAAGATCATTCTCAAGAGTAAGTTACACATGAGGAAACAGAAATGTGAAAATTTTTTTTTAATTCTGCTTAAAATGTTTTCTTGAAATTAACACTGATTAATTAATTAATAATTAATTAGTTATAATTCATTATCATTGTTTCTGTGTTTTCATGAGCATTCTTCATAAAAGCAGCACTGTTGTAACTTCATTACACCTTGCAGTGGTGTAGACAGAGTGGTTCCTTTAAAACTACTGAATCAAAAAATCTGAAAATGTTCTCACAGGACACCAACAGAAGTTTCTCAGCTTCAGCCTCCACCAGTGAGCCTTGTCCGTGTTCTTCATCAGTACAGCAGCTCAGAGCCTGCAGAGTCTGGCTGATCACAGTCTGCAGTTTTCCTGCTTCTTCATTTAGAGCCTGGACAAAGACACTTTTACTTCACACTTATTACACGGTATGATGGCACTCTAACTAGCAGCAATGAGAAACACCAGAAGACATGACGACAAGCAGTGACAGGCTTGTTTTGTGTGTGGATCCAACTACATTTGCAAGTGAGAGTACACAATAATCAGACACCATGGCACTCTGACTGAATGCAGCCCTCTTTACTTTAAAACATCACAGTGACCAAACTTACACTCACGCCTGTTTGCTGTATAGCTTTCCATTGACATTAGCCCTGTAGTCTTATCTCAAAGCAAAGCAAAGCAAAGACTTCACACATGTTCAGAAAAGCTACCGGTCAAATGTCATGCAGCACAATTGTGGACATGTACTCTACTGGCCTGTCTACTCAATTGTATACTTAGCTTGTTTTCTGAATTGTTTTGTGTTGTGCAAAATATTCTCTTATCACACTGTATTTTACTTTGTCCAGAAGACACAGCAAGTTTCTCTTTTAGCAATCGTAAAACAGTTGATGTATGAAGTTTATGTGAGACAATAAGTCCTGTTACAATAAGAGCTCAAGCTGAGTACTGACTGAAAAAAAAGTTATAGTGCTACCTTGATTCTCTCCTTGATGTTGACGGAGGGCTGAGGTTGGGACTTCTCAGGGGCTTGTCTCTGGACCTCAGGAGTGATGCTCTGACTGGTGGGTGGTTTGCTCTGTCTTTGTGTACGGTATGCATCAATACTGTCAGATAACAAACCAACATTAAGTTCAGACATATGGCGTTGAAAACTGACAGTAAAGTTTGTCTCTGCAACAAGCTCATAAGTACCAGTTTGTGGCCAGTGATGGGATTTTCTTGATGATGAAATTTAGTTTTGTTTTCAGGTTAAATTCAACTGAGTTCAGGATAAATGTATTGTGGGGGGTTTCATTCTGTAAAGCTGATTAAAAAGTGCCATGTTTTTGTAAGATATATATCCCAATTGTCATACTTTGTGGACTACAGTGGTATGTACTTGACAGAACCTTTTATTTTAAATAATGTAGATTATTTGTGTGTGAAGGATTTGAAAACACTCAAAGAATGACACCACAGTCAATGACTCTGTTGGACCTGCATTCAATGTGAAAATTCAAAGGTGCTTTTGAAAATTTACATACAACTTTGAGCCGTTTAATTTTAAATATCCTGCCTGAGAAAAACAGACTGAGTTTCAGTCTGATGGTTCCAGTCAATAAATGATTACCTGTATGGAAGAGAGGATTCAGGAGGTGTGGTGGTCTCTTCTGGAGTAAGGGGTAGAGCTGGGGGGTTAGCCTCCTGACTGACCACAATTCGCTGTTGGTGGAATATGATGCATTATAAAAGGAAAAATGCATATACTTTTTTTTTTTTTTTTTAAATTCTGAAGCTTTTTAAAATGTATTTATTAATGACAGTCCCAATAATATCGATTCATGAATGAGACTTGCTTTAAGTTATGAAGTGATCTTACCAGAGGGGTGACCACAGCCTCTACAGACTTGCTGAGAGGAGACAGGATGCCACTAGGTGGAAAAGTCAGCATATCGTCTTCATCTTTATCGAGCATCTTGTTCTCATCGCCATTTTCTTCTACTCCTTCTTCTTTGATTTCGTCCTTTTCTTTACTTTTCTCTCCTTCCTCCATGTTCACCTTAATATTTTCAGCTGAGCCAGCTTCAGTGCCGTTGTTGCGGTCCTCAGTAACCTCATGATTTGTACTCTCCTCCTCCATCGTTTCAGCGTATTCCAGCACCTCTTGGAACATCTGGTCAATAATGTCAGCCGTGTTGGTGTCATCATGAGAGTTCAGCTCAAAACCTGTTGAAAGAAACATTCACGGTTGTATCAAAAAGAAGGGCAACAATTTTAGTTCAAGGTGGTTTGATACTGTGTCACACCTTTTATTAAGTGCCTCTGTACAATACTTATCAACTAAAGCCGCTGATTGATCTCTCAAATCCACTGGTGGTTTAATTAAAAAAGGCTCCGACAGACGTACATATGAGGGAAAAACTCTTTGATTCCTTAAGATAAAACAAGAAGTTTTCTTTTTCATCAAGATACCTTCACTTTATTGTTGTTTACTAGACATTTTACAACCACAGTGGACTTTGTGAATACTGTTCCCGGCTGTAGAGGTGGCTGTGGCTCAGTAGTAGTGATGGAAGGTCTGGGTTTGAACCCAGGTCCTGCTCTCTACATGCTGCAGTGTCCTTGGGCATGACACTTGACGTGAGAATACCAGTAAAATAGGTAAACTTGCATCATGAGACTAGGAGGTATTGAAAAAGATAAAATTTTCCTCAGAGATTTGTCATCAATTTCTGGTGAATCTCACTGATAAGTAGAAAAACTTGAGTTTTAAATGCAGCTCCTCCAGTGTGTTGTGTTAAAACGACATGCATGAAGATCACGTGTCCTCATGTTTCTCAGGTGTACGTGTCCTGCCAGCTTTTTTTTTTTTTACTCCAATTTTTTATCAAATGTACAAAAGCTTTAATTCCTAGCTCTAGACTGCTTCAGTTTAAACACCCGTGCAGTTATGAAGAGGTGAGATGTTTCAACCTTTTATTATGTCCTTCATATAAACCCAGAAAGTGCAGCGGGGCCATCACCAGTGCTTGCATACAAACAGAAAAACAACACTTCACCCATGTGCTCAGTCCTCCACATGTGTCCTCTGGTGTCCATACCTCCACCTAAAACTGCTCTCACCTGATATACTCGTCTCTGTCCTGGACTCCATGGGGGTAGTATTGGGCTTAGAGGGGGTTGAGTGACTGATTAGCTTATGTTCCAAGATACAGGAGACTTTCTCTGAGCTCTTCCCTCCCTCTTCCTTCTGAGTTTCCTCTGCATCACCCTGTCTGTGATCTATCACAGCTCGCTCACTTTCCTCCAATGCTGTAATAGAGTATAAATAATGTCACAGGGATTACGGCTGGTAGAGAGAATGTGCCCATCGTGCTGCACTTATAAGAATGCAGGGGTAGCAGGATGTTATCTTTAGTTTGTTTATTAATAGAAGTTGTTGTAGAAGTTGTGTGCAGGAGAAACTCTTATCCTTGCTAAAAGACAACATCAGCACAGCCAGGTTTGTAACTTGGGAGATTTCAATACTTTAACTTTCAACTGAAGCTTTGTGGCCAATCTTCCATGCAGATGTTTCAAAGCACAGCCTCTTACCTGTAGAAAATGTCGACTTACAACTCAACACTCAGTTACTGGACTTTCTAACCTTGAATATTTTTTTTTAAATTCTCATTAACTACTTTTAGAGCCATTGTAGCTCATGCCAGGCATAGGAGAGAAGATGAATGGTAATGTCTACTGATGTGTGACAATAGCAGTTTTGTTTTTGATTCAACAATTTTCACAAGAAAACATAATCACATACAAAAAAAATCGGCATCCATGTTGACACATCACAGAATTAGTTCATTGTTATCATGAGGATTGATTAGTCCTACCTGTTCCGTCTGAGGCCTGCGTTTCGGCACTTGATGTTGTCGCTCCTCCAAAGCTGTTATCTTTCATCTCAGCATTATCAGCAGCCTGCTAGAAACCACAATATCAGCAACAGGGAACAAAAGTCAAGTGATGGAGAGCTTAATTCAGTTTTGATTAAAGGAAGTTCATCTATAAACTAAGAGACAAGAAAATACTGCAGTTCACCATTGTGAAGAGAAAGAAACTTGAGGTGAGGGAAGAAAACTTGTCACTAGTTATAAAGTTTAGAGTCAGGGATGTTGTTTCATGTAAACAGCCCATATCACCCAAAGACCTGAAACAGAACTGGTCCGATGTGTAAAATACCAAAGTACTTTCCCGACTATTATATCATCACTAGTGCCCATTCTTTTGGCTCAAATTTTTTTTTTACCATGTGTCCAGAAAAGAAATATTAGAGTAGTGCGGTCACACACTCACATCCCAGAGTTTAACAGGGGGCCAAGAACTCCCCTTATAGAACCTAGGTACCCAGCGCGGAGAATATGAGAGTCCAGGAGGAGTCCTTTCCTGATAATGTTCAGATAGACTGGTGTATGAAACCACACTTAAACAAAGCTGTGGGAATGTCTTATTATAAAAACAAAACAAAACAAAACACAGCCTGATTTTGAATAGAGGGATGGGGGCTGCTTGTTTGAAGGGAAAACCTTATTAACAAATAAAAAAACCTGTATAAATCACAGATTGAATAGTGGACATACCATGTAAAATGTTGATAGAGACTGAAGTTGATGGTTTGTCATCTTGCAAATGGTTTTTAGGTTATAAAGAGGCAACATTTACCATTGGGTTGAGTAACAACACTCTGTAAATATTTAGGAGCCAAGGAGACCAGTTTCTGGAGTTTTGAAATGAAACATAAGATGAGAGGAACTGATGTCTGATTTTACCTGACAAAGGATTTCAGCTGTCCTGGGTCAATTTTTTGTTTGTTTGATGATGCAGCTAATGTTTTCAACAGGGAGCAAGTCGGGACTACAGGCAGACCAACTGAACACCTACACCCTTGTACCACAGAACCATGCTGCTAATGTAATACATTCAATTGAGGTTTGGCATTTTCATCATTAATTTTGAATTATAAAAACAAACGTGCAATGCCATTAGTACTGATGAGTCACAGACACTGCATTGATAAGTAAAGTAGCCCCTCCCTTCTTTGGAGAGGTTTCCTGATTTCCTAATAGAAAATCAAATTTTAATTTGTCATCTTAAATGGCCAGGAGGAGGCGCCAACATCTCTGGATCATGTTTGTGTTTATACTTAGTTTCCTTTTTGTATGGTACTCTTTCAACCTGCATTAGCAGGTGCAGGTTAATAAACATTCTGTGCTCACAGACAATGTTTTTGGATTCAATTTTGAGCGCATCGATTCCTTCTTCACAATAATGTATGTTTTTAATGTAGTGTTGTCCGAGATCCTGAAGAACAACATAGCCATCAAGTTTCAGAAATACAGGCTTTGTTCCTTTTAAACAGACTCACTCCTCCAAATTCTCTCAATGTTCCAATGCCATTATGCACTGTAGGTGATAAAATCCTTAAATCTTTTGGTATTTTATACTTGGGAACATTATGCTGGATTTGCTAAAACTACTTTCTCACTCGGTCTCTCACAGAGTGATGAACCTCTTCCTACCTTTATGTTTGAAAGACTCTAGGGTTAGGATAGTAACATGACTTTTTAGACTCATTTTGTTGTTCCTGTCAAAGCATTTTATAAAATGTTGTTGAAATCGAATTTAGAATGAGAACAGTTTTCATTTGGTTTCAAGATTTAAATTTACAATTAATTAAAACTCAAATTAACACGAAGCCATCAAAGTCTGTTGAATCAACATCTTACACAGGGACCAAATTCTCTTATAACAGCACAAAAAAAACAGATTCTCCTTCTTTCTGTGGCAGTAAATCAGGAACTATAACGCTGAGTAAACAGAAATTAAGTATCAGCAAAGAAAGAACAATTAAGCCACGTACATGTTCTTCCCAGCCATCCATGAACTGGTGACTAATGAATACAAATCTACTTACATGAGACATAAAAATGAATAGGACTCAGCAAATCAGTAAAATCCCTGATGATGTCTCACCTGAGTTAATGATGGATCAGAGCTGCTCTTTTTCAACCAGGCATTCTGACTGATTGGATGAAACTGCAACTGGCTCAACTCCTGTGCTCGCTCCTGAACAAGGAAACAATGTCAAAGGTCAAATTTACTCTGTACGAGAGCTGAAGAAATATTCTCCTCTCAAATTCACACTTTTAAAAAGGTCCTGATACCCTTAGTTTGGGTTTCAACTGTCAAGAGATCAACAAACATCACTGAGGAATACAGATTTACTTGTATCACAATTTCTGGGGTTTAAATTATTCATATCACTTTGCTTCCAGCACTCACCACCACTCCATAATGAAGCTGTCACTATGGCATTTTGTGAAGAGAAAAAAAAAAGTAAAAGTAAAAAGAAGGATGTCTACACACTTAGTGCGATTTTCAGTGTACTAGGCTTTCAGCTCCTCAGGCCTTCAATCAGAGTATACATGCCAAAGAATGGACAGGCACGTTTTAGGAGGGGATAGTCCCACACTGTGTGCACAGCCTTGTAGTAGAAACCCCGCTCATTGGGGTATGTAGGTCTTGCTTAAGTTTAAAGCATCAAAATGAGACCCACTTCATATATGGAACAAAAGAGGTGCAGCATGATGAACACAGGAAATGACAAAAACAAAATATGAAATCATAAAGCATTTTCTACAATTATACATTTTATTAGTTGCTTTTTTATTTATTTATTTTTAACTCTTGAAAAGAGACAACCCCGGAGTAAAGATACAGTACAAACACTCACTGGCCACTTTATTAAGTACACCGCTCAAGCACCAGGTTGGAGGCCTTTTTTGCCTTCAGAAACGCCTTAGTTCTTTGAGGCATGCTTTCAACAAGGTGTTAAAAACAGTCCTCTGAGATTTCTGTCCATATTAACATGAGAGCGACATGCAGGTGCTGCAGATTTGTCGGCTGCACACCCATGATGCAAATTGTCCCCTCCTCAAACCTGCCTGTTCATTGTTTGGCATCTATACTCTGACTGGAAGCCTGAAGAGCTGAAAGCTTAGAGAAAACTGCACTGATTTAGTGTGCGGATAACCTCCTCTTAGATTTTTGATACTCCTACACCTCATATAGTTTCTCCAGGTTGAGCAGTAATTTCTCCACTAAGGAAAGAAAAATAAATTAATAAAAAGGACACACCTGGCGCATGCGCACAGCCTGCTTGGAGCTAGGTGTTGTGGAACCCTGGAGTTTCTGCTGAATGTCAGACACAAAGTTGGAGGTGGTCCTGGGACAGGGGTTGGCAGAGCTCGGTGTGGGAGCACAGCTATTCTGGGAGACTGGCTCTTTAAACAGCTCCATACGCTGATGAAATTCTCCCTCACCTGAAGAGAAAACATTCACACAGAGAAATCGTCAAACATAAAAAGAAACCAACTGTTATTCGATAACTTAATTGAATTACATTTAAATGATTGAGATGCATGATGAAGCAAACTGAGATTTCTCATACTTGGTGATGACCTCTTGTGATCTAATCACCTAGTATAGATACAAATACCTATGTGGAAAAATCTTGTACTTAAAGGCATCCTCACCAAGAAGATGCTCTCGGAAACTCTTGTCTTGGATGATGGCTGATGAGCTGACAGTGCCAGGATCAGACAGGCAGCGCTGCGCCAGAGGAGCAGACCCTAAAACCAAAAACACTTGCTGTTTCAAACTGCAGAATTCATTTTAGCTTTTCCTACATGCAGAAAAAAACAGTTTGATTGTTGAGAGCCTGCTATAATACGCCCTCACTTTGAGTAAAACCTGCCCTTAGTTAAGTACAACACTTGCACACCCACCTATGTACACATATGGTATATCCTCAGACAGTACTTTGAGGTGCTCTTATGTCAACAGTAACTCAGTCTAGTTAAAGAAACTGAGAATAGGTTTTCTTCCAAAACAGGTTGAATCTGGTTAAATGGTATGAACTCAATGTGGAAGTTTTTGGTGCTGTGGGATATAAACAGTGGTCTGTTGCTTTTTATCTTGTGCTGTATTAAGGAAAAAAAGCAATACTCCTGATATTCAGCCCATCCTTTCTGCTAAAAAAACAGAGAGGGCAAAGATAAGAGGTTAATCAAGGCTGGTATTACCCTCTTGATTCTGTGTGAGGAGCCGGACTCGAGACCGGACCGAGGGAACCATTGGTGTGTCTGGCTTTGTCTCTAGTTCTGCTCGGCGCCCAGTGGAGGTGGATGCTTTAGGACTACAGTTCTCCTGACCAGCTGGCTCCAGGCGTCGCCGCTTCTGGCCATCACTGTCCTCTGAGAAATGTGATAAGAAGACGCACAGTTACGTAAGTTAATTGTAAAATCAACTGTGGAAACTTATTTGACCGTGTTGTGCTGGTAGTACAGACTAAAACAAACCTGATCGTGTGAGGGCGTTATCTTCTGAAACTGACAGGGGGGCTCTCTGTCTCTTCAAACTGGTGATGCCACTACTTCCCTCTCCAGCGTCCATAATGAACTATAAAAACAGAAAAGTTACACACTCATTTGAGGCAATAAGCATTTTCACCCTTTTAGCCTCAGGACCAAATTAGACCAGGTTCTGATCAAGAATCACAACATCCAGGCATGTCAGAACTGGTCTATTTTGGAGAGGGAGCAATCTAATTATAAACAGAGTTTCACCTTTATAAAAACCTTTGTCCAATTTCTGAAAACGTGAGGAGAGGGCAATTTAGGAGCTTTTTTCTGCCCAGCCCCAGACCAAACTGGACAAGGTCTTGATCCAGAACCACAGGATCTCATACATCTGTTAAGTCTAAATAATGGGGTTCTGAGTCAGGATCTGGTCGAATCAGATGTTTTTTTAAATTACAAAAGTGTCCTTTTTGAATTTTCACAAATAGACTACAGGTTACACAATCCTGAAAGTGTGTTTTAGAGAGACCGTAGCCTCTTAGTTCAGGTCCTCGAAGTCAATGTGGTTTGTAATGGGACCTGGGAATCTGACCTGTCACGTCAGATTCCCAGATTTTGTCATCAGAAGCTGGACGTGATTAGCTAGCTTCAGTTCAGAGTCATAGTCAAAACCAGATCTTGTACAGCCAAGTCATGGCAGTCTACACTGCTGCTAAATTTTCTTCCTACAAAGAGGCGCTCTGCAAGATTTCTATGGTGGGATGAGCTACAGAGAAAGATTGGATTGAAGAGTATTGGTATCTGCAGATGGCAGCCTTAAAAAAGTTTAAGAAAATAACAAACAGGTGACACATTATGAGCGCATGTTGAAAGTAGGGCTGGGCGATATGGCAAAAAGTTTAGCACGATATATTTTTTCATATCAGTCGATATCAATATATATCAAGATATTAAAAACTGAATTTAACTGTGCTTATTGGTAGCATGTCTTTTGCAATACAATAAGCTTCTGCATCTGTGAGGTTTTTGTGTCTCTTCGACATTTTGTCGTAAGGCATTGCGCTAGAGAAAGTGGACTGAATGGTCGGCTGTTTTGGCTGCACAGGTGCCATGGACTCCTTGCTCCGCTCGGGGTTTGTAACCTTTTGCATTGTGGATGCTCTGCCGCATGGCACTGCTTCAGATGGTGAAAAAGATTTGAGGTATTTCCCGACTTTGCGAGAACATGTACTCGACATAATTTGCAGTGCACATTACCCCGCTTCATGTCTGACCTCCAAAAAAAAAAAAAAAAAAAAAAAAAAAAACCCTCCACATCACCGGCATTTTCATACCAGTGTTGTCGACAACGTCGTCATCTGTTGAGCCTTCATCTGCATTTCTGCAGGGGAAGCGCTCATTTTCTTTCTCTTTCACTGACAGTGCTGTCGGCTTCACCTGTTAAAGCGCTATGGTTGTGTGTAGCTGCAGCCCACTACTACGCAGTTGTTTGCTACTTGGTTCTGACTCAGCACATGATTGGTTCAGTGCGAAGCAGACCTGGAGCAACTCCCCTTTTCAGTTGCTATTCGTATAGTCTACCAAAACATGGCAGAATTCCGACTATTGAAAAGTATATTTACCATGTTTTATATTCATATTGAGGGAAATTAATTTTTCATATTATTATCGTTTTATCGCCCAGCCCTAGTTGAAAGCTAACACTGAAAACAGTGAGCGTGTCTGCTGTATGGAGGTATTTTCATTGTCAAATAGACAGTGGGTTAGGTATTTGAAATGCTTGTGAAGCACAGGTGAAGGAGGGAGGAGCACAAACTGATCCTGTAAGACTGAGTGTCTCAAGAACAGTCGATGTGAACATGCCAAGAGATCTTAAGGAGAGTGGAAAGGGTTGTGCCATCAAAAACCTGTCAGCAGCTTCTACTTCAGTCATCCACCAAAGCCAAGAAATAAAACAGCAAACAACCAAACGTTAAGGAGCAACAAGAAAATCAGTGAATTCACAAAATTCATTTCTAGCCCATCAACATGGTGGATTATGCCAGCTGCCTTGAACCAATGATGTAGTTAAATCAGTGTCTCCATCTGTGTTGGTAAGCAGCCAAACTGAGTTTATATATCAGCACATGAGATATTATTAAAATCCGATATGGGTGTACTATCCTGAATAAACTGACTGAGCAGGGCGTTGTCATTTCAAATCCATGAAAACAGGTTGTACATGCTGCTCGGTGGAGAACTAACTTGTAGGCATTGTTAACACAGATAAAACCTATATGCTGAAAATATCAGCCAATTAAAGAAGCAATTCAGCAAGTTAATGTTTTCAACACTGCACTCGGAGTAAACTTTGGTTTGTTCACTTCTCAACATATCAGTTTGGCTTGACGTTAGCCTAGCTTACCACGAGCTAACTCTGGTCGAACAAAATGTCTCGCTACTTCATGAAGTGAAAATGTGCCGTTAGTGTTGAAATATACCGAGCAAAGTCGTTTTGATCTTACCTTAAGAGCTGAAACTCCAGTCTGTGTTGAACAAGTCAGAACCAACTGACAGAAACCAAGAAACTATTTTCGTGTTGTTTGTTTTCAGTCTCCTCCTCCAACTTTGAATTTCAGCGGGTCTTCTGACGTTACCGGAACACCCAACGTGAGTACCGTACTCACTCTGTTAGAGCGCTGATCCAGAATCAAAGCCAACAAAGGAAGTGACGTTCACTCGACAGATTGAAGACTTTTAAATCCGACCCCAGGTCGGTTTGTAGTGTGTCTTTTACCGTAAATGATAAAATAAGCACGCACTACAGCGCAAGCCCGAGATCACAACATATCTCTGGTATTCTTGAAGTATGGCTACCAGTTTGTATTTAGGGTTGCAAAATTCCGGGAATTTTCAAAGTTGGAAACTTTCCATGGGAATTAACGGGAATAAATCTGAAATTTACAAAGTTTTGATCAGTTTTGATTTATTCTTGTCATTTTTTAATTATCCTGTTGTTTTTATGCATCTTTGTCTGTTTTTTTGTTTTGTTTGTTTGTTTGTTTATTTGTTTTTTCCCTTTTATGTTGCACTGATGGAGAATCAATTTCATTGGAGTCAGTGCAATAGAGATATTATTTTCTTGTGTGGGATTTCAGAGTCTTATTAGTTGTTGTAACACTAATAAGATATAGCTTACATTTAGCACCTATTTTATTTAATTTTTGCGAGTTAAATACTAATACTATTACAGATCAACTATATTTACCCCATATTATCAAAACTTATTTGACTTTATATAGTCTGTGGGCTCAAATGTCTTGTGCTTTGGGCTCAAAAGTGTGGCCTCCGGGATTCAAGATGGAGGAGTGTACTTGCATTAAATCTGGTTGTTTTAGCCAAGATTATGCTACAGGGCTGCCAAGTTTCAGAAAAAGACAAGAGTGAGACTCAAGCGTTATAATGTGTTTGGCAGCGAAAAAAATTGACCTTTTTCAACGTCAATTTATATCTTAAGACCGATTTCCTCAACTCTATGCCAGCTGCTCTTCCTAATGCTAGTCTTAATTAACCAGAAATTAGAAATGAAAGTTGTAACAAGAAATTTGACAAAATTCATCATTGTCAGTCCCTTTTGCAGAGAGCTCTTGTCAAACTGCATTACTTTTAGTTTCTCCTGCAGTGATGTCCTCTGAACAACATTGTTTTCAGCTTCCCTCGTAAAGTGTTTCTCAAAAACATCATTCTACTGTTGTATCAGTCTTCTCGCTTCAACCTGGGACACGTCTTTTTTCCCCCGGAAAGGCGTAAAGTCACATTGGGCTTGATGTGTATAGTCAGGCGTGTCAAAATTCTCCTCTGAATATTTCGTGATTTCGCATTCTATATTTACGCCGGCCTGGTGTGTAAGGACATTTAGTATCAAATATTTTGTTCATCATGAGGGATCTTTTTGAGCCACCCTTAGTCTGATCCCTCCCCCAGGACCTTTTTGCCATGGTTAGGCATAAAGCCCTCAACAACTTAGCTCCTGGGATCTACTTTGCAACCCTACTTGTATTGATTTTTTTGTTGTTGAAATTTTGTGTTGGGCCTACATGAACAACGTGTTTGTTATATTATCTGTCAGTGGTGGGTCTTACGTCTTCAGATCCTCTACCCAGGCAGAAAGCCCTTATACTATCACACTGTAATAATACCCCTTGAAAACAAAATTCTTGCATTAAATCCCAACAGAGGAAGTCGCCATAACAGAATAAGACCCAGTGTTTCAGAATTACAACAACTTTGGTTATCCCCAAAAAGCTCTTTTTTTTTTTTTTTAGTTCAACCACATTAACATGATCATTGGGTCCTATTGTTTGTTCTCACAATGCGATTGGATCCAACATTTGTATATAAGGCCCGCCCTCAGGTGAAGAAGTCACACAACCTCAATTTTTTTGATCGAGCAACATCCCTTCGATTTACTGGACTGGATTCGTCTGATTCAAGTACGTAAAATGCTTTGAAATTTTTGTTTTGTGTTTATTACAATGTCTTGAACATGAACGTATGTAGTTATTGCGGAAAATATGCCCTACATTTTATTTAGAGCTTGTTTTATAATTGTTGCAATATTACAAAGTTGGGTCAAAGTGGTAGCCGAAACAGCCCTGTTTTTGAGAGGAATGTATTGAGAGGAACTTCAATATACAAAACATTTTTAAAGCACTCCATTTTAACCCCCAAAGGCCTCCTACAACAACATCTGAATGGTTGAATTTTTTTTTTAATTGCATTTTTCTATATTTGGGTTTTACAGGGATGTGGGCAATCTAATGGAGTTTATAACAATAGCTCCACCATCATTTCTGCTTTTTAAGAACTCCTATTGTTTTGGTTATTTTTTGTTGTCATGACTATACAGGCGATTATTGTTTGCAGTGTTACTGGTTGTAGTTGCAGAGGGTGTTAGCTATGTAGTGGAGACCATAACAGTGAAACCTGTTCCTACACGTTAAACCCTTTATATTTACCAATGAAGTGGACTCAAAACAAGGAAAACCTCTCAATGTAACACAATGAAGTTCACCATCATCAGTCACACACCTTCAATAATAATGTAAACTACAATAATCACCTATCTGATGATATCTACTAAAACTAGACAACATTAGAAGCATCATGAAAATAGAATTAGTGGACTGAATAGCTGGGATGGGAAGTCATGATGCAGACCTTGATGCTTGAAAAGGTAGTCCAAAAACCAGCCAGCAACATCTCAATACATTTTTTAAATGGAGCCAAGGTTAACAGTCAGAAAGATCACCAGCAGACATTGGAGCTCAGGCATAACCTTGTCAACTTTAATATTAACCATGTACAGTTAGAGATAGAACACATAATAAAACAAAGAAAAGAAGCAGAAAACTGTGAACATATAAAAAGAAATTATTACAAAAAACACCTAAACTTTTATCTATCTTAACTAGGTGTTGTTGGAAGGGTGAGTGGTTTATAATCATTTCAAAGAAACAACTCAGTCACTTCTTTTTCCTTTAAACTAGTAATACTTTCCTCTGGACCTCTAAAGAAAATATCACACAACAGAGTGGTCCTGAGAAGTTGTACTCATTGGCATAGATGCACACAGTATACATACGTGTGTATATAAAGGAATGGAATTTCATCCATGTATTCTTAAGACATGTTTAATGTAACAGGTTCTCTCTCTTTTTTTTTTACCTGGCATGAAATAATCTGAAAAAAGACAAAAGAAAAAAAGGCCACCAAGCAGCCTCCAGTATGTACAAAATATATGCATTTCCATATAAGTAATATTTTATGTGCTGACAGGGAAAGATGTGACTCTTTAGGACTTGCTTTAATTGCAGGCAGCCTAAAGAGCTGTACCAAAATAACAGGCTAATCTATGACTCTGCTCAGAAAACTACAGGGAATAAAATGAGCTGTTTTTTAACCGTACATAAAAGTAGTGTTAATATCATTATCATATGAAAATAAAACGTGACAACTCTGGGAAATGTATATCAAAGGTTTGACAGTGTTGCAGCTCAATGCCCTCTGACTTTGGACTTCACATGTTCTGAGAACTACAGAGGGGTATTGTGTTGCCATGTGTGGAAGCATTGTGTGTAATACTATAGAGTAAAGTCACAGTCAAAGCTATGGCTGAATTGGCAAACTTCAGAGAGGGTTAAAGGACTATTTCAGCTATTTGGTGAATTGTCCCCTTGGCTGATTCTCACACTAAAGAGAAAAATCTCTCAAAAAGCTGGACAGCAGGGTTCAGGGTTTCATGACAACATCCATCACTCACATCACAATATAAAATACTTTTAAAAATCACTGTAACCTGTGAGTTGTACACACCAATAATGCCTTTGCATATTGTCTTTTGAAATAGGAAAAACACTGCAATGACGAAATTCCTGCGACCGAAAAATATGAGAATTTTATCAGCAGTCTTCCTCTGTCTGGCTCTCAACATGCAGCATCTCTGACCTTGAACAAAACATTTATGAACATCACTTGCTTAAACACCCACACATCACACCTGTTACTGCACTGAGGCACAATCCTGTGATGAAGCCCACTCACCCCACCACTACCTTAAATGGCAGAGTTATTTTGTAAGAGTGTTGTTTTCATGAAAAAATATGAAGCACAAATTTACACTCATGTATAGGAAGCTGCCTTGAAAATACTGACTAGAGAGGGAACACACCAGTCTGAAAGAGAGGAAGCTATTTTAGCCAATTTACTGTGCAAGAAGTAATGAGACATGAGCCAACTGTACACATTTTTAGATCAGGAAAAAACGTTTTGTGAGTGATCTAATTATGTTTTTTAAAAACTCTATTCTGTTCACAAACTTGATTTATTCAGTATTTGCGAAAGCAATCGTACTACAGAAGAAAATAAATCAAGACACAGGGTACTTCATATTTTCATTAAATAACTTATTTGTACCCATAGACTGTATATACTATGGACAACTTGGTTCCGTCGCCCACCTGTATACGGTTTTGAAGCTAAAAAGCTCTCGGTATTTCCAGGATTTTTCTTCATTTCCTGAAACCAGTGCTGCGCAGTAGTGTTGTGCGCATTCGGCAGGAGAGTCGCCGAGAGTCGCTGTGATGACGCTCGGCTCAAACAGTGTATCCCCTGGGTGAGCTATGCAACCCTGAACGCCAATAGGCTGTATCAAGTGTCAATCATAGAAAACATGAACCCCCTTACAACTTTTAAAAACGGAGCTTCACAGAGAAAAGAGGACTTGAACACAAACCAGTCGGACAGTAACTGCATGTCAACATCGCAAGCAGGGGGGAAAAAAAATTATGTTAATAAATTTCTAAAGTTTGTCCACAGCCCCATAAGCTTTGCTGGCGGGGACTGTTCTCGGAGTGGCTTCACCCAGCAAGGAGGCAGACTCTGTCCATTCTATATACAGTCTATGCATGTACCACTCACAGACCTAAATGACCAGCAAGCATCAAGCAAGCTCCAAGTCTGACTTTTTTTCCCCAGCACTTTCTTAAAATAATATTTCAAACTACAAAATAAAGTGGAGTTGAAGAAGTTACTGTGAGTAGCTATGACCAGCATGTTCCCATTTAGCATAACAACTTTATCTATTAAGTTTCTAGTGCCATTTTTTGCAGTGCGAGTGGGCCTCATTTCCATTTGACCCGTGCCTCTTCAGGTGTGGCCTGATCCAACATCATCACTCACATACACTCCCCACTCTTCCAATACACTCTCATCAAGATTTTAGTGACTGAGTGTTTTAAGTGTATCCACGTGTGTTACGTTTCTGAGAACAGTAAAAGAAAAAGAGCATTGAGGAGAGGGAAAGAATATCTACCTGCATATCTATGGAATATGTAGAGAACATACAATAACTACTACATGTGTACAAATGGCTTTGTATGATCCCTGCCATACTAGCTCAGAGGAACTCGAGCTTTTCCTCTTTGTCAGGAAGTATAGGAAAATAGAATTTCACAAAAACATGCATTCCCCAGGGACAGAGAGAGATTTCAACAGATGCAGAGAGATGAGCATGTGGGTATTTAAATGTCTGTGGGAGTGTAACTGATGTTCATGTCCCATGGGTGAATGTTAAACCTATCTCAGAGGAGCACTGTGCAATAAATCCGTTATATCCGCTCATTTGTGTTTATTAGGAGGACCACAGTAGATGTGAACTTCAAGAAGGATGAAGGAAAAACAAGCTTATATAAAACTGAAGGAGCTCCTTTCTCTCTTCAAAAGATTTTTCCTTTCTTCTTGTTCTTCTCCATTGTCCTGTGAGGAAGAGAAGTTGAAAAATGACTTGATAGTATTTTTAATAAACATGAAAGTACCACTGTAAGACTTCTAAATAGGGATGAGGGTAAATATCCCCGGAAGAATTAATCCGAAAGTACTGTCTCCTTTGTCACGACGACATTTTCATCAATCTTACACCTACTATTTAGGACCTAGTGTTGTATACTAGCCTAGCTAATAGTGACTTTGAGCATAGTGACTAGCTCAATTTTCCACCAAGGGGTCCAGTTTGGTCCTGCAAAGTACAGTACAGTACAGTAAACCCTGATCTTGTTTCTGTTTTCACAGCAAACTGGATCCTATACCCCGTTATCACCAAGATTCAAACAAAAAAGGCTTAAAATATTTCACTTTTTGTGTGATGAATCTGTTCTTTATGGAATTTTCACAATCTGAATTAAATCACAAGAAAAATTTGAGTTTTTTTGGGGGGATATTCTAATATTTTGAGCTGAAGCTGTAGATTATTCGGACAGTAGGTGTGAGCATGTCATCTCACTCCTATTTTTCCATGAGTAAGCTTTTTAAATGATTACTTACTTGGAGGCGTAATTTTTTTTTTTTTTTCTTAATTATTACATTTATTAAGTTCTTAATATTAGGACCCTTATTGTTATAACTGCATTTTGCACTTTCTGTCTTGTCTGTGATGCTGCTGTGACAAAAAAATTTCCCCCATGGGGGATCAATAAAGGAATATTCTATTCTATTCTATTCTATTCTTACTTGGAGGCGTCCAGTTTCTGCTGCTCGAGGATTCTCTGCTGAGCCTCCCAGTCGACCTTCTCGTTCTCAAACACTCGTCTTTTCTCCTCCAGCTCTTTGTACTGCGCCTCCAAGTTCCTTTGCATTTGTTCGTGGCGTCGTTCCAGCTGAGGGTGAAAACAACAGATAAAATTCGCTCTCAAACACACAAAGAGGTGAAAACGCATGGAATTATTTTGTACAAGATTTCATTTCTTTTACTGCAGATGAGGCACACACCTGCTCTTCAATCACTCTGACCTTTCCCTGCATTATTATACATGTGCTTTATTTCTATTTTCTGTGCAGTTCTATTCACATTTAACTGAAAATTAACCTCTCTCTGAGACACACGGGCAAATTCATCAACCCACCTCAGCCTCCGAGTCCTTCAGTTTCTGCTTCTTCTCCTTCACCTTCATTTCAAAGACTTGCTCCATTTCTGCCTCCATTTTTTTCATCTTCATCACATGCTCCCTGCGCTCCTCCTCCATCTGTGCCAGGGGACTCCTGATGACCACGACAAAGAAACAACATTTGTTGACGTTCATTGAAGTTTTTACATGAACACAAACAAAGCAAAACATACACACAAACACGCACAAAACATTGTTAGGCTGTCTTACTTAGTGAGCTGCCCCTTGGTCTTGGTTATGTCCACTCCATTACAGGTGACAGCAGCCAGTTTCTTACTACGATAGTTCTCATAGTGCACGTTGTTGGTGACGTCTTTTAAATCCTGCATATGGGTCCTACAGAAGGTGGTGAAGAGAAACATCAAATCTGTTACTGAAAGCCCAAAGGAATTCAGACTGGACAGAACAATAAATTAAATCAAGAGTAACAAAGGAAGAATTTAACTTTGAATGACCTTCACTTTTACATTTGACATGAATTCAGGGACTGGGAAGAGTTCTTTAACAAGAGATATTACAGAATTCACCAGTACACCATTTATAAGAAGAAAAAAAAAGAGAAAAACCTGAAGGTATACAACACCAGCCAATCCTAAAATGACATAATGATTTGCTACATAATGATTTAATAGTTTAACCATTACTTTTGAAACATTTGAGCGTGTCTTTATTTCTTCTTGATGTTTTCCTCCAAGTGATTGAGCTGTTTAAAAATTCGGATCGCTTTCACACAGTGATAAGGAGTTTGATTTGTTTACCTGATCAGCATGTTGCGCAGCACAGTGAAGTCGCAGTGTTCCCCATTCTCCACTGAAACACAGAGGGAGAGAGACAAACAGAGAAGGAGAGAGAGAGAGAAAGAAAGAGGGACACATCAAAATTAATACACATCCACACATCTTACAATGCCAATCACAGAAATCACATGTGGTCTAAAGGGAAACAAAGAAATTACACTGCAGGAATGAGGCATATTCGCTTATAAAGCCTGATGGATGGATGCTAACAAGCTGCAACAGAATCAAATGTAATTGGTCTGTAACTCAACAGCAGCTTTATGATTGCACTTAGGGGCAGTCTGATCAGTAAAACATCTTAGTACAATTGTGTGAGTACAGTTAACAAATCTGTATTCTGTTATTTACATGACCAAACATTTTAGTGATAATACATAAAATAAAAAACAGGTAAAACAACAGCAAGTTAAAATGAATTCAGTAGTCTTTTAAAAGTAAAAAAACAAAAAAAAAACAAAAAACAGACTGTCAAGTTCCAGCAATCATCAGTTACAGGGGAAGGGGTGTGTGACGAGAAAAGAAATTGGATTGTTTTAAGTGACATTGTACAGTTTTAGTGGTGGTAGACTATCAACAGAAAACAAAAAGGACAAAGGACATCAGGCCATGATCACATAGGACTGTTCTAACACCCCAAACATGGCTCTCAGTCTGTTTTCATTCAGGTTTAGTCTCCAGTCACAAACTAACTTTGCAACTCCTCTCTACAAAAACAAAGCTGTGCAAAAACTCTGCAATATAACTTCAATAATTTAAACAAAAAAGATGTTTCATTGCAATCGTGTGCATGTCAAATTTTCCTCCAACCTTAATGACAGTGAGGCTATGAGCTCAAGGTTAACCTTTTTAACTCAGGGGGAACTACCATCAGTTGATTCTTTAGTGTTAGCGGACTCCTAATATTCATCTCCATCTAAAACAGGTCAGCTCATCTTTTCATGACTATGCCGAACTGCCAGACTCCTTACATTAGAAACAGAATCCACAACCTGTTTGACCTGACATCAGCTACATTCCCTTCTTTTTAGTGAGAGAAGTCGATTGGTGCATTTCCACTGGGTTTGGTACAGTGCAGTATGCTTTGGTACAGTAAACCCTGATCTTTCTATTAACTCTACGCTACCCTATCGTGATGCTCAATGCTGGCAGCTTGATGGCCTTGGAATGACTTGATATTTGGTGTCCATATTAACAGATTAGCCCATTTGGGTGCTTAGACTGCTGGTGTGAGCTGGACACTTGTTGACTGGCTGCAGGTAAGCTATGTTTCATATCAAACAACACCAGGCTATGATAAATGTTTTATCGTGTGTGATCTTTCTCACATTTTGTAACCATCGCTGTGCCCCTCTCACTGCTCACCTGCTGACTGTAAGGGAATTAGCACCCATTTTTATACCTCCTACAGATGTATAACACCCAAATCATTCCCTGGTAGGAATAAAAACCTACATTAAAATGGTCATAATGTATTAAATCACAGAAAATCAGGTCAATCAGCTTCACACAAATTTTGTGTATTTTTTGATAACTTCAATGCCAGACAATATATAAAAAACAGGAGTTTACTCAAGTTCAGGGTTGCCCTGCACAGTTCATCATCTATTTTCATCTGTACATTGATTGTGTTTATGATTAGCCCATGTAAAATGTCTGTTTAGCAAAGGGGTCTTCTTTGTTGTAGAGCTCACAGCTGAGTGAACAAAGGTCTCCTATCTGACCACGGCCACTTTGTTAGAACAAACAAGAATCCTTGGACAGACAACATGTAACTTTTTTTGTAACACTGGTAAACTTATTGATTATTGACATAATTCATTTCAACAAACATAAAAAAAGACATGGTTTTGTGATTAGAGGGGATTCTGGAAAAGGACTGCAGATAATTTGCCGCTCAGGATGTGTGTGATGGATCTGCAGCCTCCTCTTCATCAAATACGCTGCTCCTTATTGGTTAGCCTCCACCCCACTGGCAGTCAATCATCATCAGGGGAACGTAAAAGGAGGACACCTTACCATTGATGAAACTTAAGCAGCCCCGTCCCTCTGCCTCCAAAGCCAGCCATTGACCTCCTGGCTCTTCTAGAGGGGGGAGCTCTGACGGAGGGGAGGGGTACGGTTTTTCAGTTACTGTCTGCGCCCAGCGGGGGGCTAAATCTGGGTCTGGAGCAGCTGGGTTTATTTTGCCTTAGACTTGGCCTGGTTCGAGCCCAGAATCAGCCTATGTTTGGCCCAGATTCAGCCCAGATTTGGCCCGGATCAACACCATAACCTGCATGTGTCCAAGCTGATTGGCTTGTAAAGGGAGTGTGGTGATTGGAGGGAAAGGGGTTTGTTTTTTGGGATCTATGCAGCCAGGGGGGACGAGTCTTTATGAGGGAATAAGTGGAGAAGCTAAATCGGGTCAAGGATCATCAGGGTAAAAAAAAGGAGCGCTTGATAGTTTGCTGATCTTATTTGTTGATGACCGGCAGAAAACACCTGATGTGTCCTCAGAGTTGTTATTCATTGAAGTTCTTTGAAAGTTTTCATTCTTCAATCAAACACTTTCGTGAAAAATGATCTCAGTCCATCAGGTGTTTTGAGCCCGAGTGTTATTTCTATAGGCAGTGTGTTTTTAGGCCATGATGATGAGCTACAGTTTATCGATATAATGGAGTTAAAGCACATAGCTGTGTATTTGAAACATGCACAAGTGTGTGTGTGTGTGTGTGTGTGTGTGTTTGCGCAGGATGTTTAGCCATCAGCATATCTTAATGTTAAAATTCCATGTAAGCTAATGAGTGAGAGATCATGATACCAAGCCATGTTACCTAGATGAGTCAAGTAAGCTGCTACATGCCCATTTAGAAGACACTATCCGTTAAATGCGTATGGACCTATACTGAACCTGTAAGCAATGCATTAGGATAACAGATCCCACTCCTTGGTCCAGTGATAAAACTGGTCCTGCATTCTGTTCACACCCTGGCATCATCATGACTAACTCAAAGTGAGGAGAGAAACAGCCTGTGATGAAGCAGGGCTGTGAATCAGGAGTGCTTCTGTTAGTGATACCATTGGAGCAAAGAAGGGATCGACAGTATTAGAGTGACATGTTGTATTTGCAAAAGTAGCTTCAGCACCAAACAGCCTCTAGATTTCTCCATGACTATTCACAGAATCAGACCTGGGACTAAACAAGTGGGTATGTGAGAGCTTTGAAGCCCAGATTAGAAGGATTTGTAACTTGTATCATGTCTTTAATTAAACCTCAGCACCTCGCAGGATTTATTCTGTTTATTACAACCGTGGCTTCTTTGTACAACTGCAATAAAAAAATGCATGCTGTGTAAAATGTTGATAGCACACATTTTGATGGTTTGCAAATCTTTCAAACTCTACATTTAATTGATGACTGTGTAAAAACAACATTTCATTAGATCTGATGCCAGCAATGTGTTTCAAAAAAGTTGAGACAGGGACCTCAAAACACAGAAAAAGTGAAGTGATGCTAAAAAAAAGGTTCCCTGATGAAACATTTCCCAACAAATTAGGTAAATTTGCAGCAAGTCTGTAACATGACAGGGTCTAAAAAAGAAACTGAAGAAAAGTCTCTCAGGAGAGAAGATCAGAAGAGGTTCACCACTCTGTGAGCGTGTGAGCAGAAACAGTCGAACAGTTTCAGAATAATGTTTCTCTGCATGACATTGCCAAGAATTGGAGGACATCATCATCTAGAGTGAATAATGTCATTAAAAGACTCAAAATTCTGAAGAATTGCTTGGCAAAAGGTACAAAGGCCGAAAATCAATATCATGTAGCCATGACCCCCCAGGCCCTTAGGCAGCACTGCAACAAAATTAGACATGACTCTTGAGTGGAAACCTCAGCATAGACTCCGAATTGTTTCCAAAAAACATAGTCTGTGAACAGTTACACGCTGCAATCACAAATGCAGGTAAAAACTGTACCATGCTAAGAGGAGACCAGATATGAACATATTCTAAAAATGCTGCTGACTTTCCCGGGACTGAGCCTGTATAAGACGGACTAAAGGGGGAGTAGAAAACTGTCCCGTGGTCTGATAAATCAAAACTTAACATTCATAACGTCTGCTTGCTGTAAGCGCACACTTCAAAACCAGAATCTGTGACTGTATGGGGACGCAGACGTTCCCATGACATGGGTAGCAAACCTGGAAAGCTGCCATCAATATTGAAAAATCTGAACAAAAGTGTTCTTAAAAGAAGAGGTGATGCAATACAATGTCAAACATGACCCTGTCCCAACTTTTCTGAAACACAGAGTGCTGGTGATGTCGATGCAAAAATCTTGAAGGACGCAAATATTTTGATTGAACATTTCAACCGTAGTACAGTTTCATGATTTTCCAAACAAAACTCTTTGAGGGCAATAAACAAAGAGTGCATGAACATGTCTACTTTATCCTTGTGTGAATGTTTTTTTCTGCAGATGGCGCGGTCAACTTGTACCACGATCACTGCAATGTGTTTCAAGGATGACCTAACAGACAGACGGCAACAAATTTATCAAAACAAAACCCAGGCTGTAATAAACTGGTACTTTCCAGAACTCCTGGTGAGGTTTCCATGGGTTGTCTTGCTGGATATCAAAATAATCATTCTTGTGTCAACCTTGTAGATCACTGGCCTTTGTGCCTCGTTGACAATAAGAAAACAGAGAATGTTAAAATATTCCTAAAGATAGAAGTTTGGATACATAGTCTTTTGATGTTGGGTTGCAACCACAGACTGTACATTAAAAATGGACGCCATGAGTGTGCATTGGCTTTGACGCCAAGAGTTCGGGCACCCCCTGCTGACTTGTCACAGAAAAGACCATTAACCCCGCCTTCACTCTGACATCTGGAGAAACATCTTTCAAAATAGGAGCTAAAAATGGTTTCTGTTTCTGAAGATTTCTCATGTCATACTAATTGAAGCCCAAGTGTTCATTTGTTTGATTAGTTTTTAATGATAATAAAAAAAAAAAAACATGAATTGACAGATACTTTGCCAATTGCAGGCTCTTGCAGTGTAGCACAGGGATGGTGAGTGAAAGCCCTGAGTGTCTGCGTCAAATAAACCCAAGAATCTGTTTGGCTATAAACTGTCCCCACTTCTGGGATCTTTGACACTGAGACATTCATCTCTGGGAAACAAGACATTACCAGTCAGTTAAATTTGTGTTTTGTTTGGCGGAAACAATGTGACGTCAATCAGGCAGCTGTTTATTTGTTTTTTTACAGTCAGTGGTTGCAAACAAAAAGCGTGGACAAAAATTGTTCAGTAGCTCTAAAGATTGGACTAAATTTTAAAGATAACAATAATGAAAACTGGGATCATGTTTGGTTCTATATGTTTTGTGTTCTTTAGGGAGACAGGTTTGTATGGTAGTGCTTTTACATGACATCATCCTTAAACACTGTCTACTGCATAGGCTCAAACAGTTCAGTGTTTTCTCTGTGTCATGAAGGAGCGCTGGGCCCAATGATCTACTGAAAACACATGAATGACTTTGGTGTGAGAGCTCAGTTTGATGTCAGTCTAAATGTTGGCATTTTAATGAGTACACACTCTTGTTAGTGAATGGTGCTTTTCAGTACCTAGAAATTTTTTTTTTATTAATATTCAGCCCAAGTCTGATTAGAGCATTGGTTTGACCATCAGCCTAATGATGAGAAAGGACAGCAACAGAAAAGTGGAAGGAACGGAAGGCTGGAGAGTTTGGGGAACACTCTGAGGGAGGAGGAGCAGTAGGGGGGGAGGGGGATGAGCTTCAAATCAAGTGAAAGATGGTTTTGTTTACCAAAAATGCCCTCTGTCAGTCATGGAAAAGAACAGACAAAGAAAAAAAGAAAAAAAGAGAGAAAAGAAAGAATGAAAAGTGAAAGACTGATTAACGGTCAACCACAGAAAAACAAAGGTTTATTATTTAATAATAGATATATTTATAGTACAGTATATCATCTTTCAGAGAAATTCAAAAGAAAAGTAACACACCAGAAGAGCAATAACAGTGTGGCGGTGTCTGATGATTGCTGGGTCAGACTGTGCTTGCTGTGATAGTGGTCTGAAGTGGATGGTCAAAGTGCATTTAGGATGTTTCCAGTGTCACCTCTGCTGGTTAAATGGTGCATAATCGTGTTTGAAAATAATCAGCGTCGTTCAATCTCTCATTCCCTTATAAAAGCTTTGGTCTGCCTACAACAGGTACATTACCGTTTATACTAGATTACCGTATATGCTCGATTTAGCAAGGTGGAGAAAGGATTTATTATGCTGAGTTGGTCGATCTTCTTGCAGTGTGAAGAAAAAGCCTGTAAAAATACCATCAATGGGAGCAGCAGGAACCCCCCCCAAGGCTCCCTAAGATGGACAATGCATGTGAGAAGGTAGTGGTGGGTGTGTCCTTATATTCTTGCAGCACCAGAAGGGCCCAGAATGGGGAAAGCATTAAACAGATGTCAAGAGATCTGTCAGGAGACCATATATGCATACTTTTAGATCGCATGAAATACTGTGCAGTCGACCTAGGAACAGGTTTGTCCATCAGGAGGCAAAATCCCTCTCAGATACCTCAGGATAGTAGTGCCACTACGATGCGCCTAAGTACTTAAAAATCCAATCTGCACACATTTGCTCTTTACACAATATTGGTGCAGGGCTGAGAAAAGAAAAAACGCAAAACTAGAAAAGACGGGAACACTGTGTACGGAGAATGAGATGGGGCCTTTTCCAGAATCCCTGTCAGGGTCAAGACGAACACCACCCCGAGGACTCTGTGCATGTAGGCTTGTTTGCGTGTTGGCGAAGACAGATAAGTGTATATGGCAATACTGTAAAAACTGCCAGATAACTTCATACTTGTCAAAAAGTAGAAATGTCTTCAGTGATATGTCACGCTTTCACAACTGCGGATGAAAAGCATGAACAAAATGGTTCACACATGGCTAATATGATTCGATATTAGTACCCAACTTTCTTAGTAATCAACCCGCTATGTCGTATGGTTGATTCTGATTGGCCAAAACCCCTTGACAGTGGCTAATTCTGAATAAGAAGAAAAGAGTCCCGAAACATTTTACTCCCGCTTGACGACGCTGAGGCACAAATGTTTGTTTCTATTACTGTCATATGGAAAAACATGGAAAAACGTTTGTTTCCATTTTGTGTTTCCATTATTACCCACACCCCATGTATTATCCTTTTCACTGATAACTGATGTGTGAAGACAAACACTTGTTTTGACAAGTCATCAAATTATCTGGAAGTCCATACATTCTTGGACACAGAGAACATGCACGGTATTTCATACTCTCAGAAAAATCCTGTATCACTGATAGAGAAAATACTGTGACGACTGAATATTCTCCAATCATACTGTGTCTACATCAGTGTTGTTTTCGTTGACGATGACGTTGACGAAAATATTTCCTCAACGTCATTGTCAACGAAACAACACCGCAGAATATATGTTTAGCGTTTGACAGACGAAATGCTCACGAACTTTGCAACTCTGTTCGTCGTCCACCACTAATGTTTTCGTCTCGTCTCGTAAACGCACATTCGTCTCGTCACATTTTAGTCATCTAAGACTTATGTTTAACTCATCAACGTCACGTCTTTGTCATGGAAAAAAAGGGGCATTTCGTCAACGTCATCATCATCGTCAACGAAAACAACACTGGTATACATTGAATGACTACATTCTGTATATTAAATGTCTTTCTTGAACAAAAAAAGAGTTGACATTTGAAAGTATTGACACTCTTATTCCAGTTCACTTTCTATTTGGCCCTTCTGGCAGTGACTTCTAGTGAACCTACCTTCTGCCACACCCCAGGGGTACTGACGACCTCTGACCTTCTTTCCATTCACTTCAACAACCACGTTGCTGCCGACCACTGCCAGCGGCATCTTCTCCTGAAGTAGAGGAAACATTTTTTTACTATGATTAAGCTGCCAATTCAACACTTTCCATGCGTCCTGTGCCGCACATGAAGAGAGCAGAAACTTGTCTGAAAATAAGAGGTGCTCCTGGTGTGGGAAGAGACAAGCAATGCTAACTGTAGGTACCTTCACAGCAAAAGGAGAATATAGAAGTGAAGATGAAAAACTGCTAAAAGTTTGCCTATATGTCACTGAATGTTTCTGTGACCTTGCCTTTCACAGAGGCCTTGTCTATACAGCTGATAATCAGTTATGTAATCCGACTACCAGGCATTAGGAATTGGGCAAAGGCAGCTGCAGGGGTTGGACCCTAACCAAAAGACAGACTGTCTTGTATATTTTTATTTACTGTTTTTCTGAGATGAATCAGAGGTCCTTGAAAAAACTTTTCAGGCATTGCAGTTGGTTACCTTAATCTTTCGGGTGAGCTTGTTGTCGTCATCATCCTTCATGTCTGGGAATTCATAAATTTTGATTTTGTGCTCCTGAATCTCTTTCATTATCTGAGGAGGAGGAGAGAAAGTCAGAGTCAGCATTTAGTTAGTTTATAAAGCCCCCTGCATACATCAGTAGATCAACAAAGTTTAACTCCACTCTTAGATTTACAGTCATTGTAAGCTTAAAGTTATTAGTTGACATTTTATGCTTTTTTAACATCTGATGTTTTATTCTGTTCCTGGAGGTTATGTTGACACAACTACAGTTAAGTTTAATATATTTTAATGAAATCTAACTATTATGTTTAAACTGACTCATTGCAGCCTGGGGATCCATGACCCACTATTTGTACAAGAACATGCTTCATCATATATTCTGCTTGTAAGAGGAAAAGGGTACAAAGTTTACACCAGTTGGATTATTGGTCTATCTTAGATGCAGCAGCCTGATCAGCAAATGTGAAACTTCAACAATCTCATACCTGTTTTTTAAAAAGCTGGCACTCCTCTGGGGTTAGGGTGTCAGCTTTGGCAATGAGAGGAATGACATTGACTTTGTCATGCAGTCTCTTCATAAACTCTATGTCGAGGGGTTTCAGTCTGGAAGAGACAGAAGAGAGAAATTATGAGGGTTTGGTTTAATCTACATCCACATGCAAACAGCTCAAACAAGCCCAACCACCTACCATTAGGAAACATTTTGGAAAATAAACAAACAACTTGAACAGGCTTGCGATATATTACAGTGATGATAGTTCATCTAAATGAGCTGTGGAGTCAAGCGTGGTGATGTTTCCAAGGAGGGGTGGGGGGCTGAGTTTGCAAGACAGAATAAAATAAATAAAATGCTTCACTGCATGGCTTTAAATGAGGGGAAAGTAGTTCAGTGGGTCACCAGCAGAGGGCAACCAAAACCAGACTTTATTCCCTCATAGCCCACAGCAAAGGCACAACGACGGCAGCTGAGTGTGACTGACTTTTTTGTCTTGTGTGTTCTTTTACTGTGGAAACAACTGATGGTTTTGTCCCGCTGTGCTGATGAGCGATTGTCTTTGTAATCCTGGGGGGGGTAATACGCAGTTTATGGGATGTCAAGTTTTATAGCCGCATAGTGGGAAGTTTTGGAAGCAGCTGCATACAAACGGCACGCGTGCAGCTGTTGCAGAATGTAAAACTGCTTATTAACTTTAGTCCATAGTACAAAAGACAGGACAGTTCATTGATATGAGAACAACTTGACAAACATCTTTTAAGAGCATTAGTGAAGGAGATGTTGAGTTGCTCATCTCAGGAATGAAGATCGACAGAGAGTCAAATCACAGCTCTCCATTTGTAGAAGCAGTCAAATACAGATCAGTTTTTGGGCAGTAACTTAGACGATATTGTGTTAGGGTGATGGCAAAGGAAGGTGGAACATAACCTCAATTCAGTCACAACTGCTTTAGTCAAAGAGAACCAAGCCTTTTCATGCATTAAGTTATATTTTGCGGTAATATGAGATCTCCCTGTTGTTCCACATGAGCGCAAGGAAAACCAAAGACTAAGGCAGGGAGAGCAGCAGCAGAAACCCCTTTGGTAATGTGACAACACATATACTACTGATAAAGCAGGAGCTGGGGGTTGTACTGTGGTCCGTGGAGAAAGCGGCAAGGTAAGGTTGGCAGATTACAAAACAGATTACATAGAGTGTCCATGTTGATATTTGCCAATTATGCAGAGGATATTCTGCGGAGCTGTCAGCTGACTTGGGCCGGTGTTATGTTCAGCTGACTGCTTATTTACTATCATCCATAGTACAAAACACAGGACAGTTCATTAAAGGTCGGTGCCAATAGCTATTGGCTGATAAAAACTGGTTGGGAGGGGTCGTGTTTACATTCAAGATTTCTCCCAAAAAGTAGCACTTCCTCAGATCCTGCCTACCCCACCTTTAATATGGGAACAACTTGACTAATATCTGTGGGCTGATCATGATTTTCTACCCTGCCTGAGCTAACGCTATGCTTAATTAATGTTAACTCCACTGCAGCAATAACTGTCCTTATTATAGGCACATCCAGCTGAAGCAGAGGCAGCGCTGGTCAATCTCATTTTTTGTCTGACTAAATGAAGCTGCCTGCTCAATTGTTGCAATTACATTAGACAAAACTCGAACACTGATGCCTTCACTCACTGTTTGGTCATTAATCCAGTCCTGGGGCCATAAACTTCTGATAAATAGTCTTGTTATAATCAAGAAATCTGCCATTTGTTTTTGAGATAATGAGATAATTGAACCAGTTTTTATGAGACAATCAGCTTTGTTATCTCGAGTTAATGACATTAAAAATAATCACAAGCATGGCTGGTCTAGAGCACACGTGGACAGAAAGATCGGCAACAATAACACTTTAAAAAGACAAATACTGATTATCCTTTATACAGATCCAGGAGAAATTTCCTGTCACATGGACTGTTCCACTCTTGTCTTTGGATAAATAATGGTAAGATGATGCAGCATTTATGTATTTCAAGAATCGCTTGAAATTCACTGTAGGTTAGGAGTTATAGCCGGTCATGAGAGTGTCAGAGACCGTTGATTTCCACCCAGGAGGTTGAAAAATGACAACTACAGAAGAGGATTGATGGTACAAGAGTGAGAGGCTGCCTGCAACATAAACCAACATATTCAAATTCTTTGTGGTTGGTGCTTTAAAAAGAGGTTTGTGCAAAACATCAAAGTCACTTTACAATAACGTCTGCAGATTCAAACAGTACAGATATGATCTAGATTTTTGTTTATTCAAAATCAGTGAGTGGACACACAGCTATAATCTATGGCTGGTGCTGCAGCCACACTGACAGGAGGATGTTCAAGGGAAGACAAGTGACTACACACAAGCGCACACACCATCTGAGAGACTCCAGGATGAGACAAGACAGAGTGTGTTTGTCTGAGATGAGAGGCTTGCCTCTATGAGCTGCTCCCAGCCTCCGCTCTGATTGGCTGAGTCAGTGATGAGAACGGACCTCTACTGAGCATGAGCACAAGTGGGTTATATAAGCTTTGTGGGTCACAAAAATTGGCTGCCACAGACACACACACACAAACACACTTGTGCACTTCCTTTTTGCTCCGGCTTCAAGCTTGGATAGGAAGCGGGATAAAAAGGTAGATTCTCCTTCCAAAGTGAAGTCCTCCAAGCCAAAGAGAGGCCATGCATGTTGTGTCCTTACCTCCCTTTGAACACTGCATCACTTCACTTCACAGGGTTTAGCACAGCCCCATCATATGGACCAGTGATAAACAACACTAGCTGTTCTCAGTTAACAATCCCTTTGAATGTTAACTGTTCTGGCCTCAGAGCATGTCCTTTTTACCTGCTTTTGACTTTCCCTTTGCTGACTCTGGAGTCATACATTTCACAAACTGTAACGCTAATTTCTCTGTTAGATCATACCATGTTGTCCAATTTTGTCACATACTATTTAACAAGTTTGTGATGAAACTGACTAACAAGGGAAGCTTTATGATGAGAACAAACTGTCCTCCCACTGCCAACTTGCTTCAGAATAGTTCATCTTGTCGAGAACTATGAAACTATACACATCTTTAGCCTTAAAAGACATTCAAAGCAACTATATTTCTAAAAAATGGCTGATATTTCTATTCTTAATGTGTTCAATCAAAAGGTAAAGTTTGATTACCTGGTGGCCTTAATCAGTACCTGGATTTCACAGATGAAAACCAACTGAAGGCTCTTTGTTTCAGTTCAAAGTGTCAGTTTATTGCCATGTCTGTCTGGAGCTTTAAAATCACTTAAATGGCTATGTACTTAATGGACTTTGTAAACAACTAGTATTGATGCAGGAAAGAACTCAAACATGGAAAAGATTTTTTTTTCATTATAGCATCAAGGGAATATTTCTCCTGAGCTAAAACACAAATGTAACTGAACACAGAAGTGATGTAACTTTGTATATTTGCATCTCACGCAGACCTACCCGTGTCCAGAGGGTGCAATGAAATACAAGCAACAGTGCACCCGGCTGTCTGACACCGAACTCCGGTTCACCCTTGACTCTGCATTCAGGAAGTCCTCGCACTTACTGTCAATGTAGTCTATGACCGGCTGCCAACTAAGAGAAGGAGGAAAAAAAAGGAGGAAAAACAAAGAATAAAAAACAAATAGTACTTTTGAAGATTTAAATAAGCACATGTGTATCACAGAAACATCCTGATTGTGCTAGCTCCCCTCACCAGTTGCTATTATCAACAGCATCTCCAAACCCTGGTGTGTCTACAATGGTGAGTGTCAGGTAGACCCCTCCTTCCTTAATGAGAACTTTGCTCTGCTCCACCTGAAACACAACAACATGCACATTATTCAGCAGGATACTCATGTTAAAAACCTCTGACCAACACCTTAGCCCTGTTTCTTTCAGTGCTCTGGTCATCTTTTTGAGTTTGTGCGCATTCACCACAATCTGAATACAAGAATTTACTGTAGATTAGCAAAACAAACATTCCCACACACATTTGTCTGCGTGTTCGACTGTGTGACACTTTCCTCTCCCACTCAGAGAGCACTGATGAGACATCACCATGCTGTCAGTGCTCCCACACAGCCAGTGGGGAGAGACACAGACACCAGTGTCTGCTGGTTGGATGTGTGAAGAGTCTCAAACTGCAGCCTCCCAAACCAAAGGGAACACAATAACAGCAGAAATGATCAAGAAACTCATGGTTAGTAGTGGGGTGCCTGGACACTCAGTCATTTCAAATTCGTGTAAAAGTTTATTTTTCACTTCCAATTTGTATATTATGGTCTATAGAACAATTTTGGTTCGAGTGTGAGGAAACCAGATTGAAGAAAAATATATTTTTTTCCCTATTTCCAAAATGGCCAAAATCGGAATTATGTTTTTTGAATAAGGTTTTTCCACAATTGCTCTGGAGGAGTACTGATGTTTTCTATATTTATTTGTGGAAAAACAATTCAGGATGGCACAGGAAAAAAGACACACATACACCAGTCCTGGTTGATGTTGGCCCCATATCATCCTGTAACAATCCATCTGCTGCAGCTAAGGTGCTGAAGTAGTTTAAGACCCAACATATTTTTCTAAGGAAGTAAGTGTTATGATATCTGAGTGTTACTTAACTTGGAAACAAAAAAAAAGGGGGCGCAAGAAACCATGCACATTCACATTCAGTCCCACAGATCCATCATTTCATGCAGCTCATCTGCTGTTCCCCCACTTTGCCGCATACTTTCACAAGGCCATCTAGTTATTTTAGGATCCCCCTTTAACTCAAACTACAGCTCTCTTGCTCTAACACAAACATTCCTCAGCTTTCATAAGCCTTCGGATGATCTGAATGACTCTACAGCTGAGCACATATATCACCCGCCACAATCATCTGACCTATCTGAGTTTCATCCTGCACCCAGCATGTGTTCAAATGGGTATGTTCTATGAGTGTATGTGCATGACATGTCGGCCATCTCAAAACCAAATCTGCTATTTTCACTATTTCCACGAAGAAAAACAGTTTGGGAAAAAACCTCAAAAATGCTGTCGGTTCAAACACCATCATTTTCAAGAAACCCAAGCTGAGGGAATGCGAGTGAGCGACAGAACACGAGAGATTGTTCTGGAATATAAATACTCTGACCCTGGCTCTCTCCCTCAGCCTCTGACCACAGCACCCAGGGTGAACGCTCTCACACACACTAACTGCTACTTGCAAAAGAGCATGAATGCCCACATAGCACTCATGGGGTTCACATGAGGTTAGCTATGAGTGACAAACCAAAAGAGGAGCACGGAGATTTGTAATGTTTTTAGTCCCAGCAAAACAGAGTAAATTTAGTTCTGGGCTAACATAACAGAGCTGCAGTCATAGGGTCACAGGGATGCAAAAGCTTCAGCAAAATCACTTCATTGTTTATTCAACTATCAGGGACATAAAGCATGAGGGAAAGGTTTCAGTATCACAAATCTAACCCAGAAGGCGGGAACACCAGATTTCACTGCCCAAGAACATAAAGCACTGAACTGCTGCAGTTGGATCTGTTTCTATTGAAAATAATCACACTATTCTGAGACATAGCAGCCAGGAGTAACACAAACACCTCCAGCACACCTAAATTCTCAGATTACTCGCACCAAATTTATCATTCAATGTTTTGTGTTTCTAGGGCTGAGGATCCGTCAAGCACTGACACCAAAACATTGACTTTGAATTTGCCCCGAGAAATTCTTTTTTACATTTAACAGGATAGAGTAACATCAATAAACCACGAGCTGCTGTGTTTGAGACTCCCTGAAAATAGCCAGCAATCACCCGGGGGTGGTGCCTGACTTCCTGAGTTGCATGCTGTTGTGTGCCTATGGTGTGTAGCTCCTAGAAACGGGTTGTCTCATCTTTTTTTGGGAAGAGCAAGCAAAACTGTGACCTAAAAAGTTGTTTAATAACTTCACATTTGCCTTGAATCCGGGATTAAATCTGTGGATTCCTCCCTCTTTGAAGTACCTTCATATAGAAGTGATTTCATACTTGTTATTTATAACTGCCTTTGAAAAAGAAATGGGGGTTGCTCACACACCATCTGCGAGCATGACAACAAGTTAGTTGCAATGAGCGTCTGTCCAGCGTCTGCACAGTGTGCTGTACTCCCGGGGTTTTTTTCTGTACCTAGATTTCTCTGATCCTGCAGGAGCTTTTTTCTGTGTGGCGTTTGCATTCTGTCCTCGTACATATACGAGTTCTCTTTGGGTAGGTGGTTGTTTTACTACCAAGGAAACTGTACTGAAGGATGTGTAGGTGATCCTGCAGTGTGGGTTTGAGAAATAACCTGCCAAGAGTGATTCAACACAATCGCAGAAGAATTCAGAGTGACGTTGTTTTAAACTGTGTGCAGAGAGAGTTTAATACAATTTCATTCTCATTTTTACCTGGACTCTAGGTCCACACTGAAAGATAACATGATACATAGAAAGACTGCACGGTGTGTACTTATTTGTGTGTGTGTGGGGTGGGGGGTTGCATTTCATGGGAACATTCCTACACTGTTATTGACCCTTTTAGGCCCCAGGGGACAAACAGGGTCTGTCACCTAAGTCTCTCCCCTGCCCCCCCAGACTCAGTCTTCAGATGCACTCTTGCTGCCTGCATCCCTCACCTCCATTCACTCCTGTCCACAAACCTTTCTCCACCTTTAAGTGGTCTCGCTTGCTGTGCTCTCTTTTCTCCTTGCCTTGGCAATACTTCTCACTTCTTCTCCCTCCCTCTGTCTTTTGCACCCCACTGCTGCTCCAGATGCAGCCTCCCTCCTCCTCCTCCCTGTCAGTTTGTCATGACCATAAAAGGACAAAAGCAGGCCCAGTGGCCTTGCCCTCTACCACTTGGTTCTTCTGCCCTTCTTGTTTGCTCCTCTTCTTTCACAACACTCAAACCTCCTCTCTCCTTCATCTCCTGAATAATCTCATCATTTGCTCCCATTATCTCCCCTATAAGATTTAATATGATAGCTGCTAACAATTAATCCATCATGAACTCGCTGTATTGAATTATCAGAGTGGTGCTTTCGATTAAAAGCATGTTTCAATGTGAACTTCTGACTGACACCCGCTCATTTGGAATTGCTAATTTGTCTCAAAAAGAACAAGTATGCTGAAAGCTGGTCACAGGGGATCTTCGATATTTTCCTGCTCAGTTATCCTCTGAAGTTGTTATCAGCTGATGCAGATACTACAGTGCATCTCTGCTTTTAAATATCAGCTTCATGGTTTGAGGTAAAGCTCCTTCTTCCTCAACCTTTATTTGGTTGAGTTTTCCCCTCATCAACTGACCTCGAAGTCAGGATTTCATTTAACAGACTAACAGAATTAACAGACTTCATTTAACCTTACAAGTTTGAGATACCACTAAGCATAACTATAAAAGGCAGGGAACAGGTTTCAGCTTTAGAGTTTTGTGTAACATTATATTGACCCAAAGGCAGAACAAAATCCTCAGACACCCTCCATGTGTTACATTATTGTTAGATGTGTTATAGAGAGGGTGAACGATAGCTTGTCTTTCACTGTTTCACCCCTCTGCCCTAACTCCTGACCTTTTGTTATCTTGAGTCTCCACAGGCAAAGTTCAGACAAAGGTAACATCTGAAGAGCCTATAGTTTTACTTTCTTAAAAACCAGACATCTAATATCCAGGGATACCTGCACTTACAAATCTTACAATTCATCATTTTTACGACCGTCATTAGGTTTGGGATTTATGATGCAGAGGCTAACCTCTGTATATCTTTGTAACCAGCTGTTAGCAATAAATGACTTATAGCCAAGACATCTACACTCACCGGCCACTTTATTAGGTACACCTGTCCAACTGCTCGTTAACACTTAATTTCTAATCAGCCAATCACATGGCGGCAACTTAGTGCATTTAGGCATGTAGACATGGTCAAGACAATCTCCTGCAGTTCAAACCGAGCATCAGTATGGGGAAGAAAGGTGATTTGAGTGACTTTGAACGTGGCATGGTTGTTGGTGCCAGAAGGGGTGGTCTGAGTATTTCAGAAACTGCTGATCTACTGGGATTTTCACGCACAACCATCTCTAGGGTTTACAGAGAATGGTCCGAAAAAGAAAAAATATCCAGTGAGCGGCAGTTCTGTGGGCGGAAATGCCTTGTTGATGCCAGAGGTCAGAGGAGAATGGCCAGACTGGTTCGAGCTGATAGAAAGGCAACAGTGACTCAAATAACCACCCGTTACAACCAAGGTAGGCAGAAGAGCATCTCTGAACGCACAGTACGTCGAACTTTGAGGCAGATGGGCTACAGCAGCAGAAGACCACGCCGGGTGCCACTCCTTTCAGCTAAGAACAGGAAACTGAGGCTACAATTTGCACAAGCTCATCGAAATTGGACAATAGAAGATTGGAAAAACGTTGCCTGGTCTGATGAGTCTCGATTTCTGCTGCGATATTCGGATGGTAGGGTCAGAATTTGGCGTCAACAACATGAAAGCATGGATCCATCCTGCCTTGTATCAACGGTTCAGGCTGGTGGTGGTGGTGTCATGGTGTGGGGAATATTTTCTTGGCACTCTTTGGGCCCCTTGGTACCAATTGAGCATCGTTGCAACGCCACAGCCTACCTGAGTATTGTTGCTGACCATGTCCATCCCTTTATGACCACAATGTACCCAACTTCTGATGGCTACTTTCAGCAGGATAATGTGCCATATCATAAAGCTGGAATCATCTCAGACTGGTTTCTTGAACATGACAATGAGTTCACTGTACTCAAATGGCCTCCACAGTCACCAGATCTCAATCCAATAGAGCATCTTTGGGATGTGGTGGAACGGGAGATTCGCATCATGGATGTGCAGCCGACAAATCTGCGGCAACTGTGTGATGCCATCATGTCAATATGGACCAAGCTCTCTGAGGAATGCTTCCGCACCTTGTTGAATCTATGCCACGAAGAATTGAGGCAGTTCTGAAGGCAAAAGGGGGTCCAACCCGTTACTAGCATGGTGTACCTAATAAAGTGGCCGGTGAGTGTACATTAACCCCTTAATGAGTGTGATGATACTTAAACTATCTCTTTAAGTACCAGCTATCCAGAAATGTTCCCTTTTATTCACCGTTTCTGATAATATCAGTTCGTCAGTTCGTGAGCAAAAGTTAAGTAAAGTTAAGCAAAGTGCAGAGATCTATATATCTATATATATATCCCGTATAGTCAGGCGTGTCAAAATTCGCCTCTGAATATTTCTTAATTTCGCGTTGTATATTTGCCTCAGTCCCAGTGTGTAAGGACCTTAAGGCTTTCACACTTAAAAATACCCATAAAAAGGAGCTAAGCTAATATTTGCAGTTTTCAGCAATACACTCCCAATTTCTAAATGTCAGTCTCTTGTTAGAGCCTGATATGTAACAATGACACGAAATGTTATAAAAAAAAAATGTAATAAAGCCAGAAATGTTATAATTTTTCAACAATATGACAAAAGTGTTGACTCCAAATGCAACAAGTTTCTACATTTGGAGCAAAAAGTTCTTACGGTTTTGGTTCAGCATCTTGTTACAAGTATTATATTTCAGGATTTATTACATCTTTTTTATTACATTTCAGGTCATTGTTACATATCAGGCTCTAACAAGTCTGATTGTGCATCAGTTGCCGTGCAGTATACAGGGATCACAAGAGCTGATCACGGCCTTATCACCTGCTCCCAAGTGGTTGGATGAATTTCTGGTATGTCAAAAACTTTGCTCAGCTTTCTTCACCCTCCTGCACAATAAAAGCAGGACCACAATACAGTTCCCTGGAATGTCTGAAAGCACCATGACAACAAGAATCAAGAGTCATGAACATCACCATTAGGTCTTCAGGGTATATTTTTAAGAGATAGAGGACATACTACTTACATCTTACCATTAATATTATTTTTTTTACAATAACTTAACAATGGAGATGCACAATATTTGACTTTTGCTGATACCTGATGTGCTGATATTTTCAAACTCATTGTAGCTGATACCGCTATATACACAGCTTTTTTATTCAAAAGAATATCAAATTTCTCCTCTAACAGACTGAACCTGTCACTCTTATAGTTTCAGTCTATTTGTTTTAGAACCAGACAAACAGCATTTGGTTCAGCCAGAAATGATAAATATCTTTTGTTTAAATATAGACATATAGCTAGGGGTCTTCTATATGTTCCTCACACTTCCAAACACTGAGGTACAGTCAATATGTGATAGCTGTCATCGTATCTACACAATCATTGCATCTTCACTGATAATGACTTGTTAAGCTAATATCTGCTGATACCGATATCATGCCAATAATATCATGTGTTACGCAAGCTCACCTGAACAGTTTTCTTAATGCGATGGGAGGGTCCAGGGTAATCCTTAGAGTACAGATCAGTCAGGAACAGAGAGTTGATGAGTGTTGATTTCCCAAGACCAGACTCTCCTAAGAACAAACAAAATTATGACAAAGTTTATTTATGTTTAGAAACAAATTAAATCTTGTCCCCTATGTGTTAAAATAAAATAAAGTCAGCGTTTCGTATTCGATCATACACAGCAAACCAAAATATGGCCACAAGTTATGTTCATGCACGATTACACTCAACAGAAAACACACCAGTATTATCACTTGTGTTCCTCTATTGCACACACACACGCACACACACAGAGCCTAAAGGGGCAGGGTTGGAGCAGAAAAAATAAAGTCAATTTATTGTCTGTGGGGGAAAAGGTCGAGAGCTCGTCCGCTGCCAGCTAGAAAAGCTTTCAGATCGAGGGAATAAAACATTTCCTCTCCACCTCCTGCTCTCTCTCACCAAACACACACTTCCACGCCTCCTCGTCCTTTTTCACTAAAGGCTTCCCTTGTATATAAATCTTCCTTTTTCTCTTCCTTCTGTGCCTTGCTCCTGAGCTGATGTTAGGGGCAGCTATCACACCAACATACAGAGTTAACATTTACTCATCAATGAGCCCAGTCCAAACACACACACGCCATAGACTCTCACACACACAATGCAGTGATTAATGGCTGAGCATCTGGCTTGTATCTCTTGAAAGACATGGAGGAGGGTTTTGTTGGAGGGCTGCTTGTCCGAGCAGGACCTCCGGCTAAATCTCCCTGAAACCATTGACGTGCCTCTTAGACAGAGGTTCTTTGTTTTACCTCATGAAGATTATCTAATGACAGACATTTAAACAAATAATAAGCAGTTGGACATCGTATCTCTAATAAAAGTAGATCCTCAGATAGGAGTACTCAGGGTTCAAAGTGTTCTGTTTAAAAAAAAAAATGACAGTAGCACAGCAGACAGAGTGGCCAGACCTCTTCGGACAAACTTTAGTCTCTCAATTTCAGCAATAAGTCCTACAGAAGACAGCACAGGTCATGACCCCCCTTTTGTACAGATATTTTGTGGTGCATAATGTAAAGAGCCTCACAATGTAGGAAACTGCTGTATTTTCATTTTCACTTCGTGACTAAAACAGTATAAAATGTTGCTTGTCATTCAAAGATCACGTCTGCACTAACACCTTTGCTTGTGCATGAAAAAACTTTTTCTTCTTGTTTTTATACAGTTTAAAATCTGTATGTGGACTTCACTTCAATATTGTGTTTGTGCGCTTTGAATGGTCAGAGGACCACAGAAACCCCCTTATAAACACAGACCATTTATCATTTACCTTATTTTTGCAGTACTCTGACCCTGTTTATGACCTGACAACAATGAATAGTGCAAAATCACTGCCTTGACTGTAAGTTTGTCTCATGGTGACATTTTCAACCACGCAGCTAAATTTAACAGAACACCAGCTACATGATATAAATGTCAACACCCCGCCTGCTGGCTTGCAGGGATTCTTCCTGAAAAGATTTCCAGCTGTGTTCTCACATATAGCCCAAAATATACCACTAATTATCCCGGTGAAGACTTTTCCTGGCTAGAAAAGCTGGAAACGTCATCACACGCTCAAATACACTTATAGCCAATCAGAGGGGATAAGATAAGCACATGAAACTATGCTAACAACCATTAGCATATGTTAGCACAGGTGAAAGTTAAAACAAAGACGTTTAGCAAACTGTTAAAGCACACAAAACATCGTCATATGAGAGATTCGATGATATGACTCTCCACAAGTTGTCCTTCAGGTCGTTATCTTTGTAATGTGTGTGTCTTTTATCATAAAGCACTCAGTTCGGCCATGTAGGATATACCAGTGAATCAGACGTTGCAACAACACGCAACCTGATTGGTCAGAAGTGGACACACAATATGCGAAACTTTAGAAAAATCGACCATGATCCGAAAAAAATAAATGCCGCAATATCGCAGGACGGGAAAACGTTGCTGATGTGAACGCTTATATTGACAGGATACGGATTCGAAAAAAATATTGATGTCCGAAATATTCGCATGATAAAAATGGTCCCGGTGTGAAAGGGCAACTGACAAGACAAAAGAAGAGCTTTGTCTGATTTAGTAATCCTTCAGAGTGGGGAATCTAGACGTAGATCGTTGTCCACACCAGTTGACAGAGAGAGCCGTGTGTAGGGTTAGTCCAAATATTTTGTCAGATCTCACTCAGGCCCTGTTTCACAGCTCTTTCCACTTCCTGAATGCAAATACTAACTCAGTTTTATCCTCTTCAAAGTCCTCCACCTGCTGTGGGTTAACATTAGCAGGGAGAACAGTTTCAATCTTTCTTTTCAACAGGACATCTGTGTTTTCCATCAGTATGTGCCGACATGGTGTGAAGACCCCGTGGATTCCAGTCTTTACCCCTCCTTAACCTCTCACTCTGGCCCCTGTGTGTGTTTGCTCATGTTATGGATGATATTAGGTGTCAGTGAGTTATGAGCACACACACACACACACACACACACACACACACACACACACACACGCACACAGACACAGACTGGCTGCAGAGGCTATAGGAGACACCGAGAGACGACGGGCGACCCCCTTTTGATGGACTGTTTGGAGTTAAGGTCAAGCATGCTCACACACAAACTCAGACATACACAAAGGCTGTTACACGACGGGACAGCGCAGATGTACGGCACCCCCCCCTCCTCCTTAGACCTGTGTAGCTAGCTCCCAGCTTCGCTAAGGACAGAAGGTTATCTAAATGTGAGGAAAGAGGGACTCGTTGAGTGTGTGTCTGGGTTTGTGTCTCCTGCTATATCTGCCCTGTTAGTAAGTTAGTGTTACTTTCTCTTCTTGTTGGTTTTTGACCCCCACTGGACACATGGGGTGCCTCTTCCCCTTTTCCCTGTTTTCTTAGAGAAACCTAACCCCGATTTTTTATAACACTCACTCACATGGAAAGTGTATGAAAGAAAAAAAAAAACCCACATGTTCTGCATCGACGCTCTCTTTGTGTCAAAACTCTGCCTTCACTTTCAGTTATGAAAACCACCTTACAGCCTGAAAACATCACGTGGAACCTTCAGCATCTTTCGAAGAAAAATAAATAGATCTAAGAAGAAGAAGGAGGACTTGTACTGTTCAATGAAGCAATATGGCATATTCTTGATGATCTGCTGTCCAAGGAGAGCGTAGCCTCAAACAATTCAAGAGGTAGCTCTGTTCCTCACAGGCAAGAAAGTGGAACACTGAAGTACCAGGCAGGGGTAAGGGTCACAAAAAAGTGCACAGCTGGTACCTGTGGTAATTGCAGCCACAATGTTTAAAAGACATGAGGAGATATTCAATGATATCTTAGATAACATCCACACAGCCCACATTGAAAGACGGCGGCATCAGCCCACATTGGTAAGCTGTTGTCTCTCTACATGAACCTTTTCCTGTTTCATAAACAGTACTCTAATTTGCATGAGGCCTTCTCATATTTTGAATCACACCACCTGCTTTGGTTCTGACCGCCCTATATCCTGACATTTTTGCTCTACATCTTTCTGACTTTTTAAAAGTCTCTTGTGTGTGAACCACTCTGTAACACTTAACCTGTGTGAAAGCAGTGTCGCCTCAGGGTTTCAGGACAAAATGTCATGGGTCAAAGGTTTCAGTTTCAGTTCCTGACGGGCTACACTTGGGGTTTTGCTAGACCAGGCTTGCCCTGTCTTGCCTGCAGAGCAGATGTGTCATCCCAAAAGCCCAGACAGGGGGGACTCAGACAGCCCAAACACCCTCAGTCTCTGGTCCCCAGTCTTCCCACTGACAAAACATTGCAGGAGACTGTCAGCAAACATCATGTTAGCGGTTCTAATTAAACGTAACATGTTGCACAAACATTTCAGTAAGGGGGGGTAAGGAAGCTCTGTGGAAACAGCAGCAGATGATCTTTGTTTAGAAGTTGAGAACTTCTCCAGAAGGTAACATTTACCAAATAAAGGGATGCAAAAAACGGTGCATGGCTGCTCTCTTACACATGTTTGTACAGCTGAAGACAGATCTGAGATCTGCGGTGCAAAGTGAAGGGTTTGTTTGTCTAAAAGAGAGTCCCACAGTGTGATGATGCCTCACTCTGTCACTGCAGTAGTCTGGATCCCTGAGGGCAGGTTTGTCCCAATTAGCCTCCCTAGTTCAGCTTTAATTAAATATCGGTTCCACACGACATGTGGAAGCGCGGTCCGTAAATAGACTAATGACATGAATGTCGATGATGGATGGAACGGATGGCTGACCCTTCCAGCTACTCCCTGCTGTTTCTCTTCCTCTCTCACTGTGAGCCATCTCTGCATATTTCCAAAGCTCTGTCTCATCACATTCCACTCTGTCCTATTTCTCTGCTCTCTCTCTCTGCTGCTACTTTTGAGCCTCAGCTCATTTTTGAGAGGGGATCATTACTCCCCCTATCAAGAGACTGAGGGTAGTCCTTCTCTTCCTCCATATGTACAGTGTGTCTCTACACCTTATTTCTGGAATAGCTACAGATACGAATGAATGATTTGACTGATACCAAGGCACCTTCGTCACTGTCTTGTTCAATTCCTACGGGCTTTCTAGGACTATGCAGGGTTTTGTTAAGTCTGATTCTGCTTGTGTGCATGTGCATTTAAGTGTGTGAGTATGTGACACCCCCACATTGTCCACCTGTCATGTGTCCGCAACTTCATCATACAAGTAAAATCACTCACTTGGAGAGCATTATTTTGCCAAGGTAATATAGGGCTGGGCGATATGGCCTCAAATCAATATAACGATATATTGAGCAGTTCACCTCGATAACGATAAATCCACAAGCTGCTCACCCCCTCCCACATTAACTCCATCTACTTCAGCCGCTCCAGCCACGAACACTTTTGAACCGTCCTCCATCTCCTCACCTGTCTTTCCCTCTTTGTTACGGACTGAATGGGGTAAAGTCACGTCTCCCATGAGGACAGCGTCTTAAAGCGACATGAGACCATAGCCTACCTACACACATCCCAAACCAACTTTTATTCATTTATTTTTTGATACAGAATATACCGATATGGGGAAAATTACCTCAGTTATTGTCATAAATTTTGGTATTGTTAAATTTTCGGTTTATCGCCCAGCTCTAAGGTCATGGTTATGGCACTGTTGTTCACTTGCAATGTGAAAAGGGCCTGAAAGCAACAAATTCAAATTCTGCTGCATAGATTTACAGTGTGCGAGACAACTGCTTTCTACCTTTCAGTTTGAACATTTTGGTTTTCTTTTAAAGGCATAATGACCCAAATATAGGACAGGATTTCCACCCTTAAAATACTTGGGAAACACATTGAATTGTCTTTTCTTTAGGTTTGGTAACATATTGAGACAGTGCTGCTACTTATATGTAAAGCAAGAGCACTTCTAATGACAGATACCAGACGTGTGCCAGGAGTACCTGCAGACATATCCACAGTGTGTAAAAAGCCAACTGATATTCATTTTCAGGATACACTTTTTTGCTCAAGCTTACTTGCAGACATTTGCATGCTCCTATTTTGCAAAATAGGTTTGATGCTTTAATAAGAGTAACTCTGTGATACACGACCACTGTTAGATATCTTGGATAACCCCAATAAAATTCCAAATAGATAATAAATAGCTCCAAAACTATCAAATATATGTTTTTAAGCTCACTGATTAATGGAGGGATTCATCTAGAGATTTAAAACCCTGCATATGACATACAAACACTGAAAGAGCTTTTTGGAGCTGGGTCAAAACACAAACAAACATACAAATGGTCCCAGTGGACTTCCCATGGGATTCCTCACATTCCTCCCTCTCTTTCTTCCAATTCTGTCTCCCCCCTGTCTCTCTTTCTCTCAGCCCTGAGGGCAGCAGCTGGCCTCCTCACATCCTGACAGGCCCGCAAACTAGCACCCAACAAAAACACACACACACACACACTTCCACGCATACAGAGTACACCCACATCACAGGCATGTGTAAGGCCTGGACCAGAGAGTGTGAAATGAGACATCTGGGGAACATACAGGCATGAAAAGAGAGAGCAGCAGAGACTGAGTGACAGACACACAAACGGTGGATGTGAGAGAAGTCGTGTTTGGTTGTTAGGGAAGCTAATTCTCCATTGTCGAGGCTAAATCTCTGTGGCAGGGGGGCAAAGGTCAGGGTATGGCCAAAGATAAGGATCTGCAAGTCCAGCACAGTCCATAGACAAGCCAAAATCCAACTTAAACTGTGTCAGCGCTCCATCCCAAAGCCTGGGTCATACTGGGCCAGCCGAGGGACACAACCCATTTTCCTCTGGTTTTTCATTTGTGTTAAATTAAAGAGTGAGTGTTCTGCTGCGACCCACCGAGCCTGAGACTAAATCTGACAGAATCGGCACGTGCTGGGTTACGGCAGACATGTGCATCTCAAAATAGAGATGCAGAGGAGCGGAGCAGAACAGAGAGAAGGAATGAGTAAAGAGAGTGAGAGAGACTCGCCTGCAGTGGTCTGACTGAGCATGCATGAACATGCACATGTGCACGACCCCGTCCATACATGCACATGCACGCTGACAGAGTGGCCTGTACTGAGTGTGTTGCCCTGAGGCAATGAGCGGTCTTTGTGGAGAAGATTTGTAAACAGGCCTCTGTCCTGCAATAATGAAGAGGCACGGTTTCATGACCACAGACACAGGGCAGGGAGCAGCAGACTGGAGGATGCTAAGCTCAACTTTAAGCAACGTTCTGTACTTTTCAGCTGACCTGTTTATACACCAGGAAAGACAAAAATTTAGAGCCCTGGGGTTTTTCTCTGTGCATGATTAGATGTCAAGTGTGTGCGCGCGAGAGAAATCCATTTAATGTTAATACCCTATTTTTAAGCTTTTCTCTATCTAAACTGGGTTTATACTATGATGGAAACACTGGCAGTTGTGGCTGATAGTCTGTGTCCCTAAAGTGCAGGACAGTCGGAAAAGGAAGAACAATTTCAGGTTATAAGATCTGCCTAGGGCTGAGCGGTAAAACGATAATGATATATATCAAAAATGTATTTCCCTCAATATCGATATGACACATGGTCAATATGCTTTTCAATAGCCGTCATTCTGCCATGTTTTGGTAGACGACACAAATAGCCAATGAAAAGGGGAGTTGCTCCACCGTGCTGAACAAACCATTCAGTCTGCTTTCTCTAGCGCAATGCCTTACGACAAAACGTCCAAGAGACACAAAGACCTCACAGATGCAGTAGCTTAGTGTATTGCAAAAGACATGCTACCAATAAGTGGCCGGTGCTTTAGGAAACAGTAAAATCTTGCTGCAACTTGTCTTTAATGACAAGTTTTCCATTGATCTGTGGATCACAAGTGATACCAACTGTGGGGGGTGACATTATAAGGGTGACCTGAGATCATCTTCTTGCTATAGGGTAGACTTACCAACATGACACTGATGTATTTCACACTCTTGTTGAAAGTCAACAACCAGCAAACTGTTCTTGAAGCCCTGAAGTTTGGACAAAAGGTGTTGACAGAACAACGTCACCAAGTGTAACAGAGCATTCATGTCCTACACTCTGAGTGGCAGGGCAAAGTAGTCCATATGCTGTTGCCACAGAACGTGTACCCTAGCTCCTTTGGGGGGGATGCAGGGACACTCTCGGGCTGCATGGGACTAATCCTTTTAACATGCTCTGAGTTTGCCAAAGGTTCACTTCCACACTGGGCTCACCAGATAATGTGCCAAGTATCTAGGATCTCAGTCCTTCTCTAAGGGTTGGAATCATGTTGAGTGGTAAATGTAAGCTTCTTCTCCTTCTATGACTTGTTAGGGCGACAACACCACCCAAAGAAATCACCCTCGCTTTTTACGAGCTGATGGGCATTGAGTCCCAGAAAATTATGTATTTCAAAGGCATTTAAATGGTATACTACATTAGTTTGCATTTTTATCCTATACACGGTTTTCTAGGGCAAACGCAGATTCTCTCTGGGGTTTCTTTCAGTTAATCAGTTATGTTTCCTCACAGACTGTGTACAGCAGATACTCTTGATTTGTCATGAGAAGCACAGATAGGGTTAAAAACTGATGATGGCTCCTTTCCAATCAATCATGCCTGTGAACCAAACTTACAGCACTGGACTGTATATACCTGAATGAAATCCTGATAAAAGTCATATTGCAGAACTAACGTCTCTCCAGCAATACCAGGCTAAATGCTCTTAAAGTTATCTGAATGTAACAAAGACGGAACTATTTCTTTATGTTCATCATTTGGAAAATAAAGACAGATGTTATGATCATTCGGCACATTGACAAGGCAGCCTGCATATGAGATTTGTTGATTCCACAATGCGCATAGATGAGCAGACTGGGGCAGTGAGGGTCTTCTTTCCCTCTTTGATTTCTGTAAATCCCTTTGCTGAACTTTTACATCGTTATTTTCTCTCCCTGAGATAACTAACTCTGACCAGCCACGTAAGCTGACACCACTCTTGTAAAGGGTAATATGTCAGAAACCCCAGCATCTTCGGTCAAAGGCAGGGGACACCCTGGACAAGTCCCCAGTTCATCCCAGGGCTGACATATAGAGACGAACAAACATCCACACTCACATTCACACCTACGGGCAATTTGAAAGTGGCCAATTAACCTAACCCCACTTCTGCATGTTTTTGGGATGTGGGAGGAAACCGGAGTACCTGGAGACGCAGAGAGAACATGGAAACTCCACACAGAAACGCCCTGACCCGGAATCGAACCCAGGACCTTCTTGCTGTGAAGCGACAGTGTTAACCACTACATCACTGTGCTGCCCCATCCAAAACCAACTTTTATTTATTTATTGGCACTAAATATACACTCACCGGCCACTTTATTAGGTACACCTGTCCAACTGCTCGTTAACACTTAATTTCTGATCAGCCAATCACATGGCGGCAACTTAGTGCATTTAGGCATGTAGACATGGTCAAGACAATCTCCTGCAGTTCAAACCGAGCATCAGTATGGGGAAGAAAGGTGATTTGAGTGACTTTGAACATGGCATGGTTGTTGGTGCCAGAAGGGCTGGTCTGAGTATTTCAGAAACTGCTGATCTACTGGGGTTTTCACGCACAACCATCTCTAGGGTTTACAGAGAATGGTCCGAAAAAGAAAAAATATCCAGTGAGCGGCAGTTCTGTGGGCGGAAATGCCTTGTTGATGCCAGAGGTCAGAGGAGAATGGCCAGACTGGTTCGAGCTGATAGAAAGGCAACAGTGACTCAAATAACCACCCGTTACAACCAAGGTAGGCAGAAGAGCATCTCTGAACGCACAGTACGTCGAACTTTGAGGCAGATGGGCTACAGCAGCAGAAGACCACACCGGGTGCCACTCCTTTCAGCTAAGAACAGGAAACTGAGGCTACAATTTGCACAAGCTCATCGAAATTGGACAATAGAAGATTGGAAAAACGTCGCCTGGTCTGATGAGTCTCAATTTCTGCTGCGACATTCGGATGGTAGGGTCAGAATTTGGCGTCAACAACATGAAAGCATGGATCCATCCTGCCTTGTATCAACGGTTCAGGCTGGTGGTGGTGGTGTCATGGTGTGGGGAATATTTTCTTGGCACTCTTTGGGCCCCTTGGTACCAATTGAGCATCGTTGCAACGCCACAGCCTACCTGAGTATTGTTGCTGACCATGTCCATCCCTTTATGACCACAATGTACCCAACTTCTGATGGCTACTTTCAGCAGGATAATGCGCCATGTCATAAAGCTGGAATCATCTCAGACTGGTTTCTTGAACATGACAATGAGTTCACTGTACTCAAATGGCCTCCACAGTCACCAGATCTCAATCCAATAGAGCATCTTTGGGATGTGGTGGAACGGGAGATTCGCATCATGGATGTGCAGCCGACAAATCTGCGGCAACTGTGTGATGCCATCATGTCAATATGGACCAAGCTCTCTGAGGAATGCTTCCAGCACCTTGTTGAATCTATGCCACGAAGAATTGAGGCAGTTCTGAAGGCAAAAGGGGGTCCAACCCGTTACTAGCATGGTGTACCTAATAAAGTGGCCGGTGAGTGTATATAGACATGGGCAAAATGACATCAGTTATTGTCGTAAATTTTAGTATTGTTAAATTTTTGATTTTTCGCCCAGCCCTAGTAAGACTTATATCTTAGTCTGCATAGACTGTTTTATGCACTTTGCACTTCATCATCTGTAAAAGAGAGAAACTTTAGCAATACAAGGAGACTTAGAAATGCATGAAGTCTGACAGATGGGAAATCCAAAATGAGGAACTGCAGTTGGCCACCAAATACTCATGCCAATGTTTTCTGACTGTGGTCGTGTTTGATGATTCAACAGTGGCTTTGTCACATTTCCAACCACAGTTTGTTCATTTCCTTGTTGTGAATGGTCAAACAGTGGCAAAGCTTTTATTCTTCTTAGTCCTCGTGACAAAGTTAATGTTGGGGAGACTGAAGACTGATTTAGTGGATGGAAAGAAGACAGATGAAGTATTTTGAATGAACACTGGGCTATATCGTCCAGGCCTAGTGTGAGCATGAGGTAACGTGTGTACTTGGTGTGTACTAACGCATCTGGTTAAGCAGGAAGATTAACTAGACCAAAGCCTTCCTTCACTCACTCCCTTCTGTAAGGTCACTAGGCAAGGCGGTCAATCCTAAGCCTGTCAGACCGTCTTATCTGGATACACACAAACTGCACAATGTTATTACACACACACACACATACACACACAAAGCCCAGAAGCTTAGGGAAGTACAACGGCAGGACAAACAGGCAAATAGTCCCCATTTATATCCTATCCGTGAGGTGAATAAACAGAGGTACTGACTAAGAAGGCGAAATACTACTTGATGCTAATTGAGGCTAACTTCACCAGTTTGACTAATTGAGGATTCAGCCACACTTATCTGTTTGCGAATTGCTAAAACCAACAAGGCTAACTTGCATAAGAGTGGAAAATGTGTTGGTGATGACCTTGTGGCTAAAAGCAAAGCTCTTTAGCCACTTTTAAAAAATTAGATCAGGAGAGACAATTTGTTACAAACACAGAAAATGTTTCGCACACTTAACAACAGGACAACAACAGAGAAGAACAATGAAGTTCAAGCTGAAACATTCAGTCAGGACTGCAATTTTGCACAATAGCTGATTGCTCTTTGGAGGCCTACTCCAAATATGTTTTGCTGTAAGCTCCCTTTGGTCTGTTTCACAAATTCATCTTTTACTTTTAAAGGTATCAAATGATAAACCTCTTGAAAAACAATGTCCTCTAAAGGAATAAATTACCAGGACATCTGAAAGTCAAGGCAACTTCACAATTTGCATGATATCAACTCTAAAGCAGAGTCCTTCACGCAGCTCACAGCTTGTATTAAAATCCACTGATGTGCTCTCCTCCTGAGTGGCTTTAGGAAAGAGAGGCCACAGGGCTGTGAAGAACTGGCCTTGTTAAACATCAGACACAGCATGAAGCCGACATCGCTTCCTCTCTCCACCCAGCCCCCTTCAGTTTTCATCTGACCCTCAGCCCGATTCAGCTCTCTGCACTTCTGCTGGATCTCGCTGATCCTTCCAGGAGTTTCTATTCAGTCTGCCAGTTGGACAAAAGAACCAGGAAGCAGCTCTTTCCCCCAGAGAGAGCGAGAGATGGATTGAAGACTTGGATGGAAGAAAAGAGAAACTAAAGAAGAAATCTACCAGAAGAGCAGTCAAATGCAGCAACAAAGTCGAACCACATGCTCTTCTGGCAACAAGGCATCAGGAACACGGTTCAACAACTTTCCTGGAAAACGGAAATAAGAGCAACAAACACACCGGAAGCTCAGTTTTATCACAATAAATGTGATAAATTCTTTTTATGTAAACACACAACGCCTCCACACTAAACACAGTGTACACTTTCCTACTCAATAGATGCCTTGGCATACCACGCATGCTTTCACACTGTTTGATGTAGTCAGAGGAAGCTTCAGCTGTCAGCTACCCTCAGATTCATGCCTGTCCACTGGTGGTGGATGAAAAAACTTGATTTTTCTGGATTCATGGTGGAAATATGGCCAACATAAGTATTACTCATAAAAATGGGCGTGGAGATAAAAATGCTGAGCTAAGAGTGTCACAATATACCTGCACTGAGGATCATGATTAATGTGAATATACTGTATATAATTATCATGCTAAAAATAAGCACTTAGTAACACAATGAAAGTAACTGATGCTCAGTTAGAGGTGTTAGTGGTTATTTGCGCTGGTTGCCACCTCAGAGAGGAGGCCGGACACTATTAATATGATTTTCAAAGATTGATGAGAACATGCAAGCTAGAGGTTCTTGGATGGTGCTAATGAAATCAACACGATCCTCTCTGGACTGTCTTTAGCTGTCTTCATTCAGTTGCATTACTATAAAGGATGGCTGAATGATATAGAAAACAAAGCTACTTCACCACAAAGCAGTGCAAATGTCTCATTAGAAGCATCACAAAACTATTCTACGGGGGAAGCTCTTCTTATAGAAGTTTCTGTTTCAAAGCTGGTGACATGGATAACAGAAAGAGCTTTGATCCACATTTGAAATGGATGATGACGATGATGAGTCAACTGTGCTCGTTAGTTAAAGTTTATAAGGTTATACTATCATTATTGTTCATCACAAATTGTGAGGTGAATCAAGTCTGCTGCCCATGTAAATTGGCTTCTGAACTTATACTTAGGTAGTGGTTTTGCAGTCATTTTTGACAACTAAACATAGGGGTGTCCCGACACGATATTGATATCATCAAAAATTGAATATCAGATTATATCAGCCTGCATCAAAATCTTCGATATCAGCACTCTGATTCAGGCAGTCCATTCCAGACTCCATTCCGGCACCTCTATCTAGCAGCACCCAGATCCAGCATGTAGAGCCCACATAATGACAACAACAGTGTGTACTAAGGTACTAACAAAGCACCAATGAGTTGATGTCGGCCCTGTGGCAGTGTTTTTCATTAAAGTCCGAAAAAGACATTGCAGCTAAGTGCAAAACTTGTCTTGCACAAGTTTGTGCTAATATCAGATCAATATTGGTATCGGCCAATATTGAAGGCGACAATATCGGTATTGTATCAGAGGTAAAAAAGTTGTATTGGGACACCCCTAACTAAAAGTGTTTTACACTGCTTGTCACATTCACCCATTTAAACCACTTTGCCAAAGGACACTTTGACATGTGAGAGCTGGGATTGAGCCGCCTATCTTCCCTCGACCACTGAGCCACAGCTGTCCCTGCAAGGGATTTATAAATATATATGTATTTGTCTTGAACCCATATTAAAGTAAATATGATTTATAGAGTAATGATATTAAATCATTTGCAAAAGCGTTCATCATATGAAGTTTGGTTACAATAAAACTGTTTCCCACACAGCCTGTCGTAATAAAACTACTCCTTTACACCTGGATTTTTATTACAATCTGTTAATCCGTAGTATCTCACGATGAGACTTATTAGAGTTCACGTTTCATCCAGTCAGACCTCTGTTATTTCTCTTTCCCTGCACTGCTTACACTAACAACAGCCTCTCCAAATTAGACTCAGATCAGGATCATATTTGACAGCGTGATTGGCCCTAAAGTAGACTTTTTCTTGCTCATTTATCACAAGTGTAAAAATGCATCCCTGTTTGCCAGAAATTCAACGAAATAAAAGTTTTTCTCAGGACATATGGAAAGTTTATTCAACAATCTTTTTTCCTTAATCTCTGCTGATCATAGTCGCAGCAGAAAATTCTGAACTTTTAAATTTTCGCTGAGCTCAAAGGCTGCCAAAAGGACCAGGCAGCAATGGTTTATAGAGCTATCAAAAGTGAGCCCATCCTGCCATCAAGTTCTGGCTACAAGAGCCACTTCTACAGGAACCGCTGTTAGAATTTGAACGAGTTACCTGCAGGCATCACTCAGTCAGCTCACACTGCACCATCTGTCTTTTCCAAATCTACTACAGGACAATACTGGGCCCCACGGCAGAGCCAAGCTCTCACCTCATTACAATGCCAAATAAAGCAGAGCTGTTGCCAGCCTTCAGCTTGTCTCATGGTGTACATCCAGCTGGCTCCTTCTCATAACAGAATATAATCAGCTTTTCTGTCTCTCTTCCTCACTGGTCTGTGTTTTTTTTTCTCCATGCCATCACTCCATTTCATTGGTGGCCATAGCCAAATGTATAAAATCTCACAATTTATTGTTAATTCTGGTTGAAAAAGTACAAGAGTTTGAGTTTACTCCACTGTTTCCTTTATATTTTATGCTTTAAAACTAGCAGTTTGAAAAAAAAATTGTGGTATGACAAAATATGACAAATGACACGATATGACAAAATATATCATGATCAGTTTTTTTGCCAAATCGCCCAGGCCTAGATGCATCTGTATAAAAGCAGAAATAAGTATTTGATCGTGTCAAGGTATATTATAAATCAGGAGAGGCTTTGCTGCCAAAGCATGCTCGAAACAAAATGAAAAAAAGACTTTTTACACCAGCTCATAGTTAGCTAGTTAATATGCATTGGAAAAAAAGGCGGGCGGGATAGTAAAGATAGATGTTACTAAAAATAGCTTCACAGTTGCACAGAACCTGAACATTGTGGACTTTGTTAATAGCTGTAAAAGGTTTTACACAGGTGCGCAGTTCAAACCCTTAAGACTGACAGCGACCAGTGCAACTTACTGATCCGCATGTTTGTTTGGTGAAACTAAAAAATAGAGAGTGTGGCATCATGATTGACAGTTCTAGTAACAAACAGAGGCACCTGCAGTTCTCTTTTTAAGTCAGCAAGAGGAGAAACGGGAAGAGTAAACGTGACAAACACTTCAGCAGCCATTGAACTTTCCATAACCGTGAGTGTCAAGTGCAGACAGAAATCTGTTCCACTGTGGGCTTTACCGTGCCCACAGATTTGGCCAGTTTTATTTGTGAGGTTAAATGTCTGTTTTAGTAAATGGAAGGGGAATGATGTCATCTCACCACTGCCGAAAGTCAGACTCATTTTTTTCCATAAAATTACTGTTTAGCTTTTAATGAAACAGTCAAATTTAAATTTAAAAATATTCAACCCCAACCAGGGAATTATTCTAAAAGAAAACTCGGCTTCTTGTCTATATCAGGAAAAAACAGTCATAGTACAGTTACTTCCTCACAGCTTTCATAGCTGAGAGCATATAGTGGTCTTCCATTCAAGAGCCCCTCCTCTTATCCTCATCTTTAGTACTGCTAACCTCCTTCAATTGTTAGAAGCAAAATTTGGATCAGCTGGGGCTTGCAGGACGGAGCCAAACTGAGAAGAGAGAAAGAGGGGCCCATATGTGAGACAGCCTGAGGCAGGATCCAGTTGATTGTGGATTTCTCTCCCCAGCCATTACTCTGCTATCTTTGTCTGCCAACTTCTACTCTCTCACAGTGGCTATTTACTGCACAGGAAGCTCGAATCTCAGGCTGAAATAGGAAGCCTGGATGCCACTTTGTTTTTATGTGGAAGTTCTAGACTGAAAGGGAAAGTTTTGTGGCATTTGAGCTAAAATACTTGTTTGTTCTCTCATTGAGAGTGAGACAAGAGGATTAATATCAATCTGCTGATTGAAAGGCATTTAGTCTGGTTGAGTCACAAACATTAAATACCGGAGTGTCTGTAAAAGTCGCACACAAAGACCTAATTCATCATCAAACTTTGTAATCACACAGCTGCAATGTGCACATTTTATACCCAGGGCAAAGTATCAAATGAAAATGTGAAGCTCAATCATATGTTTGACCACTAAACAGCTCTACAGTATCTCTCTCTGCAGTTCAATCCATAATATTTCATTCCCACCGGAGGTCCCATTAACACAGAGCACAGCTCAATATGTCAATAAGGTGCCCATGTGAGACCACAGCCTGCAGCTTACGACCCAACCCGGGAATCTGTAGGCTGTAGATAATTAGCAATAATATTTATGGTTTAATCAACAAACAGCATTTTTTATATCTCCAACCTCCTTTGACTAAACTCCAACTTAAAGCTCCAAAAAATGGTAAAATGCTGATTTGTTTAGGTAAATGAAAAAGTCAAAAGTTTGGTTTTCAGGGATAAAAACTAGCCAAATAAAAGTGTGCACTGAGACGCAAGTGACCAATAAACAGTGGCTACAGTGCACCATCAAAACCCATGCTTCCCACTCAACACTACTTATGAATATGTGGTGGTGCAGCACGATTAATCCAATGACAGCTGCAATTGCAATGCCAGTGTGTGCATTTATGTGAATGCAGGAAGCAATCTGCTATTTGAATAAATGTGCATGTGTGTGGTAAACATTACAACCCCGCACCTCCTCTGATTGTTTGGAGTCTGTCTGGATTTGCCAATTAGCTGCTCTGATAGTGTGTGTGTGCGTGTTTGGACATGTTCATCTGTTCACATCGCTGTCCAGCGAGCAGGGCGCACAGTGACCAACATGGAACAGACAAAACGAACAGCGGCGTGACATGCAAGCAGGTTCGCATAAAAAAGAATTTGTGCAGAACTTGCAACTAATATGTACCAACATCTAAGATGGCACAAAGAAAAGTATGATAATTACCTACAATGGAAGAGCCCATGCAAGTAAAGACACAAAGAGACTGCCAAAGGCCATAAAAACCAATTAAAGCTACAGCAGAGCATAATGACAAAGTCTCAGGGGTTATTTACCTCTAGTTTTAGCATACTTCTGTGCAGTGTTTTCACAACGAAGATGTGACGTTGACGAGCTATACATAAGTCTTAGATGACTAAAATGTGACGAGACGAATGTGTGTTTACGTTGCCGAGACAAGACTAGACGAAAACGTTAGTGGTGGACGACGAACAGAGTTGCAAAATTCATGAGCATTTCGTCAGTCAAACGCGAAAGATATATTCTGCAGTGTTGTTTTTGTTGACGATGACGAAATATTTTAGTCAACATCATCGTCAACATCATCGTCAACGAAAACAACACTGCTTCTGTGTGATCAGACTATACATAGAAAGCTCTGATGACAAATGCTCACACTTTGCATTGATAGACATCCCCAGTAAGTCTTTGCTGATCACTTGGTTCATATTCAGAAGATCCCCTCTTCATTATTTCTTTTTTTGGCCTATATTTGTACGTTTCAAATCCATAAATATATATTTCAAAACAGTGAGTACAACACAACAGTACATTTTCATCAAATCGTGCAGCGCTAATGTGTGAACGTCCTTTTAGGCGGGCAAACTCCTAACCCCTCTGTCCATCCACATCCCTCCTTTTGACCCCGTATGATCAGTTGTACCTGATCATACATCCTGCAGCTCACCGTCTTAATTAAATAATCTGAAACATACAGAAGTGTTTTGCGTTCCCTGGAGCTTCAGGGACATTCCCAATCCCCCACTGTAGGAATCCAGCTGTCACAAAAAAACAAAATTGTGCACATTCCTCCCAGCTGAAAAACAGTGCAGATGTTCAAACTGCCAGGCCACCCGATGCGTCACAAACCGCTTTTTTAAACTGTCAGCTTGTCATCCTGAGCAGCTGAGTGTGATGGGTGCAGCAAATGCTTCACTCCTTTTAACCTGCACTGATAACCCACAATCACACAAAAATGAAAACACACTCTGGTGAGAGGACGTAGATGGACAGGCAGGCAACAGGTGAGCACACACACACACACACATACACAAACACGCTGACATAAACAGGAGGACACACACTCATGAGCATCATCGCCAGTTCCTGAAATGTTTGCGCTTCAAACTTACCCACAACCATTAGCGTGAAATCAAATCCTCTTTTGACTGCCTTCCTATACACCTGGTTGGGGAGGTTGGCAAAGCCGACATAGCCATCCAGGTTCAGCTGCTGAAGGAAAAACACACACAGGTGTTCTTTGTTAGTTCAGTATTCATACAGCATAAATAAGTAATACCACAAAAGCTGTCAAACTCAAATTTGAAACTTAGCCAAAGAATACAGGTCTGTAATAGCATAAACAGAAGATAAGCCCTTGTTAACACAAAAGGTGCAAGTAGGCAAACACACAAATGTGGTTACCATGGTAGTTTACAAGTGTGTAAACACATACACAGCGATAAAATTCTGAGCTGCACTTAGACACACAGTCGTGAGCGTACAATTAGTATGTGTGTGTCCTGCAGGGATGAAACCTCTTTGAAGTGAAGTGCAGCTGAGATAAATACAGGAGAGGAAAAAGAAAGGTGTTTTAAAGGGGAAGCGAGGTAAAGGGAGGCAGCCTCCCAAAGAGAAATAACAGGGAGGAAAGAGGAAGTGATGACAGGCCAGGAAGACTCCATCCAACAAGCCAACTGAAACAGAAAAGCATTTTAAGACACTAAATGATGCAGAGAAGGAAATAAACAAGGCAACAGAAACAAGCAACATGGCCCTACGTGTTGGATCATGGTGGAGGAAGCCGCTCTCGGACCAGATCACTGCCACGCCAGCCTCTCCAGCTGCTCTCTCTATTTACTGAAAGTTTTCTCCTCATCCCTCTCTCCCCTCTCCATCTCCCTCTGCCTCCCTCTAACACCCTGCATGTTGTGAGATAACCACCCTCCTCCAATCCCTGTGCATGGTCCTGCACGCTACATGTGGCAAATACAATTGATTGCTGGCCATCCTGCTTTGATGTGAGCAGCCTCTCAGACTCTGTCATGCGTGGAACAGATGGACAAGTGCAGCTCTGTGCTCGTGGGTCTACTGTAACAGCAGGACCTGCAGCTGACCCTCTGACCTGGTCAAATTCGGAGAATAATCATATCCCCGGGCATAGAGGCACCAGAGTTGATTTAGCTCATTTGTGGTATTGGATTTAAAATGCTAACAAATAGCTTATCCCAGGTAAAAGTGTATCCTCCTCATAAGGGCTCTGTGAAACCATAGCAACCACACTTTCCCTGACTGCAGGCTCAGAAACAGCCAAACTCGGTGAGTGATCTTATAAAACTGTTCATTATTTTTGTCAATACTTTTCATCACGATATTAGAATTTCCCTTCGTTCAGGTTTTCATGTAGGTCAGTGGTGCACAAGGCCACAGTTTTAGCAAGGTGGACATGTCAGACTGTCAATGTTCAGGGAGACATGTGCCTGTCACTTAGTTAGTCATTTATTCATAGCAAACCTCTGCTCCCCTTGAGAGAGAGAAAAGCAACATGTCCACTGCTGATGACAACAGCAAATGATCTTCTAAAAGCATACCTGCACAATATGCACATGATCTGATTATCCTGTGGGACTTATTTGCCTCACAGAGCCAAATCTAAAAGGCAAATCCACAGATTTATGACATGGAAAAAACATTTCAACACCTCACAAATACACCTTTCCAAGGGTACAAAACACAACATGAACCAGTGGACCAGCCTGCTGATTGGATGTTGATGACCTGTTCTATTGTATATGTGATACATCACATCAGCTTATCAGTAGTGTGCCAGTGTCAGACCGTAGCTGCATGCCATTAAAACAAGCTGCAGTTATTTGGTGGTCTCATCATCTGGGTTTAAGATAACAGCAAAGCAGCTAAAGAGCAACTGCCTAACATTAACTGCCCCTCCTCCTGTGGTGAGATGCAGAAAATGCTAAAAGTGAACTTGTAATACACATGGAGTATCAACACAGGGTTGTTTCAGTTCCAAGTGTCACCTCGATATTCAGTACTGATTTGTAATACCTGGTATTGGTCCAAACTTTATTTTGACAACCTCACTTTACTGCATCATTCACATTTTTGACATTAAGTCTGACATTCAGAAAACTTACAGCTTAGACACCAGCATCACTAGCGAGGTAACAAATATGCAGATTGCTGGAAAATAAAGGGAAACAATCCATCGGCCCGATCAATATCCTGATGTATGCAGCTCGACAGCAGGCATAACTACTCTGAACCAGCCTGAAGCGCTTTCCACTGTTTCCATATTTGATCCACCCACATCCAAGTTTGTGTGCACGTGTTACATAAGATGCCAGCTCTGATGGTCTGTCGATTCCCCAGTAGGTGTGATGTAGGTGGCACAGGTAATAAAACACTGGAAATCATTAGTACAGTCTGCCAGTGTTCATTCACATAAAGCTGTGTGTCTCAGTGCGTGGGAAGGAGGCTGTGGATCAAGTACTGACTTCATCACTCAAACAGCATGTGCATACAAGTTAGCAAACACATCAGCATACAGTGAACATGCTCATGGCATAGATCGAAAGCCCTTATTTAAAAAAGGGATCTCTTGTCTGTAGCACATAAATGAGCTTGAGTAACAAACTTACAGCTTTGAAATACATGTATTTTTCCTAACTTCATATTCCTAGTACTGCAATCCCTTTGAAAGGCATTATAGTGATGGCTTTTTCAAAAGAAAGCAACTAATCAAGTGAGAAACAGGCAGGGGACTAAAGGGACATAGTGAGAGATGAGAAAAAGGAAAGCCAGTCAACCCATACTGTTAAAGTAACCCCCTCCCCCCACTCCACACAGTGGTGATAGTAGCTGCCTGGTTCACTGACATCATCTGTATTACCAAGTCCACCCACTTCAGGCATACATACAGCAGCTGATGCTGAGGCCCCCAGCTGGTTCAAACTTGCATTTATAAAGTATCTCCCTTTAATGATGCTGTTAATGTATACATCCCGTTTTTGAAAGCAATATCTGAGCACTTTAATCATTCAGTATTGAGTATACACTGAGTCATCTGTTGTTCGTCATCATCTCTGTCCAGTAGGTTCACACTGTGTATCCTTTAGCTGTCAGTCAGCTCAGACTGTGTGACAGATACAACACAAACCCAGATTGTGGTGTGTTGAGTGGGGTGCAAATCACTCATCTCAATGGAAGTGTCAGAGAATAAAAACCTCTAGGTTAGAATTATGGTCTATTGATGGGGTCAGCTCTACGGTTCATCTTGCTAAGTGGAATCCTCTGGAGAGTGAAACCAAACCCTGTTCATCTATAATTCATTTTACTAACCAATTTTACCTGGTAAAGATTAATGCGTGTCTTTTTACAATTGGGATGAATTAAGTGCTTCAGCAGCTGCTGTCATATCTGCAAAAAAGCCAACCATGCAATGTTTTGATTAATTTATTTCAGATTGGTTTAAGGAATTAGCCACAGTAGAGCAAACATAATCTGGACTCTAATACTTAAACCATTAGACTAAACGATTACAGCTCACTGGGGTTATTATTACCAGGAATTTGGTCAATTTCATACTTCGACTGAAAACAGAAACATGGTCGGTGTTGAGACAGAAAACCATTAACCGTTTCTCCTGCCTTTCCCTACTGTACATGGCCAGACCACAGACCATTGCTGGGACGGAAACACTGCCATTTAAAATCTGAGTTGCGAAGAGAAAACCTAAGATAACACGGTAACAACTGGACAGAATCCCGTGCTCCCTTGCACAGATTTATTCCTGATTCATAAACGCTCTAAGCAATGGGAGACGTGACTCAGTTAAAACATTTGGAAGCTATTTAGCGCATTTGAATATATTTCACTCCTGTAACTCCAACCGAAATTTACAGTAGACGATGGTAGTTAGTTTAAGGTATTAACAATGTTTTATTAAGTGATTTTTCTTGCTTAAAGTCCAAACAACCTCAAAGTGAATAGATTGATAATGGGTTTTGGTGTGCAGTTCTGTCAATGGGCTGTCTGAATATGGGGTCGGTGCTAGCAGCAACGGCCACCGCTGTTAAACCCGTTTTATAGAAAACTTCAGTATGGGTGTCGATTATAAATTAATTACGAATAAATATGAGTACTTACAGCGATGCTCGGGACCGCAGTTTCTGCTCGTTCAATCATCGTAAAACGCTGTCACCACCCAGCCTCCACAGTCACCAAGAAGTCATACAACGGCGTTTACTACAGAGACAACGAGCGAAATCGTTAGGTACATCCGGTCAAGAGTTTCAGAATAAGGTGAAATAAATCTCTTTTTGCTACCAGATGGTTACAGTATGTTTATAATTGCCTTTATTAAAGATATCGTGATTTCTCTGTGATTATTTCTGTTGTTTTCTTAAAATCTCATTAAAAAAAATCAAGTTACAACTCACTTTATGGCCTTTAGTTAATATTTTTTTCTGATTTACCAGGTGAGAGTAATTCATCTAACATGAAGAACAGCTTTGTTATCTCGAGATAATAAGAAATGTAAAGGTCTTGAGAAGACCTCTAAAAAGAGAAAAACTGAGAATTTATTTCAGCTTAGGGCGCCCATGCCTTTGAAATTAAAAATTCAATTATGTTTGCCTGTGCCACATGGCGTCAAAACTGAGCAATAGAGGTCCTGGCTCATAGACTGTATATACTATACTTATGCTGTACTTGTATATACTATACTTCTATATACAGTCTATGGTCTGGCTATAATGCAATACTAGGTTACAGGGGATGTAGCATGGCTATGATTGTCCATTTCTGCACGTTAGTAGTCCGTTTCACTTATTGCAGTCCAAGATACTTTTAGCCAGAACAATAAAGATTCCTGTTTCAGCAAAGGGAATATTCCATATACAGTAGAAACCACAGATGTCTGGGCTTTTATTTAGAAATCACTCCTTCTATCCGGTAAGCTCCTATCTGTGTGTGACCAGCTTCATACCCCTTAAGCCAAACAGGATCCCCCATCCCATTGGTCTGACATGAACGTGATCCCGTGTGCGTGTGTGTTTGTTAGTGCGTGAGAGGCCTTTATTTGTGAAAGGCTAAGATTTGCTGCCTTCAAAGACTGTTGTATGTTTGAAAAGCATTAAAAACAATAAGCCTAATAACATGACTGTGTGATGTAGGCTCAATTGCAAAAGAGCTAATACTTTCCTTTAACCTTGTATCTGTATTACTGCTTTGCATACACCACAGATCTATTGTTTTGAACAGCTGAAATAAAAACCAAAATCCCTGAGAAATGGTCCCTCCCTGAAATACGAGACAATATGTGGTATCTTTTGACCGAAGTCAACCAGGAATTTGGTAGACGCTCATCCAGTATTTCTTCCAGTTTTCCTTCAGCCTTTCCTGAACTTAATCTGGGTGCTTTCAGAGGGACAAACACAAAAGGTATTATGAAAGTTTCTGTTATCTAACTTTTCTTGTTGTTAGGCTCATTAAGTGAACAATCCCAAAGATTAGGTACTTTGCAAGGGATTAAACCTAAAAATTGTTGGTACACTGGTGCTCTCTAGTGGTTTAAAAAAGCACCTGCCTTCAGTTGACCTTTGTAAGAATAAACAGTAACAAAATAAATGACTAAATCTCTGTCATCTGTCTCTGTTAGCCGGCAATGCCTGACAAAAGGAAACTCAAGCAAGAAAAACTATGTGGAATTTGTTTTAAAGCCATTGGTTAGGGGGAAGATGTTAGGGCTCTTCTACAGATTATATATAAATTAACTGTTGGTGCAAAACTATTTACTTTTTATATTGATGAAAGCTTAATTTATGTCAACCCAATTTATGACCCAAAATTATGAGATCTGCCAAGAATTAGAACACGTATTAAGTCTCCTTTTCACAGTCTGAAGCTCTTAAGAACAGCATCACAATAGATGTCACAATTCATAACTCTGTCCATAAATCATACATTATTGGTAAAGTGTATGAAGCCAAAATACTCTCAGTTCTGCCACTGAGTTTGGGTTATAAGGACCCTGGCAGAACCAACCTTTTAGGGAAAAAATAAACTTAAATATAGCAGTATTTGCCTCAATACAGCCATTAAATGTATAGTCATGCAGCAGGGGGAGGTGAAAGCATGCATGACTAAGATTTAGATTTGCAAGTAGCATTATGTTGACTAAATGAGATTACCTATCACCACAAGCTCACACCAAGATGGTTTAAAAAGGTCAAGGGTGATTCTCTAGTCTAACATTTTTGGAGACTGAGTCCACAACTTACTCTTCTTTGTCATTCATGTAAGTGCTGCTCCCAACTGTCATGCATAAGTAAGTCGAACTTGTTTATAGTTGCTGCATGCCCAGGACTGCTCTTTTACAAAATTTTGCACAATTTACTTGCGTGTTTAATTCTTATTAAAATGTAATTTAACTTGAATGAAGCTTATTTCACTTTACCAACAGAGGTCACTGTAGGACTATAAACAGCATACATGTTCTTTAGCAGACTTCAGCTGTGCCAAGTCTGCTTACATTAAGTTGCTTGCAGGATTTATACACAACAGCAGTTCCTTGGTTACCTCCTTTACCCCTGCAGCACCCTGCTCACATATGAGCACACAAGTAATAGACAGCAAAGGTGAAAAGGTTTAAATAGGGCAGTCAGCCCTGCATGTATGGACTACACATGCATGGATTTAAGAATGTGAAAAATAAGGTGAAGGAAAATGAAAAAGTAAAAATGTTAATTCTCTTTTGGAAAAGTTAATTCTGTACTTAAAGCCTCATACCAATTATCTTTTGACTAGTTGGCCAGTCATACTGCATTACACAAGAAGAATGATACAAGTGCACAATGAGGATTGTATTCTGTGCTGCAAATATCTTCTGTATTCCAAGGGGAGATGCCACACTTTTTAAAAATTCCAGGTGTCTGCAGAAATAAGTACAAATCTCAGAGGGACTTTTCTAAACAATGCCTGCCTTTATCCATGCATCAGAGCCAAGGCCAGCCGACTGTGGGACTGGGCCATGTCGTTGAATCAGCTGAATTGCAGGCAGGCCCACAGAAGCAGGCTGTCTACAGCAGCAATCCAGAGAATCCTACAGGATGAGGGAGCACAGGGTCTCCAGATAAGAAGGTGGATTAGTGGCTTTAAAGTCCCTCTCTGATCATTTTTTTCACTACTTAAAGTGTTCTCAGTGGTCTTTAAATTGTGATTATGAAGTTTTTACCAAAAATCGCGTTACCTGTGTCATTTTCAAGGGCTTTTCTTCTGCAGAGCTCCAGTAGCTCATTAGCAATTCACCTCTGAGTCGTGGGCAGAGACAGCGCTGCTCTGCACACTCGTCTTCACGCTAGCTTGCAGCCTAACATTGCCGGTGTAGTAGAAGTGGCAGGTAACATAGGAGCTATTCAGCTCTCAGACACTAATGTCTTTAGGGACACGATGAAAGCTAATATCCTAATTAGCTTTCTTACGAGCATTGCAATCCACTAATGCATACGCTTGTTCCACGATCGTCCACTGTATTTCTCCTCGATATGCAGAGTCTGGCCTGCATAGCGGGGCTCCGGGGGCGGAGCTTGGATTGGTTACGTATGAAATCTTACTGTTTCTGAACCTGCAGTTTGGTCTGCCAGAGATTCACAGCGATTTGAATGAAGAATTACACAGAAAAGCAATTTTGCATTTAGTTTTCTCATGATATGTCCCGTAGCATCAGAAAAATGCCATATGAACATATAAAAAATAAGGAAAACATGATTTTCATCATGTTGGGTCTTTAATGGGACATTATAATGAAAAGTTAATGACACAGGCAGAGAGAGGGTGAAGAAGGAGGGAAAGGTGCTCATGTGCTTGTAGCCCTGGTAGTCTTAACCTTCAGCAACATAACTAAAAGCTGCTCCAGCTCCAACTATGAACTATACCAAAATGACGTTTTAAGCCATCTCTTAAAGATGGTGCCTGACCATAAAGAGCTTCGTGGGTCAGTGGGAGAATTTAAATTCTACCCTCAATTTAAAGAGAAACCAGTATAAAGATCTCATTATACATTAGAAGAATTTAATAAAAAGTTCAAGCTTATTTATGAGAACTGATATGAACTCACACTGAAACCTTCAAGAATAACAAATAAAACATCAAACTTTGATATGTATTCTTGCCTTTATTCAGAGGAATCAAATGAGTTTACAGAAATATTTTGTAATTGATTTTAAATATTATATCCATAGTAGGAACTGAGTTGAAAAATAACTCTTGGATGCAAAACAGTGAATAGTTAAAACAAAGCAAAGAGCTCTCAGTGTAGAAATAAAGCTTATCCTCTACTGATGACAGTAAGTGGAGTTGGGAGACACTGTCAGCTTGGCTCACAGTGCAACAACGCTTCACAGTGTTGGCGGTCGGACATTCAGTGTGTTACTAAGAAAATAAACCTGCTGTTACTCATAATAAAGTATTAAAAAGATTTAAACAAAATAAAACAAAAAATATATATCAAATGGAAACCCTGAATTTTATTTTGTTATTCTGCCCCACAACAAATTCCAGCAGCTTATTGACATAAATTCACTTTGACCTTTGAGACATTGTAAATGTTTGATTTGGAACAGTTTTATAGAATCGAAGTATAAATAAACACTGATCAACTGATGGACTCTGACTCATTTTTTGTAAGTAACCATTATATAAACATCTTTTTTTTTTTTTTGCATATATTTAATCTTTTTGCATGGTTAAAGAAAAAGAGCTGCCACTGAGCAGAGGGTTTCCCCTACTGCACGCATAAGTTAAAAGACTGTAACATACTTGTGGTCAAATAAAGCAGACTTTCAAAAGTTTAAAGTGTTGCACCAACATGACACAGTGATCGGCCAGATTGTATCCTCCGGAGTTCTCAATTCAGCGTTGCCACAGTTACAGATGGGATGTCTGTCCTGGGGCTACTTTGTCCAGCTTGCTGATGAGCTTTTGCACCCAAGGAGCTGAAGGTCTGACACACAGTGGGTGACCCTTGACCCTGTTCAGCCTAAGCACACACACACAAAGAGATAAAGTCAGGTTCAGTGTGTTCAGAGCAGAGACACTAATGTTGGTAATGTTACGGTTCAGATTTGTTTACTCACAAGATGGCGGGGTTGGAGCAGCGCTGGCTAGTCTTCATGTAGCCCACGACTCTGGCTCTAGCAACCGGGGTCTCGATGAAGTCAAAGCAGCATCTCCTTGGTCCACCACCACGTGTACCTGCCAGCACACAAGTCAAATGATCATCCACAACAAACTCTCAGGCTCATAGACATCTGATTGTTCCCCTTTTAATCGCTTGTCAGCCTGCATGACATACATCGCAGCTACACTTCTTCTTTTTAAACTTTTTCCTGCAGTTCAGTTGTTCCATGACAGAATAGAGAGTGGTGTGTATTTCTGACCGCTTAAAGCAACTTTCTACCGATGTCATTCATCCCATTCACGCATGGATTTTTTCATTTAACGAGCAAGTAAGTCCTTAAACCTTGCAATTTTTTTTTTTGTATTTAAGGTTTGAATTTGTTGTCAAGCTGTTTCCGGCCAAAGTATAACAGGAATAAAATAATAAAAATGTAGAACTATTTAATGAAAGCAAACAAATAAACCAATTAAGATAAGGTAGATAAAAATAAATTAAAAATAATGACTGGAAATTAGACAAAAATACATTTAGTGAGTAGATTAATAAAAAATGAAAACAAAATTAATTTGACACTAATAAACTGAAAATGAATAAAATTTAGAATACAGTAAATTTTAATAAAATAACACAAATAAAATTGAATAATTATCATTATTATACGCAAATTATATTACATAGATTTTCAAGTACATTTTAAACTTTTTAAAGAAAATAAATAAGACTAATAATAGTGGAAAACTGTTTAAGAACATATGACTGAGGACAGTCTTTTTGTAGACCTCTACTGACTTTATCTCACTCTTAAAAACAGAGGCTTTACTTCTCCACATCCACTGGAACAGAGTCATGGTCACACACTGACTGAGTGTGTAATGGTGGAGCTTAGTCTTACCTTCACTCAGAGCGATGGCCGCCACCAGCAGCACAAGCACAGACAGAGCCAGACGAGGAGCAGACATCCTGAAGTGTGTGTGTTTCCTTCTCAGTGTAGCAGTGTTTTGAAGTCTCTGAGCTGCTGTCAGCCTGTCTACTCTGCTGTGTGAGCTCCATTCCCTGTCACCTTTTTAAAGCACAAGACCTGCATGGGGAAATCCCTCAATGGAATTTTCATAATGACGTGTTCAGCTCAAGAGGTATCACGGCTGTGGGAAGATTTACGGGGGAGTAACCATAAAAAGTTCAAATCACCATTGAACTTAATAAACTTATCAAAAATTAGGAACTACTTTACTTTCTTTTCCTGGTGAGTAAACTCCTGCTTAAGTGACATAGCCAAAAACCAACAGCTCACTCTCTCACAGCTTCTGCTTCTTTATATGAATATTTTTACAAACATTTATAGTTATGAAGTACAGCTTTGTCAGTGCACAGCATGGTGTAGTATCTTTGGGTTAACCACAGTGAGATGTTGGCCATTGTTATTAGTCATTCACAGCATGAATACAGCTATAAAGTAGACCTTGAACAAACAGGAAATCCTATTATATTAATAACGCTAAGCTGCCAGATGAGACAGAGAAGACTACAATGATTCTTTAAGAACACTCCTTTACTGTACTTTAATACTAATAATCAGCCAACATTATTGTTGTGTTAATTGACAGTTGGCTGTCTGTCATTAAATAGGAAACATTCAACTAGAAACCTGTATGTGAAATTTAAAAATGGTCTTTACTGAAGAAAAGAAGCTGTCTAACATGAGCAAATTAGGATCTAAAAAATAAGTCTTTTCTTCCTTTCTGCCTGAGCTCAAAAAAGCTGTTCATGGTAAGTATAGATCTTCATATTCAGAGCGTCACAGTCTGATTTTTCAGTTTGTACATGTTCAGGATAGAACATCACACATTTCTCCTGGACCTACGTTGTAATTAACCAAACACAGCAGTCTGATATTATTCTTGTGCTTCTCTTTTGCTTCCCTCAAAATTCAAAGTAAAATTCAACAAAGATGATCACAGTTTGTAACCTTATAAGCAGAATAACGCTCATACCCCAAGAGATTTCTAAACTGCTCTTTTGCCTTGTTTTACTTAATTTATTTTTTATTTGATGGATACAAATGTTTAAAGCATTGCAAATGCCCTGCTTACACTTTTCTTTCCATGGCTAGTTTGCAACCTTATCCATGTTTATGCTTCCAACATGAAAACTGAAATGAAAGAGCGTTGAGTTTATAATAATCAACATTATAAAATCAGTACATGCAATAAATGAGGATGTCAGCATGTACAATTTCTTTCTGTGATTAATGATATTAAACTATAAAGTTTGAGTTTACAAACTTCATTTCAGGTGGGGAAATTCAGACGTGTTTTGGTTTGTCTGAATGCTGTGAGTTATCACCCTCTGTTATCGCTCAGATCTGCTTTATGGCTTGAGGGAACATAACCTACTGTGCAAGTTTACACTGTGCCACTAGCATTACAAGTGACAAAAAATACCCACAGTTCAACTTTTAACCAAGACCAGAGGACAAAATGCCGTTATATCCCAGTTACATTCCTTCCTCTACAGTCATCACTGGCCATCAGGTTTTACATATCCCCTTGTGAGCATCAGAACAGTACTGAACTGCTTTGAGTCAGTTGCCAGACTGTAAACTCCAGTTTGGCTCAGCTTTGTCTAAAAGAGTTTTAACACTCAAGGTCACCACCCATGGTAAGTCCCCACTTATCATCTAATGCTTTCTGATTCAGTCAAGTCTTTCTCTTCACAATGCCTGTGTTTTACTGTTAAAACACCGTTTAATAATGACAACAGCACATGATTTAATAATAGCCTAATACAAAGGTCTATGAACATGAAACGAAATAACACGGTGTTTTGTAGGATGAGTGAGAATTCTATGGTGGTAAACTGACCTTTAAGAATTTATCTCAGAAAGGGGAACTAAAATAAACACTACCAGTGAGGTAAATCCCCTAGTATGTTGAATTTTCATATACCTATACTCCCATTAAGTCATTGTAATATCTTTAATAGTATGGTGCAGACCAGCTTTTTAGTTGAGATGACATTTGTTGTAAATTGGGGCTAAATAAATAAAGATTGATTGATGAATTGTTGACTAGAAGATCCTTTAAAGCAGAAAAGTATTAATGTCTTTAAAGTTTTGTGTCAAACAGGGACACACCTATATGAATTGACCCGTAACAGTCTTAAGATTACTGTAAGTCTGAGTCACAAGTCACGGTGCTCCATCAGCCACATTTAGACAAGTCATACATGAGCAGATTGAGGTGGTCTTGAAAATCCACCCAGTGTTAACACAACACAGACACACCACTGCTTTGTTTTATTTGTGTTCGTGGACTTTTTTAACTTTGCAGATAGAAAAGCTAAAGAGAGACAGGCCACAAAGAGATTCCATCACTTTGTTCTTGTGAGGAAGTTTTATTCTTTCATCAATATATATTAAAAAACAGAGGAGGATCATTGAGTTTGAGGCTATTTAAAAGCAAATAAGGGACCCCTGCTGGTTTAGAGCACAACTGTTTTAAATGAGACCTGATCCAAAATATAGACCCTTTTAGGGCTGACACCACGGAAATGTCATGTTATTAGAAAGAGGAAAAGGAAGTAAAACCAGAGGGAAACACGTATAACCATTGCATGGTGTGGGTAGACATTTTGGTGAGTGAGTGTGGGCTTGAGTACCTTTAAAAATATGATGATGGTCTTTGGCTGGGGTTGAAGGTAACTGTTAAATTTACTCACATTACTCACATGACCAGCCTTGCTTTTTTTTTTAAATTTTTTTTTTTAAATCAAATATTGTATTTTTAACAAGGCAATTTTACACAGAAGTTTTGTCCACTTTGAAATAAGTGAAAATCAAAAAGGATACTAGCTTTTCTTCAGCTGCATGACCTGCCAACTGACAGGCTGACAGTCAGGTGAATTCGTATGCTGAGGAAAGGAACATGCTTATTTCTGCCTACATTACAAGAGGGAATCCTGTAAAGCTGGAAATACAATCGCATGTTTTTGGTATGTGGGTCTGCAACTGTTAGTGAAACTTTGTGACACCCCTTTCCAACTCTAGTGAAGCAGACAGTGAGCTAAAACCTGATTCTCATTAGTATATGAGTCGTCCTGAAAACTGGACAGCTAATAGTGAACTTTCTGCACAGTAGGCCGTAACTCTGAAGGAGAACCATCCACAAAACACAACATTGAATATAACGAGGCAAAAAAATATTCGGTGACTTCAACCTTGGATGAAATCCCCTTTGATTAAGGAGCCTTTCTCACCCAAAGTCCTTTTAGAAGGTCCGGATCAGGGACCAAATGTTTACATCATTGCATTTTGCATTTGGTCCGGTTAGCGTTCACATGGGTCTTTAGCTAAGTGAACCAAATGGTTAAAAAAGAGGGAAAATTACTGTCTATCACCTGCTCATTTGGGGCACAATCTTCATGGTCCCACAACACACAGAGAGTAGCCAACCAGAGGGAACAATAAGCGTTTTGCTTCACGCAATTCACTCGAGGTGGCGAAAATGTTGTGCGAGGAGACGCTGGGCATTAATGCAAAGGAATGCCTAGAACCCATTGTCAGCCTGTTTGTTGAACAGAAGAACACCCAGGTATTTAATATTTATCACCCCACTATTGTATTCAAACACAAACCCTCTGCCGTTTGTCCAGTTTTACGGACAGTCTGGTGTTTTGACCGGCTGTTCTTCATCTGATTTCCCGGCTTTATTACAGTGAAAATGTTTTATTTGTTTATATTGACATATACAAAGTCCGGCTGCATTAGCGCGGAGTTCACACCCTCCACGGACCGGACCATTGTTCGTGTGGAAGGGGACTGAGAACCATGGTCCGTTGGTTTGATCTGGACCATGGTTTGCTTGCGCATTCATACCACCCGGACTTAAGGATTAAGCGGACCATGGTCTTTTCAGTACGAACCAAACAGTCTTGGTATGAATGTGCCCTCACAGTAGCTACTCAGTACATAAATTTAAATTTAAATAAAGTCTATTTTTTTACTTTTACTTGAGTAGATTCACAATATTTTCCTTCTACTGAGTAGAATTTCAACTTTATTTTACTTCATTTGACTACACTCACCGGCCACTTTATTAGGTACACCTGTCCAACTGCTCGTTAACACTTAATTTCTAATCAGCCAATCACATGGCGGCAACTTAGTGCATTTAGGCATGTAGACATGGTCAAGACAATCTCCTGCAGTTCAAACCGAACATCAGTATGGGGAAGAAAGGTGATTTGAGTGACTTTGAACGTGGCATGGTTGTTGGTGCCAGAAGGGCTGGTCTGAGTATTTCAGAAACTGCTGATCTACTGGGATTTTCACGCACAACCATCTCTAGGGTTTACAGAGAATGGTCCGAAAAAGAAAAAATATCCAGTGAGCGGCAGTTCTGTGGGCGGAAATGCCCTGTTGATGCCAGAGGTCAGAGGAGAATGGCCAGACTGGTTCGAGCTGATAGAAAGGCAACAGTGACTCAAATAACCACCCGTTACAACCAAGGTAGGCAGAAGAGCATCTCTGAACACACAGTACGTCGAACTTTGAGGCAGATGGGCTACAGCAGCAGAAGACCACACCGGGTGCCACTCCTTTCAGCTAAGAACAGGAAACTGAGGCTACAATTTGCACAAGCTCATCGAAATTGGACAATAGAAGATTGGAAAAACGTTGCCTGGTCTGATGAGTCTCGATTTCTGCTGCGACATTCGGATGGTAGGGTCAGAATTTGGCGTCAACAACATGAAAGCATGGATCCATCCTGCCTTGTATCAACGGTTCAGGCTGGTGGTGGTGGTGTCATGGTGTGGGGAATATTTTCTTGGCACTCTTTGGGCCCCTTGGTACCAATTGAGCATCGTTGCAACGCCACAGCCTACTTGAGTATTGTTGCTGACCATGTCCATCCCTTTATGACCACAATGTACCCAACTTCTGATGGCTACTTTCAGAAGGATAATGCGCCATGTTATAAAGCTGGAATCATCTCAGACTGGTTTCTTGAACATGACAATGAGTTCACTGTACTCAAATGGCCCCCACAGTCACCAGATCTCAATCCAATAGAGCATCTTTGGGATGTGGTGGAACGGGAGATTCACATCATGGATGTGCAGCCGACAAATCTGCGGCAACTGTGTGATGCCATCATGTCAATATGGACCAAGCTCTCTGAGGAATGCTTCCAGCACCTTGTTGAATCTATGCCACGAAGAATTGAGGCAGTTCTGAAGACAAAAGGGGGTCCAACCCGTTACTAGCATGGTGTACCTAATAAAGTGGCCGGTGAGTGTATGTCAGTGCTGTCTCCACCCTTGTTTGTGTTACTCTACAATGTAAGAGTGGCGAGTCAAAAAAAACCCTCTGTGCTGGGGTTTCTTCAGAAACTACACAGAGCATCTGATAGGTACTCAGCAGAGTAGTTTCATGTTTGTCATGTGAGGGGGCTCTCACTTAAGTTTCAGTGAAAGGGGGAGGTTTCATCACTTCACACAGCACATTTTTAGTCATTTTTAGACCTTCCCCTTTGACAAAAAAGCAGAAGGACCTCCTGAAAAACATTTTCACTTCTTCTTTCTGTGTCCTTTGTCTCTTTTGTAACCTCTTGTCTTCAAATAGGCTACCAACCGTACTTGAGTAAAATCCTTGTGATATGAATAGATCTTAAGTGAAGAAGAGTGAGTCACACTGTCAGTGCTTCTGCTGTTGGTGTGACCTTTGGGCTGTGAGCTTGTGATTCATTTTCTTCTCTATCTTTACTATGGTATAGCTCGAATAACACTGCAAGACACAGCTAATAAGGAAGAACAACTTTATTTTTACAAAGTCAGAACAGAACGAGCAGTTGTTGAAGAGGCATCGAAAGAGAAAATGGGATTATCTTGGCGTTCATGTTCTCGTCACAAAATATTCAGCTCAACCCAGGATGTGTTTGCTCTTGGGGTTAGTACAGGGGTCAAGGCTGAGTAGGAATACAGAGGTTGTGACTGGTCAGTTCTTGTTGTTTCAAGAATTTTAAAGCAGGCTCACTTCAAAACATGTAATACCTATGTTGGTCCACTGCCCAAAACGTAGTCATTTCACAAAAACATGGCTCTGTAATTGTGACGTGGGTATGTTTCATCTGCCCAGCCATTTCTGCAGGCAGTCCTCAGCTCATGTGAATGTCAGGGATCCACCAGCGTTGGCCAAAAAAAAAAAAAAAAACGTGGAGGGTACCCCTTTTTTTTGCTGGAAATTACCATATTTTAAAAACCCACTTCGATTAAAATGATGTTTTTCTTGTTGTCTACATGTTCATGTGGCATTTTTCTGATTTCTGAGAAAAATAAGTGCAAAATTGCATTTCTGAGTATTTCTGCTTTTAAATCGCTGTGAATCTCTCGCGGATTCAAACAGCAGGTTCAGAAACAGTGAGATTTCCTATGTAACAAATCCAAGGATGAATGTATATAAGCCGACTGAATGCTCATTTGTAAACTGGTCTTTTTCAGACTTTTACAGATGATAAAGCATGATTTGTCTCAAGGTGCAGCTATAGTTCAGTGTCACAGAGGCCTGTTAATAGTAGAATGAATTTGAACTGTGTGATACTCTTGCATTTATATTTTAGGCCCTCTTTTTTCTGTAATCAATATGTAAGGAATATATGTTTGACTGGGCAGTTAAGCTTCAAAGCTGAGAGACAAATACGCATAGCTGATGTCACTGCTGACCAATACTTTTACTGATCTGCTCACCTGCGCATGTAAAGTCACTGAAAACCCGAGGAAAACAGCCAAAAACCAAATCAAATAATTTAAAACTACTGTCCACTCTACGCAGTTTGTGATTCGGTATAAATTACACATAAGAAACCTTGAAGACTTAAAAACAAAGAGGAGTTAAAGAAGCCATCTTTACCAGGGCCCGTATGCACGTTGAAAGCGTTTAGCGTAAACGCGATTAGGGCTTAAACGCGTTTAGTTATACGGGCCTTAAACGCGTTTAGTTCCTATACGATTTTGGTATGCACCATGCTGTAAACGGAACCGTATAGCTAACCGCGTTTACTGTGTCTTAAACGGGTCGAGTGACGCTCGAGTGACGGTTCAACTGACTGTCGACTGATCCACTCCTACCAACTCCCCACACACGTCTTGGAAAGAAGAAGTGGCGTAGTACCGTAAGGTTACGAGGACTTGTTGTAGTGGAGTGAGGGTGAATCCTCGGTTCGAAAGTTCAATTTCAGCGGAAATCTCCTGCGTGAGGTCGAGAATATGGTGCCGTCGAAATCTAAACTTACGGAACACTTCGTGGTCGTCATACGTGTCGAAGGGGTGTTTTCTGTCACGAAAAATCCTGTTTCGACACAATTGTCGCCGCTGTCTTTCTTGGAACAACAAGAGTGCCGCCATAATTAAACGCGTTTAGACCCGCTATTGGACCTCCAGAGGTGCGATAACTTTAAACGCGAAAATCCGTATAGGAACGAAGTGACGTGCATACCGACATTTTTGGCGTTTAGGAGTTAAACGCGTTAAGCGGGCTAAATGCGTTTTGCCAAGCAACGTGCATACGGCCCCAGGCTGGAGAAACCTTCTCTGAACAGAGGGGGTAGACTCAGGCACAATCTCTCCGGCACTTACAATGCAGTTCTCAGCTCTCTCCCCAGGAAGCTCCACAAACATTCACACCTGGAACCACATGATCCAGGTGGCATGAGTCATGTTGGTCACATGACAGGGGTTGTAAACGACCCTTTCAGGTTAACGACTTGGGGACACACACACACACACACACACACCCAGAGATGGGTTTCTACGACCCATTCTTTCCAACTCCTCCCAGTCGTTGTCTGTCCCCTTCTCCAGTAAGATAAATATCTGCTCCTCACACTAGCAATTTTAGAACTGAAGAAGCTCCTTGGACAAGAGGCGAAACATCTTCTCAACTCTACACAGACCAGTTGCCTGTTTTTAAGTCTTCAAGATAACATGACCTGGATGAATGAGAATCTACATGGACATACAGATAAGAAAAAACTGCACTTATTATTTTTAAAGCTATAGTGGATAACTTCTACGTATCTGTAAATATCTGTTTCACCCAAGCCATTACAAGAGTTGATGATACAATGCTGATTAGTCCGTTTGGCTCCTCTATCACCTCGTGATATTTTTCAGTGTTTGTTCACGGTGCCAGGGTTGAAAACCAACCGCTCAATGCATAATCTCAGTGTTTGGGGTGTGCATGGACTGCAGTGGACAATAAAAGTGGACTTTTAAATACATATGAACAGGTTAATCTGACTGGAATTAGACTAAATTGCACTATTTATAGCCTCTTGCTAACAAGTTTTTGTGCTTGTTTTGGTACTTGATGTGGGAGGTCAAACCAGAGGCGACCCTGTAGTAGCAGACAGAACAGGGGCATGTCACCATCTGCTGCAGTGGAGGCAGACATGCCTCTGTCAATATTTTGATTCTTGCCTGATGCTTGTAAACTGAAACAAGGACAGTAGTTCAGTGAAATCTCCTAATCAGGCTTCAATGGTTACTCGACCCAGCTGTACATGTAAACAAACTGTGTGTTGTGATAGGCTGACTCCTACTCCTATATTGATTCACTCAAAAGGAATTAGCTGCATCTGCATGTCCTCTCTGTTTTAGAGATGTTTGACCTTCTTTTAGCATAGTGTTTTGACCATTTGTCACTTCTTTCTACCAGACCCATGGGAATCGACTACCTTCAGTGGGAACTCTGCTAAAAATCCCCAAACAGACAGCAGCACTGAGAGGATAAGAGCCTGGTATTTTCCAGAGTGGCACATACAGCCAAGACAAGTGATGCTGCAGCTTTAATGGAAATATTGTAACACTTTACTTGATGTCTATTTCTATAACACATCATAATTATATGATTAATGCGTTATAATTATGTTATAGCGCTGTATGACTATAGTTATAAACACTCATAAATGATCATAATGCTTTATAGCAATAATCATAACACGTTATGAACCATTTTATCATGACTTACAAGGTCAGGTATTATAATGTGTTATAACTGTTAACAGCTCACTGACAACTACCACACTGATAATGCATGCAACTGTTGTTATTAGTTATAACACATTATAATACTTGACCTTGTAAGTCATGATAAAATGCTTTATAATGTGTTATGATTATTGCTATAAAGCGTTACAAACATTTATGAGTGTTAATGACTAAGGTATGCAGTACTATAATGTAATTATAGCGCATTATAAATATATTTATAATAAATATAATTATAAATATAATAAATATATGTATTTATAATGCGTTATAGAGATAGGCGTCAATAAAGCATTATCGAAATATCTCATCTGGATTCTCTCACTTTCACCCACAAAACACATTTTTCTTTCCCATCTTAAAAATCTTTAAGAACATTGTTAAGCATTTACTGAGATCAAGATTGTTCCCTTATACAGACTTTCTAAGAACCAAAGTGGATGAAATATCAGGGAGCTGAGGCCTCCCTTTGTCCGGTGAAAGACTCACCATGGAAATACAACACCAACACAAAGTAAACCTTCAACTTAACACCTTTAATTTTAAATATAACAATAAGCTTCGTCTCACCTCTGTCTGGAAACTACCCATCATGGAAAATATGCCAAAGATATACAAACACATAACCATTTGCATGAAAATAAAAAGGCCAGAAAAAAAAAATACAAATACAATGAATTAGCTACATATCCAATGTTCAAAGCAAAGTAAAGTATCATCATGAGGACGTAGCATGACTGAAGTCCAGCTGTTTAAGTGTTTCCAACACTAACAAAACTTAGTAATGAACTGTGATGAATGACAGAAAGAGAGAAATGATAAATTAAGTTATTGAAACAAATGTACACATTGTGCCTCTGATAATCAAACTCAGAGCAGAGACTCATGGAAAGTGTGGCACCTGCCTGAACTCACTTTGAACCTAAAGTGTACTTACATTAAGTATTTACTGAGCACAAATTCTTGTACGTACTCTTGATTTAGATTTGCACAAATAAGAAGTGTGGTGACAGAAAAACAAAGCCTGAAATGGACTCAGTTCTAGAAAAAAACATGTAAGTCGTTCAATCTTGAGGTGAAAACGAAACATATCCTGCCCATGATAAAATGAAGAATATATAAGTCATAAAAAAATGTGTCATACAGAGACAGAATGACTTTGAGCAGCAGGTGAGACTTGCGTGCAAGTCAGTTTGTCAGTAATAACAGAACAAGCAGTTAACCTCCTGAATTCACTTGCCCTGAACTCATGAAACAACACTTGCAAATCCTCTCTGTACTGCCCATCATGTGTTATCTAACAGTATGTTTAGAGAGAGACCAAATCGCACAAATGTAGTACTTAAAAACATACCACAATGAGCTGCCCCGAGATACAAACTTAAATGTGATGAAACTGGCCCTCAAACTATTCACAAAACAGACAAAGACTGTTGTAAACATTGTTTTGTGTGCAGAAAACTCGTGTAGAAATGCCTGTTTGATCCAGACAAACAGGCTTCTTCATATGGGGGGGGCTTTTACATAACTCTCTTAAATTACTCTATACTTTGCATATAAAATCTAACTTATCTGCTTGAATGGGATTGGGTAATTCTGGACTGGGACATTTCAGCTTAAAGGGCTGGCAGCACCTGGTACTTAGTACCCTCTGTGCAAAAACACTTTGAGCTTCAGTTGGATTTTGTTGCTGTGCCTCTAGTAATAAAAAACAAAAAACAAAAAACTTTTGGAGCAGTGCTGCACTCATCTCGGTTATCAACCAATCAGAATCAAGGAGAGGGACTTTTGACAGCCACTCTATCAAAATCACCGATGAGGTCCATAAAGTAGGAGAAACTCCTCATTTTTGAAATACAGTTTTTTAGGTTAATCATTCAAACCCTTTATTTAACTGAAATAGTACAAAGCCAACATTTCAACTCATGAAACTGAATATATGTCATTGTTTTGTGAAAACTGTATGATCATTTCAGATTTGATGCCAGCAACAACTTTTTCAAAAATTTAAACAGAGACAACAAAACACTGGAAGGTAACGTGACTGTCTAAAAAACACACATTTCAGAGAGGCTGAGTCTCACAGTTAGGATGGGATGAGGTTCACCATGCTGTGAGAGACTGTGCAATAATTTCACCAACTATGATACAAAATATTGTTTAAAGATTCAGACAGTTGGGGAAATTGGACGGCTGTGATCCTCTACAGACCCTCAGGCAGCAGTGCTTTGAAAACAGACATGTCTCTGTGGTGAAAATCACCACATGGGCTTAAATAACTTGTGAAATCATGGTTTTACGCTGTAGCCGCAAACATGGTTTCTATATCATCAAAGGAGAAAGCACATGGATCAGAAACGTGGACTTGTCTGAGTCCATTTAAGATTGATTAAGACGAAGTTGAAAGCTGTCCTGTTGTCTGACATAGCAGGAGAAACACTTTTCATATTCAGGCAAGACAACCTCAAACTGCATTCTGCATGTTTTCTACAACAGCAGGAGATGAGTCCAGGTGCTAAACCTGCCTACCTGCAGTCCTGACTTTATCACACATTACAAAACATTATGTGAGACAAATTTGAAACCGCAATCTGTTGGTAGCTGGAATTTTCTATTAGCAAATCTGAGAAAACATTTCACTTTCAAACCTCCGGACCTGATCTCCTCATTTCCCCAATGATTACAGAGTGTTTAAAGATGCTGCAAAACAGTAATCATACCCCTACCTCAACTTTTTTAAATGTATTCCTGCATCAACTTTAGAAAAATAAAACAACATTTTGAATAAAAAGATTTAATTTTCAGTTTCAATGTTAAATATGCTGTCTTGGCACCACTTCCAATTAAATATGAGGTTCAAACAATTTGCAAACTGTCAAATCAATGTTTGACGTGACGTTCAAACTCTTTGGACTAATGTTTGTACTTACACTTGTAATGTGTTTAATATTTCATTGTGGAAAAGGCTTTACACCATCCTGTACGCTCCATGGTGGCATGAAAGGGTACTGGGTCTGAATGTTAGTATCAGAAGAGGAGAGTGGGGTAAGTTGAGCCAAAGGGTAAGCTGAGCCACTCCCTGTTGCTTGGAAATGGTAAAAGAAATTGATCATGTGACCAAATATTTAGGAGATGGGCATCATGGAGTCTGTAAAGGTTAGAAGCACATGGGTGAAGGGGTTAGACATTTATTTCCAAAAAAACATTTTTAACTTTTGAAGTGAATTTAGTCTGTCATAAGTTTAATTAGACTTGAATTGAGATTGAAAAAGATCATTTTAAATTTGTTTTAGGTCAAAAAAACCTAGCGTAAAAGTCCACCATTTTATCTTAGAGGACTAATAAAGTCATGATAGTTGTTCTGGGGTAAGTTGAGCCAGTGGCTCAACTGAGAAAGTAAAGGGGTCTGATGAGAGGATCAGAGTTTCAGTTCAGATTGTTGAAATGTGTTACTTTCTCTTTTTAAAAATACAGCTGTGAATGTTCTGAATCACTTAGAGACATTCTCATGTTAAAATGACTTTTTACAAAACAGCTTTTTAGCAGTTACATGCCATAATAATGAAAAGAATTTTTGTACCAGTTGAATAGTGTATAATAGATAAAAACACACATGGATGTGAAGAAGTGACTGTTATTTAGGGAGACAGAAGGTGAGGGAGGGCTGGGGTGCAGAGAAGGGGGTAGTAGGGATACGGCTCAACTTACCCCGTCTATGGGGCAAGTTAACCATCGGAGAGCACTTTTTTTGGCATGCTATGTTATCAAGACAGTTATGTTTACACTCATTCTGTTGGTTTGCAGGGATGCACAACATCTTGAAATATATGCAGATACACTAGTTAGAGACAAAACTATGATTGCCTTGATGTGGTGATTCGAAATATGAAAAATGGCTCATCTTACCCCACTCTCCCCTATCTGTTTTCAGGTGTGAAGCACTGTCCTGTAAGTTTACTTAGTGTGTCTGTACTGATTAATCTTTGCTTCATATGTGTGTAGGACTGCTTGGCATGTTGTTAGAAGTGTGTGCAGCCTGTAGGTCTTTTCTTCTGTATCAGCTAGTTTACTAATCCGACATGCTAACAAGACAGTGATGGCTCTAACCAAAAAGCTACAGTGATTTGTTCACTAACAAGCTGTCAATGTTTGCCCTCTCAAAGAAATCTCTCCCCCCTGTGTTTGCAGATTCTTACCAGCTGTACCTCTGAGCATTTCATTCTGTGGGTTCAGAGTGAACAGCATGGTGAAGTTTCACATGCACAAATGTCACACCAGCATATAGTCAGTGTGTGCTGCCTTTTAGGGCAAACGGTAGCCAGACTCAAGCAAGGATGAGTGTCAAGCTGCTATATTAATGTTGTAAACTGGTACCATATCCCATCATGCATCAGCAAATCTTTTGTTCCCTCTAGTTCACCAAGAATATCACTAATTTACAACAGTCATGGCTGAAAAACATGCTATAAGCATCGTGTTGCATCAAACAAATGACTTCTCTCCAATTTCATGTCTCTTTATACAATAGCTATTATTAGAAACATACTACATATAATATTAAACAGGCATTTCAACTCCTTAGAAAAAGTGGTGTGGCAACAATAGAAATTTTATCGTATTATTTTTCTCCTTTTAGAAAGTCTGGTTTATTTCCTTTAGAAAAAAAGACACTTGTTGAGATTCCTGGGACTGATGTGAGCGTAGCGAGGTGACCGACTGACAACAGAGCTGAATATTAGCCTTTCAGGGACGAGCACAACACAAGGACACATACGGTCAGTGTAAAGGCCAGTCAACGGCGTGTTTGCTTCTCTCTCTCCTCAAGTAAATGATCTTTCTTCAACATAAAAGAAGGAGGGTTCAACTGTCCCTGAAGGTAGAATCATAAAAAAAAACACTTTTTTTTCTCTACTATGTGAAAACAAACTCAGTTAAAGGAGTGAGTGTAAAATGGCTACATGAAACAGTTCAGTGTGAATAAAACCCTCTGGGTTCAGTCCGTGTGTGAGGAGGAGAGGCCAGGCGGTATTCAACAGTCGAAGTGTCGATAAATTGTGTTTGTGTGTTGGGTTTTGTGTGTACTCCTGTGTGTGGGAGGTTTACCCATCACAATGAATACCTCTCTGGCTCTTTTAACTCGATTCCCCTGCTTATCTCTCCTCCCCAGAGTCTTCATATTACTCCTCTGCTGCTCTCCTTCACGTTCCTCATATTCATTTATCTACCATGCTCTCCTCATCTCTCTGTTTCTCTGACCCTCCTCTCAGATCTGTATTTTGTCCGTCTCAGGCAGCTCTCATCAGTAAACAGTCGATCTCTTCTTCTCTGCCTGTTTCTCTGTCATCCCTTCATGGCAGTATTTGAAAACAATGCTCCGGCTGCAAATCTACGGTTCCTCTTCCCCGGTGCAGACAGCCAGCCGCATGGCCACAGACAGGTGGTCGGTGATGCCAGCCAGCTGGGTGACGAAGCTGAACTCCTCAATTTCCTGCAGGAAGAACAGAAGGCTGGCATCAGATCTTTGTGTTGCACCCTGCATGTCTGGGTTTCCAGCTTATATTTCATCCTTGAAAGAGACTCAGTAAAAGATGTTTTTACGTTGAAATTCAAGATTCACTTTAGTTTGTCATTTTTAATTTGCATTCACTTAAAGAAGAGAAGATGCTGTTCTTCCAGCCCAGACACAAATGTATAATAGCCACCCACACAGTATCTAAAACAGCCTCCCTCAAAAAGAAAATAAATATATATATATATTTATTGCTAATAGCTGTTGGGCTGCAGGTATTTTTCATTTTGTTAGGTCTCTGCAGCGATCCCACCTCAGCAGAATCAATGAGTGAGTTACTCAGTAAAGAGAAGCAATCTTCACACACAAGTCATTTTCATCTGCAGACATGCTGAAAGGGTATACTGACAAATATGTGTCACATTCTTGTCACTTTGGAAACTACCAGCACTACCTGTACTAGTCAAACATTATGAGGAAATTCAGCACAGGCAAATCAGGCCTGGCTTCCTAGATTGTATTTTAGTTATGCACGGGTGTGTCATGTCACACTCAACTTGTGCACTGGGGCATTTTCATGGTAAAAACAGGAGAGGACTTTCCCTGAACACTGAGTTAAGAGATCAACAAGCTCTCTATTGTCTTGATTCGTGGCCTTTCCGAGGCATTAACATCTTTCTATGTAAGAACCAAAGGGAATTTTTCCAGCTATGAATAAAAATTTTAACATGAAATTTGTATATATACCTTTAAGCAAACAGGGTGTTGCGCTAGTCCTCTTTTTATTGTTGCTTTTAACCACAGACACTGCCTCAGGCTGAATGACTCATAAACCAGTCCAGTTACAGTTTATATTTACCTAGAGTATGTTTGATTTTAATCTAAAAACCAAGACGCAGCAAACAAACATTTAACCTGTCTGGTTTGCAGGACTGTCACTTCTGGATTTAACCCTGTGGCATACTGGGTCTTTTTGGGTGGACTGGGACCTCTGCCCAGCTGACGGTACCCTCTCCTGTCCTCTCTTTACTTCAGTTTCTCTTGATAATGCATTTTAGTGCATAAAAAACATTTGACAGAGGAGCACAGTACTGTAGAGATGCAGAAGCTCTAATTTTACACTGAGGAATTAAAAATAACAACAGAGATATGCTTTTAAAATCTGCATTGTCTTCTGCTCTTTTAAAAATTAGAAATTTGGAGTATAATACAGAAGATTTACAAACACTGGCTGCACACTACACACATTAACGAGTGAAGACGAAGTTCCTCCGTCATCACAGATATTACAGTTGAAACGAGACAAGAAACTTCTGTTTCAAATGGTGTTGCAGTTACAGTGTTCTGGCACAGGGGGGCATCAGATTATTAAATTTGAGGGAAACAGAGTGACTGAGTCAGAGAGGAGGGAGAAAGAGACTCGCTGTGTACATAATGTGATTTGGTTTTCCATCCTCACCATCTCTTTACACAGACACGGCCCTGAATTTCTTGCCCTAATTCTTTTCCTTCCTTTCTAGCTTGTCTTGTTGTGAATTGTTGACCTTATTTATTTGAACATTTTGTACCAATTTTTGGACCCATGTATGATTTCAGGACCACTTTCAGTTCACAAATTATTCCAAGAAACCAACTATTAAGCTGTAAACAATTATATAATATTTATTTTCTTCAATTCTCCACTAAATCATACCTGCTTCCAGTCCTGCTGCAGGTGCTCGTCGCTGTAGAGGATGTAGTCAATCCTTCGTCCGTTACCCTTCAGTGGGATCTTTCTCCCTTTCTGACTGCTGGCAGGACACTGGCTTTTACTGGGAGGGAATACGAGGTACTCTTTCCTGGCCTCTTCATTCTCCATCACCCTGTAGAGAAAGAAGTAAAGAAAAGATCATGAGACTTGGGCCTAAAGCAAACGCAGAAATCACCTATTCCTGTTAAAATCTTCATGCAAAGAGAGACAAGTACCTTTGTGTTTATGGAGACAAAACTACCAGTTCAAACTTCTTACTGTCAGGTAAAAACCTTGGGTTAAATGTCGAAACCAAAGTCAAAGGTGCGTGGTAGCTTTTCCAAAAGTACGGACAGGTCTCCTTGGAATAAACGGAGGTAGGTAGGTGTGAGTCTGTGTTCAACTTACTTTTGTAAACTTTCAGGTGAGGTGACCTCGTCATCGTAAAGGCCACTGGGATCCAGCAAAGTACCTGGAAAATAACACACCATCTAAATGAGCCATCTGTTTAATTTCTCAAAAATGATCAATTTAATCTCCTAAACATATTTGGGGACAGAAGCGCTGGGTCCTCTAACCTGAACAGTGGAGTTTGTTTATTTGTGTAGTCATTTCTGAGCCTCTGATTTTGTGCAACTTAGTTCAGCCGGGGTAAATGGAAAATCCCAGCTTTATCTGTTGCAAATGTTTTGTCAACAATCCTTTGGACGGGGGAAACTTGGCTGTTGTGCAGCTGCGAGGAAACAGTCACCAAATCAGGAGAGAGTACTTGCTGACTCAGCTCTACAACCTCCCTGGCACTATCATCCAGCACCCTGCTTCTCCTATTGAGCCCCGCTCACTGCTGGTTCTCTTGGTGCCAAAGCTTTGCTATTGCTATCTTCTGAATTGGTTTGAGGAGAACTATCAGAGTTGTATTATCCTTGGTTCACATGAGACTCTCGTTCAAATCCAGGACTGAGCAAGGGGTTCATTTTTCATGCGCTCTTGTATTCATCATAAGAAGATATCTGACAGAAACACAGGGACCTTTCCTCAGACCCGCTGAACAGAACTTCATCAAGGTGGTGAGATCAGGTTTTGGGACACTCTCCCCTCAGTACCCCAAAGCAAGATGTTAGCATGATTGCATGTGAAAGTAAGTCCGCAAAAGACTCCTTCAGCTGTGGGAGTGGACTGGTTTTCAGGGCTGATATTCAACATTTTACAAATGGCCGATAAGATTAATCAATGAAAGAGTCTGCTATATTGGCTCTGCCCTGGGTGTGCAGACTATGGCATCAGCCAGTCTGGGTGCAGACTTGCTATTGGACTTCCTGATAATATCCCAATAGTGATTTTTTTCTCATACACAATAATCTTGAGGTGAAACTCTATCAGGCTCTTGTATCTATCATGATTTTATTCAGACCACAAAGTTTCAGCTTAGAGGAAATCAGGAATCAAGGAATCAGGAATCACCTTTTACTGTCCTAAGAAGTTCCTCAAATGTTAAAACAAGCTGATTTTGAGATAGGTGTTGTATGGATAAATGTTCTCTCAGGCATCAAAAAGGAGGTGTCATTATTTGCTGATCAATAAGACCCCTTCCCCTCATCTTTTCATTCACAGCAAACAACAAACTGCATGCAATGGCCATCCATCCCTGAGCTTTCAAACGCTTGTCTACTCGATGGCTACCAGCTTTCTAACACGACAACTTTCCTTCTTCAGACAGCTGAGGGGGCCCTCAGTGCTCCTTGTTCCGAGAGCTTATATCTTTATGGTCCTCAAACCACTATCCACTGTTAGCAGCCACAGAAATATACCAGCCAGAGAGAGACGGGCACTTAGAGCTGCTTCTGACAATGAGGATATGAGGCCGTGGGCTGGATAATGAGTTTAAAATGCCCCATATGAAGAGAACAGCACTTTGGAGTTACTCTCACCACAGTGCAGTTGTTAAGTGTGGGTGGCTCTTATAAAAGTAGGCATCTGATGTGCGGCCGGCTCCTTTTACAAGTCTGAGAGCAGGTTTTCCGATCACTGAAACAAAGACGGTGAGGTGTTAGGCAGGCGCTCTCAGCAGCTCACTCTGACTACTGCCTGTCTGCTTTCAGCTTGTTTGGGAAAGCTCCCATATTCATGAGATTTACTCTTTTACGTGGTTAACATAACCTCAGTTTTACCATCCTCATAAATCCAATCATCACCGACAGACTCTAGTGTGTGTGTATGTGTGTGTGGAGAAGAAAGTGGATGTTCTTTCACACCAATTCTGACCACAACTCCTAAAACGCGGTGGAAGCCACATTCTGTGTCCTCGCCTGGTTGTTGGTTTGTGGCTGACATGTTTAATCTGCTGTCACACATGAACTCAAAGACATCACCAAAAACAGCCATTTCAGCTATGAGTGAGGGTGATCCTTGGTGAGAGATTTTAGCAGAAGCCTTTAATTTTCCTTTCAGTTATCGTGTGACTGTGCGTCCATGCCACCGCTTTTTATCGACAACTGCACCCAGGCTGTCGTAATTCCCATGAGATCTGGACTCAGCACAAGCCCTGCAGGGTGTTGGTGTTATTTCACTGGTTCAGAGGTCTGCGTCATAAAGATCCTGGAGCTGTCAAACTTCAGAGAAAGATCTCTGTTTGTCTATGTGCCCGTTCTTTAAAGAACCATTTATCCCATTGAGTTCACATTTGTTAGGAGTCATTCTGAATCTGAACTGAGCAGAAAAGGTACGAGTTCATGGATAAGAGATGAACCATGACTCTCTGAACTGATGTTAATTCTCTCACAAATGAGATTGGTCTCCATTGTACTTGTTAATTATTGTTATTATCTTAGAATTTGTATTGCTTTGGTTTTAATTTCCCTTTTGTTTTCACAAATTGTGGGATTGTGCTAATTTGATACAGAATACCTCTAGATCATTTGGGGGAAGCTTTTTGGGCAATACTTTATAATAACAAACACAAAATTATAGTGGTTACAGGGGAACTAATCAAAAACTAATGGGAAACTTAAAGTAGTTACCGAGGAACTTATAATTAACTAACAATTAGCTAATGGTCCGTTCTCCAGGAACTCTTGACCAAATTTCAGAGGAGTGGTTACTGAGAAACTAATTACAAACTCATGGAGAGGATGTGCGTTGGGTGGAATCACTCCAAAAACAGCACCCTTTGGTGACGGGCTGCAGTATAGGTCATAAATCCCACCTCCGCCAGCAAAGCTAATGGAGCTGTGGACAAACTCAAGAAATTTTTTACACAGAATATAAATTTTTCTCCCCCCTGCTTGTAATGTTGACATGTAGTTACTGTAAGACTGGTTTGTGCTGAAGTCCTCTTTTTTCTGTACAGCTCCATTTTTAAAAGTCATTAGGGGGTTCATGTTTGCTATGATTGACACTTGACACAGCCCGTCGGCGTATGAAGATTGTGTAGCTCACCCGGGGGATATGCTGTTTGAGCCGAGCGTCATCACAGCGACTTTTGGCGACTCTCCCGTAGCACAATGTGACTGTGCAGGAGGTGGAGTGCTTACAACACTACTGCCCAATGTTGGTTTCAGGGAGTGGAGAGAAAACACGGAATTACCGAGGGCTTTTTGCCTTCAAATACTGGCATAAGGTGGAACCAAGTTGTCCATAGTATATACAGTCTATGGACGGTACGCATGGCCATGATGAAGTAATTATTTAGTACTCATGAACTAGTCCTTATGATGGCTTAATCTACCGAAAGGTACACAAAAAGGTAGGTAATTAGTTAGCTCCTTAGTGACTAATTTGTTCCTTGTTAGTTCCTTTTTATGTTCCTCATTTGCTCCTCAGTAACTATTCATTAGTTCTTCACTAACTACTCCTCTGATATTTGATCAGAGGTTACTGAAACTCTGATCATTAATAGTTTATCATTAGTTCCTCAGTAACTGCTCCTTTGAAACTTGATCAGGGGTTACTGAGGAACTAATCATTCAGTAATAGTCAGTTTATTATTACTTCCTTAATAACTACTCTAATTTTGTGTGCCTTAGTTCCTCAGTAATTACTGTATTTTTCTGTACCTTATTGTAAAGTGTTACCACTTTTTGTTTTTGGGGTTATCATTAGTATGTAATAAACCTCATCTTGAGCTTGTGTTAAAAGTCTGCTCAGACTGAGTGTACAAGAGTGCAAAGAATGTCATATCCCCAAGCTCTCAGTGTTAATGCATCTTTTATTGTCTGAGTGGCTCTACAGCAACACTACAGCTGCCTCATCTAACAGAAAAACAAAGTGAATCTCTGTCAGTTCAGTGTGTCTGACTGTAAATGCATATCTGGAGAACCATGTCGGATTTTCTTCCTGCTTGGTGGTGCGATGCTGTGCAGTGGTCACCGTCAACTCAATCAGATTTGCGGTTCTCTTTTAGATGAACTGAAAGCAGCTGTGTTCAACCACAATGACATGAACAGCACCTCTGAGGGCCAAACAGTCGTCCTGTCTGAACAGATACTGCTCTGATTTCATGAAATCTTTGTAGACATACTGTTAGGACAACTCAGGACAATCACTGGCAACCGGGATCTCAGTCTGCCTGTTTTTGTGTCCCTCTATTGTTCATCCAGGTCTAATCTCCTCTGGAGAAGCATTATAAAATGGGATAATCTGTTTTTCTTTTCTTGCATTGATTCATTGATCAGTTTGTCTCTCTCTGTCTTCTCCTCCTGCTTAGAAATCAAGCAGGAGGCGCAGATCTTTCCCCTGATTCACTGTAGAAAATATCCCTGTCCAAATAAATAAGCTCTTCTCTGAATGAGCCCCTTCACTACGCCTTGCCAACACTGTCCCATAAAAACACTGCTGGCCTAAATAACGCCTCACATCCAGACCCAAACCCTCCAGTATTTACGTCACTAATGCCCATGTATCAGCAGGCTGCACTGGGCGTATTTTAATTCACACTGTGGGCGCATCCTGATTTATCCTGACAGAGCCAGATTATAGTCAGCTCTGCTCGGCGGGGCGCTTCATAGATCATCTCATTCACTAAGACACCATGAGTGTGTGTGTGAAGAAATACCTGCATGAAATAATGTGGTAATATGTCACTTTTTCTCGTGAACATTGTGGTCTTTTTTCACATTCACTCAAAGAGGATGTCTGGGAGTGTTGGCATTATTGAGACGTAGAATCCAGGATTTGTGACATTCATCTTTGTCCTTATAGGAGCATGTGACTGTGTGTGTTTGTGTGAGTGTGAGTGTGTGTGTTTGTTATTACCCAGAGCCCATGGTTTGTCCTCCCCTGGCCCTAGGCGACACGGGTCCTTGTATTGAGTAAAAAGTGCATGCTGCTGCTCCAGCTTGTCCTCTGAATATCACAGAAGCACATGTACAGTGTAATGTTACAGACGGGCAAAAGTTGAAGTCAAACATGACAATCCCAGACTCTCATTATGATTCTGTTAAATGATGTCTTCATGATTAAACACTTGGCAGCAGGTAGAAAGTACAAAAATTGACCTGAAACACAATGATATGAAACATTTTCCATTGAGTAAGAGCAATCCATTTTTAACCCCTAACTTTAAACTTCAGGTGAAAGATAAAGTAACTAAACAGACTTTATGCTGTGTTCCAGTTGTACTCGGAAGTTGGAGTTTCCAAGCTCCGAGTCCAAAATTCATCTAGAGCCCCCCCCCCCCCCCATTTTGTAATGTTTTATTTATTAGCACTTGTGTTTTATTTTTGTGAAATTAAATAAGTGGAATACGCTGTAATGCCTGGTGTTTGTAAGAGTAAAATACTGTGTTATGCGTTGTTTACAATTGGTACTGCTAACAACGGCTAACAACTGCTGACAACCGCTAACAACAACTGACAATTGTAAACAACAAATAACAACAGCTAACAACAGGCCTCCATCTTGGTTTTCCGACTTGTTTACTGGAACGCCGTCAACTTGGGTGTGACGTCATTCCCAGCTTTGACATCCAACTTCCGAGGTAACTAGAACACAGCATAATCCTGACATTTTTGTCTTTCTTTTGGACTTGCTTATTCAACGGGCTGTTAAGAAAAAGAAAACCAAAAATATGATCGATGAGTCCCTTGCTGTCCTAAATGACACTGTTTGTTTTGGACATTCCACAATATTCAGAGATAAATCAGGCAACCAGAGAAGCCAAAAGGAAGTGTATCTTGTCCGTGAAGGTTTTTTCATCTTCCAAGTTAATGTTGGATTCTTGTTATTTTTTTAATGACACGATGGCACAAGACTTGGTGTACTCAACAAACAACTTTTCTGTTTTTAGAACCAAAAGTGAATTTATATTTTCTCTAATCCAACATTCAACACTCTAATCCAACAACAACGAGGCCTGATTGCTGCTTACCTGATGAGCAGTTATCAAAGTTGAGGTCTCCCAGGATGACGTCAAAGGCCACCAGGTCTTCCAGCACCTTCTCTCCTTCAGGTGGTTGGGATGAGGATTGACGAAACTCAGCCCCCCACTGGAGCATCAGGTCGAGCTGCTCACAGCGTACGGATGCATCACCTGGTGGACGACACAATTTTTGTGTGAGGGCTGGAGCAAATAAATACCGAATGTGCTTAATTAAGCTTTTTTTTAAACTTATCTGGTCACTAAGGAGGTAAGGACAATCGATAAAGGGGAACAGGTCTGTTCATATTGATATGCCTGACAGCATTTTCACTGTCAGTAAGAAACTGTAAATAAGAAACTAGATCAATCTAGTCCTCTCTGATCCAATGCAGGATATTTTTTCAATCGATGCAGCCAAAAAAAGTAAGTTTGCTGATAATTTAGAATTCACCATGCATCTTTTCGCAAACCTGCCAAATGGCACAAAAGGATTTTCATTTCCGCAGAGCACCTGCAGGGCTAAATGTTCCTATAAATGTGTTGCAGAGCAAATGTCCCCTCATTACTGTCTGCATTTAAAACAGTATCTGCGCATACATCTGGGGCAAAACTGTCCTCTTTGCATGCAAATCAACCACGACTTTCTGTCATGCCAAAAAAAATCCATTTCAAATGTGAAGACCAACAGTGTGCAATGACAGAATCGGCAGCCTTTTGAATGGGGGTAATCACTCAAGGGAGGACATAGCATTGATCATGGCCCAACTGGTATCACATTGGTCAGGTCTGTATGACTGAGTAACTGAGGTCTAAAGGTGCTGCTGACAGCTCATCTCACTCAAGCATAAACCGTCTGTGTTGTTTCTGGAATCTCATTAGCACTTTAAATATTGTGAATCACACTTCGAGGTGGGACAGAGAGCAAAGGTAAGTGACGCACAATTTTTGATCCGCTTTGATCCTGTAATATTCTGAGAACTTTATAGTTAAATCACAGCAGCCTCAACACTAAGACTAATCATTGTTGAAGACAAGTTTGAGAACTCGATTATTAACATGTGATCACATTTACTACAGATTACTGATATTAAAAAAGCTACACCAGTCAATATTTCCATTGCCCATGCAGCTAAATGACAAAATAAACACTGTGCCTTTAAACTCAGCCTGTTACAGGAAAGCATTGATTGTATTCTTGATGATGGATCAGAGGCCCGGTGAGGTGAAAATGTGATAAATTTTAGTCAAAACAATTCAGTCTCATCTTCATCTCATTAACAAGGATAAACACATGGCATATTTAAGATGTATCTTAAAAATGCTGTTTGCCGTCATAATTCTCTACAAAGAAATGATATCCAAACCTAAAAGGGTCATTTGATTGTGAACTCAGTATTAAATGTGATTTGAAAACCACAGATTATCACTCTTCTCTACAAAGTCCCTTGACTTATTGTGTTTCAAGCCTCTCCTCCCTCTGGCTTTTGGTTTTATAGTCAACAGCTTCCTAGATCTTGAAGCAGCAGGAATCTGTTTCCAGCAAAAAAAGAAAAAAAGAAAAAAAATCTTCAACAAGGACGATATGTCCAGAAGAGAAGAGCAGACAGAGTGAGCATCTAACTGCTTTTGTCATCTTACTTCATGTCACGTTATTTAGAAAACAAACTGCACAGAGCTGTCACAGATTTTTCTGACTTCCTTTACCAAGTTGATTTATTATGTTGCTAATATTAGTGACACAATATTATGTCACATTTGGTTCTGTTTAGCCTTGGCAGCGTTTCCTCCAGCCCTCACTCCTGCCAGTAAATCTGATAAATTGGAGTTGGAGCGAGGAGGGTGGAGGCGGTAGGTGAGAGTGTGTGAGGGAGAAATAACAGCTGAATAGTGGAGAGTGTGAGAAACAAAGAGGTGTCAAGATGTTGGTGGGTGAGTGGGTGGCTTTGGCTTTGATTACTCTTAGCTTCGGTTCCAGTACATGAAAAATCAAATAATTTGCTTTTCATTTTGTACTCCTGGATCTCTTAAAAACTGATGAAGCTGAGGGATGTGGGGGTGTGTTTGCTATATACCTTCTTGTGTAATTGTGTATGAATGCAAGTTTATTTCTGTTTGGATTCCTGTGAAGACTTGAAACTAAGTGATATATCTGTATTTTTAGATCTGTGTAAGTCAAGAATAGTTAATTTCTCAGTCAAGTAAAATTGCTTGCAAGTACTCATTTTTGAAAGTGGCCTATTTCTGCTTAAACATTCTTGTTTTTCTCCATTTGTGTTTCCAGTTTTGAACTTGTGTGCAAAATTCAGACTAGAACAGCCAGGTTGGTTTAAAGAAATGTTATTTTTACAAACCATTAGTGGACCCTACGGGGCTCCTAACAGCTCTAACAGGGACCTTCCACCCGATCTGGTTTGGTATATTTCTGCTTCCCCAGGGCAGCAGAGCTGGTAGGTTTCACTCTAGTAAATGTGTCTGCTTCCACTGGCACTGTGTGTTTCTGCTCCATCGTAGCTCCAGCAATCCAGTGCCCTCTGTAGTAGTTTCACAAGACATCTACATTGACTGGATTTGGGAGCATCAGTTAAGCCAGTGGTTCTCAAGTCTAGTCCCTGATGTTTCTCTGCTCCAACACACCTGATTCAAATGATCAGCTCGTTATTAAGCCATTACAGAGCTTGATAACGAGCTGATCATTTGAATCAGGTGTGTTGGAGCAGGGAAACATCCAAAACATGCAGGACAGTGGAGCTCGAGGACTGGACTTGAGAACCACTGAGTTAAGCACAGGGCAGATCGAGCAAGACGGACACTGAAACAACAGATGCCAGGTCAAAATTCAAACCAACAGCCATCAAAATGGGTGGAGCCAGGCTTAAGGTCAACAGCTTGTAGAATATCAGAGGCCACTGTCAACAACATGGATGAGGAGAAGCTCATCATGGACGCAGGGAACCACTGATTCTGTAATTACTGGGAAATACTCAGTCTCCAGCTGTTTAACGGTGCTGCTCCATGTAACCCTCTGGAAATGCAGCTGGTGAGTGGTGAACACAACGTGTTACTGTGATCCGATTATTTTTTTCAAGTAATGAATAAAGTAAGGGATTACAATAGCAAAAGCAGTAACAGTACGTTACTGTGTTACTAAACCGTGATTTCGTTTGGTGAGACTGTCTGGTGAGCCATGACAATGACGTGAGAGCAGTTGACGTGTGACAATGACGTAACTTTTCTGTTGGTGTTTTTACTCAACCAGTCCTGTTACATTGACATGTGATCAAAGCCCAAACTGAGACTAGGGTAGGCCTGATGAAGATCCGTTTTATGGAGTTCATGCTTCATTTAGGCAAAACTCAATTAACACCTCTGAACTGCTCCTCTCTGCATGTGTGTAAATTGTTATGTTGGCTCATCTATTTTTCTATACATTTAGATAAGAGTAACAATTGTTTAAACACTACATTAAAAAGCAATCCCACTGCACATTCATATCCCCATATGTTGCAGACAGGCTGCAGAGCTCTTTTTTTGTCTTGCCAGCCTTAATATTGGTCAATATTTCCATCAAAAGGAGGTAATCTGAGCTCCTCTGAGCTGCCAAGCTCCCCTGAATCTCTCCAGACTCAGAACAGACGGGACAGAATGAGGATGGGTTTGTGAGAGAAACATAAAAGAAATGGAGATTGGGTTAACTCCAATGCCAATTTGATACTGGCAAGTAACAAATTTAAAATGATGATTAGCAACAATCAGTGGCCACATTTGTTTTGTTATATATTACATAGAACAATTTACACTGAATCAGGACAATTTAAAGTCACACTCCGTCAGTATTATTATAAAAACTATTAAAGGTAATGGTACCATTATTCTACCACCCCTGCATGATGCTTCCACATTAGGGATTTTTTTTTTTAATTCAAATGCTGCACATTTTTAGCCGTCTCAAATAAACAAAAATGTTTCAGTGATGTAATTTATTTTACTTGATGCTTTTGACCAAAGCAATGTCCATCTGAGTAAGCAAAGACAATGATATTTCAAGTGCCATCAACTGCTTTGAGCCAAATTAAACACATGTACCAACATGCAGTTAAAGAGGCGATGTTTAACTCACATATAACTCACGTCATCAATACTGTCAGCGGTATCCTTGTATCATTGAAATCCTAACTAATGATGATAAACATACCTTTATAATCAATGCCAATGTCATCAACACCATCACAGAGCACCAATATCATCAATAGCATTGAGTTTTAGCTGGTAGTCCATTAAGACACTCAAGTTCCAGGAAGACTTGGCCATAAGTTTGGCTGATCCATAGGTCTTCTTTCATCCTTGTTCAGATTTTAGCAGATCATGTTGAGACCCAAGCCAAGACTGTTGTCATCTGGTAGGAATGGTATAAGATAGCATGGGAGCAGAAGATTGAACCATTGAGCTGGTGTGTACTGAGAAGAGAAGGGGACCCAGCACCGACCCTTAAGGCACCCCGTCTTGATAAGCCATGTAGTTTGAACAGTTGCCTTTTTCAAAATATTCCTGCACTCATAGCAGATTGGTAGAAGTCTGCAACTGCTGGCTTGACGATTGGTTAATGTTGTGTGAATTTGGCCTCAATAACATTTTCTTTTCCTTTTTCATAAACATCAACCATTCTTCTTTACTGGTACACTGTTTGAGGTATTTGCTTATAAAATGGTGAAATCTCTACGAACACACCTGAAATGTTGCTATGAAAGGTTTGCTGGTAAAAAAACTGCACATAGGGCACATTGAATCTACCCTGTAAGTAATCCATTGATGCACTGGCCAGTCAAGGTACAGTTTCTGTTCTGTTTACAGTCAATCACACAATGTCACGTTTTCTACTCAAGCAGTAGAGATTACTCATGTACAACCACTCTGTCCTCTCAGAAAAGAACCAGGTCTTTGTCCTCCTCCCCCTTTTTCTCATCCCTGTCTTCCCTGTTATCCCCCTATTTCCCTGTAACATCTCCCCCTCCCCCCCCTGAGGCTTCGTGTTTGATGTATCTTTAGAAACAGCCCCAGTATGGCTATTTTTAGACCACGGAGCAGCGTAGAAGGAGCCCAGAATAGCACGGGAAGGGGGAGATGTGTCTTTGGTAAAAAATGAGGGAGGCATCGACCGGAGGCTTAAAATAGGGCTGTGACGCCTTAAACAGCTTGAGCCAGTCGCCATGGGAACTGCAGAACGAGGCAATGGGGGGGTTGATGTGCCCATTTATCCCGCTATCTGGTCATACAAACACACACACACACACACACACACGCACACACACAAACACAAACTACAGGCACTGTGTGAAGAGTCTGACGGTTGTAGCAGTCTAGCTGTTCCCCTGAGAGATGATCTCAAAGCCACGCACAAAAGCAAGTGAGAGGATACTGTACACTTTCAGCTAAAAATCTAAACTCAAAATGAAGGGTTGTATCATACAAGCGAACTATTGTAGCATATGCAAGTAAATGAGTGCACAGAGCAAGCATAAACATCGATTAGACATATTACTGTACCTTCTATGGCGTGGAGGTGCGTACTTGTGAGAAAGCCCACAACCCTTTGCTCCTGATGGGAGGTGCCAACATGAACCTGCAGGGGAGCAGAGACGAACATGATATAAAGACACTGCATCTTGTTCAAAGCTGAAACATCAAAGCCTACTTATCAATGTGATTGTGTGTGTAAAGCATGCCAGGTAACAACACCGCCAATTAGATGGTATGATAGGAGATGAGCTGAGGTGAAACTTTATTGATCCCTGTGGGGAAACAGACTCATTATATCTCGCAATTAGCTGCTGCAGTTACAGGGTGTTAAACAAACCAGCATTAGGGTAAGTAGCTCAATAAAAACACATGCGATGAGAGATATCTGTCATTTACCAAACAGAGAATTAATTAAGAAAAATTATGACTCACTGATGGCTTCAGTATATTTTTTTTTAACCATGCCTAATCATGGCTTTGTATCTGGTAGTTATAATTGATATAATACGAAGACAAGTGTGTTGCCATTTTAATGTTTCTTTGATTGATGGTTTACAAGATGCTGCTGGAGTGTTTTTGTCTCATAAGCCGTTAAATTGCAGTCCAATTACCAGACTTCCAAAAAAAAAAAAAAAAATGCCTATGATTACTGGTAATAACTGTAGTCAACTACAATTAAGTCATGTTTGGCAGTACGGCCTTGTTTCTGAGAGCTCCCTGCCTTTCCATGTCAGTATGTGGAATGCCACGCTCGAGGTTTGGAGAGAGCACACCTTCTCTCTGTTTCATGTACACGCATAAGGGTCGAGGCAGGAAGAGCAGCAGCAAAGACCCCTCTGGTGCAGAACAGATCAGACATCAGTGACTGTACATGTAAAAGTGCAGCTAATGGATGCATTAGAGGGTAATTTGGCTGATGTGGGCTAGAATTAGGATCAGCTGATGTACTGTGGGCTGCCTGAACCAACACTCTGAACATTTTATCAGGTTACCTGTCCATGCTTTTTGAAACTGCACAATTTTCACCAAAAACTCTGTCATACATTCACGCAATGATGAAATATGTACCTTGGAAAACTTTGCAGTTGTTACATCATGTCATGAAATTCAAACTTGAACATGACTTGTCGGCATAACAGTGAGATACGTGAAACAACATGACGTGCTAAGGAGGGCTGTTGTCTTTACTGATGAGGATCCAACATACAGGTACAATACTCCTGTTTTTGGTTTTAGACATGGAAAAGCACTTTCACTTTCATCTCCATTTACCTGCAAACATTTGTGTTTTACATCCTGTCAGTCTGCCCATGATAATATGACAGTGGGGCTGCATGTTTCTCTTCTAAGTAAACAAAGATGATACCATTTTTAGCACTTTATTTGCAGTGATGTGAGTCTCCAGTTAATTTTGTTATGACTTTTTGATTTAGTTTTAGTCATAGTCATTTTCAGAAAATTGTGTGCAGGAAATTAATTATTTCCGGATAAGCCCCTTAAGATGCATCATTTCAATTTTAAGGGGATCCCAGTTGATTTCAGTCATATCTTAGTCTTTGTAACTTGTGTTGTTTTATTCATGATTTGGTCAGAGGTTCTCCACTTTCATTTCTTTCCTATTTTAGTTCATGTTTTTGCCAAAAATTTCTCAGACAATTGAAGGATAGTTTTAAAAGGAAGATGTTTCTCCTGGGTGTGAAGATTTCAGTATGAAGAAAGAAAAACACAATATATCTGGTTATCTTGGCTAAAAAAGGTTTATCTAACTTTAGCTCCCTGGTATCATAGAAAAAAACTGAATGCCTCAATCAGTCACATTTCCATGTACTAATTCCCTCTTCACTACTTGGAGGAACATTTAACTCCATGAATTCAGGGTCTAAATGTGAGTTTGAAGAAATCATAAATAGATTTGTGAAGGTACACATAATACAGCTTTGCTCTGATGGAGTTAGCAATCGGTTCATCAGCATCATATGCTAAACAACAATTGTTGTTATGATGAGTTTTGTGTCCGTGTCAAAGAATGTCACCACAGGGCACATCCATTTTGTGAATAATCAAGAGTTTATTGGATATTAAATTTGGAGACTTCTTGTGTATTACCGTCAGAGGATCAACCTACATCCTCATTATTACCTGAGCAGACACTGTGAGCAGCTTAGTTTTCCTAAATCTGTTGTTTTTTTCCCCCATCCTCAATCTTTAATCCTTCACTCTAATCAGGACAATACTCTCAGTCTCGTCCTTTACAAATATGTCCACAGCTCGTCTCTTGTCTTCAGGCTGCAGGTTGTAATAAGGCACCGGTTTTTTGGTGATGCCAGCTGCCAGCATGAATTTCATTTGGCTTTTATATGATCGCTGATAGCCAGCTAGTATTGGGACCCTACCAGAAACTGTAAACAGACTTGTTGCTGACATGCAATGGGTGGAAAATCATCAGTGACAACGAGAAAGATGAGTGGGGGAATTTGTAACAGCACACTTGGTAAATGATTCGTTTTAAAAGGTAAACAAACAGTGATGTATCTGGTTGTTCGCTAACCAGAGCCAACAATTTCATCTTGTCAGTATTCGTCAGAACATTTATGAACAGTATGCTTACATTTTACACCATCTCAAATCTCGAATATCTTATCATTCAAGAAGAAAGGTGTATGAGCCATTTCATCTATATTATTTTTTGGGTGTTGTTCATTGGGGAACGGGTAGAGCATGCGGTTTCTACCCCTAATTTCTGACACCACTCACCCTCATCACGAACATCACCATCATAGTAAGTTGGATGTATCTGTCTTTTTGTTTGTTCGTTTTTCATTAAATCAATAAATGGCAAAAGGATAACTCAGCAATAACCTTGGATTGGACATTGGATTTTACAAGAAGCATGTCAGAAACACCTCACTCCCACACCCGGACGGTGACTAAAATTCAGGTCAGCATAGTCACAACACAAGGCTATCACCCAAGGTTAAAAAGCTCCTCAGTGCTGATGATCATTCAGGCCTAAGCTCTCTGTCTTGTAAACACCAGCACTATTCTTCCCTCTTTACGGTAAAAGACAAGAACATAGTGATGAGTTTTAGTTTATGAGCAGGAAGGAGACAGTAATAATTATCTGTACAAAGTACCAAACCCTGAAAAGTTCCACCAAGCTTGTAGAGCCCAGAGCTGCGCTTACTAATCCCCTAAGTGCGACTGGCGTTTGCTCAGCAGTCCGAGGTGGAGCCACTTCATCCAAATGGCCAAGCTTTGATTTTAACAAACCACCTCCAGGAAGGAGAACATTTAGAGACTGTTTACAAGGCATGATGTCAAAGATGTATTTCCCATTTCAGCTTATGAGTCTGCCACTTTCAGAGAAGTAATTAGCAATATCCCAGTGAGATGAAGGCAGGGGACATTAATAACGAACCAGAGCTGGAAGAGGTTATGCTAATGCTGCTTCACCGAGTAATTACGATGGTTATTTTCATACTGCACAAACTTAGTGAGTAAATCTATCAGTTTTAACTAACCAGCAATGTTTGATAACTTGAGTCTTAATGTTGTGGCTGATTGCTGTGTGTCTCATGTGTATTACAAATGTCCAGATTGCACTGTGTTGTCAGATGGTGTCTGCCAGTTGTGTATGTGCTATCAGGAAAAAAAGGGAGGCCTGATTTCACTATGAAGGAGTACGCAGTTGGCCAACTAAATTGCAGTGCATGCAGCAAATTCATCCTCGTGGTTAAGAGTAAATGATCAGGTTGAGGTTGGACTTCCTGCCTGCCTGTCCACTGTACAGCAAATAATGTGTGATAAAGTTGTAATTCAGTATTCTACAGTAGTCGTGTGAATCAAAAATCAGCCTGAGTCTGCACAGTGCATGCTGGGATAAAGTTGCTCAACAAAGTTCCTTATAGTCACAGCTCCTATAAAAAGAAAGACGCCAACAGTGAAGTTGTTTCTTCAAGGAAAGGAGCGCTGTGTCCCTGGAAATAAGTTTCCTGTTTGTCGTTCCATCAATAGCACATTAAAACAAAAGGCCTGATGACATGGTTGGAAACTGACGGTGGAGACTACAAAGCAGTACTAATGCTTTCTTGTTTGATAATTCTAGTGTGTAATTAGGCTTCGATGAATAACAAGGAAAAGCCTTTTTAAACATCAAAACAAAGATGATTATTATTTGTAAGGAAAGGAATGACTGATTTCCTTCCTTGACATTTGCAGTGTTGACATTTTACGCTGAATTATGAAAGGTTTGCTGTGGTCTCAGGGGGAATTAACGTTTTCTATCAGCAGGAAAAAAATGTCAGATATTGATCACTACTAACAAATGGCATTGGTTATACCTAGGCGGCAGTCTAGGACCTTTTTGCACATTAGGTAGGCTGATTCAACCCTCACAAGATAAACACAGCAGAGGGTTTTATTTTTTCCACATGTCGTCATACACTTAATACATTTTTCAGTAATTCTTCCAGACAGTATCCCTCCATCCCCGGAGCAGCAGAGTGTGTTCAAAGCTGCAGTAAGTGGAACATCACTGGAGATTTAATCAGACACCTTTAGTATCAGTGCTGAGGAGTCCTTCAGCCACACAGAAAGAAGCAGCCACACAGGCTGGCGGCTCTCAAGTATTGGTGGGTGGATGCAGACTGATGAGGAGGGATAAAGGGTTGCAAAGAAAGGGAGACGATGATTGTGGGGTGGTTAGTTTGAAGTGGCAAGCAGTTGGGTGGAGTGGATTGAGACTTGCAGAGGAGACAGAGTACACCCTGTAATGGCCACCTTAAAAACAGCTTTGGACAGAAGTCACATACAGTGTCCATTTTCAGGTTCGAGGAGGGTTTCTTTTTGGACAAGGACACAGCTGACACCCAATAACCTGCTAACAACTGATAACAATGACTTGTGAAAAGACAACAACCAACCTTTGATATCAGGTTAACTAGTAATCCTCACTAGATAGCATGACACCTAACAAAGACAGGTGTCAGGAAAGCAAACATGGCACCAGTACTGGGTTGGAGATGCAGAATGCAACTAAGGGCCAGGACAATGAAAATCTGGAGAAAAAGAGGTTTTAAATCTATGCTTAAAGTGAACACCCAACATCTGACTCTCAAGTTCTTGCTCCTTGAAGTGAAAAATAGAAAAAAAATAGGGCTTACTTTACGTAACCAAGTGCAGGAAAGATTGAACGCTGAGATACGGCACAGCCCTCTGCAACCCTTGTGAGGGTAAGAGGGTGAAAGCAAAAGAGTGATAGGACGAATAAAGGGAGGAATACAGAGATACACAGAAGCTGAAGTGAAGACGAAACTCGACCCGTGGAAGACTAAAGCATCCTAGAAAAAGATGGAGGGCAAAGACATGACATGTCTCACTCTGGAAGACTGAAGTGCTCTCTGGGATATGTGGTTCGGACCAGGGCTGTCAGGATAGCACAACTTCATTTCAAAAACGCTGCAGCTAAAAAATAGTCACGATGATGATAAAGGAAGACACGGAAAAAAACATCAATTGATTTGGTCAAATTAAGGAAAGGCGAGACAAGGGTGGAGCATCATTTTACTTCACAAATTTTCCTCATATGCAATTGACCTACTTACACTGTCATCAATTTCTTATTGTGTTCAAAGTCATTTAACTGTATCACCAGCCCTGTTGTGGAAACTTATCTGGAGAAGAATCTTCCACATGATACAATTGTTTGTGATGCTGTTATTTTGATGTTTTGGCTTAGGGAAGCTATGGCCCAGTGGTTGAACTGGTCATTTCGTACTTGGAAGGGCAGGGGTTCACTCCCAGGTCCAAATGTCGAAGGCAAGAGGCTCCTACAGAAAGCTCTCTAGAATGACAGTCCTTGTACCATTTGCTTTTTTACTGTCTAGTATCTAGATTTCTTTATTTCTATGTTGAAAAAACATGCTTTTGAAATGAAGTAATTGCTACTTTTGGTAGACGGTAAGTTACACAACTGAATGAAAATGGTAAAAAGAACTGTTATAGAGCCACACACCAGTTTAGCCACATTCACTGCTACAGCTTGCCAGCCAGCAGCTGCTGCTTCTTCCTCTTAACTTCCTCTGTTTCATGGAGGATGGTGACCAGGTAAAAAGAACAACTACTACCCTCTACAGGGAATCAATGACATTAACAATATTACAGTATGTTTAGTTTTCAACTCAATAGCAATATTCAACATGCTTCAAAAGATCTTGTCAATATATTGTAAGAGCTCTAGTTCAGTAATGGCACAGTATTGAAGGCTACAGAAAAAAAGGCAGATTTCAAACAAGACCACGAGATGGCTTTTTTCTCTTTCAGAAAACACAATCATACCAATTTCATTTGCACTCTTACTGGCTTTAGTTTCGTTTCCTTGGCTTTTGAAGGAGATGTTCCGCTACAATAGTACTATTTTGTCAGCCTGCTAAGCTTTGTCACTGAAACTGCTACCTGCTGCTGTTGAAAACCTAACTGATGATATTTGTAGAAGAAAACAGTCAAGTTGTGGGCTGTAAAACCACAGTGAAGAGTCAAATAACAAATGATATATGCGTGTTAATAATGTCCTACATACTCAAATATTTGTTGACAATAATGCTGCACAGTCAGTCTGATTGCAATTGCAATCATGATGTATGTGCTGTCATGTCACTGCACAAAAGGCTGCAATTTGGAATTTGAATACACGCTCCCATATGTGTTTGCAGATTTTACAACCACTCCTCTGATTGTTTAGCGTCTCTTTGGTGATGTTCAGCAGCTGCTCTTAAGGCAGGGGTGTCTGTTTGTTTTTGTGTGTGTGCACATGTGCAACATGTTTGTACAGTGATATGACAATCCAACATGCCGGGCACAGAGCAAGATAAACATGTCAACGCTGAACTGATGGCAAAATAATAATGATTTAAAATTAATCATGTTAAAAAGTAAAACAAAAACAACAACAAGAGATTGCAATATAGAAGTATTTTGAATTTAGGTATGGCACCATTGAACAGACAAAAACTTCCACAGAACAAATTTACATACAAATGGAACTTATCCCTAAAATATGAAAAGAGAATCTATTGTTCCACCCCGGGCCTGTAAACATGCTCAGGTATCTGTCAATTAATGTAAACTAAAGTCAATTCCTCTGTGAAATGATGAAAAATGAACCTCAGCTTGTATCTCTGTGATGAATTAACCATGGTGTCTAAATGTCCTTCTGGGGTAAAGGGGGGAGAGAGAGGGGGCTTCATTTGCTGATAGGCAGTAATGGGATGGCTGTTTTGGCTTAGTGTCTGTGCAGAGCTCTGAATAAAAACCCTAAAAGACACAATAAAGCATTAGCCTGATTAGCCTGACTTTAACAGCAAACACAAAGCCCACATTATGGACTGAAGTTCAGAAAATATACCTCAGAGCATAGACGGTGCATTTCCCTTTTGAATATTGGAGGCAGTAATTTAATTTCTTTTAATGGAATGAGTGTTTTGTGAGAGCGAGTGAGGTAAAAGAGAGGAAAATAAGTTGTTCAATTAGGCTAAATGCAGATGGTCCATCAGCTTCCCCAATACTGTTGCACAAGATGTGAGTCAGTAAGAATTAGAGAGATTTTGGTCATTTGCTAATAATAGCCAAGCTATGAAAAAGCATGGAACATTTTTTTTTGTGTGTTAAAAAAAACTTTCAGTACACTTCACTTTATACACCACAAGTACAAGCTTGCCAAGAACCACTTCCCCTCTGCAGATGCCAAATGAGCAATAATGAAAAGACTGCCTTAAGGATACTTAGACCCAGTGATTTATGGGTCCATCAGTCATCAGCCACAATCAAAATTTAATTTTATTTCTTATTATTTAATTTCTGTGATTATTGTATAGTTATTTTGTTGAAACAGTATTTGTAATTTTTGAAGTTCTAGTCTCGGTTTTATGCACTCATTTGGAAATTAATATTAAATCTGTGAGGTTCAAAGGATGTTTATCAGGGGGCCATACACAGAGCTTTACAAGTAATCTCAAGCACCTGATAACTGTTTCAGAATAAAAACACTGCATGGGAAAAATGAGCAGTAGCTAAAGAGGATAAAAACAGATGAGGCTTTTATTTTGGAAAAAACAATAAACAAAAAAAAAAACAAGTTGCAGAACTGTTTATATATTTTTGCTGCTGAAGTTTTCAAAACTTTTAATTTCGTTAATATAATATCAATAATATCAATACAGGGTTACGAGCTGCACTCAGTAAAAATAGGTTAGCCTTTCACTCATGAAAGGAAGAACATTTATGATCATTTCTTCATGGACATGCAATCAGACTGAGATGCTAAGGCAGAAGAACTACTGCGTCTGCAGTGCAAGACGGTGATTATTACTGGAAATGATAAAGAAATGATCATAAATGTTCTTCCATGAGCTGTGTCAACCCGCTGTAGTCCGTAATGGACTGGCCCGAGGTCTGCCTACAAATAAGCGGCTGCTGGAAGAAAGTAGGTGAGTTGAGTTTGGTGTCTTTGCGAAAGAAATTAGGCAAAGTAAAAAAGATGTTCGGTGGCTAGTGCTATGGCTGGGACCCTATATGTACTCTTGATGAAGTTAGGTGCTGTTCTGAGTATTATTTGTAGCTATAGAGTGGCATTTTGGTTGAGGTTTGTTCATGGCTCCTCAGACCGCTGTGTATTGCTAGTGTGCGGTCGTTACTAAAGTTGGTATAACTAGAGAAGCACGCAGTCGACAATATTCATCTCTCGAGGGGGTGTCTAACTCAGTGTTATGGTGTGTTTGACCCTAAATTAATTTTACACCGGAATATCCCTTTGAATTACACAGATTGCATTGATAAAATATCCTGTACACTTGAATTGGAGTGGTGTTGGGGTGTCGGACCACCCCTCCAAATTAACAGTAAGTAAAACCAATGTTCACACTGTGATTCTAGCTTCTGTATATGAATGATTTTGTTATATCACGAGTATCATCCCAGTAGTCCTAGCGCCTTAAGTGGGCTGGAACTCTTGTATGCTGTCTTGCTGTTTCTAAATTTGATCTTTATGTAACCCTGTCATGCTGGGTCTTTTTTGGTGCTGCCAGCACCCTTTCCTGTCCTCCCCATGTTACAGCTGCTCTGGGTTTAATGACACCTACAGTTTATTACCCATGATGCACAGCTTGGCACCATCCTTTAAGAGATGTTACAGGTTACAGGTTTTATGTCAAATTAAAATCTCTCATGTCTCTGCATTTCGAAACATGTAAACAAAGATGACAGCCTTGTTGGCCTCACTAAAAAATTGAACAGAGGACACAAACCAAAGCAGAACGGGATGATGACGCAGGCCTGAATGAATTTACCTCATTATTTTATTTCTTCACAGATGTCATCATCATCATCGTCAAATTCATCAAACATTCCCTCCCTGCCTTTATTTCTCTCTCTAACAGCCACTCTCCTCTGCTATCCATGTCTGCCTTTGTTGTGAGATGAAAATGGACTCAGCTTCTTTTCATTGCTCTCAAGTGAAGGCCTGATGGCTTTGTTACACCACAACTAAAGCTGCTGTATATAGTTTATTATTGCCTGGTGGGAAATTAGATAAAGGCATAGTGATACAGAGATGCGGGGAATCTTCGTTTGACATACTGAAGTAGTTTTTCAATAAATGTGTGTTGTGAAAATCAGCATTACTTTCTGGATTTTTTTATTAACTTTGGAGTGGTAGAATGTAATACCAATCATTTACTAGATACTGAAAGATTCTCATATGGGAACACCCATACTCTTTTTTTTGCTTATACCACTGGGTATACTTTTTAAAGACTTTTTTAGACTTTTTACACGATGAGCTGTGGAGGTAATAAAAAATATATGAAACTGCAGCATTTCAGATCTTGTTGGACAACAATCAGGACAGTAATTTCAGTCCAACTTTCTATCCCATTCACTCTATGCAGTAAAGAAGTTTTACAGTGTTTTTAATGTGTAAAGCTTTGTCTTATATGGTATGTCCTCCCATGTTAAAAGTTTGGATAAAACACACATGCACACACACACAAAGACCTTTTCATTCTTTGAGGTCTAATTAATTAAATCCATAAATATGCGCAGAAATCAAACCACTCAGCCAAAAAAATAAAATAAAGAAAGATTAAATTCCTTTACAACTCTTTATGTCTCAGTTTGACTTAATCCCACAACAGGGATAATTAAAGTTTCATCTAATCATCTCATCTTTCCCTTTTCTCTTCTCTCACAGACTCTGTCCTCATTCTTTCCCCTTCCGTTGCTCTCCTCTGCTCGTCTCTCTATCTGCATGATGCGCTCTCTATTAATATTTTAGGAGCTTTTCTATGCTTCAATAGGTGTGTGTGCACCCTGAAACTGACAAGAGGCCTGGAGGGATTGTTATGAGAGTGTGTATGTGCGCGTTTGCACTCATGCATGCAACAAAAGAATGGACTTTCAGTGTGCAGAGCATGAAGTTTAGCTGATGCCAAAACTGATAAGAGTTCTGCACAGGGAAGCCTCAACAGGACGCAATTTACGCTGATATGTGTTGAACATGTTATTTCCCTTCCTGCTTGTTAAGAATAATGTGAAATGAAATTGACTGCATTCCTTTAAAAACAGTAAATGAGTCAGAGTGCAGGATGGGAGATGACTTCCTCTCATTACAGGGTATTGAGACACAACAAAGCGGAACTGGAGAGAGCTGTGAGAGACGATTTCACACTAGCAGCAAGCCAAAAGCCTAATTATGAAACCTCTGAGGCTGCTGTAACTAATTATCTTAACTGTACCATCAGACGAGGAGTACGCAAAGATTTCACCTTGCATTAGTCGCATGAGACTGAAAAAGCAGGCAGCCGGATTGTCATGATGACAGCGAGTCAGCAGAAGAATGATTGAGGAGCTGTGGTTTCATCTCTCCAGATTATCAAAACCGTTCTCACTGTTTAGTCTTTTCAGAGCAAACGTAGCAGCAATGTTCACGTCAGTAAATTATGCTGCTGTAGATTGCCTTCAGTGATTAGCCCTATTGTATACTTGGTGCAGAGCATTTAGATAAATGTACTGCACTCCAAACAACATTTCTATGCCAAGCGCCCACATTGTACAAATAGCCTTAGGGTCTGCACCTCACACCAACAAAACCTTAATCTGAGGTCTCAGGTCGCTGACACAGTACTTTCTCCATACTGGGAGCATCACTGAGATAGTATCACGGGCGTCCAAGTTCATACAGCATATTAAAGCACAAACAGAGAGGCCCAGCAGTAACCCCACTCTGATAATGAATCTGTGGTTTTGCTGTTATAGGGACTTTGACTTCAGGGTTGCGAGCTTGTAGACGGTAATATTTCTACTTTTGTATCATGATACTGCTGTTCATAGGGAGCTTATCTAGGGATACCAGAAGACAAGCACAATGTCATAACAATCATCTCTCACCATGGATGAAATTTTGATTTCAAAGGTGGTGGTGGTGGTGAGGGGGCGCATGTGACTTTGTCAATGATCAGCTCAGATTTATTCATTTATTCCAGGATTCAGTTCCCACCTTTACTTATAGCCTAGCAAACAGCACATCTCGCACACAGAGTAACAGTAGAGGCATTATGTCCAGCAGATGGATGGAGGTACAAACCCAATACAGGGATGTAAATGAAACCTCCAATGAATGTGACGTTACAGAGGGAAAATGAACGTTCCTGTAAACTTGCATCGGCGAAAAGCGATGTTAATGGACTGACTCCGACAAGCAACTTGCAAAACACTAGTCCGGCGGGCATGGTATGACTGACAGCAGGGATAGCCAATCACACACAAAAGCAGCCCTGCGGCAGAGCCAATCAAGGACCATTTCTGCACGCCACCACTGTTGTTCATGACTGTGCTTACTCGTGCTTACTACCTACATGCACCTTTTTTTTTTTTTTTCATTCATGGAACTCTTAAATCGGGGACATTTCCAGGGACAGCTTTAGCCGGGGACAGGTCATCCAAATCAGGGACTGTCTCTGGAAATCTGGGACGTCTGGTCACCTTAACAAAAACACACACATGCATACGTGCTAACACATAAATGCATCGCTATGTTTTATACAATCCCTAAGCATATCTCCTTGTGCCGTGGACCACAGTGCCCCAGATTTTCTCTGAGACTGAACAATCCATTACACATAAAGTGCAGAACAAACCTGTTTAATCAAGTAGCAAAAATAAAGGAAATGAAGTTCTACTTTACTACTACTTTCTGTCAAGTTACTGGTCACTGAACATTAAAATGACAGGATTTTAAAACTTGACTGTCCATTTTAAAACTCATCTGAAGATGTGAGAGAACAGTCAATTCTTGAGTTCCCCGTGGAAATCTTACTCACTTTGGGCCTCTCACTTTGATAAACAGATCGTGTGAGTACTCATGTCTGATGATCTGATCTGATTTTGCGTCTTTGTCGAAGAAAGAAAAAGTGTTTTCATGTAAGTAGAAAAGCTGAAGAGAGCCGTTATCAAAGAGAGGGAAGAGAGTGTGTTTTGAGGCTGTTGTCTGAGCTGCCACCTTGATCAAGTTTTATTCCCTTTGGACCTGAATAAATTCATCAATGAATCTTTGGATTTGAGGAAACTCCCACTGATTTCACTTCTATCCCATCTAGATTGGAGTGTGTCCTTGTTTGAAAGCCCAATCTTTAGTAATTCATTCAAACCGTGTATTTACACACACACACACACACACACACACACACACACACACACACACACACACACACACACACACACACACACACACACACACACACACACACACACACCCCAACCATCCACTTAGTAGGCTGAAATAATTATAAGAGGGGATAAATGTTGGGACTGAAAAGCTTTAATTACAGAGCCAGAGCTGCTGGCTCTCTCTTTAGGGAAACATTTTTAATTAATAATCTATCTCCACCTCTCTCTCTCTCTCTCTCTCTCTCTCTCTCTTTGAAGATGAGTTAGATTTATGTTGCTGACCAGCTGCTGCTCTCCAGGTAAATATAAACATTGAAGAATAAGGAGAATATGCTGAAATGCTGAGTTCACCGTAGGATTTATGTTACTTGTAATTAACAGAAATGAGTGAGGATGGCCTGAGTTAAATAATTCCCAATTGTTTTCATTAGATGCAAAAATCAGTTTTTGTATTAATAAATCTCATAAATATGCTCAATATTTTCACACAGAATGACTTAACTTTAACACTGAGAACCCTTGGGAGGCTTCACACCCGTGCATGTGCACATTAACGCACTTCTGCATCCATTAAATGTTTCCATTATTCAGACCAATATTACTGCGCTTGGCCCACCTGCTGAGCACGGCTTTGAACACCACATTGTGAGGAAAGTATTATTTTCATGCTTGTACTCTACAAATGCGTAAGTGTATCACTGAGTTTCTTTTCTACAAAAGGTTAATATGACACACTCCCAGCATGAAACCCTTACAGTGCTGAACAAACCATTACATCAGGTTATATAGGTGTCATGTGTAGAAAAAGGAATCTTAAGTGATACATAAACATACCAGCATTTTATGATATTCCATTTTTTACTGTTTCTGCTTTGCTATTTGCTGAAAAAATTATGGACTATATCTGAAACCCAAAGTATTTAAAACTGAGTAAAAAAGAAAAATAAAGGAAAATTCTTAATAAACAAATACATGCATGAGATTGATCTCAGATGAACCCAATGATCAGGAATCTGTGTCTGTATTGTTTTAAAGCGAAGCCAGAACTACTTAAAAGTTTAGTAACAATTCAAAATTTCTATTTTCCAGACATCTGCAGTGATAAGTTACATACAGCTGAGGGTGTTGTAGGGTTACCACACAGGGGTGAATGTATGGTTCACCTTTTGAAGACTTTTAATAGCTATGACTTAATAAAAAGGTTCAAAGATTTTAGAGTTAATCAATGTTACTGGCATTATAACAGTGATTGAACAGTGATATGATTGAAAACAGTTTAGCCAGCTTAATTTTAGAACTGAAGTACTAACACACAAATCTGCAGTTTTAACTGAATCTGTTGAAATAAAATATTTTAGGCTAGCTCACTAAGTAAAGTGAAACTATTTCTCGAAAGCGAACCTTTTTTTTCCTGAGGTAAAAGTGATAGAGGAGGTTATTTTGTGATTGTACATGTGATGCTCATTATTTTGCGAACACAGGAAAATTATATGCAACCCAGACCTAATCCAATCAACATTTCCATGACTGCCTCATATCACAATTAGCTTAAATACTGTATAAAGGACATTTCATGTAATTTCTTTGAAGTAGATTGTTATTGTAATTTTTTTGGGAAATAGTTGTTGATAACGTGGGAAAAGTACGTGACTTCTAAACCAAAGAATTTTGAAGTTTCAAGACTGATGTTCATCATTTAAATCTCCAGGATTTTTGGTTGGGGCTCCATTCATTCAAATTCATGACCATTCTTGTATGAGCTGTGCTCAGCTTAAAGTTTTAAAGAAATAATTTTTCCTCAGTGTCCTTTTCCCCTTAATCTCTTCTTTCTTTTTCCATACCCTGAATTTGCTTTCTAAGGGAAGACATGATCCTGCTTCAATTTCTTGACTCTTTCGACAGCAGCCATGTCTTATCACTTATGCAGGGTGGACTAACCCTACTTACGACACCTATATCTAAAAAAGAAGCAAACCAGTAGGCTTACTTTCCTTGCAGACACCCTGACACACTTTTCCATTCATACATTCAAGGTTTTGCAACTTGCAGAAGACAGTGGTATGTTGGCACTATAACCTGCACCATTATCATAAAATGTAAGTGCATCACCACTACTATACCGCCGCCAACAACAACAACAACGCTATGTCCGTTAATAAAATTGAAAAGCCCAGAGTTCAAAGGTAACAGTCTGAGGATCATCACTTCAACATCATGAAAGAAAAACCATTTTGTCTCAGTAAGGCGCGAACGGAAACACAGCGTGAACATCAGGTACATCAAATTAACTGAATCTAATGAGATGCATCCCAGCTGGCTTCAAGGCAAGCTGGAGTGTTGAGCAGCAATGAGCCAGAGTGACCAAAGGTTCACAGAGGGGAAGTGAGGGTTTATAACAAGATGCTGCCTTGGAGGGCTGCCAAGACGTCTGCAGGATGGCGGGGCGAGCGGTGAACAGCAGGCGCATCAAAGCCTGCAGCTGGCTGGGAGACGCAGCTTCTGAGGACGACCGGCAAAAGCCAAGCTGAGCCATGTTTCATTGATGTGAATAACAACACCGCATGCAGCAGGAGAAATACACATGTGGCTCCTGATGGTCGGAGCATGACAGACAAACTAGCTCTTGAAGTATCTCGTGCTTTATCTTTCAACTGTGATACTTTTGATAAATCTGCTTGAGTATTTGACTGTGGGGTCAAATTAAGACTAAAACCAGCCCAAAGAGGGATCTGTGTGTCTGTGTATGCTTGAATAATCTTACAATTGTTGTGGATGTTTTTGTTGAGGGCTTTTCTTCTGCAGAGCGCTAATTAGCAATTTGCCTCTGAGTCGTGGGCAGAGACAGCACTGCTTTGCACCCTCCTCTTCACGCTAGCTTGTAACCTAACATTGCCGGTGTAGTAGAAGTAGCAGGTGACATAGGGGCTATTTAGCTCTCAAACACTAATGTCTGGGGGAACGATGAAGGCCAATATCATGATTAGCTTTCTTTGCAATGATTAGCATTGCAATCCGCTACTGCACACACTTATTCCTCGTTCGTCCTCTCTGCTTCTCGGGGTCTGGCCTGCAGAGCGAGGCTCCAGGGGGCGGAGCATGGATTTGTGACATAGAAAATCCAACTGTGTCTGAATCCAACTGTTTGGGTCTGAGAATTGGCCTCTCCATCGGAGTTTGGCTTTGTGAGAAAATACTATGAACGATGTAAAACAAATGAACCATGAATAAAGAAGTCTGCTTACAAATACAAAAAACATAAAACTAGTTAAATCAGTCTTAGTCTGGATCTCTTTACAGGTAGAGATGGCTGTAGCATCAGGTATTGTCTTTAAAAAGAGTTGTCAGGAAGCAGGACATGACAAAATCTTGCAGTATTTTGCTCCCCACTCCTGGAGCCAGCGGGCTCGGATAAATATTAACCTCAGGCAGGGGATGCTGAGGCCCCAGAGGATGCCTCCATGGTCACATCCTGTCGCCTCTTCAGGTGAGTCATAAGGTTAGTCAGGCTGCCTGTATGTTGGAGAGCAGCATAGCACTCTTTCCAAACAGCATCTGACTTGTCAAATGGCCTATCTCTGTTTCCAAACACAACTCCTGAAATATTTTCTAACACAATTTTACTTCAGCGCACGTGTGTCTAATTTATGAGGAACATAATAGAAGTAAAATAACACGATAGCAAGTAAGAATCTCATCTGACCTGGATTAATTTATGTGAAACAGCAGAGAACATGGACATAAACTGAACAAACTCAGATCATTTCTCTGAGGACACTAGACCAGGATCATGGAGGTGACCATCTTGCTTTAAGGCTCCTTGTTGTGATGTTCTGAGCAAAGGCAAGTGAAGTTTTAAATTCACTCCACCACAGAGTCCACAGGGATAAGATGAGTTGAGTTGAGTTGGGATGAGATGAGATGAGATAAAATAAGATAAGATAAGATAAGAACTTCATTGATCCTTGAAGGGAAATTCAAAGTATGCTCCTCTAGCCACCAAATCTAGTTCAATAATAATAATTAATAATGTTAACAGCAGACAAATCAAGCACGTTCTCGTAGCAAGAAGTGGTTTTGTGGAACATTATTTAGTGTCCTTTTCTTTCTGATGGGAGTTAAATCAGTATTCACTAAGACAGGGACCTGCCAACTGGCTGACAGCCAGCTGCTGGGGAGACCTAGAGAGACCTCTTATATGAGAAAGCAGTATAACAGGAATGTGAGGTCAGCTTGTAAGCTACAGGGACAGTAAACAGGCAGCAGGGCTAACAGGATGAGACCATCAGCATGCAAACTGTGATGGAGTGTGTCTTTATTAGATCTGTTATATGTGAGGGCATGTACGGACACAAATAAATAGATGCTCACTCGCAGTATCAGGTAACATACAGTGGTACTGTCCCTGTAGCAGGTGGATCTGGGCCAGACTCAGATCTTGACAGCTCCAGTATGTACTTGATTAATGAACACATACTGTACACTGTCAACAGTCATCACAGGGGCATGCACACATACCGGAAAACACACACACACACACACACACACACACACACACACACACACACACACACACACACACACACACACACACACACACACACATACACACCATGACTTTTTTACTGATTCAGTGCACACTTCCTTCATAAACTCGACACTGTGCACTATACAGCTCTTTCTCTCCATGGAGAGCCCTGTGTGTTTTTATTATTTTATTGGGTAGAAATAAAATGTGATCCAAGAGGGGCATGAATCCAGCTCAAAGGAAGAAACACTAGAAGTTACTGAAATATTCACATGGAGGAAGAAAATGATACTTCAATCATCTTTGATGCTCTTGCTCTGTACATGCATAAGTCATGTTTTTGATGGAAATATCATCCTGCTCCCTTTAACATTGAAATGTAACTCTCACTGTAAATATTTGTCTCGGAAAAGCAAAAATGGGTGCTGTCAGTTTTCTGGTACCTTCTCTACAGAATGGGCAAACTACTGTCGTAATGCAGACATTACATTTTTTTTCCTTTTACTGAGAGGCGGCAGACATACAAGACAACATTAATGGTTAAAACTCCATATGGAGGATCGCACTTGTTATGCATCATAGAGGCTCCTTGTCCACAAAGGTCTCTCTAATGAGAGAGGTGAGTGAGAGACCATTTTAATCTTTAATCCGACCGCTTGATTTCTCCTAATATTCCTATTTCTACACACTGGTCCTTTAAATTAATCCCTGTGGGTTTGGGCTGCAAACCATAGACTGTATATACTACAGACAACTTGGTTCTGCCTTCCGCCAGTACACAGATTTGAAGACAAAGAGCTCTCGGTATTTCTGTAATTTCTCTACATTTCCTGAAATCAACATTGCGCAGTAGCGTTGTAAGCATTCGGCAGGAGAGTCGTTGAGAGTCGCTGTGATGGCGCTCGGCTAAAAATGGAGCTGTACAGAAAAAAGAGGACTTGAGCACAATCCAGTCTTACAGTAAGTACATGTCACCATTGCAAGAAGGGGGGAGAAAAATGTATATTCTGTGTAATAAATTTCTAAAGTTGGTCCACAGCTCCATAGGGATTGCTGGAGGAGGCGGGATTTATGACCTATACTGCAGCCCGTCAACAGAGGGTGCTGTTCTTGCGGTGGCTTCACCCATCAAGGAGGCGGACTCTGTCCATTCTATATACAGTCTATGCTGCTAACCAACCTCTCTTGACTTTACCTAACACTGTGGTAAATTGTAAATGGGTCTTAATCTTTCTTTTTCCAGGCATTTTGTCAGTAACATTACAGCCAAATCATGCCAAATAAATGATCTAGTTACTAATCAATAACATCAGTTAATTCATGGCTTCAAGCCAGCCTGACACTTCCAGACAAATTTGCAAAAGCTTTTTCGTGTGGGACCCCTTTTTCACTCTGGATGCCCGTCAGACAGTTGAGTTGTGTGGCATCATATCAAGTGAGAGCCCTTTCTCTTAGTGTTTCCGTGTCAGCATAATAGAGAAATAACTCAATCTTAATGAATTTAACTGGTTAACATACTTAAGATTTTAACCTATCAGCTGTCAGAAAGCTGAGAAATCATATGAGTGTTTATCCTTACTGTGTTTTCAGTGCAGGAACTTCTAACAATCACATCATCATGTTAACTTTCCCAACCCTAATGCTGAAGCCCTTGAAAACACATGACCACATGTTTTTTTTCTTCCTTTCAACATGGTAGTGGGAGATGTGGAGAGGTTGAGAGTGTTCTGTAATTACTATGGTGTGTGCACTCACAAATGATGGAAGTGTTATGTTTGAATGGATGTAGGCGTCAGTTCAGTGTATTTACCAGGTACCAGGAGAAAATGTTTGACAATGTGGTTTCCTTTTTCTCATACCAGAGAAATCCATGTTAACGCCGCAGACAGCTGGCAGGTTATTTAAACTCTGTCTCTCTTTCCCTCATTCACACTCTCTGTCACACCCATGCTCTCTTTCACAAATGTATAATAAGTTAATTTAGTATAAAAAGACTCAGTGGACAGTTTCAATTGCCGCCTTGTCATTGTTACAGATAGCTGTGTCAAAGAGGATTAGATTTGCCTTCAGCTAAATTGGCATCAAGCAGCAACGAAAGTAAAGACGCACTTCTGTTTCAGGAAAAGTCCAAAGTGATATTTTCTCCTAATTTAGCTCAGCTGGAAATTAAATCAAATAAGTGAAAAATGAACATTTCTTGTAACTTTTGCACTGCGAATAGAAATGTAGCGTCACTGACTCTAAAGATGATAGGAGCAGAACAGTAAAGGGGACAAGACTGGGACCTTTGCTGTGGTGAATCCCATCCACTGTACATTAAAACGCTATGTCATGACATACTTGACTTAAACATTTGGAAAACCACCTTCCTGACAGGGATGGGGATTGGAATTTGAGGACTGGACTCTGATCTGCACAACTTTTTTAGTTGCCTCAGGTTTTTTCATGTCTTTATTTATAAGATGGGAAAGTAGATAGGGCAAGAAATGAGAAAGGAGAGCAGGGAGTGACATGAGAGAAAGGAACTGCAGGCTGGAATTGAACCCTAACCACTTCCCACAGATAGACCATACCTGGGCAGCCTGCCTAACTATATTTATGGGCTATTTTAATGTTTTGTGATCCATTTACAATCCCTTTCTGTGATAAGCAATGAAAAATGTCCTCTGAGTGGTGTACATGTTGTCTGGCAGTCTTTCAGCTTTCTCTCTCTCCTGCCAATGCAGTCAACGTCTCCTGTTTAATATAATTCTCTTATACTGGTGTCTTTACAGTGTGGTGCAGCTGGTTGCTGCTGATGTAATTCTGTACTCTCAGTTTTGGATTGTCGTCAACAAGCCTCATTCACACATGGATCGCCTGTTGTGATAACGAAGCATCAAGGGGAACACTTGAAAACCCAAGCTGTGCTCTTGGGTATCTTATGAAGCATCCTGCAGATGAGTACAGTCAAAAAGATCAGACAAAGACACAGAGAAAGGGAGGATGTTTCAATCGTGGTAGTGAGTGGCCACTGGGAGTTTATATTGATGAACTTTGTGGGAGTTTATATTGATGAACTTTTTTTTTTTTAGGTAAAATATTATAAGTATTATAAATTTTACTGGAAATTCTTGCCTATAACAGCCACCGTCACTTCAGAGCCAGAAGGGGTGAGCAGGGGGGTGTTTCAGTTCAGTATCTAACCTCCAAATATCACTTAATTTTTTTTTCATGTCCATGCATTACACCTTTACATTGGGACTTTGGACATTTTCTCTTGGATCCTAAAAGATTTTAGTTCAGAAGATTTGTATGTCCCTTCTCTGTTGTGTTACTTTTTAAAAACACATAAGAATAAAACGGCCAAATGACATCAAGTCAGACATCACACTCAAACACACAACTAATTCAGTGTGTTTGAGTGTGTGTGTACTTCATGCCAGATAAAAACTGCTGGTGTGTGTGGAAAAAAACACAATAAATGCATAAACTTATCCAACATGGATATCAAATGGCCTGATACAATTTCAATCAACACAGTCCTTCATATTATGATCATTTTCCATTAGTATTATAATGTTACTGCATTCATGAGAATTATAAAAGACATGTCAGGGATTTGCTGCTGCCCTCAGAGACGAGTTACTATTTAAATGTCACTAATGTTCTTACTGAAGGCCATTGGTTAAAAGACAAAGCCCTCCCTGCACTTTATTTCTCACCAATTATCCAATTTATCTGCTCAGCCATGCAGATGCAGTGGCTAAAAAACTCAAGTTTGTCTATCATGCCAAATGAAATGCAGTATATTTTCTTCAGTCAAAGCATTGGTTATTTATCATTACTATGTTAAAATATACATTACAGGTGAAAGACTATGTTAATCTACTATGTATCGTGTGTTGCATTCCAGTTGTACTGGGAAGTTGGGATTTCCAAGCTCTGAGTCGGCAATTCATCTGGAACGTCCCCCTGAAGTCGGATTTCCAACTCGGAAAGTCAGAGGATCCTCACCAACCCCATCTTGACAACAACGTCATAATCCAAGATGGCAGCGCAGTGCATCAGCAGTAAATATTAACAGTGAAAGCTCTCGTAATGTATCATTTATTAGCACTTGTTTTGTTTTTGTGAAATTAAATAAGTGGTATATGTTGTGCTGCCCAACGTCTAACTGTGAACACGGTGCTGTGGTGTTTGTAAGAGTAAAATACCGTGTTGTGCGTTGTTTACAACAGCTATCGACAGCTGACAAAGGGTAACTGTAGGCATCCATCTTGGTTTTTCGACTTGTTTACTGGAACGCCGTCAACTTGGGTGTAACGTCATACCCAGCTCCAACATCCAACCTCCGATGTAACTGGAGCGCCGCATAAATGTATACAGGCCTTTATGTACCCTGTGCTGTAGCTCATACTGTTGGGTTTGGATAAGACTGATGTGAACAAGGTTTTGCTGGGTGGCTCTCAGATGTATTTCTACTCAGGCGCCAGAGTATCTGGGTCAGGGGTTTAATTATTGGTCATTTCACAGAGGTGATAAGATACACCAATTAAAAACATTTATCAGTAGTAATGAAACTTTCTCCCATGACACAAACTTATCTTCTGGCTCTGATCTTGACGTCTTCAGTCCACCAGAAATTTGCAGAGTCTGCTGACTCATGTCCTCTCTTAAACCAAAATAAAGCCCTGAGTCAGGCCTCTGGCTTGAATTCTTGAGTTTTATCAATAATCCCATTTATTCACTGTCAAAAAAATAAGAAAATGTCCTCTGTGGAAAATTTAACTACCATAGCTTAATTTGTGAGGTACTTCCTACAATGCCGTAGAGGAGAGGGTAAAAGATGAAGTCAGTTACTAACCTTGGCAAATAGCACCCCTTTGGCCGCGAGTGCGTCCTCCCCTCTCCCGTTGGGAAAGCACTCGTACCGTGCATCCAGGATTGGGTATCGGCTGGCCAGCATCAGCCCACTGTTCAGGAATTTGAACCTTGAGCAGCAACCTTTCCAGCCGTACCGCCCCACGTCGCTCAGCACGTAGGGGAAATAGCGGTGCAACTGTTGCCTCAGTCTAGTCACTGCTCCGTGGTCAAACACTTCCTGTAGAGCCAGGAAATCCAGATTGGCAGGAAAAAAGGCAGAGATTTCATGGTCAAATGTCTCATCTCCATGGCGGCGTTTGCGTCCAGGGCGTTTGAAGACTGACGTTCGAGGGACGTGGGAGAGTGTGTTATTGGAGGATATCCCCGTGCCCCCGTCACCTCCATGGTAGCGGGTGAGGGATTCCCTGGAAGCAGTCATGCTGCCTGAGTCTCCTCCTGCCTGCTCTCCTGTCTGATGGTTCCCTGTTTCGGCCTCCTCCTCCTGGGGATCTGGCTCTGGGGCGCTGATGCTGATTTGAACCCCTGAGGTGTGAAGTGGGCAGTCTGGGGATGGTTTAGGCTGAGCCCCTTCCCCGTGCATGGGGCAGTCATGATGGCTTTGGGCACTCTGGACCCCTGTGGGATGTGCAGGGCAGTCTGAAGCCTCTCCTGAGATGTGGACAGGACAGTCTGAGCTACCGTTGGTGTCTGCAGGATGGAGGGGGCAGTCTTTTGTTGTATCTGCTCCTTCTGTGTGAACGGGGCATTCAGAGGAACCCTGATCTCCTGCAGAATTGGGGTGAACAGGGCAGTCTGTGGCACCTGAGGCGTGAATCGGGCACTCGGTGAGGGGTTCAGTTTCTGGATCTGCTGGGCCATTGGTTGTGTGTGTTTGCTCTGGGCGCTGGTCCAAAGAAGAGGTACGGCGGAAACCTGTGACAAGGCTACTGAAGGATGCAGCACTAATAAAAGGAACAGACAGAAAAAAGGTGTTGGCCTATGAATATGTTTGATTGACATTGTACTTAATAAGCTGCTGCTGAGACATAAGTGAGCTGTCCTCACCTGATGGAAGTGTTGGTGGGTGAGTCAATGTAGATTTTAATCTGAGGCCTATTGGCGCCATTGCGGATCCTCTTTCCCACCTCTCGAGCTCTCCTATGGGTGCCTGACAGGTTGTTGAACCTAGCCAGGGAATCAGGCAGCAGACATACATTGGCACTGCAAAAACAGAAGCTTCTTCCCTGTGGCCTCCACTCTCCAATCCCAACACCACCCGGTCCAGCCTGTCCCTCCTCAGCCTGGTGTTTGTCTGGTCTGCAAAAACAGTCAAATGAAAAATACTCAAGTCAAATCCAGGGAAATCAAATACTTTTTCTTTTTGTTTCTTTAAAAAAGTCTGTGATTTTAGGAAATATGCATTTTGTGTGTCATACTGATGGTTGGATAAGATGGAGGACAACATAGTCATGCATTCCTAATCCAACATCACAAAACCAATTTACAAAACACCCAGAGCTAACTGAGTCTTGAATCTCTGTGTTCATAATACATTTTAAAGGGTGACATCAGCTGAGGCAAACAAGAGGTTTTCTGGATGCTTTAAACAATCAGAGCAACCCTGCATGCTGCAGAGCAGAGGGCTGCTTCACTTGGGAGAAAATCAAGCTGTGCAGTTTGTAGGCCTCTGTGTATTCTACCAAAACAGCTGTTTTAAGACATGCAAATCCAAAAATTCCTGTAACTACTCAGGAGCTCTAACCCTGAAGTTTATCTGACTTTGATGTTCACACATAGACCCTCACAGCATGAAGTTTTCCCTGTCAGACATGGGAGCATCCTTTGGTTTATCTCTTCTGTATACTTTAATTTATTTTATTTCTTATTGTCCTTGTGCATGCTTGAAGTTGAGAAGGAAACAAAACATCTGTGTAAATTAACAATAGAGCTTATGTTACATGCAGGTTTTTGCCCTTTGTATCACTGCAATGAGTGATTGAATGAAAGAACATACCAGAGAGGAGAAACGAGTATAAGGCTACCTCACTATATTCAGATATTATTATTATCCTGCTATGGGCTCCTCCTCTGGGTTCTTATTGATAAACAGTTTATTTCCTGTTGAGATGCACTATTAAACTCATGTTTTGAACCAGAATCCTCTATCACTGGGCGCTAATCATTCATTATAAGAAGTATTATTTAATTTAGGACATCAGTCAATGGAGGTGCGTATCTTTAAATCTAGATGACAGATGGTGTCAAAGGGGATCAAAACACACGCATACAGAAGGAGTGGTAAGAGGAGTCTGTACAGGGAATGTTATTCCATAGGAGGTGCTCTTGCGCTGCAAAGACCACTAAAACATTAGTGTACAAAAACATAACTCATCTCTGTTTATGACCTGAAAAAATCCATAAATAGTGAAAGTTAACAACCACTTTTATTGATGTGCGCTGCACCAGCATTTTTCAACCAAGCAAAAGTAGATTGAACAGCCACCACACACACACACACACACTTCACTTGCTGTGAATCTTCTGAAGATTTGTGTGTTCTCACATAGACGCACACTATAACTTTCCCCTGTAATGAAACCATGTAATGAAAGCCGGTAGGAAATATTTCTGGTGAAATTGGACTACGCAAAGATGTTTGACATATGAAATACTGACCAGTTCATCTATTTTTGATGCAGAAATACCTTCAGAAGATTAAATCTACTTTTGGATGAACTTTAAAAGTAGATTGCATTGTTTTGATACCCTTTAAAAATGTAGACTCATGAATATTTATGGATTTCCACTGTAAGGTGCTTTAACGCTAATCAAATCAGCTGCTCAGTGGGGAAGGCATTTATTTAATTATCCAATTTAATCTAGTTTACATCACTCTGAGTTCCGCCTTCATGGGAAACAAACACACAGCCTTAACAGTCTTAACACAGAAAAATACATATCAGTTGGCATGATTTACCTCTGACTGGGACGCTGTAAGATTTGGATTTCTGGGCCAGAAAATAGTTCTTAAAGCTCCAATGACACATTTTCTTCTATCTGAATCTGACTCTCCTTTTTATTTTTCGGCTTCTTGCATTCTTTTGACTCACTCCAAAATGATCACCCCTCTTTGATTTTAAGCTTTAAAACAGTGACACCCTTGAAATCAGATAAATCACTCCCACATTAAGGTTGTGTCAGCAGGATAATTACTGGATAAGAACACAAAGGACGCTCCCTTTTCTTTTTCACACTGTTGGGGTTTAGGACATCTGTTGAGTTACTGAAAAAGAGGACCGCTCCTTTAAAGTTTGTGGGTATTGTTGGGAGCCACATGAGAACTGGTAAGAATGTGGCACATGGCAGCCAGACCAATGAGTAAACTATCACAACAGGAGATAATGACTCTGTTTTCTTGAAGTCTGCTTAACTCATAGACAGGGTCCAAAATTAACTTTTTGACTCACCGGCCAAGTTGACGGGTAGATGAAAATACCCACTGTTCCACTTTGTTGAGAATATCTCACTGAGATATTATGGTGTTACACTGAACACATGTGACAGCAGAGAAATCTGAAGCAAAGTTACTTTGACAGATTTACTAACAACCATGAGCTCCTCACTAACCCTTTAATTTTCACATATCTGAATCATAAATTAACAAACCAGTCATCTGCATAACGTTTCTGTCTATATTATAAATTTCCTGGTTTGTTGCTTGCTATGGTTGGAAAAGTAAATGTAGCAGATTTTTATATGTGCCAAATGTTTAATTATACTTGAGTTCTCACCCTCACACTCACACCTAAACCTCTGCCTTGCTCACTTTATTTGTCACTTGTCTACTCACCTTTCCTCCTGCACCAGCAGTTTGTTCTATAACACAGTTTTCACAGTTTTATATTACAGTTTTCCCCTGTGAGCATTTTTTTACTGCAGCTGAGCAACATGAGGGGAAAGTCTGAAGGTAATTTATTAGTGGATTAAAACAATCAGGACAAACCCAGTAATGTTAACAGATCACGTCTTATACAGCCAGCTCCCCTTAATATCAGTTTATAAAGTGATAATGGGAAAGATGGTGGTATGGTGGTTTGTAAGGTATATATATATATATATTCTTTTTTCAAAGACTCGTACAGTGACAAGGCAGAAAAACTCTGTCACCATAAGAGGAAATTTTTACAGGAGTACAAACAGCTGGACTGGTTCATTTTGGGCAACCTGCAGAGTTAACATTTACTCTGAGCACAGACATGAACAACAACTGTAAGAAACCATTTTCAACAGAAGAAACACACTTCTCCTGAGAGGACCCGGCTGCAGACACGGTGTGCATGCACAGTCAGACTTTCATTGAGGGAAGCTGGACCTCCACCTGGATCTCTGCTGTTATTGGCAAATAAGCGATCTCACCAGTAAAAGTTGTTCTTCCTCCTGTCTTGTTCACAAACTTGAACAGTAAAAAGCTAAGAGTCTTTTCAATGAAACCAATCCTCTGACAATGGTTGATGAAAATTGGGGCTGCCAAACATGTCCGGGATGCCAGGAGTCCCAGAATACCTTGCACAGTGAGGCCTCTGGTAGAAGTGCACAATGACACAAAAGGTCTATTTTCTTTAAGTTTGTCAAAAAGACTCAATAGAGAGCAACTTCCTTCTAACATCAGAGATTCAAGAAAGGTGCAACTTCCAGCTGAGCTTGCTTATGGAGGTCCAATGTGCCTGCAGCTGGGTCCGTCTCCCTTTTCATGATAAAAATTTGGAGTAAATTGTTGATTTACTAACTACCTGCTGAATGATGCATAGTGAACAAACTGATGCCTCCAGGGGAAAAAACCCTCAACTTCAATAAAAAAGTTCTTCTTAGAATAACTTGCTCTGCCAAGTAGTTTTGGAAATCACTGAACATGATCTGTGTCAAGCTCAAGAAACAACGTAAAGATGGAGGAAAATGCTGATTTTTTTTAAATTAACATAATAAGTAATTAAACTGAAACCAATGATCTTGGTTTTGGTTTCGTTGTGAGTATGCAGTGACTCAAAGCACAGAGGTGTTTACTCACCTGCGATAGGTGTACAGGTAAGGCTGGCGCATGGCCTGCAGGGGAGCCCAGATGATGAAGCCCAGCAAAGCGAAGGGCAGGGAGGCGAAGAGGAACAGCAGATAGATGGGTGCAGAGATCAGGACACACAGGGTGAGGAAGGAGCAAGGGTCCTGGGAGCGCTGCCTCTTCTCCAGAGAGGTGGCCACGCAGGAGGCCAGGAGCCGGTCCAGCAACCAGTAACAAGGGAACACCAGGCTCCAGGACAATCCATCCAGGAAGTGCAGACAGGCACTGGAGTACGGAGTGATGTGGAGGACCATCTCTTTTCTTTTATCTTTCTCTTTCTTCTTCTCTTCTGTCACTTTCTCCTTACCAGCTCTGTCCACACCCACATACACACTCAAAACAAGCAGCCACGAACCGACTATGGGGATAACATAAATAGAAAATAAATCAGACTCAAGCGTAGACCCTCCCCCCTCCTTGTAGAGAGGCACACTACATGGTTTGTGAGACTTTTCTCTTCACTGCTCAGCCTGTCTCAGTCTCAGCAGCCCTCCTCAGCAATTACAGCCTCTGCAGGCGGGGTGAAGGAGCACAGTGTGGCGGCAGGGGGTTTCCATGATGAGAGCTTTCCCGTTAGATCTATGATCCTGACTATTGCGATGACCTCAGGAGGGGGCGGCCATCAAACATCACCGCTTCCCCAAGGACCTGGAGAAAGTGAGCAGATCAATAGAGTAGACAAGGAAGGAAAGGGGGAGGGAGAGAGAGAGAGGGGGGAGGAAACAGATGCAGTAAATCAGTGATGAATTTACTCAGATATCAACATGTCAGGAACAAAATATAAGCCTTCTGATGTTCATGTATGCCCTCCCAAAAGGTACCAGTGCTTCCTCAGGCAAAAACATCAGTTTATCATAAATATGATTTGATCCTATTTAGAAGTCATGTTGGGAGTTTTTGGCATTAATAAAAAAGACTGTGACTCATATTGATGCATTTGATAAGACCAACAATTTTTATATCATAAATTTAACTGCTTAAATTAGTATTAAAGGGGTAGGTGTCAGCTTTGCAGTGAATGCATTCAAACATTCACAATAAAAGATAAATTTAACCATCAAAAGTCACCAGGATGTAATTTTTTTTTTTTTTTGTCAGAAAACACCACATAAGTGAACGTGACGATAAACAAAGACTGATTTGTCCACAGGGGGCGCCAAATTTGACACAAACTGAAAGTTCCTTTCAGGAGTGCTAAGCCTTTAATTGTTAAAGTGTTTTAAGACAGATTTCCAGAACATTTCTATTACCCTTTAAACCTTTCATGAATTAAAATAATTTTAACGTCTAGAAATCAGAGAAACAAATCATAAACATTTGAATCACTTTAGTGAAGCAAAAATATTGAATAACATGACAGCTCACTGGAATTAAATGTAAACATAGGAATAAATCTAATGAATCAAAAAGCTCATGAATTGTACTCCTTTATTTCACATTTTCTTTCAATTTTTGTGCTTATTCAATTTCAGAGAAGAGAATCTGTGGATTTGAAAATATTATTGTTATGTATACTTATTACCTGGCTTTCTTACTCATTGTTTGGCTTTTTCAAATACTTCATCAGGACTTCTACTTCATGAAAACCCCTCGACAACAATGATCAGTTCTGAATAATATAGCTGATCACATGTCATGCATATCAAAGAAGTTACTGCACATCTGTTGTTCTGTTTATGATTCACGTCTTTCTATTGATAATGGGACAAAAACTTTAAGCACCAGTACAACAATGTATAGGGTTTTTTTGATATCACTCTGAATTTAATGGGAGGGCACACACATAAGATTTATAGTTAAAAGCTGACCGGTCACAGAGGAAAGAAAATAAAAGACCGTTAAAAAAACAGCAAGAAAATCATCTACAGATCAACTTACTAAGTGTTGCTTGTTTGTTTAGTTTGTTAGTAGCAAAGTAGATACCAGGCTGATGTAAAGTTAGCCTGTGGTTATGCTAAATGTAATCCTCTCAGTATGAGACCAAATCCTCCATTCTAAAGGGACATTCCGGCATAAAATTAATTTAGGGTCAAACACACCGTAACACCGGGTTACACACCCCTTCGAGAGATGAATGTTGCCAACCGCTTGCTTCTCTAGTTATACCAACTTTAGTAACGACCGCACAATAGCAATACACAGCGGTCTGAGGAGCCACACACAAACCTCAACCAAAACACCACTCTATAGTCACAAATAATGCTCAGAACAGCAGCTAACTTCATCAACAGCACATATAGGGTCCTAGCCACAGGACTAGCCACCAAACATCTTTTTTTACTTTGCTCAAGGAAGAACATTTATGATCATTTCTTCATGGAAATGCAATCACACTGAGACGCTAAGGCAGAAGAACTATCGCGTCTGCAGTGAAAAATGATTACTATGGTGATAGAAAATGATAAAGAGCTGCGTCACCCCACAGAAGTCCATAATGGACTGGCCTGAGGTCTCACTACAAACAAGCCGCTGCTGGAAGACAGTAGGTGAGTTGTGTTTAGTATCTTTGTCTAAGAAATTCGGCAGAGTTAAAAAGATGTTTGGTGGCTAATACTATGGCTGGGACCCTTTATGTACTGTTGATGAAGTTGGGTGCTGTTCTGAGCATTATTTGTGGCTCTAGAGTGGCGTTTTGGTTGAGGTTTGTTTATGGCTCCTGAGACTGCTGTGTATTGCCATCCTGCAATCGTTACTAAAGTTGGTATAACTAGAGAAGCAAGCAGTCGGCAACATTCATCTCTCAAGGGGGTGTCTAACTCAGTGTTACAGTGTGTTTGACCCTGAATTAATTTTATGCTGAAATATCCCTTTAAATTGGGGTCTTCTTTACCAATGCTGGGATTCTATTTAGCATGACCATCTCTAACTTTAAATTAAACATATCAAGTGTATTTAAGCATGACTCTTCATTTTCAATTTTTCCAGTACTGTTCCCCTCCATGCGTAGTTTTCTCTTAGTTCTATAAAAGTTTTGAATTATGTTGTTGGCCCTACATTACAGAGTTTGTTGTGCAAATTGTACGAATATTTGTGTTTTTTTTTCCTTTTTTTCTGTAAACCTGATGAATATTCAGGCAGCAGTGTTAATTTTTGTTAATTTGTCAGGAGTTAGTGTGCGAGCGTTGCCTTTTTAGTTGATATAAAGCTCAGTAATTCAGGGCTGGAGGGAGCACAAAAAGGTTTAAATGTGAAAGTCATCCCAGAATCCCAGAAGTGCAGGTGATTTACGATCAGGAAAACAATGACAATCAATAGAACATTAACCACCGCTGTGTTAAATGTCTTGACTACTTCCTGCCCACAAACGACTTAACCAGAATTTAAAGTCCTTGAATGCTCTTAGCTCACTCTAATACCAGCCATCAAACTGGCCAGCATGAATAAATAATGAATGGATGAATTGGTCTGTGTTAACAGCCGGGGGGTTTCAGATAGACACAGAGACTCTGACCTCAGAGTAACCTCAGGAATCCCTCAGGGACCTCCAGGGAAGCAGCAACACCCTTTTAAGATAACACTGTGTCACGTAATGAAAAAATCGCTAGTAAATCTATTAAATGACGCTGCTGGGCCTCACCATATGGTCACTTATCTGCTAACATATGCACGTGTCATTGAAATGCTGTAGGTTAAAGAAAATGTCAGCTATTACACTGTTAAACAGCTGTGCTAGCAACAGCCTGTTGGACTCCCATCCATTGTTCAGCCTAATGTCTTGAAAACTGCACCATTAGATTGTCACTACTATTAAAAAAAGCCCCCTGTCTGTTTAACATTAATTTCTCCTCCATTTTACATTCTGCTCTCCTGATAAGACAGAGCTCTTGTTAAATTATGTCACAGTGTGAATAATTTGTCACCACAGTGTACCATTTAGACCCAAAATGAGACTTTTTGTTTGACAAGCTCGTCCGCTGAACAAAATGTCTTGATCAGAATAATAGTAATCACTGTCTGCTCTGTTCCACTAATCTTCTCCTCTGCAGTCCTAACCTTTGTCTAGGTCTGTGACTCATGTTATGACAGAACGGCCCCGCGTATCGACCTATCAGCGTTCTGGCTGACTCACCAGAGGGCCTGACTGACACAAGTCTACACGACATATATGAGATGATGTGTTTCTGTCTGATGGATTGGCATGTTTTATCTGAATGGCATGAAGCACTAGACTCTGTGGTTGGGATGTACGTAGCTGATCGAAAGAAGCGAGTCTGGTCATCCCAAACTATCATTTAAAGGGAAATTCTGGCATAAAATTAAGTTAGGGTCAAACACACTGTAACACCAAGTTAGACACCCTGTTGAGAGATGAATATTGTTGACCGCTTGCTTTTCTAGTTATACCAACTTTAGTAACAACTGCATGATAGCAATACAGAGAGCCACGCACTCAACCAAAACACCACTCTATAGCCACAAATAATGCTCAGAACAGCACCTAACTTCATCAACAGTACATATAGAGTCCCAGTCATAGTACTAGCCACCGAACATCTTTTTAGCTTCGCCTGATTTCTTTAGCAAAGAGACTAAACACAACTCACCCTCTCTCTTCCAGCAGTGGCTTGTTTGTACGAAGACCTCCGGGTGAGTCCATCGACTGCAGTGGGGGGACGCAGCTCAAGGAAGAACATTTATGAGCATTACCTCTTCTTTTCCTTGAAGTAATAATCATCATATTAATCACTTTGCACTGCAGACGTGGTAGTTCTTCTGCCTTAGCGTCTCGGTCTGATTGCATTTCCACGAAGAAATGATCATAAATGTTCTTCCTTGAGCTGCGTCACCCCGTTGCAGTCGATGGACTCGCCCGGGGGTCTTCCTTCAAACAAGCGGCTGCTGGAAGAGTTGTATTTAGTCTCTTTGCTAAAGAAATTAGGCAAAGTTAAAAAGATGTTTGGTGGTTAGTGCTGTGGCTGGGACCCTATATATACTGTTGATGAAGTTAGGTGCTGTTCTGAGCATTATTTGTGGCTATAGAGTGGTGTTTTTTGGTTGAGCGTGTGGCTCTCTGTATTGCTATCTGCCGTCATTACTAAAGTTGGTATAACTAGAGAAGCAAACAGTCAGCAACATTTATCTCTTGAGGGGGTGTCTAACTCAGTGTTAACGGTGTGTTTGACCCTAACTTAATTTTACACCAGAATATCCCTTTAAGGAACTCCTCATTCAACATGCCTGGTTTTCAACAAATTACAATGTGAACCACAGAGACATAGAGGTCTTACAATAGATTTGTCGGAGGAACTGAGAAAATGCAGCTGACAGCAGCAGTGCAGGGGAGATGAACGGGTCAAACAACATTTATTCTCACCTAGGAGACCGAGGTCTGAGTCCTGTGTGATCCAAAATGTCAATGTTCAGTGATATTTGAACCTAAACCACGATGCACGACTTTGACCTTACCATATATTCTACCTCTGTGCGCTCAAACCAAAAGACCGATTGGTGCTGACCATAAGAAAAATGAAGGAAAACAGGCATGGCAAAGTGGAGGTTTGTTGACCTGAGCTGAGAATGGTTTATCCTAGCAAAACTATGTCTAAGCTGTCCTAAAGGAGTCTTTTAGAGCAAAGGAGGAGTTACAACATCGTAAGTGGCTGTGACAGACCAGAGACACTTATTGACACAGACAGGCTGTCCTCTCAGATATTCAGTACGTTCACATGCAAAGTTAATTTATTTAGATGTTTCACATGAACTGCTGTCCTTATCCCAGTTTACATGTGCTTGGTAAAAATGTCTCAATGGTTAGTAAGTTAGTAAGTAAGTAGAAAAATGAATAAAATCAGATAAAACAAACACTAAACAGAGGAAGGGAATATAATCTCTGGAATCTACTGAATTTGGGATTAAACGTGAACTGTTGGTACAATCATGTCTTAATAAGATCATATTTGCGTGTCCATGAAAACATTTAGAGCTGATGTTATCCTTTAAGGTTAGTGAGTATTTAAGACAAATAAGACTGTTTTAAGAATAAGTGTGAACTTTTTTTAACCCACTCATCAGGAAAGCTCTGGTGTCTGGTTCGTATAAACAGAGGATCAATGAGGCAAACAAGTCAGTAAATGAAGAGGAAGCAGCAGACGTCTGCATCCTCATATAAACCCCCTTACTGCTCTGCTGCCTGGAAATTAAGATGTAAATTACTGCCTTTTCTCATTAAAATGAGCTATTTTTAGCCTGGTGCTTAACCCAGAACCTCCAAAACACGATGATTCAAAATAAAAACATTAGTTTTTTTATTTATTTAAAAGCTTTTTCCTCTGTCTTTCTAACAGAAAAGGTTTACTGCAGTGAACCATGAACAGGGCCATAAAGGACAAATGACGCTTACATGCGGTGAAAGAGGAACTAAAAGTTATCTTTGAATATTAGCATTTTAATTTGAATTTAACAGATTTAAAATCTCTTGTGTCAGTCCAGAAACATTTTGGCATCAGTCAACATTATATTATATCAGCCTATCGACTATTGGATTAAAGGCTGGCAATTATTTCTTTTTTCTTACAGAAACAGATCTTAAGGGTGTACAACACCTGTTTACTGTCTTGATCATGAATAACAGAGAAGCTTATAGAGTCTGACTTTTGTGGTGTTTGAGTTTGCTTGCGTTTTGTTTCCTGTCTTGTGCTTTGATTGCTCCATTCCCTACAGGTTAAAACTATGCTTTTATTTTGTAGTATAGGCTACTTCCTGTAGATTGTCGGCAAAAACAGTTAAGGAACGGTTAAAAACTATATGTTTGATTGATTATGCAGTAACCTGAAGGGATGCATGCTCTAGGGTTGTTTCTGGAGTCGCAGTATCTCTTTCAAAAAATGTCCAGTTATCTCTAACAGAGCTGCCACTGGCTTCTTATTTTTCATCTCCTCTGTTTTGTGATGTGTGGAAACCATTGAGAAGGATCACTGTGGTGAAGTCAATGAGTAACTTTGTGCGTAATTTTAGCAGGATAACGATACTTAATTTTCTTAAAAAGACGGTTATTCTCAATATCGGCATAGTGCGACAGCCCTAATTTCCAAGATGGCTTCTGCTATCGTCATCACAGAGGCTATGTTAAAACAATCAACGGGTTAGACTCAATAAAAACTCAACACAGCAGCTCCCTTCAGAACAAATCAAAATATTTGGAAACTGAATTATCTTCAAAAATGTTCGATAATGTGTTGAATCCATCGTGATTTTACGGTAAGTATGGTAAAAGAATATCTTAACATGTAAAGACTGTTATATCTCAGAGGAAACGTGACAGACTTATAAAAGAAAAAAAAAAGAGAACAGGTGCTAGACGACAAAAATATAAGCTTTACTTTCATTATTGCAGATTTACCACATCGGCTTTGGACGCCATTTAAAGTTAAACAGCTGCACACCATGATAGACACGTGGCGCAAAGTTATGTTTGACGACAAAAAAGGGGAAAAACCTTTACTGCAGGAAAAGCTCTCCTCATTTTAGTCATCCTTTGTTGTGCCATGTTAGATCCCATAGTACCAAGTTTAAAAGTGTTTAAAGGCCTCCGTTTTTCTTTAAGTCTGCTTTCCTTTCATTCTTTGAAGATTCACTCTCTGATACCTTCAAATACCAAACCCAGAAAACACCTGTCAGTCACAGGTGATACATCAACAAGCAGAAACTGTCACATTGTGCCTTATCAGAGGAAACAGCTGTGCATAATTTAGAGAAGCTGGAAAACAGCGACTGTGGCTCTGTGTGGATGTCAGCACTCAGGTTGTGAGAGAAAAAGACATTTATGCAGACACACAAAGAAACAAAACAACCCAGGGGTGTGTGCATTTCTTTGTAGCCACAGAAACACTCATGCTGAGGAGCTAGAGTTTATGAATTGCAGTTGCTGTTACTGAGGTTTCACCACAGAAACTATGTCCGCAGACAGAGAGGAATACCATGTCTAATTTAGTATCTCTGGTTGGGGAAGACCAGATGTAAAACTGTCAGAATTCGCTAACCATGCTCCACTTTTCTCTGGAGAACATCCACAAAACAAAGTTGTTTTCTGATACTTGACAGCAGGCATGAGAGGAAGTTAGTATGCAACTTGTGAAGCTAACAGCCATTGTTTTTATATCTTCGAATCGAACTTTTTAACACCCTTGGTTCTTTGTTTGCTGTTTGCCTCTAGCTTTTAATAAAAGGGTCTTAACAAGCCCTTATAGTTTTCTTTTGTCTTCTCCAGCACTTGTATTGTTATTAAAGCTGGTAGTTAGCCAATGCTGAATTCACCCTCAGCTCTGTATTAACTTTGGTCTTGTTATTGAGCAATAACATTTTGTTTTGTTTTTGTATGCATGATAAATAAAGAAATAATACATTACATGAATCCCCAGAGATTGTCTGTTTTATCATTACAGAGTTATTAAAACTCACAGCAAGACTCCAATTCAAATGAGATTTGGTGAGCGGTGCTCTAATCAAAGAGCTGTGTGGGAGTCTGTCTCATTATTGGATGTAAACAATGATACTTCAGAGATACCTTTCCCTCATTTACATGTCTCATAAACAGTCAGAATTACAGCAGTCTGGGTGCAAACTTTGAGGGCAACAATTTCCTCTTTTGTTCTCAAAAATTTCTCACCACATAATAAAGAGAATAACAACTTACTATACCATCATTTTGAGATGGCTTTAATTGTATATGTTTACTTTTCTGAAGGAAAAATAAAAATGTATGCAGGATCTCTGTTTATCAATAGATAGTTTTGCTTTTATTCCACGTTTCTTTTGGCAACCTGAAAGAGGCAGTAGTGATCAGTAGCGATAGATTGCTTCATAAAGTTCGTCCATGTTTTCTCCAAAGAACTACAATTCCATGAAACCTTATCTGGTGAAAACCGCTTCCGTAATGTCCAGACCAATCACAATCTTCTATGTCATCCAAACAAACTTCCAGCCAATCATACAGCATTACGTCGTCATTGGGCGCCAGGCCCCTAGCAGATCACATCTGGTTCCTACACTGGCCTTTACCCATCTTGACAGAAGGAACCAGAATAAACTTGATACTCAAAATATACTACGTTGGTAAAAAGTAAATTATAGTTAGGCTGATGTTTGGCCAAGTGCACATATTTCACTGAAATTAACTGTTTGATTTTCAAGGATGATTGATTGACAGCTCTGTTGGCTACTCTTGTGTCCTGTCAGTAATCAGCTGAGGAACGGCGAGAGAAAACAGAACTTCTACTACAAGGGTCATTTAACCTGTTGCAAGTGTTTGCTTCAAATCAACTCAACTCAAGAATCCGCTCTGCTAAACTCAGAAAGTTTATTACGTGGTTTAATAAATGGTTGGTGGGAAGAGTGTAATGTCAGTGTTGTGATTCTACCAGCCGGGTTGCTTCGGAGCATGCCTCGGCTACACCCACGCAATTTATCAGTGTGTTTTTCTGGCTACACATCTCACAACAGGTGGAAATGAAGTGTCACTGTCTTTTCTGTATACAGGCAGGGGTCTTTAAATGGACGAATCACAGTTGTATATCCTCTTAACAATTGTGAGCAGGGGGCGATCAACCTCGAAATGAGCCACTTCTTTTTTCTTTTATGTCCCTATAAACACTTTTGAATCATATAGTGGTCTAAGTAGGTAGTTTCAAGTCCTTCATGCTGTAGAAACAGAGGTGGAAAGAAGTTAATTAGATTTTCTCACATCACTGTGACTGAGTAGCTACTTTTGTGCTGTGTGAGACAGTGCTTTTACTTGCATTCAGGTATTTTCAGTGGAAAGTTTTGCACTTTGCTTCATTTCAGATCAGTTACTGAATAAAAGTAAGCTGAAGGATATAACCTTTTCATTACCTGCATGACAGTCAGCTAACTGGATGTTGTCTAGACTGCAAAAAAAATCAAATCTTACCCTGTGAATACTTTTAAATTTAAGTTGAACTTCTTATTATACCCAGTATTCACACTCACTTGACAGGGCAAGTAAAAATCTTATTTCAACATATTTCAGGCCAAAATACTCTTGATGAGTTCCTTCAATTGCTTTCAGCAAATGCAGCCATTTTTATTGGGGATGCACCAGTTCATTGGTTGAACATACGAGCAGATATCAGCAAATTTTGACCCATTTGACTGACATCAGCAAATGATGTTTCATACAATGATGTCGGTGCAATGTTTATTTATGTTTAGAAAGCTATAACACCTTACTGCCGACTCAGAGAAGATTTTTTTTTTATCAGGCAGAAGTAGTCCTCTGCTGCAGTGGATGATTTATTATAATAGCCAAACTTGAAAGAAAATGTCTGCAGTGTAACAGTGTCTGCAAATTGTAAGACATGTCCCAGACACATTTTTGAAGGGACTTCAGTGAATGCCCAAGTAACTTTTTAAATCAAGTCTCATACAGTGGCGCTAATACAAAATTGGCTAAAGAATTTAATTTGTTATTTTGTTGTTCTGTCTTTTTAATCATTGGTATTAGTACGGGCTCTGATTTGGATCTCCAGATCTCATTTCAATCAATCTCCAGCAGCCACTGACTAGTGTGCAGGTCTCTACAAAGTGCAATATGAACAATAGATACTGCAAAAGTATTAAACAACTTCACCTTAGATTGGTGCAAAGTTTCCTCACACAGTAACACTGTCGGTTATATTTCAACAAGTTTGTGAAATAGACTTTTACATAATTTAGGTGTGCATATCTTATTCCCTCCGCCCCAAGGGTAAAATGCAAGTATCAGTACCTCATGCTTAATGCATTTCAGATAAATCACTTTTTACTTTTGTCAGAGTTGATTCACAGAACGGCAGTTTTACTTCTACTTCTTATATTATTGAAGTAACTTAGGGTGACCATACGTCCTCTTTTACCCTGACATATCCTCTTTCTTGGGGGGCTGTCCAGGATTGTCCGGCTTTGTCCGGGGAAGTTTATAAAATCCTTTAAATGTCTGTGGTTTTGTTTGTAAGTTTTGATTTTGTGTCACGTGGACTTACTGAGTTAGAAGTGCGTAAAAGACACTCGATCCGACCCGAAAAACTCAAAATTAACTTTGTGCGACTCTGTGACTCCGCCCCCGCGTAGTTGTCAGAACAGTCAGAATATGGTCACCCTAAGTTTTTGTATTTTACTTATATATTTGAACCCTCTCTACACCCTTGATTTAACGTGAAATTCATTATTTAAGCTGCCTATGATAGACAAACCACCATCATGTCAAACACCACAGGACAATGTTTTAAAACCATGTCCACCTAAAGTTACTGCCTCTGACTCATTAGCCGGCTAAGCTCACCAGCTCACACCAATCAACAAACAGGTGAACCAAGTGAGTGATGAATGACTGTGTCAGCCTGAGAACCGCAGTTTGTTAAAAGTTTCCCCACATATCTGCTTCAGAGACTTTCCCCCTTGGCCCCGATCAATACCGTCTGTCTGGATAACAAGAGAAAAAGGATGTGTGAGCGCCTGCTGCTTCACTGTGTGCATGTGTATGCTTATTGATAGCCGAAAGGCTCCTATTCACTCGCTCCTGTGTGAGCGGATCAATAGCATGTGTTTACTCTATAAACCTATTTGAGTGCAGGTGATATCTGTGTATGTGTGTGCATGCACAATGTGAGAGACCAACACTATGGTGTGTGTTTGTTTATGTGAATGTGATGAATGTGGGTGTGTTTGTCAGTACAAAGTAGTGCGGTAGCTGAATGGAGAATAGTGGTGATCAATGCCCTCCTTTTGTTATGTGGGAGAGAGAATAGAGCATGGAGCCGCACACAGACACAAAAACACCCGCACACAAATACACACATCTAAGAAAACTATGAAGAGGGTGCACTAACAACACAAAGAAGACCATCTGGCAGAAACTAAAGGAGAGCTAGAAAGCACAGCAGTGTTATTACTCCCTCCTGCATCTAATGCATCTTTTAATTTCCCTCTCTGTCTGTCTGTCCCTCTCAGTGCTTTCTCTTCTTTGTGTGCTCTCCGTACACTGACAGGCAGCCACACTAGTACAGTTTCGAAGTGCATGTGACTAAGTCACCATGACAACCAAACTCCCTGGAGCATGCTGAGAGCAGAGAGACGTCACTGGCCTTTCGCATGCATGTGTGTGTATGTGTGTGCATCTTTGTGTGTGTGTTCATGTCTGTACAGTATATGTGGCTCTTGCAGAATTAACCACTGGCCCTGCAGAAGCTGCTGGAGGACGGCAGACATGGGAAATGAAAAGTAAAGAGCTCAGGATACAGCTCTGGCCCTTACAAACACTCTATGTTTGCAGGATATACAGTAGACAGAAAGAGGTGAGACGCTCAGATCATGTATGATGCTGCCATCTGATCGAGCATGTCAGCGGTTGACTTCATATTTCAGAAAGATGCCGCGTAATATCTCCACCATCTCCATCCCATAAATATTCATTATCCTATCAATCAAGTATCCCGCTTCTTACAATAACTCTCCATTTCCATCAACAACAAGCTAATCTAGGCTGAGATCAGGCCCATGTGACAGCAGAGCAGAGCAACAACTCCCATGAGTGCCCTGTGCTCTCAGCTGGACTTGTTAAAGTGTCACATTATCTATCATCAGACAGAAGAAAACCAGTAGATAATTGCAGTCAGGATTTATTACAACAAAGCATGTCGAGAAGGTTTGTGTGTTTGTATGCTGCGTTAATAAAGATAACTGTGTTTGTACAAGTTGCAGCTTATTTTGCCATTCATTCAGTGTTTTCTCCTGGTGTTGCCGTGCTATTTTCTTAATTGGTTGTTGTGTAACATGAACATTACAAGACTCCGCACACGGAAGAGGGATTTAATTGAGAATCCTGTGTCGGCTGGTTCTTGTATTTCAAGTCTGACATAGGGTCAGACACCTTGGTATAGTTACAGGAAGGATGGAGGACCATGTTCTATGCATGTGTGTTTATCTTGATCGTTGTAAGGCAGAAAAAAAAGCTGATTATCTGCAAACACAATGTTGCTGTTAAGTGTTGTTACACCTGCATATCCTAAAGGCCGTGCCTAAAATTAAGGAGGAGGAGCTGGGTCTGTTTAGCAAGACCAAGAGTTTTATGTGTCACAAATTTGGCCAAATCATCACGGGAACTAACTCCTAATTCATGACCAGGTCTTGACAAGTCATACCAGGTAGGTTCTGAGTTTGGATTCAGGGTTGAGACAGGCAATAAATTATAGCCATTTTGTTTGCTGATGTCCACCAGATGATGAAGTGAGAGAAATTTTGAAATGATCGTAAGTACTGCAGGATGAAAATGTGCAATTATAGTAACATAACACAGAATCTTAAATGCACTTCATTGGATTTCCTTTCATTCCCTTTGTCATGAATATGATCTGTTCCCTTCAGTCTCTCTCCTCTCATTTTTCCTGTTTGCTTCAAGGTTTACTACCTCTTTAAGTTTGAGCAGGTGGAGCATAAAATAAAACAAAAATAAGGGCACAGACTATGATCACATACAAAGTATTTCATGAGTTGTACTATGTGGTCATCACATTAAAACACACAGAAGCAGTAGTGATAAAGCAATTACATGAATTATCTCCAAAAAGGTCAAACGTCCTCCTTCAGACGAGCGTCCACAGAGCCTGACTTATCAGAGATACTTCATAACCAGCTTAGCATCCCTGTTATCGCTGACCGGAACTTTAGATTTTGTTGAGCCAGCTGGGTCTTAAAGATGATTTTAAAAAACTTCACCAATTTTGAAAACATCAAGGACCCCACATGAGATAAAAACACTTGGGTTGTTGCAAACAGGCTCTCTATTTTGGCATGCCGTTCATCTCAAGTGTACCATGCCACGGCTGCAGCTGTTCTGCTTCTTTTTCAGTCAGTTTGTCTCCCAGTGGCTAATTTTGCAAAATGCGATCATGGTCAGAGTGCATATTCTGCCATCCTTTGGGTTCTTCAAACATAAGGTTTTCTGATCGTAAATATTAAACATGTTTGATATTTGCCATGTCCAATTGGGACAGCTCCAGTTGTTTTCTGTGCAGATCAGAGGGAGGTCCTCAGTATAGTCTAGTCTGGGAAGACAATCATAAGAGCCATTGGAAGATTGGGCCTTAAATCGTCACAATTATCTTGTAGTTTCCTCCAAGTGATGTTGAGCTGGTGGCACACACTTCAGGTATACCATAAAGATATAAACAAACTACAACATGCTGCAAGTTCGTGATAATGGTCCTATGATATGAAAGAAGTAGAGACCTGGTGAAAACCAATGCTTTACCAGCCAGAGTAAACTGCAAGGTTAATATAGATGTCAAATGCCAGTCAAAATATCACATTACACCAAATGCAAGACCCATTGACTTGAAAGGTCCACAAACATATTTTAAGGTAAGGCCTGAATATAAGTTCAAAATACATACTAATGCAGCTTGCAAAATAAGAACTACATCTTATTTCAGGAAACTTATCTGTACATGCATCAACGTTTTAAAATGAAGGGGCAGTTTTGTCTGATAGGGTGCTTTATTTTATTATTTGTGTAACTGCACTCTGATCTTCTAAGAGAAAAGCATTTTTCACTCTTGGCTCCTTATCCCAAAGCAATAAACCGCCTGCTGTGTTGAAGAGGATAAAAACATCTCCTATGATTGGACACTAAGTACAGACTGCACCTGCTGCTGTGCTGTATTACCACCATAAATAAAACATTATCTCGAGTTTGCGCTGTGCTGAGTCAGGATTAGACATGTGCCTTTAGTTGCTTATGTTGAAAATATTTCTTGTCATTACCATAAGCACCAAAATTTTAGCTAAAAGATATTTGCCGTTAATTTTGAGCTAATAAGAAAAGTGGCATTTAAACTATTTAGACTGCAGTGTTTGAGATCTAACAGCACACTCCCCCTGTGCTGTTACAAGATTAATTTACTGTATCTCAAACCATTTCTTCAGCTGTCAAAAGACATTACTTTTTTCGGTCTCAGTTTCTCTCTTACATAAGTGTAATTGTGGTTGTATAATACCATGAGTAACAATGTAACCAGGAGGGTAATTTGATCAGGACCTGCTGCCACCTGCTCTTGAGCAACGTTGCCGCTCTCATGACAACAAAATGCAAGGCTGACTCACATCAGGAGAAATAAATATGCAGGATTTTGCAGAGGTACATTTTCCTTTTTGTAGGTACACATGATAAGAGATCAAGAGGAGGATGAAAGTACTGAATAGCTCTGCTTCTGCTCTGGAAAGTTCAGCCACTTTAACATTAAAGTGAAAGAAAATGGTGTTTTCAGGAATTCATATGAAAGCAGACTTCCACCTTTGCACGCAGATAGTTATCCGACAGAGAGCTGTGGCTGTGTTAGAGACGCCTCTTAATCAAGTACAGCAGCTTCCTTTCAAAATTTGATGCTCTATCCATATACCTCTGTAATTTCACACAGCCAAAGCACTCTAAGAGGCTCAAATGTTTTGTTGGGCCTTTTTCTTCAGGTGCTGTAGTAAAGAGACTGAATAACTCCCAAAATGAGTGCGGTTCAGAACAGCCTTTTAGGGCTGAAGTCAAGATGATGTTACAGTATTAACTGGAGGCAAAACAAAGCCAAACTGGAAAGAAACAAAAACAGCTACCACTGAGAAGAAGGTGATGGGGGAGTCTTCAAATGATCTCTTGTTGTGTTGGTGGACAGAAGGAGTGATAGCCGTGTCTTAAAAGTGCAATTTGATAATTAACTAGCTGCCACTACCCAACAACAAAAACAAGTGTGGTTTAATAAGACAAGGCAAAAAGACTGGGCAGAGGTGGTCATCATTGCTAGCATAAATGTGCTGCAAAAAAAAAAAAAACACTTTTTACAAATGTATGGATGAATAACCTTTACATTAAGTTGAATATTGGGTTTCTCCATTACATTAACTTTTTCAGCACATGGGCAAACTTTAGCTTTGCTGGCAAAAGAGCAAACAAACAAACATTTATTTGCCATCCTCCTCTGTACAGCTGCCATGATAATCAACCAAAAGTTTATAGGCACTCATATATGACTTCAACATATGCGAGTATCATTCTCAGCCCTGGTTAGTAAGGGACCTAACACATTCAGAGAGACCCATCTTACTTTGCTCCATTTTCAAAAAGACATTGAAAACAGCTGGTGCTGGCTAATGTATCCAAACCCTACCCACCTAAAAACATTAAACTTTCTGTAACACTAACAGGATCTGTATGTCCGACAACCACTGTGGGAAGACAATGGGTTTATTTTACACCAGTAGTGACCAAGAGTCAAAGTTGATGATATCAGGAATATGATTTCTTTAAGAGTTATTTCTAGTCAAGAAATGATGAGTTGAAATATTTTCCTACTGTGCATGGGGGGGTGTTACAGATGTGGGTTAGACATGTAACCATGTACATGAATTGAGACCAGTGTGTATCTTTAACCTCTTGACGTTATTACTGCACAGACATTCATAGGCTGGAGCTTTTCTCAACAAGCTTGGTTTAAAAAAAAGCTGATGAAATGTTGCATATTCCTTTATCTCCTAAAATGACAACAGTGCCCCGCACAAGCAAAACTAATGCATGGGGAGTGCTTTGTCGTATTTTGAGTCAGGGCCACAGACAGGGCCATGAGTGAGAACGTGTTGTTTTAAATTGATAAGGATGTAGACATTATAATTTTGGCAAGGTGGCTGACCTAACCAACACAGGCAGAAGGAGGTATTTTCTCAGCATGGATGTTGGGAATAAAAGGGAATGAAACAGAGTTTTGAGAACATGTGGCAGTGACATCCAAATAATTGGGTCAGATGGGCTTGGTCACTCTTTGGCAGAGCGACATGACGGCTCAATTCTAGCCCATGACCTTTCCTTTTATGTGTTCCCCTCTCCTTATGTCTCTGTCTGGCTCTCTGTCTCTCTGCTTTCTCTCTCTCACTGTCTCTCTTTCCTGTACATTATCCAATAAAGCTTCACCTCCTGACTTTGATGAAACCCAAGGCTGATGTCAGAGCCTGTCTGCCATTAACCTGGCTCTGATTGAGGGCCCGCTGTGTTATTAACTGCATAAATGCCTCTGAGGTTTGCTGGTTCAACCTTCATACTCTACATACAGTTCATGCATTCAAGCTTGCACTATTTGTTCTGCAATCAAGTATCGAAAAAGATTACACCTATGCTGAGTTAATTTGCACTTTGTGGTTCACATTTAGGGTCATTCTCTACTGGAGATGTGGAAGTAGGTTGCCTTTAATGAGGGAGGCTGCGGGGTGATGACAGGTGATTAACAACCGAGTTTGTAGAGTTGCATGGTATGAATTAACATCTGTGAGTTCAGCACATCATCAATTCATCATCAGAAACTTAAACAACTACATATCTGATAGTACTATTGATGAAGCTCGAGAACTGATGCTCCTGTCTGGCCACAGGGTTGTTCTATTAAGTCCTTGACAGACTCACACTCAGACTTGTTGGACCACTCTGCCCCAGGGGACTTGACCAGGCTGCCCCCTACCTCTAACCTTAGCTGACAATCTCACACACAGGGGGAACAAATGTATATAATTGAGAGAGAAAACTCATTCTATATTGTTTGTCGAAGGGAAAATCTTTCACTGTTACAAGTAATCCATCACTGATTGTTAATATTCCTAAAGATTCATCACAGATACTTTAAATCACCACTGGAGAGATAAGTGATAAAACTAGAGCGTGTTTTGGCGTGCAGCTACCAAACTTAAACATGGCGTGTGCAGAGTTTGATGGTTTGAAAAACACTCCAAGCAATCTGCTGATCCATTTTTTTAATTAATCCGTCTTATTTAAAGGTGCAGTCCAATGTATTTGGTGACATTTCGCAGAAAAAACCTAAAAGGAATAGACTTAAAAGTTCTTAAAGCTCCTGTGAGGGTTTTATGGTTTGTGGTAGTTTTGGTGCCCCCTGTAAACAGTTTACTCTTGCTAATTTTGTCTTCTGCATGCTCTAGTAGGGTCTTCTGACAAATAAATCTCCTTCTGTTTACTATTGGTAGTCAAATGATAAGTGTTTTTTCACATGCAGCTCCTTAAATTCCCACTCTGAATCGGGTTTAAGCTACAAAATCAAAGTCAGTCTTTTTGCTGATGGTCTTGTTTGCTTTTGTACGACATAAAAAGACATTGGTGTAAATTTCAGTTAATTTTATAAATGTGTAAAACACCGCACAGGAGCTTTAAGTAGACTGAAATCAGTGTATAGCCACCAGAATATAAGAATAATTTTGTTTTTGCTTTCTTAAAAGAAGCCTTTTAAACATCCTTAGAGCATCACCTTTGGTCTAACTGGTCTTTTGTGTCTTAATGTAAAATGAAAAAATACAGAAACTCTTACCTTCTACACTCTGTCTTTTCTGCCATGCCCTCATTCAGTAAAATGAAAAAAGGTGGCAAATATTGTAGGTTTTCTTAAAAAAACACCAGCATTTTGTAAATTATCCTGTGAGGGCTCTAAGAAAAACTGTCTCTGTCTTTGTCTGCTCCTCTGTTAGTGACATATAATTGTTCCACTTATCAGTGTCACACAGGAAAATCTGGGAGTTTGAAAGTATAACATTCAAAGTGTAGACAAGTTTACAATCAAGGCACCTAAAGTCCCCAACAGAAGTCCTTTACTCCCACTTTTTACAAATCATTATCCCCATGCTCAGTTACAGCTGCTGTTTGACAACCTGTATGACACAATCAAATCCCTTCAGACCCACAAAACTGCAAAGAAGAGAAAAGTCGCTTTTGCTATGTTAGCATCTAGCAAATAAGAGTCATGACTCACACTTACCCAGCAGCCCTTTGGGCAAGTGTCCATATGGGCAGAGAGGAAGCAGCAGTGGAGCTCAGACATACCTTGTGTGCCTGTGTGTATGCTTGTGCTCATGGTTTCCATCTGTGTGTACATTTGCACCAGCATGTGAATGTGTGTGTAGCTGCTGCTGTGTTTGTTCTGTGTAATCCAGAGCAGCCAGTCTGCGGTGGACCAATATCTCAATATGAAAGGTGTCACTGTGGCTCCAGTCTGTTCAGCTCTACACGACGGGACAGAGAGCCAGCCTCTGGCTCAGAGTAAAATTCATCTTTCATTTGATTTACAGTCAGCGGATGATAAACAACTCTTTGAACACAGAGCAAGCTATCATCCAAAAGCAGAGCACAAAACAAAAATCACTCTAACAGGTGATACTAATGTCTGTATCAATAACCTGGATATGGTACGGAGTATCAAAGTCCTCTGCATTATCACCTTGAAGCTTAAGGAGTTGAGGCACTTTGATGAAATATTGTGTACAGCACAACGTTGTTTCTGCTTGTGAAACATCCAAGACTTTCCACTCATTTAAAAACTCTTACTACATTTCAAGCAACCTCCTCTCCCTGTTTTGACTCCAAAAAAACCCACTATGACATAATTTCCCTTTCAGGATATTCAACTGAGCTGATCTGGACAATAATTTAGTCCATCTAAAAGAAGATTAAACATTAATGTAATTAAAATTGACAAAAATGAACAAACAGGAAATTCCTTCACAATGGGAGCCAACAGATTAGGAAGTAGATCATAGCTGGACAGAAGATAAACCAGGAAGAAACATGACAGGGTCAGACTAAAGTTTATAATGCAGAGTGTGATGAATTATTGTTCTGTTTTATTTACTTTGTATCCTATAAGGGGATGCTTTCAGGTGTTATAACAACGCCTGAAGTTGATTTTATTGGGAGATGATCCTGTTTCCTCTGAACACAGGCATTAGACTTAAACACCAGCTGATCAAAGAAGGACAGACATGTGAAAAGAAGCTCGTAAGAAAGTTATACTTTCTCTAATGGTATGTTTATTGATGCTAAGTTCATATCTCAAACCTGAGCAGAAAACATTTTATGGGCAAACCAGCATTGATTAATGATTTAGTAGATCTCATTTGTTCGTAGCTACCAACAAAATCTACACCTGCCTCTGACCATGAGTAGAGTTTGTTTGGGTAAAAACATAACAACTAAGTCTATAATTATTAATCAACATATAAATTAATAGATAAACCAGCGTTTGCTGACTCCAGGTGTTCAATCTGCTCAATCTGTGTGGCTTGAATCAGAGTGTACGACATTTGTAAGTCCTCTGTAAGATGATTGTGGTTTGTGTCACTGGTTCAAATCCTCTGTGCCAGCTGAACGTAAGCAAACAGAGAGCATGTACAAAATGGCATGACATGTTGTCAAACAGTGGAAGAGGAGCAGCTGATCGACAAACACGCAGACAGACAACTCAAAAATACGAGTGTTTACATGGTAAACATGTGGTTGTGTGTTTGTTCTTCTCCCCTTTAACCTCCCTCCCTCTTTCTGCTTCCTCTCTTCTGTTTCTATTTTCAATCTTGTGCTTCTGTGTCCCACTGAACTCTGCCCTCTTGCCCTTCCCCCATATCAACCTTTATACACACACATCACCGCACTAACATTCATTCACCCCCACATACAGACAACTAATAACATGCATGGAGACATGTAGGCAGACAGATGGGAGTTTTTACTCTCTGTACATTAACTCATCAATACTTGACCCGGGCATTAAGATACTCACAGTCTGCAAACACACACACACACACACACACACACACACACACACACACACACACACACACACACACACACACACACACACACACACACACACACACACACACACACACACACACACACACACACGTCTCTCTGATCTGTGTGTAAGCCGCACACGGGGCAGTATGGATCATCCAGCATTGATTTGCTCTAGATTTGTTACAGCTGACACTGTCAAAACACAATCACAGAAGAGCAATTTAACCCTCAGTCACACCATGGGAATGTGTCTCATATCCACCTGCCACACAGCCTGCTACACTCCGACACTCACAGGCAGCTTTCCCCGTTTTTTTTTTTTTTTTCCACACGCTTGAGGTTTTTGATGACTGAAGACTTTAATTATATTTGGCTTCCTGCCCCAGAGAAAAGCTAACAGCGAAACCTACTATCATGTGGCCTAAATTAGAAAACATACTGCCTGTGGTCATATCCCAGCATGCTGACAGTAGCAAGGTCATATTTTTACATGTCAGATGAAAACCATGCTCATAAGCTGTGTCAAAACTTTGCAGAAATTCACACAGAAAGTTGTTTTATTTTTTAAACACCAAACACTTTGTTTGTAAAAGCTGAAAATGAGTTCCCACACAGCATCGATGTGCTGTAAGGGGTAATGTGTATTTGCTAATGCCAAACCAGCAGGGAAAGTCGCTCTCTTTGAGCTGAATATAGAAATGTGCACATTCAAAAACAAGAGCAACAATTACTGAGTGTAAAGTCTGCGCTGGCTCAAAAACAGTGCAAAGAACAAGTTAGTCATTTGTCATGACTACTTAAAGACAGTTTGTTTTATAGGCACTCCTTTCTTATTGTAAGGGGAAAAAAAATCAGTATCCTGAAACCTCTTTCCTTTATCTATTCTTAGGGCCTCTGGGCTTGTGGTTTCTTTCTAATTTGCACTCATCTCTTTTGAAGAATAAAAAAACAAGAGCCCTCAAACAACATGCGGCCTGGAAGGGTTTATCTCGCTGGAATCATCCAACGTTTTCCTTGTAACTTGTCTCATGACCCGTAATTTCAATGCATGTAACACTTGAGTTTTAAAATACAGCTGTTTTCCTACTACTAAATACACAGTGTGGTGAGACGCCTCCTCATCTTGTTTTATTTTTGCTGGACTTCCTGTGTTTCCTTGTTTGCCTGGTCTGGCTTTACTCTCTTCCAGAGCTTCCTCCCCTCCCCCGTTGCTGAGGCTGAGTGAGACTACACACCTGTGCTTCATCTACAATCAAGGCACTTTAAGAAGCCTGCAGCCCTCAGTCTCAGCGCCTGAGTGTTGTCTACCCTTCCTAGCGGTACAGACGCGTCTCCTGGCCTTCCTCTTTGTATCAGTATGTGTAACTTTGCTCCTCGTGATTCTGTGCATGTTCACTTACCTACCTCTCCTCTGGTTTTTCCTGCAGTGTCTCCAGCCCACACGACAGCCAGCCAGCCAGCCAGCCAGCCAGCCTACCGGACTTCCTCTTTTTGCATTTACAACCTTTGTTTGGACATTAAATTACACCTTAAGTTGATCTCTGTCTCCGTGTCTGCTTCTGGGTCCTCACAACGCACCAGCCACACCACAACACAGCGCAGTATAACTTCAGGTTTGAAGGTCCAAAGTTCCTCAGTGGCTTAACACTTATGGGGCGCTCACACCAAGCGCACGTAAAATCATCTACTTGCTTGATTCGCGTTAATCTAGGCACGTGAATTAATAGTATTTACTCGCCTCATTCGCCAACAATGGTAATCTCAACAGTAATCCCTGCCAATTCAACTGGTGGGATCAAGCGATCGACAAAGGTTTTTTACAATTTACTAGGTAATCCGATCTCCTCACTCACTGCCTCCAGAAGAGCTCCTTTTTATTCTGATTTCAGTAATTGAAAGAAAAGTTATATAATTCGGGGCACCCACACACCGACACAATCAATTTGTCCTCTTTGTGCTGATTAGCTATTGCGACGTTAATATCCACTCAAGTTGAGACATTTTCAGCTCACGCCCAATTCGCGTCATTCGCAACGCCAGAGTAGTAGGAGCATCTTATCGCATCTTTGCATTGACTTAACATGTAATTCATTCGCGTGAATGATTTTACTTGCCCTTGGTGTGTGGAGACAGTTAGCGTCCATTGCCCTCTTTTTTTGCTGAACTTCTTTTTTTTTATGTGTGTGCTGATTAATTTATATGAGGTAAATATCTTTCTGACACCAAAACGGTTGAACAAACCTGCTGACTAACATGCCACAAAGGTGAGAAACCTGGGCAAACATGCCGTGAACCTGTTCCCACAGCCCCTCTGAACCTTTATGCAGATCCAAAGGGTGTAATAATAATGAGCCAAAGCAAAAGCAGTTTTACAAGCTTCATACATTTCTATCCTGCTTTAAGCTCTGAGCCAAACATGTGATGCATTTTAGTGTTTACCGCTACACACTGTGCAAATACTGTGGCACAGCATGAGGACATCAGAGATAAATGTCAGGTCATCTGGTTTAAAAAAAAAAAAACAGACAACAAGGGCGCCTACCGAGAGGGAAAGGGCTGATTGATGCTCAGACACACAAAGGGCTTTCACCAAGAAGGTCAGAGTTTGTGTAAATGTGACGCCTAAAGTTAGAGTTTGAAAATATTCATTAATTTTAGTGAAGCTAAGCATCAAATACATCAAATACAGTTGCTGTAATCAGCTGGTTATCTGCTGATTGAATTTAATTGTCACCCATAAACCAATCACAGCCCATTTTTTCAACAGTGTGGTCCATTCAAAGTCATCTGACCTCTTAAAGTTACATGCTTGTGTCACACTATCGTAAAATTCAGGGTTCACTGCATGCTGGCAATAACACAGAGACTTAACACAAAGGGCTTGATTAACTGAGAATTTGCGTGTTCAAAAACGTGTATATCAGCAAACAAACACTCCAGCTGATCTACTAAGCGCGCGGTGAGGATGCGTCTCTCAAATGTGTAAGATAACCTGTGTTTTTCACTTAGTATGTTTGCTTTAATGAACATGCAAGATGGGGCGTTTCTACCCTAGCGAGCCTGAAACTGGGAGGAGAAAATCAAAGTTAGAAAAAAAGAGTTAGTTTAGCACAAGCTCAGTAATTTACCAAGGCTGAAAGTAGTTCCTGCTATTTTTACTGCGTGTAAACATTACACCTTTGAAAGGAAGGTGCAAATCTAGGTGCCCAGTGTTGCGCACAGACGGCTGCTGTTATCGTGGCCAAGAAGAGACAGGATAACAGACACACACTTGTCTGTTTCTGTCATTTCTTAGGGGCTGCTTTGAGATATTTTCAAAAGTCTCTATGTAAAGATTAAACATACATACTCTGTATTGTTTGTGTATTGTAATTTATTTTGTTTCACAGCCACCACAGTTTAAAAAAAAAGAAAATTTAATTTCGGCCCTTCCTGTCCAAACTCTCCATGGTGTAAGCCCGTTAAACACGTAAAACCCTAATTTGAATACCACCACTTCCCCTACAGCCTTTGCACCCGACGGCATTTACGTATTTCTTCTAAGCTGATTGACCACAAAACACGCACCCAAAAAATTGTGCAATCTGATGGGATGAATGTGCAGTTTTACTTGTTATGTGGAGTCTTAGAAAACCAGGCCCTTACTGTTTACACATCCCTTTAGGGAATGATGTCCTTCTTTGGTGCGTGCTTGTATCTTAGTGATTCTGTATTAGGGGGCGATGCTTGCTGCCTCAAATGCATTCTTCAAAGATTGGCAGATTACTGGCATTGATTTCAGTCTGGTCTTGGTGTTTGCCTCTGTTGTTTTGGGGGATTTTGCAATACACTTTGAAAGTAGAACTTTTGGCTCCAAGCAGAATTTGAGGGCTTCGAGGCAAAGGAGCGTAAGTGCAACTTTGGGTGAATATGCATATCAGATGAAAGCTCTCGGCCAGATCTTTCCCAAGCCAGAGAGAACATAATGACCCATAAATAGTTATTAAACAAAAACTGAAAGGCGCAACATTAAAAGTGGGGGTTTGGTAAGTTCGCTGTGTCCTTTTGGCTCTAAGCAGTGGATCATGGGATGAGAATTTTCATGATTGTGAAATTGTGAATTTCCTAGTTTGGGATCAATAAAGTATATCTATCTTTCTATCTATGACCAAGGAGAGCATGATAAAACATTAAAATGAAATCAATTCTTTTCCCAATCAGCACGCTAACAGTTTGATTGTGCTGGCAACATGATAAGAATGAGGTGAGAGAGTTTAAAAAAAACAAAATTATGGAGACAGAGCTCATGAAATAAAGTCTCAAAGAATTTAGGGAAGAGCTCAGGAAATAATGAATAAAGGAACTGAGGGAGAGACAATTCAGGAAATAGGAAATCAAGGAAATGAGAGAGAAAGAGCAAATGAAACTGAGGCTTGAGGAAATGAGGGAAAGAGAGCTCAAGAAACAGAGAATCAAGGATTTAAAGGAGAGAGAGATCAGGATCTACATAATCAAGGAACTAAGTTCAGGGAACCATAAAAAGAGAGTGAAAAAATGTACAAAGAGTCATGTGAAAGAGCACATCAACTGACATTAGGTTTGATCTATCTGATTATGTAAAATATGCAGGTGGCATAATGAGCAGTCAGAGAGGCCGAAGCCATTGTTCAGCCATTCAAGTCATCCAGGAATCAGAGCACAGAAACAGGAGGACTTACTTAAGTGTGCAAACACAGCTGTTTTGGTGTCTAAAACTCTGACAGTGCAATAATGTTAATCATGTTTATATTTCCTACCTTGATAAAGAAGATCAGCCCTCAGTGACTACAAATGTCATCTGTCTTCATCCTCTCCTTTAGTGTGAAGTTCAAAAATGCAGCTGGGTTAAAAGACATGCAAAAGCTACAGTGTGTTGTCATATCTCTCCAAGTGTTCACTGACTGACATGCTATTTATACGTCACCCTATGTGATCATTTTGACAGGTCAGTGAGTGGGAGGACTTCCTTTTCTCAATATTTCATAACTTTTTTTTTTATAACTTTCATAACTAACTTTCCAAGGAGAAAGCAGAACTAAGAGAAATTTTGACTCTGCCTTCTTGAACAGTTTGGCTGGATTTAAAAAAGGCCAAAAATTTCAAGACAAAGCACTGGACTTATCAATACCAATGCAAGAGATACCAATACTGATACTTATACCGATACCAATGCCAACCATTCCTTCTTGTTTTAAATTTTATTGCCTTTTTTAAAAAAAATTGCCATTAGATTTAATTTACTTATAACTGAAAGTCCCTCCTAGATTCTTATTTTAAATTCATATGAAGTCTAACTGATTCATGTCTTACAGACCTCATGTTGCTGATCTTTCCCAGAAACCATGTAAAACTCATGTTTCATGTTTAATCATGAAAACGGTTTATCAAACAGGTGACTGTGACCGGCTTCCTATCATGAAGTTGATGTGATAAGACACAAATATACATCAGTCCCTAAACAAATGTTGGACTGCAAGATATTATGTAAGATTTCCAGATTTGAGAGTGGTGAGTCTTAATACGTCTGTGTTACTTTGTTCCGCACTACGTACTATAGGAACAAAACAGTGAAATCTATCAACATCATGTGTGGGGTCTCTGATATTAACATTGATTAAGATTTTACATATCTATTAGTATGAACAAGGCTTTAAAGTGCAAGCAGTAACCAGCAGTAAGTTACTGTAGCAACACGTAAAGCTTCCTGTGCTTCAGAAAAGTCTGACGTATCAGAGGTGATTATATGAGGAAAAACACAGCTCATTCAAAACTGATTCATGCAAAGGTTATAAAGTTGTGTAATGGTGTGACCTACTGCTGCTTTTATTATTGCCTCTCTTTTGGTAACATTTTAGGGAAATGTGAATAAATCTCAAAAGGCAGTGAGGCTTTAATGGAGCACTGTTAAAAGCATCTGTATGAGACCTTCGCTTGTGAAGTTTGAATGTTTCCTCTTGCTCCTCAAGATTCCCTCAGTTCCATAAAAAACATAAGTATAGGCTACTCCCCTGCAAGATCCTGGCCCTGGATGAGACTGACCTTCGCTACCACACCAACTCCCCACACTACAACCTTTTTTTTAACTGTTTTACTCATCTCCCCTTGACAACCAGAGCCTCTCCTGTTGTGGTCATTATTTATTATACTTGTGACAGGACCACCTGCCTTCTATACCATCATGAGGAGTTTCAGTTTCCTTTCACCCTGAACTTTGAGCACGAGTTAGATCCTTATGGACAGCATGGATAAGCTATAAATAATCCCAGTCCAGGATTTACTGGATATGAAGAAGTCGTCATTTCCTCAAAGTTCACAGACATTGAAGGGACTGGTGACTGAGACCAAATAAAAATACAGGGATGGAGAGGAGGACATAAATAGAACATGTGGATGAAATACAGTAGCGTGGCTGTCATTGTCAGCGCTGTGATGAATGTTGCTATGGAAACAGCCCAAAGTTCAGACCATGGCAAACACAGGTTAGTGTTTTGAGTGACTGAGTAAGAGAGAGAGAGAGAGAGAGAGAGGGAGAGAGAGACTGAAATGACTGTCTTACAGTATCAAAACCAATCACCTTTACGTGATTAATGTAGCTGTTTTTTTAGATTTAAGACAAGACTGAGCTGTTCTGAGTCACAGAAGTGTTCAAGCAAAAAAAAGTTGTGTGAAATATATGGGTGTAATGAAAAAAAGAAACTACTGACAAAAATACAACGCAGTCACAAAATAGTTTAGTAATAGTACATTTGTATGATCTGTAAAGGTCTCCATGAAAAGAAAAAGGCCGCCTCTCTTCAGCTGTCCAATTAGAGGCAAAAAGCCTGAAATAACCACTTCAAGAAAACCTATCAATACTGACTCTGGTGCAAACAATCACTCTCCTTCTCTGTGTCTTAAGTGCTTTTCATGTGGCCACTAACTAACTACACAAATGTATATCTTATAGTCTGTCCATTCTGAGTTACTGTTGAAATATGACTGTGCAATATGGTGTCCTTTATGGAAGAGGAGCTGCTCCCATGTAGCTGTAAAACACCCACTTCATAAAAAAAACACTTTAATATCCCTGTCATTTTACACTTATTGAAATCTACTCAAAAATATTATATTTGATTTCTTCCAAGTCTGTTTATACTACACACTGTATAAAGTATATAGTAAATATAGCTAGTTTGAATTTGCTAAAGGTATATTCTATATACTTTTAGCAAATTCAAGCTAGCTAAGCTAAGCAGTTCCCAGCTAAAGCTTCAGTAAAAAATACCCTGTATAAAAGTTGCTATTTTGGACAACGAAGTATTCAGGCCACATCAAGAAAAAAAATTAAAAAATGAAGACCGCAATTACTTACGAGAATAAAGTCTTAATAAAATAATTATTTATGAGCATAAAGGTTAGCAGGTTAGAATAGCTATTAGCTATGACTTTATTCTCGTAAGAAATTCCGAGGTCTAAATCTTTTTTTTTATGTGGCCCTAATGCTCCGTCATAGTTTTATATTTATTTATTGATAACTGTAATTAGTTTAAAAAAAAAAAAACTAAAGTGACTTGGCTTCAGCTACATTCAGTGAGCATATCATCTTTATGTTTGATTAAATAAATGCTGCACAGGTCACTGTAGAAACACAGAGCTTGGATGCAAATCTTAATTTGTGTTGCATGTCATACTTTATGCAGCACTGAGACTGTTCAAGCCCTAAAACTGTTTTATTTTTATGTCCCGGCTTCATGTTCAATAAAAATTTCCCTGAGGGACTGAAAAGTCATCTTGAATTATGAATCTTGGATGCTCTGTAATCCTTGCTTTCATCTGATATTACTGCCACAGCAAGAGCAGAGGACATGGCAGGGAGAAAGCAACGGCCTTAAATTTAGTGATTGATATACAGGCTAACAACAACAGGAGCAAATATTAAAGGCAGCTCATGTACTGTTATTATAATAAAGATCAAAGAAGGAAATATGCAGAGTTAATGACCAAATTTCTGATCTTTCATCCTAAATTCAATATAAGCCAATTAAACATTTCTACTAAGCCCCATATTGAGTTTGTGGCTACGACAACATTTCGTCTCTTGTGAAGATTAGTTTTTGGGTTGTAAATATGTCTTAAAACGTGTTTTGGTTTTGTCGACTTTAGTTGGATGGTTGAGATGAAGGACTGAAATTGTCTGAATTTATGTAACATTTAATCCCTCTGGTTCTGTCTGTGACCTGCTGTGGGGTGCCGTGTTTTCATCATCTTCCCACATGATTGTTTACACATGCGACATATTGGATGCCTATACCAGCTGACAGGGCTGGGAGTTGGTGTTGCTCACATTTGTAACCATTTAGCATCAGAAAGCTGTGGTAAAGACGCTAACTACAGCTGCTTTTCTATGTGATAGGAGTATACAACTGGTCTTTTGAGCCATGTGTCAGAAATGGGGTAAAACCAGGGTCTTGTTTATATGCAGGTTTGGGTCTAAATGAGTTGAGGGTTTCTGTGCTTTTGAAGTTAGATGGACTTAAGTTCCAGGGGCCTATCCAGGCTTTTTGAATGGGTGGACCACTTTGGGTGCTGACTTATGCGGGAGTGCCATGAATTATGGCAGACTGAATAACATGTGTTTTCCCATGAAGTAAGAAGCAAGCAGTCAGCAACATTCATCTCTCGAGGGGGTGTCTAACTCGGTGTTATGGTGTGTTTGACCCTAACTTAATTTTACGCTGGAATATCCCTTTAAAACACAACAGACGGCCATATCAATCCCTGTGAATTTTCTGTCTTGAAGAAAGAAAGTCCAAACTAGTTTTCTGAGTCAACAATAAAACAGGTTTTATTACCTTACTGTTCTGCTGAGATGAAGATATCTGGCCTTGGATTGAGTCTTTAAAGGTCAGATGATGTAGCATGGTCAGGTTACAACAGAAATTGCACTATATTGCTGAAATCAATACCTGAGGGTTTGGATCTGAACAGTCTGTACATACACTAATCTTCTCTCTGGGACAGAAAAACCCTGCATTTTGCAGAAACACACAGTTTATCGCCAAAAAGCTGCCAGCCTCACCAACTAACCATAACACTGTTCTACTGTTAGATCTGATATTGTAAACATCACCGTATTACAAGACACCTCAGTTGCAAACCCTGTCCCAAGTCACACAGTCGGCCAGGCTGTAGACTGCTACATGAAGCTAACGACCGAATCAATTCCAGGTTATAAGGTTTGGGAACACTTTACAATAAAGTACACAAAAATACAGTAGTTACAGAGGAATAAATGAGTAGTTACTGAGGAATGTAGGTACACAAATTAAAGTAGTTATTAAGGAAGTAATAATAAACTAACTATTAGTTAATAGTCAGCTCTTCAGTAACACCTGATCAAGTTTCAGAGAAGTAATTAGTGAGGAAATAATGACAAAGTAACTATTAATGGTCAGAGTTTCAGTAACCTCTGATCAAATATCAGGAGTAGTTAGGGAGGAACAAATGAATAGTTACTAAGAAGCAAATGAGGAACATAAAAAAGGAACTAACAAGGACCATTACCTTCATAAACCATTACCTATCTTTTTGTGTACCAAGTAAGACATCATATGGACAAGTTTATGAGTACTAAATCATTACTTCATCATGGCCTCATGGCGTACTGTCCCGGACAACCTGGCACATCCTCTCCATGAGTTCCTTATTAGTTCCTCAGTAACTATACTCTAAGTTTGTGTACCTTCGTCCCTCAGTAACTACTCATTAGTTCCTCATTAGTTCTTGATTAACTCCTCATTAACTATTGTAATTTTGTGTACCTTATTGTAAAGTGTTACTGAAGGTTTGTACCAGTTAGTACCTCAATATACGCAAAAAAAGGATTCAGGTTTGTAGTAAATGGCTCATAAGGTGCTCTAAGAGGCGTCATTGAAGCAGCAGCTGTAGCCTGACAGACTAGGCAACAGGCCGACTGTAGAAGACAAAACGAGGCTTGGCTCCAGTCGCTTTTTTTCTTCCCCTTGTTTCTACAGAATCTATTTTGTACCCATTTAAATCAATGCTGCCAGCTGCGCTCACTTGCATCTGTACCCTTTTTGAATGTTTCTAATTCACTCTGCACTATAAACACTTTGAACCCACAACATGAGAGGCCAAGAATAGAAAGAGAATGAGGATGAGGAAGCTGAAAATCAGGTTAACGTGCAGCTCAGAGCAGCAGCCCAGCCCATGTCATCTTTAACCTCAGCACCTCACTAATTACCATACAGAGTCGTCTCTCTCTCCCTCTCTCCCTACCACTCCCCTCTTATCCTCGCACACACGCTTGCTCATTGAGGTCAGAACATGGCTTGTAGTCCACGCAGGTAATAACAGGCTGTGTGCGTAGCTACAGAATGACAGTGTGGTCCTCACATGGACTCGTTTGTTTGAGTTTCTCCCCCATTATCAGTGTGCGACTGGTTCTGCATGAATTTCTGAAGCCATATGGTTCAGTTCCAGCCACCACATCTAACACATGCTCAGGACTCCACCCAAAGCCCCTCTTTCCGCCCGCACAGAGGACACAGATGAAAGAACAGAGGAGCACCTCCAGGACTGGCTGCATAGTAATACCACTACAGCTGAAGCCAACATGTGTATGCCAAGTATCAAAACACGTCAGTAAGAGCTAAATGTAGACAGAAAGATGTGGCCATCCATGATTTGATCAGGTAAGGGGCTGATGATTGACAGCGCACACACACACACACACTCACACTGTTTCCAAATATAAACCTCGGACTGGAAGATTAACTGAACCGAACCAAAATCTGTCTGTGTCCTCTCAGCAGAGGTATAAAAACAGAACCAGCGGTGGAAACATAATCTCTCCATGTTCACACAGTCAGTTCACACTGACCTGCCAGCAGCAGCAGGCAGAAACCAGCCCCACTTCAACCACAAACACACAAACACACACACCCCACAAGCACGCACGCACGCACACACACATCAAACAGCTGGTTGGTCTGAATGTGGCTTAACCAAGATACACATTTAAAAAAATTAAAAAAAACAATCCAGTGTAAATATGCTTCATATTTAATTGAGGTGGATTACAGAGGGTAAATGGTCCCTCCGGCAAAAACTCCTCGATCACGTCCACATTTTCATGTTTTCAGTCTTGGACTGTTTAGTGCACATTTAGAAAAGTGAAGCAGTCACAGAGCTAGAAGTTAAATATTAGCATGAACTATTTTTTTAAAGAAGGTGGTTTGGTTAAAACCTTAAATGGCTGCAGGACGAGTTGTTAAAATAAGGTATTAATATTTTTGATTTTTAACCTTTATTTAACCAAATAAAAAAAAAAATAAGAAGAAAAGGGGAAACAAGTGGTTGCTAAAATTCTGCACACACTGCTGTCCTTCAAATAGAAACTCATTGAACAGTGGATGCTCCCTCTTAGCTGCTTGTTTGATTATTACTATCAGACAAGTTGTTAATGAGACAAAGGCTTGATTATTGGCCTCTGCACATTTATGAGCTCCAACAACATATCATGTAATGTATTCATTCAGAAAAATCATAGATAAAGAGAATGGCCTTTAAAAGTTACAGGAAGATTCACCACTCATTTTGATGTATTGTTCACTTTACTTAGTCATGGTTCATATAAACTGTCAGTAGCACTATAAGTTATTAAAAGACTATGCCAAAGGGACTTTCTCTGTTCTCTTTCACTGGATCTGCTTTGTGTTTGAACATTTTCTCTATCCATGGTTTTATCCGTAAACTCTGCACCAGTCGCTGTTGATTTATATCATATACATCTTCTATGAGAATGTGGGCAGAGGTTTTGGGTGTTGTGGATCTTCTCAGCAATAAATCAGAGAGATGAAAGTTGACATTTTTCAGACTTCAGACTAATTTGTCTTCATCTCTCTGCCGGTTCATAAATCAGCAGAGTCTAACTCTTACAGGGAAACTCCCTTTTCATGTTTTGAGCACTGGACGGCTTGGTAAGATACTGAAAGGGTCAGGAGGACTGATACACACATGCACACGCACACACAGAGAACATTAGCGGTGAGGAAGAGTGGAAGGACACCAGTTCAGTTGGCGGTCACAGTCCCTCAATCCTCTCCTCTGCTCACCTTGTACATTTATAATTTTTACAACACAACGACCCAAGAGGAGAGAATGTGTGTGTTGAGTATGTGTATTCTACAATGTATGACATATGATGTGATTTCTATTACCTCCTCAATGTGTCACAGCGTACAAGAGAGGTTAACGACCCACTCTGATGAAAATCACGTTTTTCTTGTTGTCTGCATGTTCATGTGGCATTTTTCTGATGCTACAAGACATATCATGAGAAAAATAAGTGCAAAATCGCATTTCTGATTATTTCTGCGTTCAAGTCCCTGTGAACCTCTCACATACCCAAACGGCAGGTTCAGACACAGTGGGATTTTTTACATCACAAACTTACGCTCCGCCCTTGGTGCCCCGCTCTGCAGGCCAGACTCCGAGAAGTAGAGAGGATGAGGGCGGAAGAAATGTGTGCGGTAGCGGATTGCAATGCTCGTAAGAAAGCGATCTATGAGACTAGCTTTTATCATGCCCTCAAGGACATTAGTGTCCTGAGTAGCTCCTATGTTACCTGCCACTTCTACCACATCTGTAATGATAGGCTACAATTGTGTGAAGAGAAGTGTGCAGAGCGGCGCTGTCTCCGCCCACGACTCAGAGGTGAATTGCTAATGAGCTACCAGAGCTTTGTAGAAGAAAAGTCTTTGAAAATGACACAGGTAACGTGATTTTGGCTAAAAACCTAATACTCATGATTTAAAGACCATTGAGGAAACTTAAAGTAATAACAACAAAAAGTGGGAATGTATTTCTACTGTGTTAGAGTGTATGTGCTCAGGCAAGTATCTTCCCTCTGGGATCCTCTGACTTTATTCTGCTATGAACATGATAACCCGCTCTGTGTGATCTTTATATGATAACTTTTTTTTTTTTTTTTGCTGTTTGTGCTCATTGTGATGCTGGATACCTGGTGATTTCTCTCAGGTTCATTGCCTCAAAGCAGAGAAATTCAAAGCCCACACCTGTAACTCCTAAAGGTTAAACTGATTTACCTGAAATTGATTCTTTGATGTGGCACAAAAAGCGCACTCTGGAGAAATATTTGATTTGAATGGCAGTTTGTGTAACTTTGGAGGATTAGGCAGAGCGGGAGAGAGTAACACAAGGGCAACTCAAACAAAACAAGGATGAGTGAATGTAACATAAACCAGAGTCATATTCAAATAGTGTAAATGCCATACTGTGATTGTTTCATTGTTTTTAATGATGAAATATGAAAGAAGTGGACTTTGAAATAAATAGTGTTTGTTACCTAAATAAACTATTGTAATTCAAGTTCATGCAAGAAACACTAGACTATATAATAAGATTTTTCTTCCTCTACTGTTTTCTTTCTAATGTCTCACACTGGGATCAGGCTTTACACATATTTCTTACAGACATTTAGAGCCAACATAACAATGATGGTAGCGTATCAACTGGAGGCGAACACAAATCACCACCACAGAGTAGGAGATGACAGCAGTCTAAAAATGTTGCCTTGTTGTGTAGTTTCAAGAATAGATGGATAATAGTTACATCTCAAATGTGAATTTCTACTGTTTACCACACTGCTTCTCAACAGCACGACAGTGGAGAGAAGTACACACTGAACCTGTTTAGATGGGAAGCAGTGTTGCCAGATCTCCTGAGAGAAACAAGCAACCAGCTCTATGAAAACAAGCCCAAAGTAAGCCCAACAGGCAACCCACCGCACTGTGTAAGTATAGAAATAATGATTGAGGTTACGGATAAACTAATATTCTGGATTTAATTATTATTATTATTTTTTTTTTTTTTTCTGAGTCATTTTTTGTTCTTTGTTTTGTTGTTGTGTTTTGTTTTGTTTTCTATCTATTTGTAGCTTCTTACTAAAAGATAATTACTCTATATTTCTTAACCTAAATGTATGAAGAGATTCTCCTACAATGTGTGGAATAAGATGTTTTGAATATTTTGATTTTAGTAAGAAGGATAGGCGATAATATGCTCTTGCTTCAGCCTATGCCTTTTCGGTCCGGTTTTCTTTTCTTGTAATCTACTGTATATATTAAATGGATACGACCAGATCGAAACAAACTTCAAACTTCAAATTTCAAACTTCAAACAGAGGCCAGTGTTTCCCACAGGACTGGAATGTGTTTGTGGTGGTGCGTGACCGCAGACGACAACTCGGTAATACTCTGGCATACATGAGCACCGTGGCGGGCCATGCATTTCACGCCTATGCCCTCAGTGCTGTTTCACTTAGTCCTACCTAAATTAATACACCTCATAATACCATCAATATGACACCATGGCTCGGGAATTCATTAGAATCACACTAACACTTTACATCACCTTAATAAATCCAACTAGTCAAGCAACACTTGATTAGTGTTAATTGGTTTTAACCATTTAGCACACATTCACAGTTAAGAGTAGGAACACAGACTGTATATAGAATGTAAGCCGTCTGCCTTCTCGCAAGAACAGCACCCTCTGGTGACGGGCTGCAGTATAGGTCATAAATCCCACCTCCTCCAGCAATCCTTATGGAGTTGTGGACATGTGGACATGTGTAAGACCCTCTAGCTGGCCTTGGTGTTGCAGACTCGAGATCTGATTGGCTGTTGCATCTGACTGTGTCCGTTAACTTAAAGCGCACAGGAGCCTGCTCTGTTGATTCTGAAGGCCTCGGGCAGATTTCATAACACCTGACAACACAAGCTAGCTGAAATATGATTGGATAAAAAATTCTATCACTATAGGCCAACTATTAAGACAGAACTACTGTGGTATTAATGTAAGAGGTTTTCCCTCAAACTCACAGAAAGCTTACATGTCACACTTCAGTGGCCTGAAGTATGAACCCATGAAGACACCACTATGTATTGTTCCTCATGCTTCTTTTTGTTGTAGTTCTGGGCTGCAAAAGTTATGCAATCCTTTTGGGTGTTCATCCAAGACTATTTTAAAGCCTTTATTTGGCTCAGTGCCTCCTAATGCTACTGTTTTAGTTCACTCATTACTTTAGCAAGTGACAAGTTTCAGTAAATTCTTATAAACCCACTTTATCAAGCCAGCACCAAAAGGCTGTGTGACAAAGACATTAGCTGCACAGATTCAGCACAGCCACGCGAAGAGGGAGAAAAGGAGTACATGCATCAAAATGTAGACAGCCAAATATCAGCCATATGCTGCTTTAAAATGCTCGGGGTAAAGCTTGTTTATAGCCATGCACCTACATTCACTCAATGTCATAATTCAGGGAAAAACTACAGAGGCATAAATGGAAACACACAGTCTGTACCCTTTATTATTTTGATATCCGAGGAATGGAGCAAAGAAAGTCTGTGACTTACAGCCACATATTGAAGTCTGAAACTCTGTCAGAAAGACAAAGAAAAACAAACGAATACGGTGGAACTTCTGATCCAGCAGCAGTTCCACTTGCAATCCTTGCAGGGAAAATGCCATTGGCTGATCAGATAGTAATTACTGAAATGATGAAGTGAGACTACACTGGCTTCATCGTTTAAACAGGGGCCCCAGTACAAAATCATTTGACTTTTTCTCAACACTGTCCTGAAACAGAACAGATGTATCATGTTGATTTTTTAACCACCTACTATCCAACTGGATAAACAACAATGGAACAGTATAATAATGGGAAAAATGCCCATAATGTCATGCAAGCTACTGAGAAGAGGTTTTTGCACCAAGCTGCTCCTTTAGTTTATGGATTGAGTTAAATTTTGATGATGATTACAGTATCATGTGCTGAAGAAACAAAGGAATTGAGGCAGCTTTTTTTCCCTTCACTTAAAGTGGACGGGACTGGGTTTAAGGTCAGATCTTTTTAGGACCAGCCTTCATTTTGACCAAAGCTAAAATAAACAACAGCCAAAATAACATCCCTCGAGAGCAGAGTTCAAGCATTGCTTTCCTTTGGATGGTGAAAACTATAGGGTTAGGCAGACATCCACCAAAGCTGCCATGCTGGCCCGTGAACCTGCCAGCATGGCAGCCTGGGTGGATGTAGGGAATGAACCAGACAGATGGAGGATACAGAGAAGATCAGAGTTTGGCAGAGAGATGGGTGAAAGATGGAAGAAAGGGAGAGGAGGGAACAGGAAACACGCCCACATGATGGTAGGATGAAAACGATGAGGTCTACGCGTGCCGAGCAGAAATGAGAGAGAGGAGAGTGAACAGGGTGGAGGAGAGATGGCGAGTCAATGTTGATACATGGTCTGCTCTCTAATCAGCTTTTCAAGGTCTAATTTGGGCTGCAGTAGTCACATGCTCTAATCATATAGTCCATCTACAGGCACTGATATAAATGTATTTATGTATTTTCTGCTGGCCAAACAAAGCCTTAAGGTTGAGCCGCTCCCTGACCTTGAGGTCCTACACATTAATCCACTCAGGCCTTCTCTGCATGTAGGTTACTTTCGAAAACAGAGGTATTTTCCCTCGAATTTCAAGCAGCATAACAAGAGAAATTTGTTCATAAATACGCTTTAAACCTGTTGGTCAGTAAATTAAAGTCAGCAGCAATCTGTTAGCCTTGAAATTTTCTCAAGGCCTGACACCAAACTGGGCTGAGCTCCCCCTGGTTTTCAGAGATATTGATCTGTTCTTGGTGCCCTTGGAAAGGCATTTAAGTGAATACATCAGAAATAAGACCCATCCCTAATAGTGGGATGCACAATTCAAATCAAATATATCTTTCATCAAATTGAGTGAGTACCTCCTCTTCACAGACTGCTTTTGGTTCTGCTGCTTGTCTCCCTCCTCTCTATTATTGCCTCCAAGGAGCTACACCTCAATAGTGATGAAAATTACTTCCCATTATGAAGATAACCTCTCCTCAAGCAGCTGACTCTGAATTCATTTTTGCTGCTTCTTATTATAACAGTACATTTCCTGTAAAGTGACCGCAAAGCCAGTTTGACTAAAGGACAGCAGAAATGTGCAATTATAGAAAAATCGCTTTTACTCGCCTTTTCTTATGAACACAAATTGAGTTACTTCAGTACTGAATAGAACTTCTTTCTAGAACTATTAAAAATAAAATGACTTTTTTGCAGTCAACCAATCAATCAGATTGTATTTCTATAGCGCCAATTCACAACAAGATGCTTAATGAAAAAGCTGGTCTAGATCTGGGGTGGGCAATTATTTTTTACATGGGGCCACATGAGAAACCTAAACTGTGTTGGAGGGCTGAACCAACAATGATTTAAACTTCAAATCGGGGGAGTTCACACATACAGAAAAGCAAGCCCAAATAAGCAACTACTAGTTAAAAACAAGCCCATAAAAGCGCAATTGCGACTCACGAGTTTTACAAGCGACTTCTGAGAGAAACAAGCTTTATGTCTTTTATAATAAGGAAACTTGGCAATTCTAAGGCGTCTACGTAAATTTTGCCGATGTTTAAACTTGCCTCCATTCATGAATGCAGATCTAGGATGTAGGCACATACGTTCAAACAGAAATAAAACAACGGCTAGGTTTTCAAAATCAACATAATTGTATAGCATGTTGATGATTTGATTGACGGACATCACGAAGGGCTGGGCAGGGATATCCAAGGGGCCGGATGTGGCCCTCGGGCCGTAAAATGCCTAGGCCTGGTCTAGATGATACTCAATTTTCAAAGAGCCACTGAGAAAATGAAGATTGATCCCCATCTTGTAAGATCAGACGCACCCTGATCCCATCTCTGACCACAGAAGTGAAACACTTTATAGAGTTTAGTTGGAGAGGAGGAACTTCCTGTAACAGACAGACACCTCGAGCAAAACCAGACTCATATTAGACAGTCATCGGCTGAGACTGCAGTGGGTTTAGGAATCCATGCGCACCAACATACTGACCAGATGTGGCCTTAAGTAGGGCGTTCTGACAAAACGTAGGGGATCAGGGTGACAATCCTATGAAAAAGCTAATCCCAGAGGCATGTCTGTCTGTCTGATCTGCTCCGTTTGCAGCTTACAGATGCTATAACACCCGGCTCTGAGCGCCCTGGTTTGCAGATAGTAAAACACCATCCTCTGAGAGCCTCAAATTTCTTCTGCACCACAATTTGTTTCCCTAGAGTAGCTACACCTTCTTCTTGTGTTGGACTCAAGTTTACTTCCATGATTCGGGGCTGAAAAACCGAATCAATAACACAAGTATGATTTTCTGTGCTCTCTTTAAGCAACAGACTGGGGCTCAAGTCACGCCTGTAATTGACACTCAAGCAGCCAGAGTGATTGCTGCGCACATTGATTTTTCCGATAGGTTCATGTGTTGTTTTTGTGTGTTGTTGTTTGCGTGCATGCCTTGTGTCCTGCTGAAAGCTTTGGTGGCCAGAGCTGCTGCACAAAGTGAGGTCACACAGGATGGGGTGCATGAGTTTGACAAGCTTGACAGTTGAAATCATCTGAACCGTGCTATATTTCCAGTGTACCAATTGCACTTTTACTTTGTAGGGAAAGAAAAAGACTAAACCAGAAAGGACACTGATAATAAGTTGTTCTTATGTGACATGGTGCCAATAAAGCTGGTTTTGACAGAGTCAGCCGTGGCAGACACATTTCACACCCTGTTTGTCTCTCCTTGGTATGAAATTAAAAGCGCAGACTCACAGGTATCACACATCTTTAAAGGTTAGCAGAGGCTGATTCACAGCACAGCAGGCCCCCATTCCACTGCCCATAACATCTATTTCTCTCCTATCTCTGCTGTAAACCTCTCACTGCCTCACACAGTGAAATAATGATGGTGTCTGATAGGTTTTTTGTAGCTCTGAAAAACTATTTCTTTAGTCTATTTTGCAGTAGCTTGGATTTGGTTTTCTCCTGGCCATGAATCTAACAAGAAATCCAGTCTCGCCATGCTCTCGATGGTTGCTATGATTCAGTTTTTTGAAGCCCTTCAGTGCAAAGTCTCAGCATGCACACAAACAGAAGATCATCTCTGTGGCAGAAGCAGCAGAATTATTGAAGGGTTGTTGGCAATTACATGTGGGTTGTTGACATATTTCTCTTATCTGTTAGTACAGATGCTTTAAAAGAGGGGTGGGGGTTGAAGGGACAGGGATAGGAAAGACCAAATGGTCCTTGATGATCTACATAGAAGTCCTTGAGGCAGGTCTTCAGAGACAAAGGAATGTTTAATTTTAAACAAAGCTGTAGGTGCCCCTCTGTTGTCATTGCTTTGTGTGAGTGTGACGTCGTAAGAGGAATGCATCGGTTAAATTAGCCTCAAAGTTAAATGGCATATATGTGTGTGTGTGTGTGTGTGTGTAAAGTTATTAAATGCACAGCAGTCATGTATGCACGATAAAACACAAATTGTTTTGCAACATAAGAGACAAAGGACTCAAAGCCTCTCAGCAGGCAAGACAAGTGTCATTGTTTCCTTCCAATCAATGCTGTCCTCATCTCTATATCAAGTGCCCATTATGTGTGAAAAGCAAGTGCAATTGCACCCCTGTGTGTGCGCCCATGACTGTAATGATTATAAAACGAGGTGTGGACAGGTGTCAGGTTGGTGTATTGTTATCTTGAGGGAACAGGGTGCCTGTACCAACAAAAACCTGGTCTAAAGTGTTAAAGTAGTGGTGCATTAGCAGGACATTAAGCCCATTCTTGCATATTTTTACACACAGACATGGAGCTGTCAATCAATTATCAGCGATTTTGCTGATATGGTCAAGTTTTTCATTGGGATACAGGAACAGAAGACAAGAGTGCTTCCCCTAATTTACGTCGCTTTGATGTTGAGCACACAAGAAGTGAGTCAACATTACAGTAGATCCTGTCTAATATCATTGGTGCGCTCAGAGTTTTTAACAATCAATTAAATAAAATCAATGAAATAATGCAGCTGAGCCTCATGTGTAAATGTGCACATCTGTTCATTTGGAAAATTGTTCCTGCTGTTCAGAAACTGTTTCAGGAGATATATCAGTCTATGCATTCATCATAGGTTTTTCATTCTAGGTTATAATCCACTGTGTAGATAGTAACATGCTCATAATCAAGGGATGTCCTAATTCACTTTGCTGCCTGTGCTTTCCATTATCGTTTCAATAAGGCACATGGTCCTAAAGTTGAGCATTGAGGGACATACTATTTTTCAATAGTTTGGATAAAAACTTCCCTGAGATTTAGCACCCAGAGGATAGAAGATTCTTGAGTCATCAAAAAGCGTCTTGAGGTCTTGTAGACAAACACTGATCTTATTTCCATGTCTTTCAGACAAAACAGGACTCTCTGATTCTTCTGTGAGAACCTGGGTGTTGGGTCACCCTGGGAGTGACTACAGTAGAAGAGTTTCATTGTCCATGAAACCCCCCATACACTGGGTCAGTACCCTCTTAGACAACTGAATATCATTCAACAAATGTTGCTCTAAAATTAAGTATTGATACCATTAACCATGGTCTCTCTGTCTTCTCCTGAGCTCTACACATTATTACTGCCATCCAACCTCATCCAGGTAGAGAAACCAGATCTGACACTATCAGGTGTCACTGAAGTCCAGGCCCTGCGGGGAACCCCACCCAACCCCCCACCTGCTGCCCTACTGGCCTGCCAGCTCCACTCAGCCACCTGCCTGCTCTGTCATGAAGTGAAACCCAGCCCGCTGTACTGGGCCGGTGTATGTGGATAGAGAGCAGGTCTGGGGGTTGACCTTTTTGTCTAACATCAGAAAGGCCATTGGATGTGGGGGGTCCTTGAAAAAGCCATCAGTTCAGATGAAACTCAACTGCAATTCCTGTCTGTGGCTTTGAAAAGTACAGCACAAACTGCAGCTACGCAAATCTATCCGTCAATCAATACCCAGCGCCTCTCACACAGAATGTTCAGCGCTTAAATTAAAACGTTTGTCTGCCTCGGGGTCTTTTCTGACATACTGAGCATGAAATCTCTCATCATCCAGTGGCTTTAATAAAGACATCAGGACTCTTATCAGCTAAATTACACATGAAAAAAAAACCTCACACTTTAGGAAGCACACTCAAACACTAACAATCTAATCAAAGAGGTTGAGATGACATTTTTAATTTGAAATTATCTGACAGAAACTGATGATTAAACCAGTCAAACTGGCAATTGAGGAGACATCATGCAAGCCAGGCTGACAAGGTTAGTCTCAAGATTCTGTTTTAAGATGTTGACATATTGTGAAGCCTTCTGCCTCTTTTGGCACATTGGTCTCAAGCCAAGTACATAATTGAATGAAGCCCAGAATCAAAAGCAAACATGGTGTATTTTGCGCAGGATTACTCTAATACAGAGATGATTGAGTAAATGTGAGAAGAGTTTGGCTACGGGCCCAGATCTAATTCCACAGGGAGAGAAAATAAACTCAGTAAATATAAAGAAAATAACTGAGTGGCACTGCTCTCCATCTGACTATATTTAGATTTTCATGAACCCTTAAAACTTATATCATGTACTTCTGCAGCTCTGTCAAGATGTCAGCGATGTCACCTTTCACATATCGGCCTGTGTGCTAAAATGTCAAGATGTGTTCGTGTCAGAGAGCACAGCTGCTCGAGATGCACCCTACAGGGACCCAGATGGCCTGCCAGCACCTGCTGGAGACTTTCAGAAAGATATTTAGTTTAATTGGTTTCAGGTTGAAAAACTGTACGGATGTATTAAGCAAATAAGTACAAGACAGTCACCACTATATCATCCGTCCACCCCCGATTATTAAGCTTGAGATTTCTGTCACCACACTAAGGAAGCGTATCTAGGCCTTTGTTATGCACCTTGAGATGAAAAGCTGAACTGTTAGGAATGAAGTCAAAATTCAGACAATAAAATCAAAATCCAGTTCTGTAAATAAGTCCCACTATCAAGGAAGAAAATGTAAAATTCTATTACGCAAATGGCAAACAGTAGTAAACCTTCATAATTCTAATCTGAGAGTGAGGCTGACTTTGCTGAGCGCTAACGTCACATTTCCACATAAAACAGTTTCTACTAGCTCCTTCATTTACTGACAAACTTTTGCTCTCTTCTACTTTTTTTTGTCAGTTCACTTGTGATCAAAGAGCCAGTACAGTATCAAAACTCACAATGCAACAATTCTGCTAATCTGCACAGTCTGTCATCAAATATCGTTAGGTTTAAATCAGCAAAAGATACTAGCTGTGATACTCAAATGGGCTTATACCAATTATCCACAAATTCAATGAACAAAAGTTGCCATTTTTCACTTTTCACTTTTTGGCTTTGTTTTCCAGTAGTCTTAAAATTGAGCAGCTGGCTAAGCAGCAGCCCCTCCTCTGTTTGCTGACAGCTATCTACCTTTAGCTTTGTGCTAAATTAAGGGAACTTCAATAAAGTTTACTTGAGAAAAAGACATCAGCCATCTCCTCTTCTTTTTGCCATCAAACAAATGTTGTTTAAATGATACCAATGATGGACCTTTGAAACAATGCTTTGTTAAAAACAGAAACGGATAAAATATATTGAAAATATATGATGCAGCAGCAACTTGGACACAAAACCAGTTTTATTTTGGAGTTCGACGTTGATTCTCGTTCGTGAAATTTTAAGCACGAAATTTCTGTTTTTGCTTCTCCAGGTACACTCCACTAATTTAATGTGCGGTTCAGTTTACTTGTCAGCATCTTGGTTTTTAATGCTATGTTTTCAACAGTCAGCTAAGCCAGTCTTACTTTCGACTGAATGTGAGCACTGCTGGTTTTCAGTTGCATCAGTCTGCACACAGCAATAATAGGGAAGCAGTATGACAGGCGAGGTCTCAGCGTAATTCTTCAATATTTATCATTCCATGGTTTTATGGAGGAAAACTCTTCCTCTCAAGAATAAGCTCACTAGATGATTAAAAAAAGAAAAATGCTGACTGGAACAGTTCAACTTTCTTTCTCGTGCTCTCTGTATTATTTTTTTGTGGATTCTGTTTATGACTGGCACATGAGCTGTATAAAATCCCGTCCCTGCTAATTGATATGTAATGTAAATGGTTAAAATGCCTTAAAAATCTAATTATCCTCCTGATAGGGTTAACAGGAGACTTTGTATTGGAATTCAATGGAGCAGTACACTAAAAAAAGGGGGGAAATCATTAAAAGTGTGCAAAGAAAAGCCTTCTTACATCTGACTGACACGCTCTTGGGGAGGTATACCTCTGTAAGTCACAGTGATGTAATCGAGGTTATCAAGGACGGCAATCTTTACAGAGAGTTGCAGGATGGACTGGAAACGTGGGGTATAGGGGGAGTTGGCACTAAGGAGCAGGAGGTGTCTAATGAAAGGGTGTAGCAGAGTCATCTTATAGGAAATGTACTCTATTCAGGACTAGACAGCAGACAGCTGCTTGGGTGATGTAACAGTTCTACAATTTTCAGCTGTGTCTTAGACTTTTCAGAACTCAAACCTTAACAAAAGTTGCTCAAAGTCCCACTCAAATTGATTTTTTACTACTTAAAGTTAGCAAAAATCACATTACCTGTGTCATTTTAAGGACTTTTCTTCTGCAGAGCACCAGTAACTTATTAGCAATTCACCTCTGAGTCGTGAGTGGAGACAGCACTGCTCTGCACACTCGTCTTCGCGTTAGCATGTAGCCTATTATTGCCGGTGTAGTAGAAAACGCAGGTAACATAGGAGCTATTCAGCTCTCGGACACTAATGTCTTTGGGGGGCATGATGAAAGTTAATATCACAATTAGCTTTCTTACGAGCATTTTAATCCGCTACCGCACACGCTTGTTCCGTGATCGTCCTCTCTATTTGTCAGATTCTAGCCTGCATAGCGGGGCACCAGGGGCGGAGCTTGGAATTGTGACATACAAAATCCCACTGTGTCTGAGCCTACCATTTGGGTCTGCCAGAGATTCACAGCGATTTGAATGCAGAAATACACAGAAATGCAATTTCACACTTATTTTTCTCATGATATGTCCAGTAGCATCAGAAAAATGTCACATGAACATGCAGACAACATTATTTTCATCAGAGTGGGTCTGTAAGTATTTCTTTACTGTCCTAAGTATGGGAAAATAAAAACATTTGTGCATTTTTCATGTGTGATCAGTATGTTGCTTCAAAAAGGAATGAGCAGACCAGCTGGATAAAAGTCAGAAAGGAAATTAAAATTAAATTCCAGTCCCCTCCCTCTGTAGGCATGTTAAAGAAAGGCAGAAGTTGACAGCACCTTTTTTTACATATAGGCTATGGTAACACTTGTTTGGTTTACATTGTTCAGGAAGGGATGGTCGTGCCTTCCTAAACTTACTGACACTTCATAAGCCTTATTCACGTTAATGACAGGTGTCACGTCATGATCATGTGACAGCACAATGTCAGTCGTATGTATACCTCTTCAAATAAGGTGTTTCTATCTCTCTATATATCAAAGTCATGAAGAGAGGAGGAAATAGAAGGAGGAAAGTTACATCTGAAGGAAACATGGAAGGAAAAGGGTGAGGAAAGGAGAGGAGATGGGTACAGGAAGGTGAATAAGTAAGAAAAGAGGAGGAGAAAAGGGGAGATATCGGAGAAAACCATGAGAGGAAAAGCATAAGAGGATGGTTAGGGTTAGGAAGGAACAGAGGAGAGAAATGAATGTAAAAAAAAAAGACAGAGGAAAAGAGGTGAGAGAGTCAAAAGACAGAGCGGCAGAAGGAAAAGAGGGATAAAAATCAAGATTAGAAAAAAAGGGAGGCCAGTTAGAAAAAAAGAGAAAAGAAAGGAGGAAAAAAATAAAAGGAAAGAGGATAAAGTAAAAGGAAAAAAGGGGGGAGGAACAGTGAAGAAAAGAGAAGGAAACAAGACCAAGAAAGGCAAACAGCAGCAAGAGGAGATGTAGATGTAAAGGAAACCAACAAGGAGAAGAGGAGAGGAGAGGAGAGGCCAGCCGGGCCACACCTAAATGTACACTGGAATAAAAAAAACACTTCCCAGCAGATTCACCGGCTGCTGTACTTTCTCACACAAACTGTAAAGCTGTATGAAAAAAGAGTCACAACCTGAACACCAACTCGACCGTTCTAGTATGTCCCCGCTTGTAAACCAGTAAAACCACAAAACAGCCACAGAGGGTCAGAAACTGGAACACAGACAGTACAGAAACCTGGTCATGTAAGGGTACAGTATAAGACCATATGGCAGGGCTGATCTGAAGCAGACATCAGAGTATTAATACAATTGTGACTTTTGATTTATTTCTATTCAGTTACAGTGAGTATATAGTATGCATGAGAGAGAGAGAAAGAGAGAGAGAAAGAGAGAGAGAGAGCGCATCTTTGACCAATGGCTCATGCAAATGTGAGTCAAATGTTTTACCTCAGGCGGGCACAGGGGAAGATTTAGGCGCGGCTGGGAGACTAGCCTTAGTAGATACACACTGACTGATAATACACACAAGCGGGATATTTCTATAGCCTACTACTGTACCTCTATTTGTTTATGTATTTATTTACTCTAACCAAGTAGCCAAAGGTGGAGAGCACCATGCCTCTCCAGCACGTTACACACAGAGAAACGGACAAAAGAGGAGCCTTACTTGTCAGAAATCTCCCCCACGTGAGCTTCGACGGTGTGTTTACGGTGCTGGTTTTCTTCTTCTTCTACTTCTTCTTTTTTTAATCTTCCTGGTATGAGCTCTGAGACGGTGAAATCCAGCGTTCACGGACCAGCTGATGAACGTGGACCAACAGAGCGAACAGGCGAGAGAGAGAGAGCGACTGTCTGGCAGACTGAGCGGAGAGGAGAGGCGAGGAGAGAGTTGTCTCTTCAGCACCACACCACTTTGAACAGCTCCCGCTGACGTCACTGCCTGGCTACGACGCCACGCCCACTCCTCGTGTGACCGCCTCCGGTAGAGATGGCTAGAAAGAGAGAGAGAGAGAGGGAGGGAGAGAGGGAGAGAGGGGGGCGGAGGGAGAAGGAGGGGGAGTCTAAGTAGATCCTTAAAAATTAACATCATAAATCTTTGATGCCACATGGAGTGAAAATCTGCACGAGAGGCCACATTTTCCAACACTTGAGCACTCAAAATGCTAATGCACAGATACATATACAATTCATTTCAACAGTTCTGGGAGTGAGGCAGTTATTTAACCAAACAATACCTACTGTATAAATCTTCTACACCTCAGGATTTAGGCGTTTAACTGGTTCATTTACATACTGGGTCAATGCAAGTGTTGGTGTAGGGGACACCGGGCTTGTTGTCACACTTTTTACACCCTTAAGGTCTTTATCATAGACTGTATATACTATGGACAACTTGAAACCAAATAGCTCTCGGTATTTCAGCGCGGCGCAGTAGCGATGCACGCATTTGGGCGCGCAGTCGCCGAGAGTTACTGTGATGACGCTCGGCTCAGCTATGCAATCCCTGAATGCCCATAGGCTGTATCAGGTGTCAATCATAGAAAACATGAACCCCCTAATAACTTTTAAAAATGTAGCTTCACAGAAAAAAGAGGACTTGTCAGTCTTATAATACAATAACTTACAATAACTACATGTCAACGTCACAACCAGGGGGGAGAAGAATTTATGTTCTGTGTATTCTAAAGTTTGTCCACAGCTTTATAAGCTTTGCTGACGGAGGCGGGATTTATGACCTATACTGCAGCCCATCAACAGAGGGTGCTGTTCTCTGAGTGGCTTCACCCAGCGAGGAGGCAGACTCTGTCCATTCTTTATACAGCCTATGGTCCTTTCACACCGGTAGCGGGTTTTTTTTGTGCGATTATTTCGGACGTCAATATTTTTTTCCGAACCTGTATCCTGTCAATACAAGCATTCATATCGCCAACATTTTCCCATCCTGCAATATTGCCGCATTTTTTTTTTCGTATCATGGTCGATTTTTCTAAAGTTTCGCATACTGTGTGTCCACCTCTGAACAATTAGATTTGGTGTTGTTGCGACGTCCTATTCATCGGTATATCCAACATGGCCGACCGGCTGATTCATATTGCCTGCAGCTATTGATGTGATTTCAACAATGATTAATGAAGCCACCGCCAACAAACTAAAGACTATCCCTCTATCAAACAATACCATTGCAAGGCACATTTATGACATGTCATAGGGGGGCCTGAAACAATTTTTATCTGCCAAAGGGGGGCCTGGCAGAAAAAGTACCGGGCCAAGGTATGGTAGTTGACATTTAAGTCCTTTATTGTACTCCAGATTGATTTATTAGCTAGGGTCCCCTGCCTGACTGCCCGCAGCATCATGTCAGGTACTGCACTGCCACGTTCTGTTTTTCTTTTGAAATTCCTGACCGTGTCTTCTCTTTCTCCTCTCCTTTAAACCACTCTGTTCTCTGTAAAAAGAAAGCCAAAATTTCAATGTGACCACTGCTGATAATTCGACTCTCTGTGTTAATTTTAATCCCTTTTAAACATGTGACAACTAACTCCAAAATGACTGAGACATGTTGCCCCAAACTTCCATGTTTGCTAATTAAAGCTCTAGCTTAAAGTTAGCTTAAAACAGAACAATGACTGAGGTGTGACAGGATGCCTTAATCTCTCCTCTAACAAGTCCACATGTATCACTGCTAGGATTTTATCTGGAAGAAGCTTATTTTAAAATGAATAAAGTTATTTTTTTCATTTGGGTTGTGCAAAATGATTCATTGGCACTCGTCTCAGCTCACAATGTGCTCTTCTCTTCTCAGACAGGACACGACCCCTGACCATGTAAAGGAATAAAACTCGTATTCCACTTTTTAGTTGCGCCCTCTGGTGGCAAAGATAATTGAAATGTGACAACTTACCCATGTGACAACAAGCCCCGGTCTCCCCTACTGAACACAGTAGGGTGAAGTTGTCTTCTTGAGTAATTTAAAAAAAAAAAACAGTGTAGGCCCACACTGAGAAAAGTTGAGTCACCTAAAATACTTGTATTTATGGGTCTTCCCTTTGCCTTGTGCGAAAAACATCCTCAAAAACTAAAGAACCATTTTTAAAAAGCTATTTGTCCAAAAATAGAGGCTACTTCATTAAAAAGAAATGAATCAGTCTTACATCTGCAAGTATTTCCTGTGGTATGTACTTCAAGCTCTTGTGATGAGTTGTGCATAATGAAACTAGAAAATGCCCTCTGGGAAATTTTGAAAGAGCCACAGGGTGTAAGGGTGTGCACATGATGATGAGATTCTTCAGCCATTTCAAATAATTAATACAAAATACATTGTGATACCAAGGCGCGCACCCACAACAAACATTCCCTTTCCCAGTCTTTTTTTATACAACAAATAACCAGAGTCAGAGCAGTATACATTTGAAAATTTACGACTTACATCGCAAAAAATTCATATACAATAGTGAAAAGTAATACGGTATTACTTTTCTGGTGGGAAACCAACTATGTACCTATTTTATTGTTACTAAAGCACAAAGATAATTATTATATTACATAATCCCTCAGATTGATCTGTCCATGTCGCTTGGCTATGATACTGATATTGCAACAGGATCACCAGCGCTGCTCACTGATGTCATTTTTTTTAAGGGAAAAAGTGTTATTTTCACAAGTGCCGCCTTACCATAAGTATTTTATGGAATATTCACAAAGCCACCTGTCACAGGGTTCTTCCAAACGATAGTGGAGGCGTAGCAGAAAACACGATGATGGTGATAGGATTTTTTTTACAGCCGGCCTACCAAGGTGCATTGCGAAATATTAACAAAAGTGCAAAAAAAAAAAAAGGTCATATACTATTGCCAAAATGTACAAAGCAAAAAGGAAATGCCAAAAAGGCAAGAGTTTCAGGATAACTCAAGATTCTCACTCAGGAGAAAAAAAAAACAGAAAGACAACAGCAATACATATGTCAGTTTGGTAGTTACCCTCTGTTCAACAAACCCCAGACTGAAAGAAAGGCACAGGAAGTCTTCTTTTAAACCCCCCTGGCCCCGCCCAGTGGGCTTTACTAATTACATAAGTTTGGAAAAAAAACTTTTATTCACATTTAAACTACTTTTACCATTTTTAACCTTCAGACCTTTTTCTGTAAGTGTTCACCATTTTAACAAAATTTTTACACAAATCAATAGAGCATTAAATTTGAGGGATTCATGGAAAACAAGGTAATTAATTTTTCTTGCATCATGTGACCACTTTGACCCTCCATACCCACCTGTTTTACACACGGAAATCACGCGGTCTGTTTCCTCATTTGGAAACACGAGCCGGCATGATGGCGTGAATCGTCGTGAATGGACGCCCGGCAGGTGAGTGGAGGGGTGAATATCTGTGTGAATATATGTTGAAGTTAACCGATAGAGCTCCAAGTGTGCAACCTTGGTTACCCTATCCAACAGAGAAGGGAGAAGGGAAAGTAGCGCTGTTTGGTGGGTGATTAACGACGCTGCTGGGGAGGGAAATGTTTGGTGTGTGCGTGCGTGTGTGTGTGTGTGTGGCTCCATGCGAGGACGCCGCTTCGTCACATCCGCTAAACGTTAAAATTTCGGTAATATTTCTAATGTTAAAATAGTAGTAATATTTCCAATTCATTGACAAAAACGGCTCAAGGGATGGAAATTTGGGATGACCACTTTAGAAAGGGTATGATTTTGACCATTCTCATATATTACTTCCATCAAAGTAACCGTACTTTTACCCGAAAAGGATATTGTTGTACTCTTTTCACCCTTAAAAAAAAACAATAAAAGCAGCAGAGTTGACGGTAACAGTGGACTGTTCAGAGCTCAGTCTTGCCTTAATTATCTCATGACTGACTAAAATCCCACACAGTTGAAGTTGACTCATCTAAGTGATGTTTCAAATCTTTATACAGACCCTTTAACAGAAGCATCACTCCCTCGGATATCTAATATATAATTTTCAATATGCTAAATAGCTGTTTTTAAGCAAACATATGTCAAGGACCGATATACATCTTGCAAGCCACAGGCTGCTTCTGCCTGGAAGGTTTATTGATGTGAGTGAGTTTAGAGTGGAATAGTGGGTGGAATAAACAAAGCTCAAGCAGACACTTGAAGCAGCTAAAGTGTTCTTGGATTCGTGTTTAAAAGTTCTCCGTGTTGTTTTTAGTGGCATTTGGTAGAAATGGGATATATTCTGCCTCCAGTTGAAGGTTGTAAAAGTCGTGTCAAAGTTGTGTCTGGAAAGGCTTGGCATTAGTTTCGATGTTGTCACTGCCTGAGGCTCACATAAATGGAGACTGTTTTTATGTATTTTTATTTTTTTCAGTGTTGTAGGTGTTGTGTTGGTCATTTATGGCCACAATGGAGGTATGTAACCTATCAGTACAACACTGTTGGAACAAAGGCTCAAAGAAAAGGGTTTCTTCACTGTACATTACTCCTTTTCACTGTGCCACAAGTACAATGATAAGGATAATTTATGAATAATTTTCTTTTAATTCCCTGTAATTCAAGCTTTCCTTCGGTAAAACATGTTATCTGCCTTTTTATAATCATCTAAATTTTTGAATGTGTTCTGTGTGTGACTCTGATGTAAAATTTGGCCTTCTGACATCTAATGGTATGTCCATACGAAGTCTTTCACCTGCTTCAAGGAAAGCATTTGACCTTGAGGGCCTGGCCTGTGTGTCTGTTTTTGGGAAGTAGACCAAACAGGGAATCTTATCTCGCCACAGCTGTCATGTTTTTGAAGGCATTTCTCTTGATTTGTGCTCTGTACTGTGTGATACTTTGCTTTCCCTTTTGCAAAGGGAAAAAAACAAAATGCCAAAAACACTGCTATCTGAGCCTTGACTCATGATTTCAGTATTCCACCACGCACGTCATTCTCTGTTTGTTGACCTCGACCTTTTA